TAGGCTTAGATCTTTACTAGTAACGCTCTTAGCTCTACCTATATAATCTGTTCTACTAGTAGGCCTTTTACGATTATAGTAAACTTACTCTTATAGAGCTAGGCCGTAGGCCTAAACGCCCTCTATACCTAGCCTTAATCTTAGATTACGTTCTTTAGTATAGCCTCTTTAAACGTAAGGATAGTGTCGCTACTAGGTAGCCAGCAGGTCGTTACTACCTTAGCGCCCTCTATTACTATATTAGCTACTGTCACTACTTTAATAGTACTACGACGTACTAAGTCCTTTGTCTGTCTGTCTGCCCTAATCCTTAACTCCTTAATCTGTCTCTCTAGTATAACCTGTACTCTTGTTAGGCGCTAGCTCGCTACTAACGTATAGGTAGCCTAAGGGGCTACTGTCGTTACTAGCCTCTAAAAGGCCTCTTCTAACATCGTTCTTAATTATCTAATCGTTACTAGGTTATCGTTAAAAAGGGACCTAAGGGTATATAAGAGAGTTGTTATGTTTATAGCTCTTGTCTCTACTACTATCGTTATTATAATAATAAGGTCGCGTAAGAGACGCGACGCCTTCTCCTCCTTACTTAGTATTACGTAGGCTTTGATCCTTTATATAATTTTCTCTGTCTTATCGTCCTTGTTACCCTTACTACTCTCTAGCTCCTTGTTACGGCTCTTAGTTAAGGTATAAGAGTACTAGCTCCTACTCGCGAGTAAGTAGTATTAGCTCTATTTAAGTCTAGTACACCTACTATCTGTTACTATAGGCTTGCCTATAGTCTGCTAGTACTCTAAGGGGTATCTAAAGGTACTGATTTTGATTCTATCGTTTATTTTTGAGTTTTTAAGGTAATAAGGGGCGTAGACGACTGTTTCTAGGCCTTTAATAATATAGGTTATTATAGTAGCCTGACTTATAAGATCCTAATAAGTAATTAGAGGCGTAACAAGCTCTCTTAGTAACTTTCCTTAATAAATTCTAAGTAAACGTAGTTACCTTAAAAGCTATTAGTCTTACTATAAGGCTTGTTTAAAACTAAGCTTTTATTCCTTTTATTCTTTTAATTCCTTTTATTCCTTTAATTCCTTTAATTCCTTTTAAAGGTCTAGCGACCTTCTTAACGTATACTATCTTAGTAGAATCACTCTAGCGTAAGAGGCTAGACTTACGCTAGCTAGTAGACTAAGGCGATCGTAGGTCTTAAAGACCTTATGCTTTTATTACTAGAGTATTAAGTCGCGAATTAAGTACTCTTATACTAGTAGAGAACTCTACTTAGAGTCAGGCTAGTAAGAGTAATAGCTAGGTAATAATAACGTTAACGTTACTACTATTACTATTAAAAGCCCTTTATAACGCGTAGTAAAAGGACGCCTTTATTACTAATAAAGAGTAAAAGAAGTAGTAAGGTAGCTAAGGTACTACTAGGTCCTTATAAACGTTTAAGGATAATACGCTACTATAGTATTATAAACGTATATATATACCTAATAATCTAGGCTTACGTAAAGAGTTACTAAAGCTTTTTTATAACGTACCTACTATAAGGTACTAGAGAGTTAGTAAAACAAAGAAAAGGCTTTCTTAATCCTTTTTCTAGCTAAGTCTTAATAAAGACGTCTACTATTACGTTTTTACTTACGCTATCTATTAAAGAATAAAGATAAGAACTTATCTACTATATAGCGAGTTAGCCCTACTTCTTATTCTTTTTAAACCTTAGTAAGAGATCTTACTTAACTTTATTACGTAGCTACCTTACTTTTATAACGTAGTAAGTAAACTATATAACTTAATACTTATTATTATAGACTAATTTACAAAATTTTTCTTATATATTCTAATAACTAATCGTCTTACTAGTAATAGACTAGCGTCTCTCTTAATATACTACGTTATATAATAATTCGGAATTCTAGATAGTATTATCTTAGACTAAGGCTCTTTCTTTATAAGTAAATTCTAGAGTAGTTTCTACTAGTACTTAGTAATAATATAGTAACTTAGTACTACTTATTACTTATAAATAAATAGACAAACAGAATAGTAGAACTAAGCTATTAAGTATTACCTTTAAACTTACTATAGCTTTACATAAGACGACTAGGTAACTAAGCTAGATCTTATAGAATTTATATATAATACCTTATAGTACTCTATAATAAACGTAATACTATTATACGTACTATATAAGTACTAGCCGTAAGGCCTTAAGGACATACCTTTAAACCGGTTAAAGCTAGTAAAGGTACTAGTAGCTAATACATAAGTAGAGTAGCTATAAAGTAGCTATAAAGAAATTATTATATTCCTTTAGTATTCTTAAAAATAGTATAAGAAATAGTATAACTAAAACTAAAAAAAGATTTTATTTAAAAAGAGAGACTAAGTACTCTTATTAATAAAATACCTAAGGTAACGTTAACCCTCTAAGAAATTCGTAAATAAGTATATTAGCCTTTACTAAATTAAAGACGTTATTAAGGACTATAGACTTACTTATAGACTACGCCTTCTTTTGTTAGTATAGCTATATCTTACCTTTCTAATTATAAGCCTAGAACCTTATAAGGCGTAAGAAGGCAAAGTCCTTATAAGCCTAATAGACATCTTAGTCTTAGATAAAGAGACATTTAAAGTAAAAGCTATTCTTAACTATAAAAGCTTATAAAGAAACAGACTCTATCTTATAAAATAAAAAAGGTATAACGATTTAGAAAACTTATAAGAACTATAATAAAACCTTAATAATAGCCTACTTTTACGTAAATATAAATAAACATATTAAGATAATCGTTAGAAAGGCATAATATTACTAGTATAGTTATAGTAATATAAGTACGATTTCTATATTTATTATATAAAAACTTAGAAACCTAAGTATCTTAAAAAAAATACTAAACTACTTTTCTACTAGTAAACACCCTTTAAAGCTCTACTAACTTTATTATTATATATCTTAGAAAAAAGAAAAAGAAAAAAAAAACCTAAAGTATAATCTTACTTATTAAGGACACTTTAACCTTTAGTCGTCTATTATTCGTCCTTATTACTATCTTTTCTACTATTATTTTTGTTACTAGTATTATCTTTTATAACATCCTTTACTTTCTTACTTCTTTTAGATCTCTATAAATTATACGCGTACTACCTTTAAGTTAGTAGTAACTTAGTATTAGAGTAAAAGATACTTATAACTTTCTTAAAATAAGACACGTACTTTTTAAAGATAGTAAGATAGTTTTAGTTTACTTATATCGCCTCTTTTATAAGCTAATTATAATAATCTACCTTTATGTTTATAGTTATAGCGAACTTATTATAAAGCTTTAACTAATAAGTAATTTTTACTAAATAACCTAACTTTTACTTTACGCGCTCTTTCTTATCTACTTTATTACTATAAAGCCTCTTCTTTACTAATATTATAGTCTAAGACTTTAAATGTTAAAGGCTCTTCTTTACTAAAGTTTAGGCGACCTAAATTGTAGCTTATTTGTGTTAGCTTTAACTTTACTATAAATAATAGACTACTTTACTTTATCCTTTTTTATAATTACCTTTTAAAGTTCTATTTCTCTAGCTTAGAGAGTTAAAACAACCTAGTAACGTTAACAAAGCTATAACGTAAGAGCGTCGCCTTAAGAGAGGTTATACTTATAAAAATATACTCTTTCTTTAGATTCTTATAGTATACGTACTTTACTAATATAGCTACTATACTATTAGGCTGTTACTCTTTACTAAAAAGGAAACTTATAGTCGTTATCCTTATACTTTAGTAAGGTACTTTATAGGTCTTATAAAGCTATTTAGTTTAAGTATTACTTATAAGCTACTAAACGCTTTATTAATACTATATTGTCGTTAATAGTTTAATAAAGGTACATTAAAAGTTTATTAAAAGAGTCGTAAGGAGAGGAGAGTATAATAGCGTTATATTTATATAAGGTAAAAAGAAGAAAAAGAGGTAATAAACTAGTAAAAACAAGTCTTTATATACCCTTTAGTACTATAAGAGATAGACTAAGTAAAGAAGGACAAAGAAAGTGTTTTTTTATATTTACTTAAAAAATATAATTATAAGTAATACGGTTTAATCCTAATAGCTACCTACTATTAGCGTACTATTAACCTTTTAGTAAAGGGTAATAAAGGATTTCTAAAAGTAGTAAAAGAGTAAGGAATACTAGCGCGCCTAGGTAATATAGTTTGTATTACGTATTAAGGGTCTTACGACTATCTAGTGACTTACTAGTACTTTACTATAATATGTCTTTACTAAAAGTAAATATAAGAGGTACGTTAAGTAGAGATCTAAAAGTACGATATATAACAGAAATCTTATAGTTTAGCTACGTGCCTTTACTATACTATAAAGTCGCTACTATTCTCCTTTTCCTAATACTACTAGTTATATAGTTATATAGTTATATATTTACTTACTAACTTATTCTTATACATTTATTCTTGTTTTTAAGAAGGCATTAGCCTACCTTAGCCTTCTTATAATCTAACGGCTACCTATAAGCTTCTAAGGATAAAAGCTAAAAAGGGAGGATACTATATTAGGTACGCTAATACGTAAAATTATAATAGCTTAGAAATTAAGTATAGGGTAACTACGTACTATAACTAAGGTAATAGTAAGTATTAAGGAGTATAAGAAGAGAGGGTAAGGAAGGGAAAGAAGAGGGGTTTAGAGATTAGTCTATAGTTAAAGTAGTAATATACCTTTAAATATACTACGACTGTCTATCGACTCTTGCCTCTTTTACTCTGTAGAAATACACCTGACAGCGACAAGAGAATTAATAGCGACAAGAGAATTAACAGCGACAAGAGAATTGACAGCGACAATAAGATTAAAAATGACAATTCGAAGGTTTCACATTGACCTGTTGGTAAACCTGTGTATCCCATAGAAAATGTAGTACCCCAGCCTAGAAGTGTGACTGGAAATATATGGCAGATATCCGGATTCGCAGTACTAGTGACTACACAGCATCTATCTCGATACTCACACTATAAAGTCAGTAACTGTATAGCTAAAATAGATTCAAACTTACCTTCTGGGACTCTCTCTTATCACGACTACTCTTGTCAAGAGCCACCGAAATCTAAGGCGGATGCCATTCTCAATCTTTTCAATAGGCTCAAAACCAATCATAGCTTTGCCCCACCATCTATGTAATATTGGTTGCAAAGCAACCATATTCATAGCAGTATCAATACTATTTTTATCTCCAACAAGCATGTCCTTGTGTTCTTTGTCGTAGTACATCTTCATCCTGGCTAGAGCCAGCTTGACGGCATCTGCGGCTTCGGATCTAAGGTCTGCTCGATAGAAGACCCAGTCTGTTCCTTTTGAAGACCCAGTCCAGTTTCTGATGTCATCTTGACGTTATGGAGCCTGGAGGCCTTGTCTTCTCTCTGGGATCGGGCTGAGTTGAGCTGTGCTGTGGTTGAGTTGAAGAAATGGATCTAAAAAGAGGCGAGGCAATTTAATACGTCTGCCGTCCTAGTAGTTGAAACTCTGTTTTAGCTTCGCGCCCGTACAACAAACTGTATGGCGTGGCACCGGTTAGGCTGCGCAGAAACCCATGGGTCCCTAAATATATCCACGACCCAACCCATGGGGTAGACCCAACCCATGGGTCTAGCGTCTAAGGCACTATTGTACTATAACTCGCGATACGGTTGATTAGTAGAAAAATTAGTATAAACTCCATAGATTACTTACTTATAGACACTATAGTCGCGTTACTACGTGAATGGCACGAGTTCCTCCTACATCTGATTGTACCTTCTTCCTAAGCCAAGTAGAAGAAGCTGTGGCTTGTCCCTTTATCCTCTTTGCATTGGAATAGCCATGGCTGAAACCTACCCATCGGAGACGCGAACAAAGCCCGACAGACCTGTAGCAACGATCGATGTTCTACCAGACGAGGTGCTCTTGGAAGTTCTTTCCTACATTTGGAAGACGCATTGGAAGACATTCTTGAATCTCTCTCTTACGTCGAGAAGACTCAACGTCATCTCCGAGCCCTTTCTCTATCACACCTACCGCTACTCTTACCGTATTAACAATCTCTCACGGAATTTCATCCTTAGCCTCGTTAACCGGCCTCAGCTCGCATCACACCTCAAGAATATCGTGCTGGAAGACTGGGCGATCCGGACGTACCCATTAAGTAGATGGACGGGCCTTTCCGGCCCTCGGTCTCAAGTCTCTCTCCTCTCAGCCGCCGAACAATTCCAATTTCCCGCTCAACTCACCGATAAGTGGAAGGACGAGCTAAAGGATGACCTCGATGACGCAAAAATTGCCTTGCTATTTCTTCTCACGCCTAATGTAGAAAAGATGAATCTTGTTGTTCCACCATGCTATAATCCCAAAAACTGCGAAAAGCAAGACCTATGGCTGCTGCGACTCCTCCACTCGGCCGTCAACAACGACAAAGTCACGCATCTCCACGGATTCACAGCTCTCCGAAGCCTCCAGCTTACAGGTACTAGTACGCGCGACGGCTTCTGTTTGCGCCAATTCGCGCCTTTGTTCTGCTCGCCAAGCTTACGGACATTCTCAGCGACCAACTGTCTCGAGATGGGAAGCATGAGCAACTGGAATGAGATCCAAAACACCTCCCATATCGAATCCATCACATTCAACGGAAGCCAGCTCAGCATGGACGCAATCAAGTGTGTACTAGGAGCCTGCAAGGCAGTCAAGTCGTTCGACTTCGAATGGAAGTGCATCAACCTCCAGGCAGAAGAAGCCCCGCTTCTGGACTATGCGATACTGGATGAGGCACTACAACTGCATATGCGGTCGCTCGAGAGCCTCAAGATACGCTTTACGGAATCCTGGCGTGGGGAGATGTGGGCAGTGGACACCGGCGTCAATTCCTGCCTACACTCGCTGGGCAAGTTTCCAAATCTGAGAATGGTTGATGTAGCTTCGAATGCTTTGCTTGAATTCGATGCATCTACGCAGGCTGCTTCGCAGGGTGACTTATCACACCTGAGCAATCTTCTGCCTCCTTCGCTCGAGAAGCTGGTGCTCAATTATTGGGAGTCTATACCGCCTCCAGAATATAATCCAAGGTTTGAACACCTTAGGTATCTAGCAGCGGAATGCTCGCTGTTGCTTCCGAAGTTAAAATCTTTGGAGATCCACACACATGGTGAAAAGGAGCAGGGTTGGGAGGATCTAGCTATACAGTTCGGGAATAACGGTGTCAAATTTTCCGTGACTGGGCGCGTTTATCGAAGGCAGATGGCGGGTTAAAAAGAGTCCATCATTCATGTAGCCCGGATCCGTGGCGTGTGACTGAGTAGAGAACTGGTGATTCTGGTTCCTGGGTCTAGGAAAGAAATGGGCATGAAGAGATGATGAATGATAACCCGGTTTCTGACCTGCGCCTGGCCCGCACTGCTCATCCATCTGGTGGGGAAGTTGGGAAGCAGAACTAGCTAGACTTGTTTAGGTTTGAAAGCAACGGTTTGCATTCAACAAGCTCGGTCTTCAGGTCAGATCGTACAGCTGACAAGAGATCATTATCCACATCGTGGCCAGCATATACGACCCGGTAGGTGTAGAAATCGAGTATAACGTGAACGAGCGGCGTAATATCGTGATGAATAGCTGCAGAGTGCTGTTCGAGAGGGGCAAGATGGTTGAGCAAAGAGTCTCTCTGGAGGTAAATGGGCGTTCTCAAGGGGTGCTTGGCACGGCTTGTCCTGATCTTGAGCCGCCATTGTAAGAGCGCGGACGGCGAAGATTATTTCTCAATAACGACAATCCTGTGAAAGAATCGAATCCAAATGTACGGTCCGTCATCTTGTCACTTGTTGTCTAGCCAACGGGACATGTCTCGGAAGAATATAACGCAAACTTGGCCCTGAGACTTGAGTAGTCGTCGGCTCGCCTATTTCAAGCCGTCCTTTTGCGGTAAGCGAGCCGACGATTAAGCGTCATGCTCTACGGACAATAGAGCCGCCAAGAAACTCAAGCAGAGCCTCCACATCAACTTCCACCTCTTCTCCAGACACCGTATAACCCTACAACCAAACGCAAAGATGACTGAAGTGGCATTCGCAAAATCTTTCCTTGCGGCTCTTGACGCAAAACCCACAAAGCTCTCTGCCGACCATGTCGAAGATCCGAAGAACTACCCTCCCCGCAGCGCCGTACGTCTTTCCACCCCCTCCCCTCTCCCTCTCCCTCTCCCTCTCCCTCTCCCCCTCCAATCCAGAACATAATTACTAATACGGACACGCGAGCAGTATATCCTCCCCAAAAACCCGCGTCCCCTTCCTAAGCGGCAAAAGCTCGCGCCGGGCGCCGAACGCTCACTGATCGTCTCCCTGCGCTCACTCCGCAACCCCCCACTCGACATAACGCTCAAGTCGCAACCGCCCAACACCTCGATCCTCAACCTGAAGGAATCCATCCACGCGCAGACGTCCATCCCGATCGACAAGCTGCGGGTCCTGCATAAGAAGAAACCGGTCCCGGATTCCAAAGTCCTGAAGGATCTGGCCGGCGAGGAGGAGAAGTTGGAGCTCTCGGTTATGGTCATTGGGGGTGCGGCTGTGATGAGGGAGGGTGATGAGGAGGTCATTCCGCCGGTGGCACAAGGGGAGAGTGGGGCGGCTTTGTTGAAGGGAGAGGAGTTTTGGAGTGATCTGAAGGGTTTCCTTACGCAGAGGTTGCGGAATGAAGAGCAGGGCGAGAAGGTTTACGGAGTTTTCAGGAAGGCTTGGGAGGCTCAAAAGTAAGGGGCTGTGGGGGTTTGTATTTGCGTAAGCATGGCGTTCATAGGGGGCATTCAATGGGATTTTTCACGTATAACAGACAATCTTATTGCTCAATTGGATGGGGACGGTGGCATCAGAGAATTGAAATAGTTTTCCGTTTGGCGTGATATCTCATTGTCTCATGCCTACGATTCCTCCCGTCTTAAAGAAAAGACTGAAAACTTGCCCCCCATCTTATGCAGCATAGCATATCACGCAGGCAAATGAGCAGCACCAATGAAAAGTCCTCCCTCCTACCGTCTCATCCTCTTCCTTCTTGATTGATGTATTGTACCTATAAACAGGAAGGCATGTTTATGCCAGACCCTTGCTGACTTTGTTGAGGACGGATTGGTATTCAATGTCGTCTTCGTCGTTCGCTTGGAATTCGGTGGCGATGCCGTTCAGGGCGCGCTTAAGGGCATCTTTGGATGAGGCGTACACCATCTTGGGCTATTGCACAGTCAGCACGCACTAACGGCTTGGCCCGAAAGAAGAACTAGGCTTACCTGGATACCGGCATCATCAGGAGACCATGCGATGAAGGTGATCTTGCTCCTATTCGCATATCAGCTCCATCCTCATCACCCGCGGCCTAGTAGAACGTACCTTGTACCCTCGCCCGAAGCCAGCTCATAGCTGAAGTCATAAACAGCGTATCTGGGTCCCTTGCCTTCCTTTCCCTGTGCATGCATTAACATCTCCACGCGACATCACCCAAAAAATGATATCTATACCATCTTGTTCTTTGACTTGGAGTTTATCAGCTTCTCACGGAAATGCTCCCAGTCGCCATCCTCGGACGCTTCCTCAACGACAATCTCTTTGTAGTCGTCTGTCAATTTGTACAGGATGTACTTGATCTTCTTGTTGAGTTTCAGCTCGTTAAACTTCGACACGCAGTCGGGGGAGATGGAGACTCTGCAGGTTGATTGCTGTCAGTTTGTGTTCTCTCGGCAGGCAACATCCATTGCGGGGGCGGCGAGGCGGAACGCAGCATTTGAAGATTCGAGGGGAGTGTGGGGCACCGTGATGAGAGGGAGGACTGACCCAGATTGAGACTGCGTTTGGTGTACGTGTTATTAAATATTCTTCAATCGAAGGCACTCCAGATCAGGAAAACATACCATAATGCCGATGTTAGGTCGTGCGACGAGCTGAGCCGATCCAATCTTTCCAAGGTTGTCAGCCAGGTTCCAACAGCAGACGCTCGTTTTACTATCCGCTACCGTGGGCGCCGATGGGGATAGCTGCAAATACGTACAAGAGTTTCGCGGGCTGGTAAGTGATTCGAGGTTTGCACTTCCAAGGTCAGAGTTGCAAAGGTAGGATTGTGCTGGTGGGGGCGGTGTTTATCGTCACCATTCGCTGCGGCGTTGCTTTGCGAACGAAGTCTCCATGGTGGGGTCGGCACGTGACTTAGCGACTTTCGAGTCCCCCTGAATCAAAATGGGGTTGCGCGGACGGATTACGTAGGATGTTTGTCGATAATAGGCAGCATGGGATTGACTATCTTGGGCCCAAAGGCAGGGCAAGGTTCACAACTGCTATCTTTCAAACATGAATGTTTTTGAGTTCAAAGGTTAGCATTAGGTGGCGAGGCCACGCTATATAGACTTTTGACACTTTTGACTGCTTTTTACTGCAATATTGTTACATGCCCACCGCCTTTAAAAACACCAAATCGCTTCCCCCAATGCCAGATATAAGACAATGAACGAAGAAAGAGTGGAGGGGTGTTGTACAAAGTTTGATATGGCAGCCATATCATGGCAAGATGCTGCGCAGGCAACTGTCAAGAGAAGACTGCCTTGATGGGTATTTTACATTATCTTCCAATCACCTACATCATTCCGCCCATGCCGCCCATTCCTATCATGCGAGTTAGCTTGGTGACGAAGAAGGTGGTAAGACGAATACTAACCTCCCATTCCACCTGGTGGGCCTGGCACCTTCTCCTCTGGTGCCTCAACGATCGATACCTCGGTGGTGCCTAGTAATGAGGCAACACCGCTGGCATCAACCAATCCTGTTCGGACAACCTTGAAAGGATCAACGATACCGGCGGCAATCATGTCGACGTACTCTCCCTTCGAGCTGTCGTATCCTTTGTTGAAATCTGATCCGAACTCATCCATAAGCTTGCCGACGACAACGGAGCCCTCAGTACCTGCGTTCTCGACAATCATTCGTGCAGGCTTGGTGATGGCGCTCTTGATGATGCTGACACCGAGTTGTTGGTCGAAGTTGGCAGGCTTGAGTCCGTTAAGAGCTTGGCTCGCAGCCTTGAGGAGAGCAGTTCCACCACCTGGCAGGATACCTTCCTCAACAGCAGCGCGGGTAGCGTTAAGAGCATCGACGAATCGGTCCTTCTTCTCGCCGACTTCAACCTCGGATGATCCACCGACCTTGATGACGGCAACACCTCCGGAAAGCTTAGCAAGACGCTCTTGGAGCTTCTCCTTCTCGTAATCAGAGGTAGTTGGGTCGTTCATGACACCCCTGATCTGCTCACATCGCTGCGCAATGGCATCCTTGCTTCCATCACCGTTCAAGATGATAGTGTCCTCCTTTGTGATGGTGATTGAGCCGGTGGATCCGAACATATCTGGGGTGGCCTTCTCGAGCTTGATGTCAAGCTCATCAGTGAAGACGGTTGCGTTGGTGAGAATGCCGATATCTCCGAGAATGGACTTGCGGTTGTCACCGAAGCCAGGGGCCTTGACAGCAGCAACTTGGAGCGAGCCGCGGAGCTTGTTCAGGATGCAGACGGCCAGAGCCTCTCCATCGATATCCTCAGCGATGATGACCAGAGGGCGACGGAGTTGGGTGGAGGCCTCGAGAGCGGGGATGATATCTTGAACGGCAGAGATCTTCTTCTCAGAGAGAAGAATCAATGGCTTCTCGAACTCGATCTTTTGTGACTTAGTATCGGTGATAAAGTATGGAGAGACAAATCCACGGTCGAATCGCATGCCCTCGGTCACGTCAAGCTCGTCCTCCATGGTCTTTCCCTCCTTGACGGTGATCACACCCTCCTTTCCAACCTTCTCCATGGCACTTGAAATCAGCTTGCCAATGTGGGTGTCGCCGTTGGCAGAGATGGTTGCCACCTGCGCAATCTCTTCGCTGGTGGTAATATCCCGCTTGTTGTTTCGTAGGAATTCGACAACGGCATCAACGGCAGCTTGGGTGCCTCTTCGTAAATCCATGGGGTTGCATCCCGCAGCGACGTTCTTGACAGTCTCAGAGAAGATGGCGCGGGCGAGGACGGTGGCGGAGGTAGTTCCGTCACCAGCAGTCTCGTTGGTCTTTGAGGCAACATCTTGGATGAGTCGGGCACCGAGGTTTTCGAATTTGTCCTTGAGGGAAATGGCTCTTGCGACAGTTACACCATCTAGGGAAACGCATCAGCGCAATCGTCATAGAGACTAGAGAGAATTCCACAAACCTTTGGTGATCTTGGGGGATCCGTAACTAGACTCGATAATGACATTGCGTCCCTTGGGTCCCAGAGTTGTAGCTACTGCCTTTGCTAATGTCTCAACACCAGCCAGGAGAGCTGCTCGACCTTCAACACCGAATTTGAGTTCCTAATTACGACACTTTGTCAGCATGATCTGACCAGCCCCTTTGCAGAACGCTACTGGTCGATGTTGTGGTTCCATGACCTACCTTGTGTGCGAATCGTAATTGTTGAGCATTGTAGCCACGAAGTCTGGAGCTTGAGAGGACCGAGGCCCTAGCTCTTGATGTCAATGCTCGCTGCATATTGGGAAGAGATTATTAAAGATGCTGGGAGAAGAGTAGTGGTACAAGCAAGATCTGGTCGATCTCGACTGGGAACTCGGGTTGTGAGTGAGATGCAGAAGTCAAGAAAAGAGAGCAGAGGAAATGTTTATGTCGGCTTCTCCAGAAAAATAAAATCGAAGGTTCTCGTACGGTCCTGCGGGATTACATCCAGGTTCTAACGGCCTTGGGACTAGCGCCGCTAGCCGAAGCCGACGACGTCCTTCTCTAGACTCCCTGGCCTCCTTTTCACCAGAATGCTTCACTTCTTCCGCTCTTTATTGCTCACTTCATCCGTCTTCATCAATCATGCCCTTGTCCAAAGGGGTCGCCGAACCATACATGACAATATGATATATTACAAGCCTTCATCGTGCCTTTCTTGTTCTTGTCGGCTGTGCGCTTCATCCAGATTAAGGCCAGCTCTATCAATGTCACAAGTCTAGTGTTTCTAGTTACTTGCTTTAGTGGCAGGCATCATTTCAGTAATCTGGAATCATCCCTAAAGCAGGACTTTATATGGCCTGTAATTACCAGTTTGTAATGGGCACTCGATTCAGAGGCTCTGTGTCGACTGGAAAATGGACAAGTGTCTGAGCCTTGGATGATATATCTGGGGCTTGGCAGTCATTACGGTTGGGTACTTTGCCTTCTGGCCAGATATGTGTAACGTATATACTTTGTTTCCTCACTTGAGTTTCTTTGTTTTTTGTACGCCAACACTTGAGAACCCTTTGTAGATGCGTTTGGTGAGGGTTTCAGATAGTGAAAGGTACACTATTTTCTATAGGATCTTCTCTTTTACATATGACTTGGACACAGAGTTGCCAGTGGTATACCAACCCCTTGTACAGGAGGTCTTCAGTTATGATACTTGCTAGAATGACCAATAGATAGTGGTTGATAAATTCACTGTTTTAGGTTAGAGTGCAGCAATCTCTTGGCTATTTCAACACTTCGAGATCCTTTAGGTAGAGAATTTGACATTTCCATAAGCGCTTGCTCTGGGTCTAGTTCCGGCACCCCCGTCATCCACGTCACCCCTTCTCGCAAATCTTCTTCAAAATAAAACTTGCCACAAGTCCCAAAACACGAATGCCCCCACCTTATACAACGTCAGCCTCGCTTTCAGCTGTTCGAGGAACGATCGCGATGTTCCCGCCCGTGACGGACACGTACAGCAAGTCGGTCTCTTCAGTCACTGCCTTCCAAAAAGCAACACTGCTAAATCTCACGTTGGAGTTGGCTCATCCTTGCACCATTATCCTGAAAGTATAGCCACTAGAGTTTGTTTTGACTATGTAAGTCCATTACTCTGGTTTGCTGATGACTCAAGGGGGCTTTCCTGTCTGAAGACTCCCACACCTCAAAGCTAGATATAAAATGCTTGCTCAACTATATGAATTAGACATCCTGATTCGCTACACGAAATGCGCACCTGAGTGCTGTGTTGCTCGGAGTTACTATTTGTTGATGGGTCCGAAAAGTCAACGTCGCTTTTCGTAAGCTCACGTCTCCACCGTCAGCTCTTGTTTACAAGTCGCTGAGCTTGCCAGGTGCTATTATGTCAATGACCAACAATGATGGGCAGGGATTTCTATATCCCTGTAATGGCTTCTATATTAACCCTCAGTACGAACTAGCTGCACTAACTAATAGTGCATACCTGCCCCATGCCCCGTCCCTCCTGTGGTATATCTCCTTGGTGTATGTACCATCAGCAATATGGGACTACAATGACTTGTCTTGTAAGTAAATTCTCGCATCCATTTATGACATTGTTGGTTACATAACCTAATGGAACCTTCCCAACTAGCCTTCAAAAGTTCCAATAACAGTTCCCTTGCGGCTTTGGGACCTTGCTACACCAAATAATAGAACAACAATCAAAGTGCATACCCTTCGATCATTGAAATAGTTTCCAACAATACATATCAGGGTGGAGAGCAGACTGGACAGCTGTGCCATTGCAGGGTGAGTTCTTGACCTAAGGGATCAGACACCACAGGCTGCAGTTGAGAATATGGATACTTTAATGGGTAAGCTATATACTGCATGGATCTATACTGGTGGCTGGCAAAATACTAATTTCACCTACTACGATTATAGTTTTAAGGTTACACCACATACGACATCCAACTTGATCTTAATTTTCAGACGCGCACAATCACGCAGTCATAGGCAATCGAATGGCGCAGGGCCTTTATTCTATAAAAATGGTTTTTTTCTTTTTTTCTTCTTTTTTCTTCTATTTTACTACAATACATTTGTGCAGCCCAGCGGTCTTTTTGATTGCCTTGTTGTACCTTGGACAACGCTGGAACTGCAACTGAAAGCTCAAGTGCAGGAGAGTTGGGTATCGTGGACCCCCAGGGAGGCACTCTGAATTTTCGCATCAAGGAGCATGCAAGGCACCCAATAATACACTCGCACAGCCCGTGGAGGGCATGTCAAGCTTGTAAAGCCTCAATTTTGAGAGGCAAAGAGGAAATGTCTGTGATTTGGTGAGAAGTCTCTCGATGAAACATCTCGAGCCGAAGTCCCCTCGACAGACAATAAACTAAAGCAAGGCGTATGTTCGATGAATCTTCCTCCGCCAAGTCCGCGTGACGACTTCCTATCTGTACCATAATGAGAAAAGGGGTGAACGAGGCGCAAAGCTCCAAGTTCAACGAATCGAAATTTCAAGTTTTCAGGCTATCCGATCATATGCGCATCATTCATTATCGGAAAGAAGTTGAATGACGGCAAAAGACAGCGAAGCCAGAAACCAGGGATCGAAGATCAGGAAAAGTTGTGTTAATACAAGAAAGAATCGAAAGAAACATTCAGTGACAAGGCATCAGCTGAGCGACGATTTTCATAATGCAGATTCGCGACTGCAGGCGATCGGTGTGTCAAATTTTAGAGCATATCCTGGTGCCAATGAGCATCAAGATTACGGTTCTCCTTATCATCACTATGATTGAAATCATAGTAGTGATGACGGGCAGAATTCTCTGGGAAGTAAAGGGGCGATGGTCCGGCATTATATGGCTCAGTGGCAGTGTGATCGGTAGCAATCACAAATCCGAAGCCAATCTCACTCAGATCGACAATTCGACTAGAAGACAAAGTGGTCGCATCAGAGATCTGGCTCAAGTCAGGTGTCTGTTCAAACGTCAGCCGAATCCGAAGGGTTATAATCTTTATTCTGCTTACATGGTAATGAGGGTACGATGCATACGGCTGGCTGGAGATTCCTCCTTCCTGATTATATGCACCCTTACTCACCATATTCTTGGATGCCACCTCACCGGTATCGTAAGGACTGTACAGCATGTCCAATTGGTTGTCAGAGCTACCAGAGGCAGGGAAATCGTTATTTTCAAACGCACCATCTGATTCGAGGGCAGTGGACTTGAAATCGTCAGTCATCAATCCAATGTCGCTGCCCAGATGCTCCGCAGGGGCTTCAAATGACATCGCATCACTGTTTTCATACGAAACCATGGAATTGGCACCGGTGGCTGCATAATGACCCATTGTCCAATGCACAGGCTTATAACTGTTGACCTCAGTGGCAGCCTCGTCATCAAAGTGTTCTTCCGCCATGGCGTTATCGTCTTCAAAGAACTCTTCCTCCATGGCATCACTGCTACCATGCTCATCATAGTTCTCACCATGAGTGTAATAGCCACCATTACGATCACCCATATTTTGGACGGCATCGGTATCGCTGACATCTTGGACGACGTCGCCAGTACCCGCCGGAAACTTCTTGAGGGCCGCACGAGAGAGGTTGAACGTCACAAGGAGTTGAACCTTGCCGTTGGTATTATTACCCTTGGTGAACTGGCTAGGCCTCATCACCTTTTTCGTACGAGGATAATTTCCTGAACCGCGAATAATATCCGGGTTGAAGATATTGACCTTGCGATCAACAATATTCTCACCCCAGTTCACGACGCGAACATCAGTAGGTGCATTACCCATCATGTTGCGGATATAACCACGAACTTCCGGGTCCAAGTCAACAGTTCTCTTACCAAGTAACGGTGGTACCAGATGACCTTCGGTTATGAGGATATCACGCAGCTTCAGAAGGTGCTGGAGGGCAGCGTTTCCTTTTGAGCCCGGGTGGAGGCGCTTGACTGCAGCGTCCCAAGGGAGCAGGATTCCTGCGCGATGGCATTCGAACTGCAGATGCAGGATCAATTTCTCAGCCATGCGTACTCCTGCATGCCAATAGTCAGCATCTGTGTGATTTATAAGATCTGGGTTAAACCAGGCATGCTTTCATCTCGAGCAAAGGTTAATGTACCAGAGATGAGAGTTATGCGGCTGATCTAGAGGAAGGCAGGATGCATGACTCACGGTTCCATGGGATCAAATCACGACCCACGACTCTACCATTGGGATCAGGAGCTCTTTCCTTTGGCTTCTTCGCCTTGACCTTGCTACTAGCGGTTGCCTTAACATTTGAGGCGGTAGTAGACTTTATGTTGTAATTGTCATTCTCGTCGCCGTCCTCATCCTCGCCATCATCCGCGATCTTAAAGTCACTATCTGAACCAGAGTGCCCATCTTCGTCGGCATCCTCTTGATCTTGATAGTCGGCCATATTATTCTTGAAACGATCCTTGAGCTTCAAGTACGCAGACTGGTCGTAGCGTCGAACATGCTTTGGGCGTGGATCGGGACCAGAACTCGGGTTATGCTTCTGCCAGGCATATCGAAAGATTTTACCCGTATTGGAGTGAGCTTTAGTGATCTTCTTGTCAGATGACATTTTCTTGCTTCCATTGGTCCCGGTTGCTACTAAATTGGCGTCTGGCGGACCAAGATTAGGCGGGCAAGGCCGATTCGCAGCCTTGTTGGCTGTGGTCTTCTTTGCGGAGGCCATTTTGACTATGGAGCAGTCATGCAATGTGATTGCTTATGTCTGTATGGAGGTGTCTATAATGAAGAAAGGATAGTCAGTTGGGGAGCTTTGAAAAGACGGCGATACAGAGTGGTGATATTTCGTACTCTCAACGTGCAAACGATGGGATCAGAAAGGGAAATACTACACTGTTTTGGGCAAGACGTAGGATTGATGCTGGGACTGGTGTTTTGCAGGAGCTTGGGACTCCAGGGCCAGCCAGCGACAATGCAATCGAGAGATCTCGGAAGCAACAGCGGTTGATTGGACGAGAAGTAATGCTTTCCAAAGATCTCGTCGGGTTGAATCCCGTTGACTGCAGAGAGAGAGTTCGAGGTTACCTTGTGGAAGTCTTTGCGGTGTTGGTGAAGATTGGATTTTGTTAGATCGAAGAGGAATGGTGAATCAGTTGACTGAAGAGAGAGGGTTCAAGGTTACCTTGTGGTGGAAGTCTTTGCGGTATTGGTGAAGATCGGATGTCGTTAGATCGAAGAGGAATGGCTCCGAACTTATCAGACGACGACGATGGGACTAGGAAGGTTCAAAGATCGAAGACTGAACAATGGATACTCTCAGTGAATCACAAAGTGGGTCCTCTTTGGAGTTGATACATGGGACGGATGTCTGATGGTGCTTGTGATTTAAGAGGAGATTGTCTGTGGGACGAAGGGACCGCAGAACGAAGTTCAGTTTAACCTCATTGCGGACGGAGGAGAAGCCGCGAGTTTACAAGCCGTAGCAACACGTGATTGCCCTTCAATATTGTAATGATATCCTCCTTCACCCCTGGCAATATCCTATCTCTTCGTGGAGCCAGCCGCGTGCCGATACCCTGGATTGAAACGGACTTCTCATCATAGTGCACCTCCACCAGATTCTATAGATCTCTTCTCTCTTTAGACGACTCCAATGCTATAGAATCCTATATACTGCATCTTGTACCTTGTAACAGTAACAGGTGAAAAGGGTTACATACCGGGAATACTAATCTGATTTGGTATTGCTTCCAATTTGACTTCAATTCCTAACAGTGACAGGCAAGGTATACAACAATCCTCTCATCTGTACACTTTCATCTAGCTTTGGCGTGCAGTGGGAAGCTGGCTAAAGAGTTCGGATTAATCACTACTTGCTACACGATACCGTGACTCCGTGAGGCCACAATCGCTCTATGAAAATACACTCATTAGAAGAATTAGAGCATAAACAGAGCAAGTGTGGAGAGACTAAAATACAGAATAATTGTGACGGCCGCCAAGTATCAACTAAGAAATATAACAAGCAAGAAGAGGATGAATGAGACGCCAAGGGTATTTGATTCATCGTGACCTCGAGGTCCAACGCAAAGGTGATCTAGCGCCTCACTGGTTTACAGTGTTCTCAAACCTGCCATGCCATCATGAGCATGGAAGAGAGATCTTGTAAGATGATAACTTGTATACATCCACTGACCTGTTGCGATTTCGTATATTACCTCTAGTATCTTGAGAAAGGTCGTATTTCATTCAGTGATGCAGTCCAGTTCCACATGATATGTTTTCGGCAGCATATTTAAGTGTCTTTTGCTGGCGGTTTTCTGTTTGGTTAGACAGCCTCGGGAGTAGCTTGAGTTTAGAGATACGGAGAAACTCAGAACGCTCGAAGTCGATGAGCCCCGCCCCGGCCGCCTTCTCGCCTGCCCAGCAACATGTGCACAATATGCCCCCGAAGCTCCTCGATGTTGTTTGTCTCTGTTTGCTCAAAGTGCTGCTCTTAATGTATCTTGAAAAGCATCGTCATCATCATCGTGGTCGCCGTCTCAAATAGCTTCAGCCTCCCGAAAGTTCGACTTGGATCGCAACTGGTATTACGTGAATTGGGGACAGGACCTGATGGTCCAACAAAGAATTGCCGTGATTGCGTCGTTGTTCTGTTACTTTGCGATAATTCTTCTTCATCCGTTGACTCGTACAGATCCTCTGGACAAGGTGTGGCCAATTTTGCAGCTTCTCATACACATCGTCTCGAGATTCCTGGCTTTGTTTTATCGATGGAATCTGGTTCCGTCTTGCTGATCGAAGAGCCATCAAGATGGAGCTAGCCACTTGAGCAATCACAGTAGAAAAGCCCTGCGGCTGCGATCCATCTTCGTATTTTCCCGGCACTATCAGGATTCAGACAATAGTACATTGTCTTCGAATCATCTTCTTTGACTCGAAGGAAAACCAAAGAGTCGCCAGTGGTAGAGTAGCTATGTTCAAGATCGTCAAATGTCTGTGCCGTAATCCGCGCAACCAGTTTATCTGCCTAGTCTTCGAGGCGCAACTTTGCTTTGACTTCTTTCTTGACAGAGACTGAACTTGTCAGGTTTGGGGCAACTGTTTTCTCGCTCGGTTCAGATTGCCGTTGACGCGGTCTTCTCTAGTCTAAGAGTCGATACCGAAGACGTAGTAGTTAGTGGAAGGGAAAAGACAACGGGAGCGGGAGCGGGAGCGGGAGCGGGAGATGGTCAAAATTGCTAGCTGCAAGCGACGATCGCTTATCTTCGATTACATCAGCCTTCATCTCAACCTCCCACTGTCACTATTACTATCGCGATTACTGTCTCTGTCGCAATTACTGCCTCTGTCACAAATACTACCTCTCTTTAATGCGCAGTGCTCGATAATAAAGAGAAGAGTGGCTGGATGAATGGGATTTTGATGCAAGTCTTGTATTGAAATCTATTCACGTATGGAACACTCGTTGACTTGGCATTATAGCTAACCCCGGATTCCTCACAAAATTTTGCGGATAAGCTCTCGCGCAGACTCACACCACATGCTGCATCAACTACATCTGCTGCATCTGCTGTATACATTTTTCTTGATATGGTTAGCTACTAAGCTACAAATCGAATCCATGATGGTGTGATTGATTCGAAGGTGAACTATCAATCTTAACGACTGATCAATGGATCCTGGCAAGAATTGATCCCATACAACGGTAAAGCCACGGAACCGGAGGTACATAACTACCAGCAAAAGGCAGGCTCAATCATATATGCCACCACCGTCACCGGGCCAGACGCTATGAGGGCCGCCACGAAGTATGAATAACAAGCTTATAGTATTCTTTGATGTGGACGATATTGCCATCCTTTCAAGACGATCCGACTATAACGAATACCTTTCCTTCAAAGCTAAGCGTTTCAACCGATACAAGATGGGAGATCTGGGAGATCTGGGAGATCTCAGCTGGTTTTTGGGTATCAGGATAATAAGGGATAGAACGGCGCGGCGGATCTGGCTGAGCCAAGATTCATATATTGACTCAATTACGAAGAGATTCCACCTCGACGAAGGGAGGACCCCTAACACGCCCATGGCTACTGACGAATTGGTGCCATATAGCGGCAAAGCAACAGAACAGGAGGTCCTGGCCTACCAGCAAAAGGTAGGGTCAATATTATACGCCACTATCGTCACGCGGCCGGATGCCATGAGAGCTGCCACACGGCTTTCTGAGTTTTGATCAATCCTTCGCCTGAGCACCACCAAGCGGCCGATAGAGTGATCAGATGCCTGGACGCAACGAAACATCTGGCTATCGAATACGGGGATGCTACGGATCAGGGGAGGGCGTTCGCCCGCGCTAGCGACGCTGCTTTCTGCCTCGGACTTCCCCCCTATTGCCCTGGTTAATCCCCTTATTACCGTGGATAATAGGGATCTATTACCGTGGATCCGTTATACCGATTTGCCACCTCTTTATGTATATACAGAGGAAAAGCAACCTCACGATACAGAGACGGCATTTTTGAAATCAGGCCGTCAATCCATCCTAGATACCCACTAGAAGCCTTCTGCTTGCTCTCTGAGAGCCTCTCTGTCGCATTGCGATAGCGTACCGTCCGGTACCCCTAGGGCAAACTACCGGGGAGAGGCGCGAGGAGACACCAGAAGGCGCGGTCTACCCAAGTCGCCGCCTAGTGACAATACATGAAGAGATTCAAAGAGTGATATCGCCCCCGGAAGGGGCCCTGATCAGTTCGGCGACGCAGATAAGGATGGCGCTGCTCCCAATACTCGACAAGATTGAAGCGATCGCGAAAACTTTGCAGACCCCTAGCTCAACCACCGTAACCCTCCCGGAGTGGGCCCAAAAGATGACGGACACGATCTCGACACTTGAGAAAAAGATTGACAGAATGGACCAGACACCTATGACATACGCCGTCGCGCAGAGGCGATTGATTGGAGGCACAAGAGTCTGGGAGTACACGGGCCACACCTTTTATGGGTTTGACTTATTTGCATGTTGCTATCATTGTTTTCGGCACCTTCCCCCTCCTTTATATACACACACTAACATCCCGGAAGCGGAGCGGAGCTGATGACAGGGCCCATTACCGTAGTGATATCTACGGGTTTATGTGGAGTAGATTAGGATATGGTGTTTAGACCGGCGATTGACAGGCACCTTAGCGGGGGGGGTTTATTTTCTTTCCCTCTGTTAAACTACATGTAAAGTAACGTAAGGATAAAACTCTTATAGTGCCTGTTTAAGGTATTCAATAGAGAAAGAATCAATTATTATTATGATGTATATATAGAGCCTCTACACCCTTACCTTCATTCTTAAATCGAGTCCTTTCCTCCCATTTTGACATGATCTGCATGTGCTTTCTGGACTTCAACATCTAGAATCAAGTTGGGGATTAACTTAAAGTAAAGTGAGAGGGATTTGTGCTGAGCAACGTACGATCTCAGATTGCGTCTATTCTGATGCGAGGAGAGTTCGCGCGGCAGCTTTCCTCTCTAGGTATCTAGGTAGATACGGAGGGAGGAATTCCTCGAGGTAAAATGGAAGTAGTTATGTCACGTGATATCCCTTTTTATCAGAGCGAGCGCACTATCGGGCAGTCTCAATGTCTCATTATTTCGAAGTTCTGCTACTCAACAGAACCACGCAGAAATTGATCCGAAACAACAACAGATGAGCGCTCTTCCGTCATTATGGTCTCTTCTCAGAGTAGCCGAAATCCATGCAGCAGCAGCAGTACGGTCACAAATGAAATGGAACCCCCTAGTCTTTTATCATGTTCCTCCTGGAGCCTGAAAAAGGCCATCTCCCCGTCCCCCGACGCACCTTTTGCATATCCCACAGCAGCTTGTCTTCAATGCTCGGCTTATTCGACTATGACGGGGCTCTCAGATCCACCTTGGTTGTCAGTTGAGTAGTGCATCATTGGCTGATAATGGATGCCCTGGGAAGAACCGGGACCAGTGTTCATGCCAGTGGGGGTGTATGGAAATTCATACGACTGCTGAGCCTGCAGACCGTAAACACCACTGAGAGGGGTTGCGTAGCCCGCCGAGTTATTGTCATAGTCGCTGCCGGGATAAGCCTCATCTCCACCAAGCTGCGCGCTGTTATAGGAGGGTGTATCATAGTATTGCATGAGGTTAGCAGCCTCACCGAGACTAAGCTGGCTTGGCTCTTCCTCCTTGACATGGGACTTGTCCTTCTCGTTGGTTGGATCGGCTTTGATGGAAGTGAAGTCCTCGTCATCATCGGCGGCAGCGTTGTCTTCGATGAAAGCATCAGCCTTGCGCTTCTTGGAGGGGCGGTCATTGGACTCGCGGCGCTCGGCCTTGGCAGTGCGGGAAGGTGCTGGCTTGATGGTGGCAGCGTTGGGAGCGATGCCGTGAGATCTCATCATTCGCTCGTAACGTTTTGCGCTGCGAATTGAGAGATTTCAGCTATTACCGTGGCAATAGAAGGGGAATCCAAGAGAAAGGGCTTGAGAAGGAATTAACTTACGCCGCGCCCTTGCTGACAATCTTGCACTCTTGAGCGACCTGACCGAAGTCGACCTGACAATGTCAATGGAGAATCCTAATATTCAGAGATCGCAGTTCTCACCTTGCCATTGTTGCTGTAACGGATGCAACTGATGAGGAACTTGAATTGCTCTTCATTTGAAGCTGGGGCCATGTTGAATGATATCTGATCTCTTGGAGGAGCGTTGGAGTGTATGATTGTATGATTGTATGGTGTTGAGTCGAGTGGAAAGTCTGAGGCTTGGTTGGAGTCGACGTTAAGAAGATCTAGTGAGATGGAAGAGGTCTTGAAAAATAGTGTCGTTGACAGCACTAATTCCATTCACCACTGGGGAATGTCTTCACTTTAAAGACAGCAGGACCCTCTGGAGGCTTTCAGCTACCGTTTTGTCAAGCAGGGACTACTTGCAGATCTTTGGTGGAGTTGCAGCTGTTTGCAAGCTGAGGCTCTGTGAAAGAAATTCAGAAGCAGAACGGGATCAAGTTTGCGACAAGGGTGGAGCTCTGGAAAGATCACTTTGATGGCAAGTCACTGTTGGGGGTTACGAAAAAAACACCAGTTATGAAGAGTAAACGTGATGCATTGATCTACGGGAAGAATGTGGCTAGGCCACGCCCATATTGATCATGCACGTATCCATATTCCGCCATGCCTGGCAATACCACCACATCAAAGACCTTTTCTCGCAAGTGCGGAGAGTACAAGCAATAGGAAATCCACCATAATACCAGAGAAGCACCGAGGAAATAGCAGCTGAGAAGCTCCACTTTAGTCGAATGGTGTCGAATCAGATGTTGACTGCCACAGATGATATAGTGACGGGCGAAGGAATTCAGTCTGTCTCATCTGTAGGACCCAGAATTCAATTAGCACGGGTTGAAGTTCAGAGGTTGAAATGCCCGTGAAACAACAAGCAGGCAATAGAATCGTGGATGTCTGGAAATGATTTATGCCTCTTCCTCACTGAGGTAGTTGGTGGGAGTAGGAGCATGAGAGTGCTCATCATAGTCATTCTCGCGCTTCCATGCAAGCCACTGCTCAAGGCCTATACCACGCATCGCGGCATTACGCCTGTCCTCATCATTGGACTCGACTTCGTTGCTACTGGCGGAGGCCTGGTAGCCGGTCATGCTGGGAGAAGTGGAATCTTTGACAGCGAAGCTGGTGGAGCTCTTGGCATTGATGGGAGTGAAATTGTTCATGAGGAACTTGCCGGCTTCTGGTTCACTCTCCATCTCAATATCTTCGTTCTCCTCAGCAGGTTCCTCCTTGATCTGCTTCTTGGCCTTGCGTGGTGCAGACTTCCTCGGGGCAATGGGCTTTGCAATGCCTTTTTTGGCAATGCGAGGTTCAGCAGCCTTTTTGGCTGGTGCAGCCTTCTTGGGCGCCTCGACTCCTCCGTTGTCTTCATCACCGGCGGTCGTGAGCTTGCCACCGTTGTGCAATTTGTCAAAGACCTTCTTGAAGGACTGACGAGCGTTCTTTGCGTACTTGATGCCGACGATCTTAGCAACCTCTTCCCAGTCGGCCTAGATCAAGAACTCATGTTAGTAACTCGCATCTTGTTCGACGTTGTCATTTGTGAGGATGATGAGGGGGGTATGGTGTGAAGGTGTGAAGGTGTGAATGGGAATAATATGATGATGGATCTGAACAGCTCCCTGGCTGTTGCTATCCCACATGCAAGAGAAGGTAGCTGAAGGCTCGTGATAAGTGAACGGGAACGATGGGGAGCAACCAGACAGTGTAGGAGTAGGAGTCGGGCTGTGTGATTCTGAACGCGCGGCAAGCGTTTTGAAAGAAAAGAGACTTACAGCCGGGAGCTCCTTCATCTGAGAGAAGACCGCGGCGACTAGCTTGATCTCAGCGGAGCTCAGAGTAATCTCGGCCATGATGAGATTTGTTTTGTTCTATCGATGTTAGATCCGAGTATTATTACTCCTCAATCTTCGCGCAAACACTTCGACACGACTGGAAGTATCCAGATATTATGGAGTTTCTTACCTTGAGTGGAGAGTGTGTTCTTTTTGGATCTGGGGATTAAGGATTTGTGATAGTAAATCACAAATCACCTTAGTTGTGTGATGTTTTGGTTGTGGAAGGGGTGTTTGTTGTGAAGTTGTAGTGAACGCGTTGTTGTAGTTCAGACTTGTGTTTTGTAGGTAAGGGGAGAGAAAGCGACTCAAGCGAGGAGCCAATTCAAGACACTGCCAGACGATATTTCTCAGAGCCTCTCGGTAGAGTGAATTTTTTCTCAGACGGCACAGCTGCACTGTCTTGCCAACATATGATAGAAAAGCGAGGTTTTATGATAATGCTTGGGAAGTCAAGCCAGCAGATTACTGGCTCGTTGGCTGGTCCTGAAGCAAACTCCCAGACATTATGGCATCATGTTCTCAAGTATATCTAGTCGTATAACCTGGACCCTTCTAGGTTTGAGAGCTCTATGCTGCTTCTGCAAAGCAGGCTTGAAAAGGAACCAACTACACGCTTCATGTGTTTTGTTTTCGGGAATGTGAACACTACAGCTTCCAAGAATGCGCCATGTTACAGTCAGATCTCTGATGGCATGGATTATGTTTAAAGTTTTGCATTGATACCCTTATCACTAAACCACCGTTGACGCATAAATCAACGAATAAAGCAAGCAAGATACCGAAGTTATCAAAGCATACCGCGCGGGCATACGATGAAAGACTCCCTCGATAATACCCATTCCCGCGACAAGATATGAAAAGCGCCCACCAGAGACATAAATGTCAGTTATTCCTGTAGAGAACCAAAGACCAAACCTCAGCAGCCAGAAGCCACCTCAAAAATGATCAAAGCAAACCAGCCATTTTGGTGTCCGAGGAAAACATGACACGTCTAAGCTTCCTCATCGTTGTCCTCTTCATCGGTGTCCTTCTTGTCGAAGGTGGCCTCGTCCTCCTTGTGCTCAACCTCATTGACCTCCTCTGCGTCATCGCCATTATCGTGATCGGACTCTTCCTGATTGACTTCCTCCTCAGCCTTGGCCTTCTTTCCCTTGCCCTTGGCGCTCTTAGCGGTAGCAGCCTTCTTCTTGGCGGCGGGCTTGGTAACTCGGTTCTTGGATGGGGTGGCGGGAGGCTTTGGACCAGCAGCACCACCGGCCTTGCGAGTTGGAGCGTCGGCACCGGCAGCCTTGGCTCCACCGGAACCGAATGGGATGTCGTACTTCTTCTTCATCGCAGCCAGTCTGTTGGAAACAGACTTGATGTTCTTGTATTTGAGCACCTCAGCAACAGCGTTGGTGTCAATCTGCAGAGGTTAGAATTTCTCAAATGCAGGCAAAGCCAATGATCAAACATCTATGACGAAGAGTGAAAGGGTGAATGCATGCTTAGAGCTACTGTGAATGTGGAATGAACGGAAGATTGTGGGCCTGGGCTTGTGAAGATAACAAAAAGCTGGGATTCTCAGTGCTCGAAACGGCCCTTGAGCCTCTTGTGAAGTTGCGATGGGCAAGGAACGGACGGGCAAATAAGTTTGATTGATGAAGGTTGATAAGGAAGATAATAGGAAGTAAAGTCATAGGAGCAGGAGTCTCTGTTGAGTCTGTTCTAACTAAGGGAACTTACAGAGATCGATCCAGAGGCGTGCTTGAGGCACTCCATGATGAAGCTAAGGTCGGCAGGAGGGATACCGCTCTCGGTCGCACCAGCACCGGTCTTCTCAGTGTCAGACATGATGATTGTAGTTTGGGTACGTTTGATCGTGGGTATGGAACGATCTATAAAAGCTGATGGTAAGTCATAAAGTTCAAGATCGAGAACATGAAATTCTCGGGAAGACTTACTGATGCACTTGAATGTAGTTCAAGTAGTTGCAATAGGCTTGGAAGGGTACTGTGACGAAGTTGAGACAAGGTTGAAATTGCGAGACTTGAAATGGTTTGATGTTGTTATGAGAAGGATGAAGGGGGTTCACGAAAGTCCTTTATACCTCCATACCCAGGGCGGTGTGTCTGCTGAACTTCGAAATCAATAGGCGAGGACAGCACCACAACACACCTAATCCAACTGGAATCGTTGAGCAGGGTCTATTTTCTCAAGGTGATGATACTCCCACCAAGTGATACGTTTATGTTTCATACATATATTCTCAACTTTCTCAAGACCATGCTTATATCGGTCTCTTCCTTGTTCGATCAGGTTTATCTTATATCACATGGCCCGCATTTACTCCTTTCTAGCCCACTTTGTCAAGACAGTCTTGGTTTGACAGGTCGAACATTCACTTCGATATGTCCACACCTCGATCTATGCACTGAAGGGCCTACAACATATCATTTTAAGATCTGGAAGTATCCAGGGGTAGGGGCTTTGCCATATACATCTACCCATGACCAAACCACAGCTCTTGAGATCAGCTTGGTGTTGCCTTTATTTAGCAGGTTCATGATGAAGCTGGGAGATCTGGGTTATTTAGAAGTTGCGGCTCTGTGGAGTCTTCGAGAGCTGACTTTGCCTGTACAGTCTATTATTCTGATGATTCCACAAAATGCATAGAAGAGAAGACAATATTAAGAAAACTTTCTTTCCTGACCTTGTTCTTTTCACAGAGGGAGACAAAGAGGGAGATAGAAAAAAAGTTTGCCAGCCTGTTCTTGAATGTTGGCAGGTCATGACTAAGGGCCATTGCGCAAGGGAGTTTTGCATCGTATGGAGCAGAAAGCTTTATGTCTTATTCCTCAATTTTATCTCAGCAGATACTTTCTTTGAAATGTTGAAGATTTTGCAGATAGCTGCCACCGTTAAATGATGAGCAGTCATCATGTGTATGCTTTCGCCTTGCAATATAAGGATACAGAATGCCTTTCAACCCAAATCTAGCTGCTCAACCTCCTTGCTGCAGGTGGCTTTACTGGCATCTATCTCGTTATTATCATCGCATACTGTTTCAAAGGATCTCAAAGTGTTCATGACATGATATGGTATTTTCTACCTAGGGTGCCCGATCTGTAGAAACTCCCTGTATGCGTAGTCCCTTTGCTTCCCTTTCTTGCACCCGAAAACCTTGCATATGAGAATTGGCACCAACTCAGAGAAAAGCAAACCTCCCATTTGCGTACCCATAGAAACTAATCACAACCGTCATGATGCATAAGAGTCTTATTCGATGGCGCTGACCACAATCTTGGGCTGCAAATATTAGCTCTGGATGATGCGGTTGAGATATTGGGAACTTACAAAGAGTAGGACATTGGGATTTGGCTCAACTTAAGCAGTGTCATCTTCGGACGCATATTTGTGCTCGACGCTCTCCTGGTATCCGAACTCCGTCTGAGGCTGGCCAAAGAAGTTGATGCCGGAGTCGTCGAACTGAGGCTCCTCCTTGGTATCGAACTTCTCATCCTCGACTTTGGCGGCCTTCTCCTTCTTGGGAGTGCGCTTCTTGACGACCTTGGAAGCACTGCCGTTTGTGCCGCTGCCGACGGTCTTCTCCTTCTTAGCACGAGGCTTGGTTGGAGTCTTTGGCTGACCAGCGGCAGATGCACCTCCATCTTCGGTGAAGCCCAGCTTCTTCTTAATCTGGCCGAAGCGGGTCTTAGCCGTACCACCATTGTTGTAACCTGACTTCTGGGCCACAACCTCCCAATCAACCTATGGAAGAAGATGTTTGTTAGTAAGATCGGTTGAGAGTGAGGTTTGTACAGATGTAGAAATCCAAAGACGGGATCAAACATATGCATGTGAATCAAAAGATTGTAGGGGGGAGATCGAGTTTTTCAGTTGGGTTGAAGTGAAATAGGACTTACATCGGGCTTGTTCTTCATGCTGCCGATGATGTTGAGAAAGAAGAACGCATCCTTCTGAGTGGGCTGAGCTCCAGCGGGGGAAGCGGTGGTGTTCTCGGTATTCTCCATTCTGAGATTGGTATGAGTTGTGTGGAAGTTATAGAGAGAAGCTTGTAACTGACTTGGGTGGATGTATTTCTAGATCGAGGGTCAGTGGGATGCTCAAAGAAAAGAGAAATAGAGAGAGAGAGATGACTGGAGAGTATACTTGTGTTGGAGAGAGTGTTCTTTGTGTTGAATTATGGCTTCAAGTGTTGGAATTTTCTGGAGGGGACTCGAACTTACGCTAAGTTGGTTGATGTTGTGGGAAGAAGAAAGTTGGGAATGGAGGTTGTGGACTGACCCTTTATATGGATTTCAAGAACTCGGAACGAGTGAACGGTTTTAAATAAGCGGATGCTAGGCGCAAAAGTCAAGATCGAGGTTGTCTTACGAAAGAGTGATATGATTGCATCAAAAAGGGGGGTTAAACCGGGATTTGTTGTGGGAACGATGCGATTGTATGTCGAAAGGGGGGAGCGTACTGCACCCAAGCGAATATAAACTACATTTCTACCAGAGCTTAACTATTTGCCAAAGAAAGATTGAATCATAAAGTCTTTACTTTCTCTCTTCGCGGCTAATCTGACAAATAGAGACGCTGAAAGATTGAAAACACTCTCGATTATGGATAGATCTAACTATAAGCTTCACTTCGATAGAATTGTTCCTATGAGGCATTGTTCTTTTCAAAGCTACCATATTTCGAACTTTGGAACGGAACTAGTATGTAGTTGTATTTTCTATTTAGATCGGCACAGACTCCAATTGCGAAAGAAAATTTACATTATACCAAAGAATACAACAATCGGGGCTACCCCAAAATATTCTTGGAAGGGGTCAGAATGCTGGATGTTGACGTTTTGCATCAGATTGAGTCACCACCATAGGTCCATGAGGTATTGAGGCCAGTCTTGAGCAGTGTCTCTACCATTTGAACCGGTCAGTTCATTGACAATGTTTTTGAACAGTGATACTGACTATGCGATACAGGGGCATGTTATCCCTCGCCCATCGTTATCGATATCCCTTGCAGCTTGCCCTTGGAGGTGCAGGTAGGCCGACCATCAAATGCTTGCATCTGTGAATGATAATTCAAGCCATGGCGCTTGGCTGCAGGAGTCCTCATGCACCTGTGTTGGAGGGGGGCCGAGTCGAATGCCTACGTATTTATTTGATTGTAAGGCAGCACTGGTTTCTTGTAACACCTGAACCTGCAGGACTTAAGATGAAATAAAGAGAATATTCCTTGAGTCTGCCTTGTGGAGACGGACAAGCCTGGGGCGAGTTCTATTGTGTTCTTTTTGACCGCTTGTTGTATGCTGACTGCCACCGAGTAAGTTGATGTTGGTATTAACAAGGCTCTAAGAAGGTGCTAATACAAATCAGGTTTCAGTCTGGAGTTCCCAGTTGTTGATACTCTCATCGTCCAACGTTCGATTCATCCCGCATCACCAATTTTGCTTGAAGAAACATTTCAACATCAATGTCTCCTCCCACGGCTTCTCGAAATACAGGCATTAAGCCTCAGGGACGACCCGTCAATGAGTATGATTCTAACTTCAAACTTGCCAAGCACTGTAGAGTAGCTAAAATCTATTAGATTGTTCAAATCTAAGCAGTTTCTCGACATCTATGTTGGCGAAGGAAAGGTGCCTTGGACCTTGACACGGGACTTCCTTCGCGACCGGATTCCCTCTCTGTACAAGGCGATAGCAACCCAGTTGAAGGGCTCCACCGAGGATACTTCGAGTGGTCAAATACTCATCAAAGACGTCGAGCCAGCCGTATTTGCGATGGCACTGGATTGGCTTCTAACGGGGAAACTCCAATGTCTCAAACCGCATGATGCCTCGGTGGCCACCCAAGGCCATTTTGGAATTTGGTGTGCGCTGCATGTATTTTCTGAAGGGTTTAATTTGGCGGAGCTTTCAACTGCCAGTATCAATCAACTGAAGAAATGCCTGAGCCGGACTCACTGGATTCCAAGCACCACTGTGATCAGATATGTTTTTGAGAAGACGTCAGAAGTGTCCCTCTTGAGAGAAATTGTGGCAGCCGAAGTGACGAACGCATTCATATGTCAGCCACTGCATCAACTCAAAGAACAGGCTGAGGAATGGGCAAGCCTTGTGGACTGCCATCCAGAATTCCATGCTCAGATGCTAGTGGCGTTAAAGGTCCAGCTCACCCCAAAGGAAACCGGAGCAAAGCTTCCTATTTCTCGTGAATTAGGGGCAAAGCGTAAAACCGTTGAAGACGAGGAGATGCAACCACAAGGCAGGAGCGGGTTTGGATTTGTGGAGGTGATTGATCTGACAAGGGATTCTTGAGTATATCATTAGAATGGATATGTGATATCTCCCTGGGCTCGATTTCGCTATGGAAACTAATCCGATGCCCATTCCACCCCGAACACAGCTTGATGTGGATAATCCTCACTTGAGAGATGTGGCGCCTGCAACAAGACTGTCTGTTCAGAAAGCAGTAAGGCAAACAAGATAAAGCTATCTGTAGCTTGTCATCAAAACTCCTTGCCGTGTTCCGGCAAGCAAACATAAAATTATGTGAATTTGATGTGTCACTCAGCGGTGTGCATGTCTTGCGGCCGCGTGCAGAATTGGTTGTCCTTCCTCGTGGAGCCTATAGGCTATAACCACAGTCTGTAGGGAGACTCCGGACCCACATTCGTATGTTGGAAATAGACTCTCAACTGCTTCGAAAAGGCGCAATGATATATTCCCCTCACAGTTGACTTCAATAATGAGCCTACCAATAAGGTACTAATTATTATTGACTTTGAATGGTTTACTCATACTGGAAACCATACTGGAAAATTTGTCATGAAGTCTTCATCTCCTAACTGCCTGTGATCAGCGACTTTGATACACTCCTAATGCTAGTTCTTGCAGACAATTAGGGCAGCTCTCTCTGAGTGTCTTCCAATATCGCATTCGCTCATAATACTCGCGCTCCAGAAGACAGGGTTGGAGAAAAGTCTTCGAAGCCAGCAATCTTCCATTCTTCAGATAAGGAGCAGTATGCAATATTGGTATTACCAGAACTTCAACAATGTAAACCCATCCACGAATGGTAGCAACTTGAGCCAGTTGCATGACCCACACTCATCGAACAGCTGCAACGATACGAGCCTCAAATAAACTGTTAGTGATTCTCAAGTAAAAAGACTTGGAAGTTATAGTCCTCTATACATCGGGACCTACCTCGTAAATTACATACCCATATTCTCTTTACTTACTACCCCTTCTCGCAACAGCCCCAATATTCTCAAACGTCCTGACCACCTGCCCTGGCGTCGAACCGCTCAGTGGCATGCCGGTCGCTGTCCTCCTAATACCCTCGGTATCGGCCGTAATCTCCGTATATTTATTCTTCAGGATTCCATTCTTTAAAATCCCGCTTGGCGCAGCCGTTGACCTATTTCGTTCTTTCCGCCTTTCCAGTGCTTGCTTGTACTTTCTCGTCGTCTCTTCAGCATGGGCATCGTATGCTTCCATTTCCGAGACCCCTCGCATCACCAAATCCCGTAATTCGTGAGCGAGGTCTTCTCGGATGGTTCTTGATGTCCGGGGCTTGAGAACGGTGATGCCTGTACCGTCCATTTCGACATCCTGATCTTCTCTGATGACGGGTCTCGAATCCATATATTGGAAAGTGTCATCCCCAACCTTAACCTCGTATTCCCCCTCCTTCGCATCTTTGCTTGCCGGAACTTTGAGTCTCTCTATCATACTTCGCAGTTCTTTTTGCATCTCTTTGTCCCGTTCGGGATCCCGCTCATGCTGACCACGCTCTCTCTTTTCAAGCTCAGCTAGTTCTTCCTTGGCTTTCTTAACCAATGCCTCCCCCCTCCGCTCAAGCAAATATATCATATTTCTCCTTACTGCCTGGTGTTGCTTATCTAGATTCTCCAGTATCCTCTCCAATTTCTCTTCCGGCTGAGTGGGGATTGCATCTTTAGAGAGACCAGGGAATGGCGTGAAGATTGCAGTGGCTAGAGAGAAGGGTTTCTAGTGTCCCTTTGTCAACATCAACTACTCTAGAAAAGATAAAGGAGGTGGAAAGACTCTTCATCACGTGAGGGTTCACTGACATCGACTTGTGCTTGTGGTGCTGCTTCTGGTTGCGCCATCTTGACGAGATGGTGTTTTGAGGTCTGGAGCTGGGAGTGTAACTTGTGCAGAAGGTCAAGGAATATCTTTAACTTCAGCTCTTTCGAATTCAATATTTTTTCAATATAGGATCTGCTTGGTAATGTGCTCGATGTAGAGGGAGCACCGGCGTTAAAATAGGGGCCTTCGCTACGAGCTTCCTTCTCGCCAATCACAACCCTTGACTTGTGCTCAAATCCAACCTCTTCTCTCGAATTCACACCAGATGCTTCCAAAGAAGGAGAGTAAGAAATAGCTTTTCTTGGAAACTGACCGATCTTCATGTATTCTAAAAGACTCCTTCGTATATTGTTTATGCTGGGTAACAGACTGGATAGCTCTTGATCCGCTGCACTTCACCTAGCGGCTTGAGTAGCTGATCGGCATAACATACCTAGGATCAGGATGATGGCGGCACAGGAAAAGTATACAAAGAAAGAAGAGGGTTTATGAAGGTACTCAATGATCAGTGAACTTGCTCACTGCAATATATAAAAGCCTTCTAAAGTGGATTATATTGGCAGCAGACCAAAATGCCTTCAGGCGATTGTTCCGCGACAAGACTCATCTGCGGATAGTGAGACAGAACCACGAGTAGCTGATTAAATATGGGCGTATAATATGAATGTAATTCTATGCTCATTATATATCATCTGAATCTGGATCTCATACACTGATGATCCAGCAGCTCATGTCTTGTGCTATCCTTCAGCGGCAACATCTTTCTTCCAGAGACCGACTTCAATCTTGAATCTAGTAGATAATACTCTTCATCCTCCCTTCTCTTTTATACTTTTAGATCCTTCGTTTGATGCGAAAATATAAAGAGTGCTCCCAAGACCATCTATCCCCAGGATCGCACATCCACCCCTAATCTCTGCCCTGACTGTGAAGCGTTCCCCTTTCAAAGGGCAAAGCCTTCTAGAAATACCTATACCATTAGAATTGATGCGATAGATAACCCCAAGTGACCAAACCAGGGCCAAAGGGAGAACCGTTCGCAGGGTCGCGGGTGAAATAGTCCGCGTCTATCTGTGGTGCTGCTCAGATGGCATGCCGTAGACCATAATAGACGAGATCTAGATCGTCGTAATGCTCCGTCTTCGTGGAACTGTGTTGAGGGTGTTGATACCCGTGTGGCGTGACTTCGTTGACTCCTATTCTCCTCGACCCCAATGGAGCTGTGTACTCGTGCCTCGAAACCTGCCCTGCGAGATTGTTATCGAGGAGGTAATATCTTCCTGATATACTCTCTCCCTATCTTCAGAGCCTCTCTCACCAAATCCTCGATTCTGCGGTCCTTTCTCCTCCTTAACCAAACCAGCACAATACAGAGCACCACCATATCAGCCAAGAGGTGCCGTACAACTAGCCAAATCAGCCATGCAATCCACCTCCCTAATGACCGTCGTTTTCTCCCTTGATATTCCCTCCCCGTAGCAATCTGCTCCCTCAATGCGGCAATCTCGGCGGTCATTTTAACCAATGCCTGCTCCACTGTCTTCCTCCACTTCTTCTTGTTCTTGTTTTTCTTCTCGCCATCAACAAATTCATCATCTTCATCATCGTCATACACGTCATTATGTCCCAATCTCCTCTCGGATTCCCTCTCCGCCTCATCATCTTGACTCATCGGACTTAGGACGCGCATTGGCCCATCGTTTCCAGACTGCGGACGTGCAAATTGTCGCGGTTGCGAGTGGTATGAAGGAACGCGGCGTCCAGGTGAAGAGCCAGAAGAAGACGCGCTGTTATTCTTGATCTGGTCCCAGACGAATTCGAGTTCCGCAACAAGTTCTCTCGCATCACTGGCCTCTGGAATCAGCCTTTCTTGCCTTTACTTGCAAGCTTCCGGGGCAGAGGAGCAATACTTACGCAGTAGTACTAGCATACTTATGCATAGTCTCAATCAGGGCCTCGATATACCTCCTCTTCGCCTCCGTCCTCGAAACGCCTCTCTGCGCATCCCAAGCATCCCACTTGTCCCTCTCCCTTTTCAAGTCATCATCCTCAAGCCCATCATCCCTATGACCCATCGGACGCTCCATAACCCCATCCACGTCCCCTTCCATAGCTTGTTTGTAGAGTCCATAGAGCCGCAGGCGGTCTGAGGGCGGTGGTCGCGAAGCTCCAGTTTTGGGTATCTTCTTCACCGTGTTGAGGGCGTGCACGAAGACTCGATCTGCCAATCCCAACTACTCATCAACATCCTTCCTTGCTTTGCACCTTGCGGTAGAATTGTGATCGCCGAGGAGGTAGAGGTCACGTACCCACAGAATCCGCCATGTTATCCCTATCGTCCCTGCGAGTCGTGTGATGCAGAGGAAATAACCAGCACAGCACCAAAAGGCAAATCAAAGCTCTCTAAAATTGAGCAAGCATACATATGTACAGCACGCGTTCGACGGGCGTGACAAGGAGAAGTCTTCTTTTGTGGATGGCTGGTTGAGCGTGCTGCGAAATTGCCTATCATATGCTGTTGGTGATGGAACAGCACGCGATAGCCTCGGTGTCTTGAGATGGCCGGGGTTGGGGATGTGGGTCTTCTACCCCTCTGTCTGCCGGGCCCGTTGTATGAGTAGAGAAGAGGAGAATATGAAGAAGAGGTCTGGCTTCATTCTTGGCTTCTATATGTACTTATTTCACGAGGGATGAAATTAAAAGAGTCTCCCGGGCTCCAATCTTGGTATTCCCGAAGAGCGATTTGGGCGAGTCAGGATACCGAGGTCTATTACCCCACGCGAATCACGAAACTCCGAATCAACCATGCGATACTGTATTCATTTCCATACCATATCTCGTACCAGTCTAATTTCCTGATTAAAGCATCCCTGGGTATCATCGACAAGAAAATGTCCAACTCCAACAAATGCGGCTCAACGGAACATGTACCCAAGCGCCATCCTTCACGTGTCGGCCTGCTGTTGCCTCTCCAAAGTCTGTCGCTCCAACTCCAGTTGTGCATCAAAGACTTTCTTCTTCTCCGTGTACAGCTTCATGGCCTTCTTGTTCTCCAGTGCCTTTGCAGCTGCCTTCATTCCCGCATCCTTCTTCCCGGTTGCAGTGCCAGTCCCCAGCAGTTTATCCTTCTCTCCCCATCCACTAAGATAAACGCCGACCGTAAACAAAGTTAATTTCGAATCTTTGTCCTTCCTCTGTGGTCCTACATCTTTGTACTCAAGCTTGATACCCCTAGCTCCCAGCGTCTGTTGCAATTTCTCCTTCGGATTGAACAGACGTTGCTGCATCGAAGCAGATGGTTCATCGAGTCCTCTGCTACCTCTAAGCCTCCACAACGGGCTGTCAATCTTGATGCCATTCTTCTCCTCTTCTAAGATCTCCTTCTGAATTGTCATGCCCCAAAGATCTTTTAGCCATGCAGTGGCACGTGTGAGGCCATCCTCCGGATCCGAAAGTACAACGGCAGCAACATAAGCCTCAAATATGTCTCCCAAAATTTTGGTTCTTTCTGCATCTTTGGCTGGATGAGCCGATGTTCCTAAAAAGGCGTCGGGCAACTGGGCGCGCTGCTCGAAGCCATACTGGCGTGCGTAGCCGGCTAACGTAACATTCTTAACAAGCTTTTCGCGAAGCTGGGAACATTTGCCCGGGAGGAGAGATGGAAAGGTTTGGGAGACGAGCAGTGTGGATGCTACATAAATATAACTATCACCAACCCACTCAAGTCGTTCGTAACTGAGATCCGTGACCCTGCCTCCTTTGACACCATGATGGATGAAGGCTGCAGCTTCAAGGGTCGGGTCAAGAACCTTTGGGAGAGGTGGAAAAGTCTTTGGTATCTCAGAAGACTTCCAAGGGGAGATGGTATAGCCCGACATGGACTTTGGAAGGTTTGAACTGCGATTTGGCGGAGACTCTCGGGAGATCCTGAGATCAGATGTGTCAGGTTCGAATCCCTGCTTCTGAATACAGGCTCTAAGATTAAGAGCTTCATTGAAAGCCTGCTCGCCGACAAGTCCTATCATCTCATCCTTCTCATCGAGAAGATCATCTAAGGCTCTCATGAGTTTGGCCACCTTTGGGGCCTTGCTGGCTTTGGAATCCGTAGAATTTCCATGAATGGGCCCAGCAATGCCACTTTCAGCCAAGTTTGACCTTTCTGGAATGGATGGACTGTCGCGCTTCTGAAATTGGTTTTAGCTATCGCTCTCTCGCTCAATGGCTGGGGGCGAGTAACTCACGTTTTTCTTCTTCTCACTCTCCTCATATGCATCCTCAGGCAGTTTTCTCTTGTGCATACTGAAAATTGACTGCATAATCCCGCCGCGTCTCCAAGAAGTGCTAGAAACCCTTCGGAACAACCTTGGTATAGTGTCAGAAAATAAGATGCCCTAGCTGCCATGAGTGGAGACATCTTTGTGATGTACATGTTGGTTGACGGATAAACTTCGGCATCCGGATAAATATTATACCGAGGTAGCGCAACATTTAACCTACTTAGGTAAAGCTTGGCATAGTCACGTGGCTGTACGGTATTCAACGTCGCGCGAGAACTTCATGAATCGACCACGACGAAGTGTGAGGCCAATTCAGTAACCATGGCTGTCCCACGCTCACGGCTACTTGATCTGATGAAGGTAAAGTAATGACCATTATTGTTTGTATCAAGTTTCTAGGCTGACAATTTTAGGTCCAATGCCGTATCTTCTCGCACACCTTCAACCCCGAGGGACTTCGACTGGGGAACAAAGTCCTGCGCCAACGATTAAGAGGTCCTGCTTTAGTCTCATATTATCCACGGAAGGTGGCAACATTAAAGGACCTACAAAAAGCATATGGGCCTGATTTCGAGTTGATTGACGACGCGGAGGAGGATAGAATAGAATCCCTCAAGATGTATGTGCCGTCTGGACAGTGCTGCTGTTTCTCCATTTGCTAACATGCATAAAGTCTCAAAGCAAGAGGGAAGGGTGCACCGAAGAAGAAGAGAACAGAAGAGGGTATGCACAGTTATCTGCTTCCTTTGATCGGATGCTAATCTCTTTGCAACAGAATCGAAGAAGTTCAAGGGCAAGAAGAAATAGGGAGGGCAGACTGTACAAAAGGAAAGGATTGTATACTATATTGCATAGGCGTAGGACCACTGGCATCTGGGTGGACCTACTGGAGCACATTGATCTCGAATACCCATCAATGCAGAGTTATTCTGGACCATCAGATGGCAATATTGCTACAAGGTGTGTATACATTATTATGTGCACGAGAACTCGAATGGCACTGTCAACAAATATCGTAGTCACGATAGCATTCTCGAATACAGAGCAAATCTGGGCTTAAAGAAATCAACCACTGTCCTCTCCAGTAGAGGGCCGAGCATCAAACCTGGCTTGGCATTGGCAAGTAAGCTCTTTTCAGAACTTGGCCATCCCATTCTAAAATACCCCTCCTTAATTGCATCTAAGGCTCTCCTTTGATGGGCAACTGATTTGCAAAGACCACTATGATGTGCTCTCACCGGGGTGAGGAAGAAGTCTATTCGTCTCTTGCCAGGACAAGGGCAAAGTAAACAAGGTGGTGTTGCAACAGACTGGAAGGTTATCTTCATCTTTCTTAACTTCTTCTCATAAAGCAATGGGACAGATGGAAGAACCCACGTGTTCATTAAGCGGTCTCAAAATAGAGCTCACTTTCAATTTCTAGAAAACAAGCTCTCGTTCTGGGGGTGGAAGCGTGCCAACTTTTGAGCCGAATGCAAGAACTCCTTTATTTCTCCATTCTCCCTCTTCCCTCCTCTCTTCGCTACAAAAACGTGGCAATTCCTTCTTCGAATTCAAATTCACTTTAAGTGGACGCCAAATATCGCACGCGGAGTCTCAGCGAGCAGCCCCTCGCTTCTCTGTCGCCCCGGGATAAAACCCTCCTTCCCTTCCAAACACCCGTCTTCCTTTTGACTTCAACACCAAAGAAAAAGTCTGTCAACCATCCCTCCCTTCCTCCCTTCCAGATACTTGAGGGATCGTACCCCTTCAGGTGCACCTTCTCTATCTAAGTCCCTGGAGCTACGACTCTTATTTCTTTCCCGATCTCCAGTCCCTTCTCTCTTCCTCACATTTACCCCGCTACCTACGCGTTGAGACATCTGACAACATCTTCTCTCTTCCTGCCTCCCTGTACTTTCTGCCAAGCTGACAGCTATCTACTACGAAGATACTCGGAGAAGATCAGAGGCCATGTCTACCACCGCCTCTACTGGGTCTCCAACTCTTCGACGTTCTGCACGTAGCAGTACATCCCATGAAAACGCGTCTTCTGCAGCTGACGACAAGATGACGGCTAGGACCGTATGTATTTCCAGACCCAACACCCTCTCCGTCATCAAAGGCATCTGCATAACACCACAGACTCAATGCTATTTATCCCATCACTTCTTCCATCTGTTCCCTGCTTCCTAGGCCCCCTTCCCATTCATCCTCTGCACCTTTCCTCCCAAGTCCCTCTCTAACGGACCATCTTCCTGAGCTTACTACTATGGACTTGTTTCATTTTACTGACAGTTGGCTTTAGGAACCAACTGGTTCCCTCAAGAAGGCTTCTACCGCTCTCTCTTCGTCGAAGCTCGGAAATCAAGCCCCAAAAGTTAGTTTTCTATGCTTACTCCTGTCTGCGTAGGCCGTTGCTAATGATTACAGAAGATGAAGATGAACCATGACACAGCTTCGACCTCTTCTAACGAGGACACGAACCCTATGGACAAGCTCCTTGCAAAGCTCTCCGAACAACAGGAAGCCCTCTCTAAGCAACGTGAACTTCTTAAGTCTTCCGACGATGACACTGCCTACATCCGCACAGCCCAATATGTCTCTGGTGCAAACAGCTTGGTTCCAATTGCCTCTGCTATGGACAGCTTCAATACCAGCACTGTCCCGACTACAAATACTCCCAGTCTTGCTGGTGATGATACTCCACAGCCTTCTGCTGCTGAAGTCCTTCGCCTTAAGCTTGAACTTGAAGCTGCAAAAGGCAGAATTGCTCGTATGGATCAGGAACTTGCCCAAAGTCGGATCACAAAGCACACACTTGATCAAGCGATCGGTACTCCTTCCGAGGTTGATTTCCCTATGGGTCAGCAGAACCTCAAGTCCGCCATTCGTCCTCAACTTCAACGAGACCCTTCATGGGCAGGTCAAGATGATTCTCGCTCCGATACCAGTGATGCTCTATCTGCCAGTGGCTTTAATCGTACCCGTGCCATCTGGGGCAACGGTGCCAAGCCTTCTTTTGCTGGAGGCCAGGCTCCGACGGCGAATTTCCAGCCATCTGAGGCACTTACTTCCAGTCAGTGGATGAATCGTGGATTCGGTCAACCTTTCATTGATGCACCAATGCAATACACGGGTCCACCAATAAACACCCTCCGTGGCGACCGCTTGATGCCTGACCCTGATCTCTTGATGGCACCTCCTGCAAATCGTCGAAACAATCTTGGCAGCCACTTCACCAACCGAGCTGCTGGATCCTTTTCCTATGCAGGCAGTAATGGCTCCTATGATGGATACACTCCTACTTCTACTCCCTATGGCTCTGTCACTGGCATGTCGGGTGTTGGTATGGGTAACGCCATGGGCTTGAGTTTGTCCGGTGGAATGTCTGGAATGTCGAGTGGCGCATCAAGTGTCATTTCTGGTGGCATGTATTCTGGCTATCAGCCTCAACCAATTGGCACCCCACTGTCTCCTCATGCACCTGAGTTCACTTCCAGCACTGGATGGAAGGGTGATGTAAGTGTTCTTTAGCCCGTTTGGCTCTGCTGTTACTGACGGGTATTCAGGCTGTTGCTACAGACGGCCAGACGTATCTACCAACAACCGAGCCACTCAATTACCGTCGTCTTCTCGATCGCACGGTCAATTGCAACTGGAAGTACATTGTTGACAAGATCGTTTGTAACAATGATCAACAAGCTTCAATCTTCCTTCAACAGAAACTCAAGGTCGGTACAACAGAACAGAAGTATGACATTGTCGAGGCAATTGTTGCTCAAGCCTATCCACTTATGGTCAATCGCTTTGGCAATTTCTTGGTTCAGCGCTGTTTTGAGCATGGAACTCCCGAACAAGTTATCAAGATTGCTGAGGCCATTCGAGGTAACACCTTGAATCTCTCCATGGATGCTTTCGGATGCCACGTCGTCCAGAAGGCTTTTGACTCTGTTCCAGAGGATTATAAAGCCATCATGGTTCATGAGCTCCTTCGTCGCATCCCGGAGACCGTCATCCATCGGTACGCTTGCCACGTCTGGCAGAAGCTCTTCGAGCTCCGCTGGACTGAGTCTCCACCTCAGATCATGAAGTATGTCAATGAGGCTCTTCGTGGCATGTGGCATGAAGTTGCTCTTGGAGAAACTGGTAGCTTGGTTGTGCAGAACATTTTTGAGAATTGCCTCGAGGAAGACAAGGTATGTGCCCAAAACCGTCTTCTAGAGGTCATACTAACTCACCGTCAGCGCCCCTGTATTGAAGAGGTGCTTGCTAGCATCGACATCGTTGCTCACGGTCAATTCGGCAACTGGTGTATCCAGCACATTTGCGAGCACGGTGCTCCAGCTGATCGCAGCCGGGCAATTGACCATGTCATCCGCTATGCTTCCGAGTATAGCATGGACCAATTCGCTTCCAAGGTCGTCGAGAAATGTCTCAAGATTGGCGGTGTTGATTTTCTTGGTCGCTACCTCGACCGTGTCTGCGAGGGTCGTCTCGACCGCCCCCGCATTCCTTTGATCGACATTGCGAGTGATCAGTACGGCAATTACCTTATTCAGTACATTCTCACTCACTCCAATCCGCAGCACCGCGAGATCGTCGCTCAGCACATCCGCAAACACATGGTCTCACTCCGTGGATCTAAGTTTGGCTCTCGAGTCGGCATGCTCTGCACCAACCCTGCCATCCAGACCCGCCCTGGTCCTGGTGTCGGTCCTGCTATCGGCACTAGCAATCCTCGCATACCCCAGCAGAACCCTCGCTATCCTGGAGCATATCGTTGAGCAACTACCTCACAATGGCCATCTCGCGTCGTCTGCTTCGTCATCTTGCTGGCTTTGCTGTGTCTTGGTTCACCTTACGATTTTACTGACACACGATATATCATCGAACAAGCATAACGATATGATATATTCAACGGGTTCCGTCCCTCTTCTGCTTTTGGTCTTTCAGATCTACGGATGTCTCAATTGGCTCTCCATACATCCTGCGAAAGTCACCATAGGCCTTGTATTATCTCTCTTGTTGGCACACAAGAACTTTTCGTCGGACTATGATATTTCATTCTCGTTTCTACAACATATTCTCCGGCAACCTATCTACCATCACTGATCATCCTACACCGAAGAGACTTCCTTTCTTCGGTGCTTTGGACACATTATGGTTACGGCTTATGCTACAGTTGGTCCTGGAATAGTCATTGCCGCCAGGCAGCTTCGTTCTCCTTCGGCCTACTCGTAGCATTTCAGCTTTGTGTGGTTGTATAATTGCCTCATTTCTTTTCTTCTCATATGAAAAAGCCAGCCATTAGAGGGATCTGCTTTTCTTCTGCATTTTTGCAGACTACCTTATTATTGTGGCAAATGAAGGGCTGCGTCTATGCTGAGATGTTCTTTCATGCCACTACTTGTAAAAAATACGAAAAGCAAGCTTTGTTATTTAATCAGTCATTACAGAACACAGAGAGCCTTCATTTCAAATTGGTGATTGAGATAGATGCCAATGCTCGTGTGCCCAATTCCTGCCACTCCACCAGTTTCCAACAAGATTGCAATAAACACAAAGACATAGCACAACACAAACTCAATATCTGAACGAAGTCATATATGTATTGGCGTAAAACGTGCTATTTTGAAGACAACGCCGAGCTTACTCGGCCTCCTCCCCAAGGCAAGACTCCGATATGAAGTCCACGCAATTTAGCACCAATGCTTGCTTCCCCAAACCATTCAACACTAGATATGATACGTATGTCAGTCTTCAAATCATCTCATTAAACGCCAGTCCATGCATGTAGCCGATCAAGCAACTCCACTCCCTGTACCCCTGATCCCGACTTTCACCCCCATTCCTAGTCTGCAAGCTACTCCTCAGGCAAATCCTGAATCACAATCTTATCCCGTCGATCCCCAAACGTACCCTCGACATTCCTTTGGTCTCCCTCTCCCTCTTGCATCCCAACACCCTGCACGACATCCTCTGGCAGATCCTTCTCCCATGGCTTCCTGCGCTTCGCGACCGAGGGTTTGGTGGCTTGCGAGGTGAGCAAGGTTGGGGGTATCTCTTTAATGCCTGGGATTGGAGCGCCGGATGTGATAAGCTCGACTATCTCTGCAAAGGTTGGGGGGTAGGGCGCAGCTGCTCCTTTGTCGGAAGAGGGAGGGGGGGTGGTAGTGTTGGTATCAGGGGATGGAGAGGCGGGGGGTACGTCGAGTTCATCGTGTGCATTCCCCGCATGTTCAGAGCTGGTGGCGGTGGGGGTTGATTGGGGAGCGGTCTCTGAAGGGACTTGAGCCGTGGGCACTTGAGCCGTGTGTTTAGCAGCTAAGTATGCTTTGTAGGCGTCAAAGTCTATGGAGATTGACTTCTTGCGGGAAAGGTAGAAGCATTGAGCGCGAAGGGTCAATTCTTGAACTTGGTTGGGATCTTTGGCATTCCCTAGAATAGCGGAGAGTCCGCCCTGGTAAACGTAGATGGCGGATTAGCTAGCTTGTTCCTGAGTATTGTTTGAAGGGTGAGGCTTCTGTAACATTGGATAGCCTCGGCATCTTGAGCCACCATGAGATGATTCTGCTGGTATTGGCTGTACGAACCTGGAACTGGGGATCTTTATCCCATTGATATTCCTCCAGCTGTTTGAATATCTCAGTGTTGTCTGGCACCGAAGACTGCTCCGTCATGGCTGTGGAGGATGAAGGGTGAAGACAGTGAGGGGGGCGGCTGTGATAAGGCTGAGGATGCCTATTACGGAGTAGTCGAAAATCGACGCGCTTGGCGCTAAGCGAGCTGCATTTCGCCCAGCCGCTCTATTTAGATTCTCGCGATTCTCACACAAACTCCTCCACAACACAAACTTCCACTCTTTTCTTCCAACCCCCTCAACTCCTTGCGCACTCTGTCAAGTACTACGATTCTGTTTCTTTTTTCTTCACACACTTAATCCTAAGCTTCCTGTGAGCTAATCGCAGTATCACAGCACGATGACCGAATTCATTGGGTTAGTGCGAAGGCTGAACAGCTCACTTTGAGAGCTGATGCTAACCGTGTCTGCAACTACAGAGCGAGGATATCACTGGTATCCAGGAGTGACATTAGGTATGCCCTCGATCTCGCACTCAATGCCTCAAGGAAGACACTGACCAAGGCTAGATATGTCGGCACACTCCATGAAATTAACTCAGAGACCTCTACTGTGGCACTCGAGAACGTCACATCTTTCGGTACAGAAGGACGGAAGAGTGACCCAAGTGAGGAGATCCCGCCTTCAGATGGCCTCTACGAATACATTGTATTCCGCGGGAGTGACGTTAAAGACCTGAGGATCGAGGAGGCTCCGGCAGCTAAGGAAAACAAACCTCCCCAGGTCCCCAATGATCCTGCTATCCTAGGTGTAAGTGCTCATCTTCCCCATATATTGAGCGACTATCCAGAGTCGAACAAATACCTTCTAATGTGATGAAAAATTTCGGATGTAAATATATTTTGTCTCCGAGAGCGCAAAACCCATGTGGAGATTTTCCGTTGCCTTCCTTCTGATTAAAACCTATATTACAAAATTCCTAGGGCATTACCATTGATAAATCAGCTGGCTAATCAAGTTTCCCTATAGAGCGGGTCTCGCCCTCCAACACAAGTTCAGGTGCAGGCTCAACGTCAAAACCAACAAGGACCACCTCCACAGGTACCTCAACAGCAAGGCCTCCCACCTCCAGGTGGCCCCCCTGGCGGTCCTTACGGTCAACACCCTCAGTATCCTCCATTCTACCCTCCTCCACCGGCTGGCTGGGGTCGCGGTGGTCCTGGCCCTGGATTTCCTGGCATGCCATATGGTGCTCCGCCAGGCTGGTATCCTCCACCAGGTCAGGGATTTCCCCACCCTCCTGGGCCCTTCCCTCCCTATGGCTACCCGCCAGGACCGCCGAGCCAGCAACTCCCACAAAGCCAACCACCGAAGCCAGCTCCTATTGGGCCAGGTTCAAATAAACAGCAGAGTCCTGCACCAGCTGCTGAGAAGCAAGCCAAACCTGAGAGCTTAGCCAAGCCTGCCGCGGAGATGGCTGCTGCAGCAGTGACACAGGCCCCTGTTCCCCCAATTGCTTCGAAACCATCCGCTACCGAAGTCCAGAATGCAGTTGAGCATCCGTCTGCATCTCAAAGTGCCGCGACAGCCGCAGTTTCCAAGGCTGCTCCTGGCGCTCCCAGCGGACCAAAAGCCAACCGTATCCAACCAGTCATTCCGTTGCAAAGCCCTGCGACTACGAAGGCGCCCTTACAGGCAAATTCTGGGAATGTTGCCTCCCCGCCAGCAACACAAGCTGCCGTAACCAGTCTTAGAGATGCTACCCAAGCTGCTACAGCTGCTGTCGCTGCTGCTATGGCAAAGCTCCCTCCAAGTCAAGTGAATGGAAATGCAATGGACAATTTGACGAAGAAGGTCAATGAAATGAGAACAAGTGATCCAATCCGTGCCCCTAGACAGCCGGGAGGAGCCGGTGGCTTTGCTCCGGGAAGAGGTGGCCGTGGACGAGGTGGAGCGCGTAATGCAAGCGCAAAAGTCGAAGTCCCAGCAACAGATTTCGACTTTGAATCCGCCAATGCCAAATTCAACAAGCAGGACTTGGTCAAGGAGGCCATTGCCGGATCACCTCTTGGCGAACAGTCGCCTGCTACAGCATCAGCTGAGCCAGAAGTTCCGGCAAGCGGTTATAATAAGGCGGCATCTTTCTTTGACAATATCTCGAGTGAGAGTAAGGATCGAATGGAAGCCGGAAGTGGACGCCCTGGAGGCCGGGAATGGCGAGGCGAAGAGCAGAAGAAGAACCTGGAAACATTTGGCCAAGGGAGCGTTGATAACGGCTACCGTGGTGGGTTCCGTGGCCGAGGTGGTAGACGAGGCGGCTTTAGAGGACGAGGTTACAGTGGAAATGGCCAACCAGGACGTGGACGTGGAGGATATCGAGGCCGCGGTGATGCGCAGACCACCGTACAATAATTTCGATCTGGCTGTACTCTGGACTCGCTGAACGAGAAAGGGCTTTCCTTGCGCTGTATCAAAACTTTCTTGCGAACGAATTTTCTTTTTCGGCTTCGGGTCAAAAGCGGTCTAAGCATTTTGTTGCTAAGCGAACGGCTCACTGGGAATATCGTTGTGTTTTCTTATTTTTTGCAATTTGTATCACCAGGATCACGGACCCGAAACGAACAAGGGAATTACGAAATGACCAAGCCTTTGCTTTGGTTGGGTGGCGAAAAGCGCGATCCTAATCTTGAATGAACAGACTGGGGAATTCAGTTTTCTTTTCTCCAACATGGCGGATGAGTGCTCTTGATACCTGGTAAAAAACGGAGTTTGACGGAGGATGGCGGATGGCTTTTGCTTGCTTGAGATTTTCATGGGCTCGTCAGGGCATCTAATGAAAACGGGAAGTAGGATTCATTAATGACGCGATGGAGAATGAGAAGGGGACGGGTTTGTTGGTTAGACGGGCTACTAGATATCGCAGTGCTCATCTGAAATGCAAGGATACCTTCAAACCATTCTATTGCTTCCTTTCAATATGCGATGCTGTGGTAATAGTCCCAGATACTAAGGAACTCTCTAAGTATCTCTAAACTGGAATCTTTTCCAGTCCTTTCTAAGTCTCTCTTGAAGTCTGAAGCCTTCCACGCTCTCTTCCGCAGAAAAAGCACCTCTACTATGCGGCAACAAGTGGTGTCGCATCCCTCTCCATAAAGAGATACTCCACCTTATCGTACTCCTTCCACTCCTCCTTCTCATTCACCCCCTCCAAGCAAACCTGCTCCGTGACCTTAAACCCACAACTCTCATACAATCTCCTCCCGGTAAAACTCGCCTCCACAAAGCCCTTCACACCCAGCTCGTCGGCCCTCTGCGTCCCCCACTTAACCAGCAACTTGCCCGCACCCCTGCGCTGATGGGCCGGCGCGCAAAACAACTGATCTAGCAGCACGCAAGGCCCTTGGATCCTTTCTCTCCGGCGCTGGAAAAACTCCTCGACGATATATTCCACAAAGGGTTTATCTTCAACGCCCGCTCCACAATTACCGGTGCCGCGCTCGGATTCCAGGATCCAATCTGCGGAGATCTTAGCGGGCCACTGCGGTCCTACTGCTGCTGCTGCTGCTGCTGCTGCGCCATCTTTGGCGTCGGGGGTTTTCGATTCGGGCGCCCACACGAACCATTTCGCAGCCGCTACCACCTCGCCCGTCTCGTCGTCGGTCACTTTCAACCACGTGATATGCGGGTCGGCTTGCCAGGCTTGCAGCTGTCGGTCGACAGTGCGGGACAGGACGGTGGGGGTGGGAGGGTCCGGAGAGGGCCAGAGGATGCGGTGCATGGATTCGTGGGGGTGGAAGGCGGCGTATTGGGCGCGCACGATGGCGGGGAAGTCAGAAGGGGTCGCTTCGCTGAGTGTGAGGCCCATTTTTGGAGGTTTAGATTGGGGAGTAGTTTGATGGTGTTTGGGTTTTGCTTGCTTGGGGATGGGGTTGATGAAGGAGAAGGGAGGTGAGTTTTTCTCGAGATACTCGAATACAGACCTCAGATATATAGGGGGGTTAAGACTGAAGGCTGGAGGAGTGGGGTCCCCTGTGGGATGGATCCTGGGGAGTTTAGGTAATGCCCCTTAATAACCAGCCCTTAAAGCTTATGTTGAGTTTCACAGAGGGATACGAAGGAATACGAGGCTGGGGTATTATCATTGGCTTTGCTTTGTTATCACGTCTTATGAGCTGCAGGAGCACTGCATGGCTCGATCATTGCGCGGTACATCCCCACAGTACCGCTCCTCTTCCTTCTCATCCCACCCCCAGCTCTCCTCGAAAGGATGCAGTGCCATGTGCAGCACCCTATCCAGAATCTCCCTCTCGCCGTCCTTCTCCACCCTCCGAATAACCTCATCCAAGATCCAGCCCTTGGGGATGAACTTCGGGTTCACCTTCTTCATCTCTGCCATTCTCTCCTCGTCACCACCGTCTGGTCCCCAGTCCTCGTAGACTCTTGTTCGCCATCTCTCCAGCCATTCTCCCAGTCTCTTCCTTGCTGATTCATCGGTGTTTGTTATGCCGGTCACGCCTTCATGGTGGAAGAACACACCCGCTACTTCTTCCCTCTGTGCCTTGGTTTCCAGATCCTCGACCTTCAGATTGCTCAACTTCCTGAAGAATTGGTTGAAATCCAATTCAAGGTCCTGAAGCGAGTCAAGTAACTCGCTGTACAGTTGCTCAAAATCAGGTTCCTTGAACGTTCTTAACCCAAGCCGTGCCGTCATGAGGCGCTTATATTCGTCCAAAAAGACGGCTTTGTATTCCTCTCCAACACGCATGATAAGTCCTTCGGCGCGGGAGACGACCTCTTTTTCTTTTTCATGACGAATCCCCTTTTCGATGAATTCTTCGGTGTCCACGTCGGCACCTACGCCCATGAGTTCACCGAGGGATTCGCCGAGACGGACGAGATTCCACCAGATAATTGTGGGCTGATTGCGGTAAGAGTAGCGGAGCATGTGATCATCATGATTAGGGGTGTAGTTCGGGTCAAAGTTGTCCAGAAATGCAAAGGGGCCAAAATCAATTGACAAGCCAAAGATGGAAGTGTTGTCCGTATTCAGGACACCGTTCGTGAAAGCATAAGCCTGCCACGCTGCTACTGTCTTAGCGTTGCGGCGAACAATTTCGCGGTAGAGACGAGCGAAGCGGTTTTCCTCAAGGCCAGCGGGCCCTTCAATAGCATCTTTGCTGATTCCGGTGCCGACTGGTTCCTCGGACTTGCCATCATCATCTGGGTTTCGAGCGGGAAGTGATTCCCAGCCGTCGAAGACATTCTCGGCTATGTAGGTGCTTAACTTCCGGATTAAATCGCGATCACCTCGCGCTCGGAGGAGATCGAAGGTGCCAATTCGGAGCCATGTTTCAGCGAATCGTGCAACGATAGCACCAGGTTCTGTAGTCTCTCTTCGGACTCTAGAATGAGGTAGTAACGTCAACGAAAGGGCACGAGTTGTTGGTATTCGCAGTGCATTGAGGGCTTCCGAGACGATGAATTCTCTTATGCTTGACCTCAAAACTGCTTTTCCATCCGCAAATCTCGAATATGGTGTAAGACCAGCTCCCTTCAATTGTAACTCGTATCTTTTCTTCGTGGCCGGATTTGTAGTCTCGAAAAGGGAAATCGCCCTCCCATCGCCTAATTGACCAGCCCAAGATCCAAACTGCCAACCCCCATAGCATTGTGCCCAAGGGTAGCCACCCTCCTCCTTCTCTTCGTCCCATCCCAGCAATCTATTGCCCGCAACAGTTTGCCTGAACTCCTCCGTCTGCTCTTCTCCTTGCTTTATTCCCAGATCCCTGAGGGCAGCAGGACTCACACAGAGTAATTCCGGGTCCTTTGCTTCCTCGGGTCGAACCCATGTGAACAACGCTCCCTTGACCATCCGAGGCCCTATGTCTTCCCTGGGAGTCTTATGTGATGCTGCTGGCGTGGGGAATTCATCGTCGGGAGGGAGTGAGGAGGTAAAGGTCCATGATTTGGGGAGGTCTGCAAGAGAGACGCCTGAGTAAGGGGTGCCGTTGGTGTACTTTGCGGCCATTTGAGCCAGACGCGTGCGGGGCACCCGAGATCTGGAGAGGAATCTTGAAAGCATATACAGAGATCCCTCCTTGACACTGGAAGGAATAGTTGTACAAGAAGAAAGACGAAAAGAGAGACAGAAGAGACAAATATGAAAGAGGCGAATCCTTGATACAGGGATAATATCAGGATTCTGTCGAGATAAAGAGACAAATAGATGGGAGTTGAAGCTGCGAGGGGGAGATGGGAGTTGGGAGTGGCAAGCAAAGGGTCCACCGAAAAGGGATTAGCCTGCCGCGGGCCACCGCCTTCACCGGGGGTCACGGGACATGACGAAAGTGGGAGAAAGTTGAGGGGTTCCGGGTTCAACAGTCCGATTATTTATAAAGTCCGTAAATGAACTCCTCATCCATTACTAATTGCCCACGAAGCAATATGAAAAGCGTAAGGAAACCAAGCGGTTATAAGCTGTCCCATTTCTGCTCCATCAAGCCCGTGTTCTCTTCTTCATCTCTATATTCATCTTCGCCTTCGCCTTTACCTTTACCTTTGAGAATTGCTGCTGCTTCTCATCTCTCGCCCAATACTTCTGCTTCAAGATTCATTTCTACTCCCGCCGGACCCCTCTTTCGTAGACCGGCTCCCACTCAAGAACCCCTCTTCCTTTCGAGACCAATTCATCAACGCTCTACACCTCTCAAGATGAGCAACTTAGCTTCTCCATCCAACCTGAAGTTGAACGATGGCAACGAAATCCCAATTGTACAGTTGCCAATCCTGCGTGGCTCTTGTGATTAGTTACTTACAGCTCAACAGCTTGGGTATGGCCTCGGAACAGCTCGGTATAAGCTTGACCCGAGTGCACCTCTCGATAAAGAGCTGGTCAAGACCGTCGTAACGGCAATCAAGGCCGGATACTACCACCTGGATGGTGCAGAAAGTTCGCAGTGTGCTCCCTATTCCATTATACACGCTGATTCTCTTCCCAGCCTACGGTAACGAAGTCGAATTTGGACAGGCAATCAAGGACTCTGGCGTCCCCCGAGAGAAGCTCTACATCACCCACAAGATTTCCGGCACGGCCGTCAAGAACACCAAGGAGGCATTCGAACTCTCGCTGAAGAACCTGCAGCTCGACTACGTTGACCTCTACCTCATCCACGCTCCATTCTTTGCCAAGACCCCAGAAGATCTGCAAGCCAAATGGCGGGACCTGGAGGAGATCCATGCTTCTGGAAAGGCAAAGTCGATTGGTGTTTCCAACTTCACCCAGAAGGAGCTCGAGCCTATCCTGAAAATTGCGAAGATCAAGCCAGCGATTAACCAAATCGAATACCACCCCTACCTCCAACATGGCGATCTCGTCGACTTCCACCGAAAGAACAACATTGCAACTGCCGCATATTCTCCATTGACAGCGGTTGTGAAGGCAACGCCTGGACCTGTGGATGCCAAGTATGAGGAGCTGGCGAAGAAATACGGAGTCAGCAAGGGAGAAATTGCTTTAAGATGGGTGATCGATCAGGATATTGTGGTGATAACTACCAGCGGCAACGAGCAGAGATTGCAGGAGTACAAGAAGGTAGCAAACTTCAAGCTGACGCCTCAAGAAATAGAGGAGATCTCAACTTTGGGCAAGCAGAAGCATTACAGAGGTTTCTGGACCGACAAGTTTGCGGCTGATGACAGAACGTAGATGAGAAGCAGCCTCTAAATATATAGGAAATGCTACGAGTATACTAAAGCTGATCGCTTCTTATAATAACTCACATCTCCTTCGTGTTTCTTTCCACCTACCCTAACCTATCCCCCTCCGTCATTCCGCATCACTGCTCATAATCTCCGGTAACTTGAATAAATACTTTCCGAAGGCCACACAATTACTAAGAAGATAGGACCACCCACGATTATCTACAGTGTCTCCTTATTACTCTAATTGAAGAACAAAGTTTTGCAATTGGTAATTATTATGTATCTAAGCCTAGAGCTTTACTTAAAGCCCCTTAAGCCAGCCCGATTTACTAAAAGTGTTTTATATCCTTCTTGTACCCCTATTCTCAGCAATGCTCACCCACACTTTCTCAATGCTATTCCGGAATAGAGATACCTCCCAAGCTCAACCGCCGCTAGGAGTCAGGAGAACTCGAAATACTCACTATCACCCTCTATTTCTTTAATATCCCTAATAGACCGTGATACATAGTATTACTATCACACAGCCCAGCCTAGCCGCAGCTCATTTTATCTCATCTAAAACTCCCCACAAAGAAGCGCAGAGTTAAATTTCCGTATGTTCTAGAAGAGAAGCCCTATCTCGTCTTGACCACGACCCAGCTCTCACTATTTCTCAAGATCTTAACGCACTAGTACAGAGGATAAATGAGCTGATATGTTATAAGGGAATTGCGATACTTTGTTTGGATGAGAGAGGTGCGTTATCTATCAATTTATACATCTCTAAGATCAAGTAAATAATTCTAGACACATAAGAGCATAACTAAATCCTCCTTCTATCTGGAAAAAGGGGGGTGAATCACCAAGCGAGGATACAAGCCTCTAAATAAACAAGATGAAACCAACAAGGCAAAAGACGTACTCTTAAAACAAACAAAACAAAGAGAAAAGAAATATGTATATATGTCTACAACATATACTAGTTCTAGGCACATGAATATAGTCCATCTATTGTCTCTCTGCATCATGATATGTATGTTCCCACGTACCTACTCGCGAAAAAAGGGGGCTGTGCCACGTGATATTCGATCTTTCACAAACAGTGAATATCTGACACGGGACCCTACACTTCTTTTCGTGCATGTCTATGAGAACAAAATCCTTCATTGTTTCGCCAACAAATCCATCTCCCCTCTCTGTCACAAACCACGAACAACAAACAATCCCGAGAGCCAAGATGGACGCGCCGACAGAGCCAAACAAACGAGTCTTTGATCCTCAAACAAACCTTAACTGCAATGCGCAGATCAGGCAGCTCGTGTTCCCGGACGAAATCGTGCATTATGAGGCTGAAGCAGGAGTCACGAGGCTGTTGTTCTATAGCGAAGTTAGACCCTACAGCTCTTATTTTCTACGACGACTCGCCGAGTTACATGATGATACCATCGTGGTCAGCATTGCGGGGGTGGTTCGAGCAAATGAGAAGACGAAGATGATCGCAGCGTTCGGTGTGCATTTCGGGGGAGACGCGTCGAAGTATAATGTCAAGGGGCTCGTGCCGGGTACGCTGCCACAGACGAGTCAAGTTGCGGAGCTGTACGCGTTGAAGCTGGCGATTGATGCGATGATGGATATCTCGGATGAGGCCCCGGTTGAGATCAAGCAGCTGGTCATTATGACAGAATCTCTGTATCTCACGCAGGGACTAAGCAAGGATATTTGGAAGTGGGAGCAGAATGGCTGGCGTACGAACAAGAAGACTCCGGTTGCGAATGTGAAAGCCGTGAAGGAGTTGCATGGCGTCATCAAGGATTTGGAGGGGCAGGGTAGGAAGGTGGAGTTCTGGATGGTGGATAGGAAGTTTAATGACAAAGCTTCCTTCTTGGCAATCGAAGCACTTGTTGAGGGAGGTGTTGAAGTTCAGGAAGTCAAAGGAAAGAAGAAAGCCAAGAAGTCGAAGAAGCCGAAGAAGAAGACGAAAGCAGGTAGTGGAGATGGAAACAAGCCTGGGGACAATCTCGAAGATGCGAAGACGGATGGAGATGAACAAGGAAGCAAGGAAGGAAGCAAAGGATGGGATTGTTGACAGAGTAGCGACGGTTTAGCAAGCCTCCTGGGATGCTATGAGAACCCATGCTTGATCTCTACTTGCACCTAGGAAGATTTGCCAAAGCTGTCCCTGGCATTGGTTAAAGGCGCAATCATGTATATTTTGCTAGGGGGTTTGTACTGCAGAGAGGGTTTTGTTACATCAAGCATGGAAGGGGCATATGGAGTCTGGCATCAAGGAGATTCTAGACGTGCTCAGGATACTTCACTGCTGAGAAGAGAATACACTTGATTTATCTCTCAGAAGGTTGAGAACTTTATATTGTAACATTGACCTGTGTCTAGAGTAATACGTGTATACAGGAACAACATACTTGGAGCTTTTGATACTGCTTAAGACGACACTTAGTCAGATACCCGTCAGCCCTAAAAGAAAGATATAGCTATATAGATGGATAACGAGGATGAATATCTGAACTACAGCAGGACGAGTGCAGAACTATGGCCGACACTTAGAAAACATAATTATTGATTTGTAGGAGGGTGCATTAGAAGAGACAAGAGAGTAATCAAATGAAAGGCGATTAATTCCTTGGGGTATTCTCAATAGATTGATGAACTTATATGGACGGCAGCAGCCCCACCACTGACCACATGCAGGTCGACCTCTTGTCTCCTCTTTAACTTCGAAACCACATAGGTCCTGTGGAGCTGCTGCTGTGGCCCCTACTCTCACGTGGAAAGACCTGTTGGCATTGTCCTGCCAAACTCATCTCCAAGGACTGTAGCTCAGTCAGCTAAATGGAGCTGGCTTAATCGGCCATCCAATCCAGGCTCTCGGCATGCCTCTCCCTCTATTTCGATCCCTGCCTGATGCACCAAGTCTGATTTCAGTGGCACATGACCACGGGATCCAGCCAGTGCTCGAGTTCGGCGGGTTTGATCTCCTTGGGGACTGATTCCCAGCATATCAAGCCTCGAACGACTCCTCTTCTCGGATGTACAACCATACAATCGCCAAGCCAGATATCTATCCAGAACCACTTCCGGCATTCTCACTCTGTTCATTTTGCTCCCGTAACCTCCTGAGCCTCTCGATTCTCTCCTCCGCAGCCTTCGCCAGGATTTCCCTCCTGCTCATCCCCTGACTCGATTCCTGCCCTACGCTCTCCGCACCTCCCGCACTACTAGCCCCGAGGACGAACTCGCCACCCGTCCAACCGCCATGATCATCAACTTCCTCACCACCCTCATAATACTCCTCATCGCCCACAGTACGGCCGCCGCTCCTCCAGTCCGCACCCTCAACCTCCTTCTCGATCTGCTTGCACAGATCCCAGAACTTGCGGTCGTGTGGCCCGTGAACGTTGTGCGCTAGCTCGTGGCACAGCGTCTTCCGGATCGTCTTGTAATCTCTGTAGCCATCGTACGCATCGGTTCTTAGACGCAGCTCTATGACCTCGCCCGCGTTCCTATTCAGCCCCAGTGTTCGGCTCGTGCCTTCATGATTCGATTGCGTGTGCTCGATCGGGTTCATCTCCGTGAGGAGCGGGACTGTGAATTTATGTTTCCGCATTGCCGCCTTGATGCCAGCATCGTCTTTTAACCGTTGGAGGAACTGCAGAGAGCGAGAGGGGTTCGGGAGGTAAGGCAGGGGACGCAGGGTCAGGAATGTATACTGGCTTTCCTCTTGCTCTTTCTTCCAGTCGCGGGTTTTGTACGCTTGGACTTTCTGGACTGGTCGGGGACGAGAGACCCGTCGCGAGGCCTCGAAAGACGCTTGTTCGATCGAGGATGCCTCCGCTGCGGTGCTGCCCATCAACGTGATCTTCTTGTCCGCGATCGAGGATATTGGTAAGTGGGGGTCTTTGAAGGGTGGCTTGAGCAAGCCGAGCTTGGATATCATGAATTTCTGGTTGGAGGGTGGTATCGAGAGACTGCTTGCGACTTCGTCGGAGAGATCTGAGATTGTGGCATCAGAAGAGAAAGAGAAGGTATGAGAGGTTCCATGGTGAGTAAGGGTCAGAGTGATGCCCTGAGTGTCAGTAGACATGGCTGTAGTAGACGTGCTGTATCCTGAATATCAGCAGTTATATATAGGCGTTCACAGTAACTTGAGAAGAGAACGCGAAGTTGCAAACAACAATTCTTTCTATTAGAGATTCGAGTACCTATCTGGTTGTCGAGCGATACTTATATAGAGATAATAGAAGTTTCCAGGCAACGTCTCGCTTTCGTAATCCATCCCATGTCGTCGTTCCGCTCGCCACATATGCGCTTATCGCGCTAAATCGCGTCTTCCACCCGTACGCGCCTAAACCCCCTGCCTGGTGATATTTCGATTCGGCTATCGTGTCAAGATCTCCAGGAAAGATTAATAAGGCTGGAAATCTGCGAACAATACTTCACAAGAATCCGCAGAAGATCCTCGAATGCCGGCGCAGCTACTGAGTTGCAGCAGCTATCCACCCCTTTGAAAACCCCCCCCTGCACACGAAGAGACGCTGAGGCGTTCCAACGGCCTAAACCATGAATCTCTTTCGCATTCTGGGTATGAATAACTGGACTCTCCCTGGGATCCCTCCCCTCTACGGGACGTGATAGCTAACCACCCCCTGTGCAGGAGACCTCTCCCACTTGATATCCATTCTTATATTGTTACATAAAATGCAGCAGACGAACGTACGTGCCCCAATGGCTCCCCGAAAGCTTCCCGCGCTCTGGAAACAAAACAGAACAATTTCCTTATTAACGCGTCCCCCTCTTTCTAGTCCTGCTCCGGCATCTCCTTCAAATCCCAAGCCCTCTACCTCATCGTCTACGTCACGCGCTACATCGATCTATTCTGGACCTTCACCGACTCTGCCTACAACACCATCTTCAAGCTCCTCTTCCTCGGCTCCTCAGGGTACACCCTCTATCTCATGACCACCGCCTACAAGCCCACCCACGATCCGAACCTCGATACCTTCCGCGTCCAGTACCTGCTCGGCGGCTCTCTGATCCTCGCCCTCATCTATCCCTACCGCTACACGCCCGCCGAGATCCTCTGGGCCTTCTCCATCTGGCTCGAGAGCGTCGCCATCCTGCCGCAGCTCTTCCTCCTGCAGCGCACCGGCGAGGCCGAGACCATCACCACGCATTACCTGTTCGCCCTGGGTAGTTATCGCGCCCTGTATATCCCCAATTGGATCTGGCGCTACTTCACCGAGGATTTCTCCGACGGCATCGCCGTCCTGGCCGGCTTGGTCCAGACCGTCCTCTATTCGGATTTCTTCTGGATCTACTATACTAAGGTGCTGAAGGGCAAGAAGTTCGCTTTGCCTGTGTAGATGAGAGAGGTGGCACATATGTCCTTGGGTGGCACAAGGGGCCGGGGGAATGCGATGTCATGGCGAGAGATGGGAGGTGCTAGACGGGAAAGGGATCGGAGGGCGAGGGCGCGCTTCTGGATGGAAGCTGGTGATGATGAACATGGTCGGCGTTAGGTTGGACTTCGTTTCGATCCGGCGGACGGGTCGTTTTGATCTCCCTTCGGTGTTCAAATGTACAATATTATACAAGTTCCTTCAGTGTCCGATGTACAGTAAATATCATGCGTATAGATTTTGCCTCGGACAAAAAAGAGACAGAAAGGTATTCGGATCAGAAAAGCTACTTGAACGATTTTGTATTTTACTGCTACCCATATATACAACCAACACCAGATGTAGCGGAAAAAGTGTCAAAATACAAGATCATGCCCCATAGGCAATCTGGCCATGTGGGTGGTCGGAAGAATATCCGGGAGCCATGAAGTTAGTCTCGGGGTTGCCCGTCTCCTTGGCCGCAGAACATCGAGCCATTGTTGGCGAGCTATCATCCATCTGTTAGCAAAAGCTGCCCAGGGCGCAACGAGAGAGCGGAGAACTGCCTTACCTTCTTGAAATAACATCAGTGAAATAAAAGTTGTCGATAACCTTCTTCAAGGGCTCCCCAGTAGTCTTGGATCCCTTGTTCTGATCCACCAACTGCACCTTGCTCAACTGCTTCAACGCCACCGGCTCCACCACATCGTAGCTTGCTAACGCGGGGCTGATCTCGGCCATGCGGTCACGGAGGGCGGCAACATCGTCATATGGTAATGGGGCGCCCAAGAACTCACTAACGGCACGGATGATCTTCCAGTCTGTTCGTGCAGCGCCTGGTAATGAGGTAGCGGCACGGGTCATCTGGACGCGGCCCTCGGTGTTGACGTAGGTACCGGCCTTCTCGGTGTATGCGGCACCTGGGAGGACGACGTCGGCAATCTGAGCACCACGGTCACCGTGGTGACCTTGGTAGACTACGAAAGCGTCTTTGGGGATATCTGCAGGGTCGAACTCATCGGCACCGAGAAGCCAGATGAACTTTGGCTTGGTCTCCGCGACGGCGGTGGACGGGGTGGTGAAACCAACTTCGTAAGCACCAGCTCTTGATGCAGCACGTTGAAGGACGTTGTAACCGTTCCACTCTTCAGTCAAGAAGTTTGAAGCATTCTTCTCAACGAAAGAACCGACAATTTCGTAGATGGCCTTGGCATCTGGGTGATCAGTGACACCCGAACCGACGATGATCATGGGTCTCTTGGCAGCTTGCAGCTTCTTGCCGAATTCTCCAGCCAGGGCCTCCTTGAGGGCGGCCGCGTCGGTACCGAGGTGCTCGAACTCGAAGGTAGAGTCCCAGGTCTCACCGACGACACCGATCTCGAGATCAGAGCGCATCCATTGCTTACGGATACGAGCGTTCAGACCGGCAGCCTCATGTCGAGGGTTGCTACCGATGATGAGCATGGCGTCAGCCTCCTCGACACCCCAGATCTTGGAGTTGAACAGGTAGTTCGAGCGCACGTCGATTCCGTGGGCAATTGGTTTGTTTCCTGAGGGTTGGTCGAGAGCCAAGTTCTCAGAACCAAGCTTGTTGGCCAGGTCCTTCATCGCAACCATCGACTCAGCCTCGATGAGCTCTCCAGCAATAGCCTTGAACTCATTGCCCTTGGGTGCGAAGTCTCTGTAAGCAGCTCCAATCTCAGTCAGAGCTTGCTCCCAGGTGGCGGGCAAGAACTTGTTGTCTTTTCGGATAAGGGGGGTAGTCAATCTTTGGGTTTTCAGACCATCGCAAGCGAATCTGGTCTTGTCATTGATCCATTCCTCGTTGACATCGTCGTTGAGTCTGGGGAGGATGCGCATGACTTCAAGACCACGCGAGTCCACTCGGATGTTCGAGCCAAGACCATCCAGAACATCAACAGATTCGGTGTGCTTCAACTCCCAAGGTCGTGCGCGGAAGGCGTATGGTTTTGAGGTCAAGGCTCCGACGGGGCACAGGTCGATGACGTTTCCGGACATCTCGGAATCTAGGTTCTTCTCAAGGTAAGTTCCAATCTGCATATCGTTTCCTCGTCCCGTAGATCCAAGCTCTGGGGCACCAGCAATGTCGTTTGCGAATCGAACACATCTCGTGCAGTGGATACATCGGTTCATCGAGGTCTTGATCAGAGGTCCGATGTTCTTGTCCTCGGTGGCACGCTTGCCTCCAACCTCGTGGAACCGACCTCGGTCAGCGCCATATCGCATTGACTGATCCTGTAAATCACACTCTCCTCCTTGGTCGCAGATGGGGCAGTCTAGAGGGTGGTTGGCCAACAGGAACTCCATCACTCCCTCACGGGCCTTGTGTGTGAGGGGCGAGTTTGTCTTGACGACCATGCCGGGCTGTACGGGCCACGCGCAGGAAGCAACTGGCTTTGGTGCTCTCTCAACCTCCACTAAACACATACGGCAGTTTCCAGCAATCATGAGTTTCCTGTATATTTGTCAGACGAGGGGGGTCGGGAGGCTCGGCGGACGTTTCGTGGGGGAACTCACTCATGATAGCAGTATCTAGGACAAGTTAGACACATCAGACATCAGTACATACGCTGCATTGGCTTACCTGGGTATCGTAACTCCGGCTTTCTCGCACGCTTGGATCAGGGCGGAACCAGCTGTGGCAATGGGTCAATACAATGTCATACCACACCACACCACACCAGAGACAAAGCCCGGGGCCTACCTTCTATCGAGACTTGCTTGCCATCTGCAGCACCAACGCATTAGCCATCCAACGAACCATCCCAATTGAGAGCCTCAATCCAATGCCTCTTACCGACTGTGAGCTGGACCTCCGCTGGCCTCCTGCCGGTGGTCGCGAACGTCCTGGAAGCATTGCAACTCTGCCTGCCCGTCCGCAGAGCCGAGCGTGCCAGCGTTTGCCGCAACATCGTGTGCCTCTCGTCGTCTCAAGGAATGGAGAGAGAAGCAAAGAAAACGAGGCTGGTAAAAAGGAAGGGCGGGGGGAGGGAGAGAACGGGATATCAATATCAATTAATTGTATCTTGCGGACGTCTCTCGCAAGCTCGTGGTTGTTCAGCAACGGTCGGGGCCAATCGCGCTAAAAAGCTTCCGTTACTAAATGCGGCAAGCTCATTGGTCGCAGCGCCGCGCTGATAAAAAGACGACAATATTTTTCGCTTCGTGGATTTCTTCTTCTTCTTCTCTCCATCTTTAAATTGTATTTTGGGCACTTTTCTTGTAGGTGTACTTGGGCGCTGTCGTACTCCGGTGCGACGGTTGCCATCTTCGAGTCTTCCTCTATCTTGTGCTCTAGAGCACTCCTGTTTGGGCGCTGGAATGGATGCAAATGAGAGCTTCTGGCTCAACGAATGCGCAACTTACCGCCGGCTGCTACATCTCCATATTACCTGGTCGAATCTTCATCTCTGTATCTTAGATGAGACAATACATACATTCACGATATTGATAGCACGCACTGTCCACATGCAACGTGATATAAAATTGCCATTCTGCTCGTGCTTCATTGTAGGAAATCTCTTCCAGATATCTACAGAGCAAACAGCTTGATCCCTCTTGGTATTTGGCAAGAGGTTAATACCATTGACAGAACATCTCAGTCGACAAGCTACCAGGCGGATCTTGAAAGTTTTATTACTACCTACCTAGGTAGCTAGAGGCTTGAGGATTTACATCTCACGCATGCAATAACAGAGCAGGATTGTGCACATCATATCGACGCCCATCTAATTCTCTATTGCTAGCTATTACACATCTGTGCTCAGGCCGCAGCCCTATCGCAAGACGCGAATTGAATTAAGGTAGTTGTGGTCATGGCCATATCCATCCTTCATAAACACATCTCGAGTCATCCCACCCTCCCAGCATGATCTCGTGATATGTCATATCGCATGATATGTTTAGCAAAATCTGTCGTAACGACGTTCGTATCTGAGGCTCGGTAGCCAACAATGAACACGTACACAGCTCTTCTCTTATCGGCACCGAAGAAGAAAAAATTTGAAAGAAAAGTGATGCACATCTGTCCTTCCCGAGGGATGACAGAGAGTCTCAGCGGCAAGCTTGAGAGCATTCCAGCATCTCAAAAGCTAGAGCTGAAACTATGGGGGTGTCCAACAGGATGTATGACTTATCGAAAGGTCGAATAAATCAAATCCAAATGGAACAATGGTGCTCATAGGAGCTGACGGAGCTTCGTGAGGTGCTCAGAGTTATGTCGCTAAATCAAAAAACAGGGACTCAGTGACGACGTCCAGAGTTGCTCATCGTTGTAAGCAGGTTCGCAGGAGATGCAGTTCGCGAGCGAGTAGCATCTAGGATACGGTTGCAAGCAGTGACCAGCATAGAGATTCTCTTGAGAATGGGATCCTGAGCGTTGACATTGCTGACGACCATGAAGAGATGCTCGAGGCGTGTGATATAGTGCGCCACGATCTTGGGAACATGTTCACGAATATCTTCATGCTAGTTAAGGGTCAGCATATGCGAAGTCAAAGGTAATGGGGGTTGGTGCTTACGAAGTCTGCAGCAGCAACGTGAGCCTGGAGGACTGATAGAACCGTTTCCAGCCAGGCGATGCGCTGCATTACAAGTTTGTCCTCCATACCAGCACTGATAGCGGAGCCGATCGACAGGAGCAACAAGGGGTTCAGTTCTCGAATGAAGTCAGGGTTGAACTTGGAGAAATAGTTCTCAAAGAATTCCTGATGAAGCCCAGTTTGCAGCCATCGAATGATAGCCGTCTCGTAGTTTCCTTCGCGCATAGCCGAGCTAACACTATCCAGCATAGCTTCGTATTGCAGCTGTTGTGGCGTCTTCTCTTCGACCGGAGCTGCAACTGCAGCGGAAGGAGCTGCGCTGCTTTGACTCTCACGAGCGGCCTCACGCTTCTCAGCAATAGCTTGTTGTTGCATTCTCAAGAACTGGCCTTGGAACTCCGTCTGGGCGGAGGCCATGGAAGAAACCGTCTCGGTTAGACCTGTGACGAGCTGCATCAGCTGGTCGATCTTGACGTTGTCGGCGTGATGTTGGCGTTCCAGAGCTTCGATCTTCCCGTTAACCTGGCGTTGGATATCGGCCGCGGCCTTCTGCGTGGTCTGGACTGCTAACTTGCTGAATGCAGGAGTGACAACGTTCTGAAGAGTCAGAGCAAATTGTTCCTCCACACGGAATGCGACACTCTTGGCCAGAGATTCAGACATCAACTTCAGAAGCTGGGGCTGGTGCAAAGCCTTCCCAATTGCGTCCGGAAGGGCCTTCTGGAGCTCTTTGGGGAGGTTGTTGCCAAGGTGCGAGTGCAAGCTGGAGTTAAGTTGCTCCTTCAATACATTCTGAGTAGTCTCAGTGACAGCCGGAATGACAGACTTTTGGATGCTGTTGCTGATGATCCGAGAGAGAGACACTTCGATGTTATCAGACAAAGTGCTGGATACGACACGAAGCACAGCCTCCTGCTCGGACTTTGCTACAGCACTCTGAGTACGCCTGTCAGTCTTGAGCTCTTGGAAGAGAGAGTCCATAGAAGAGGAAAAGGTCTTCTTGACCTCGTTGGTGATGTGGCTTTGAAGGCTCTTGAGAGTTGCATCACTAAGGCTTTGAGGAACGCTCGAGGTATCAACCAATTCTGCAACCGAGCCAGCACCAGCCTTGGACACATTTCCATTCCTGGAATTGCTTGACGGATCCAACACAATAGTCTTGGACGATGGGGCAGTTGGAGCAGCAGGAGACCCAGAAGCGGCAGCTTCAGCTGAGGCTCCCTTTCTTCTCTTGCTCTTTCCGTGCTTCTCGGTAGCACTAGCATTGGCTAGTCCTCCATTTGGCGAACCTTCCTTCTTCTCGATCTTTTCCTCGGGTTTTGATGCAGCAGGAGCACTTGCAGCAGGCTCTGCGTTGGTTGATTTCTTAGCTACATCCTTAGAGGTGGCTTCCTTGCCAGCAGGTCGAGAAATGATACGAGTGGGCGCGGATGGCTGAGGAGCAGCTTCGGGAACTTCTGGAGCTGGAGCAGCTGGAACTTCCTTGATACTCTCAATGGAGATGACACCAGCCTTCTCAGCAACCACGGGTTCAATGACCTTGTTGTCCGAAGTCCAACCCAGGTCACGCTGCTTGATGCCAAGGCAGGTGACGCCCTTTGAGTGCATAGCATAGAGCTCAAACAAGGTTGCTCCCTCCCCGCCAACGGTAGATGAAGCTGGAGAAGCAAGGATATCAAGACTTCTAAGCGAGCCCTTGTTGGCAAAAGAGTATTCACGCATACCACTCACGACAGCTGTAGAATCGGGCTTCGGGATTGAGGGGTCGACACTGGCGAGCTTGCGCATGTACTCAGCCTGGGTGATGTTCTTTGACAGGTTATACTTTGGCGCAGACAGGTGTAGGAAGTAGATAGAATTGCGGGTCGGGTGTCCAACTACAATCATTCCCGTTGCAGCATGGTAAAGGACACTGCAGACAGCGTCCGACTCCTTGCCGTGGGGCAGGTGGATTTCCTGCACGGGCTTCCCAAGGGCGAGATCCCACAACTGCAAGGTGTGGTTCTGCTTCATTCCTACAATCAGGTATCGCAAAGCACCTCCTCGCTGGTAGGGCCGGAGCTTGTCGACAAACAAGACCGACGTGGGCCATGATTTCTCAGTTGCGGGTGTGGTCGTGAATGTGACGATGGGCTCCTTGATCTCGATAGGCTTGGTGTTGGCTGGGTGCGGGTTTCCACTGCTGTCAGTTTCCGTAAGGGGTCGGATATCCCAGAACTTAACACGACCAGCCTTGTCAAGAGAGACGATGGTAGTATCATCCTCGCTAAACGTAAAGTCCTTCCCGGCCTTGCCAGTATTGACCTTGAGTGAGTGTTGATTGAGGTATTTCTCCGTGTCAGCAATACGGTCCTTTCCATTTTTCAGATAGGACTTCATGATGACGGACGGCCAGATGATGTGAATAGACTTTCCACGACCAACAGCAAAGAAATCTGGATGAGCTGCGCTCTTTCTAGCCCGAGTCTTCAGAACCCCTCCTGGCGACTCATTATCTTGAGATAGCAATGGGGGCAGGGCAAAGCCATGCATTTCAGGATGGCTGTCCTCAATGTTATCCCCTTCACCATCTTTGATGAGAGCCCAGTAAACAGTACCACTGATACCAGTGCCAATGATCGCTTCCTTGAGATCAGCCGAGGAGGATGACGTTACAACACTGAAGATGCGATCATGCGTCTCGGTAAAGAGTCTAGCATCCTTACCGTCGTCCTGTCGAATGATGCGAATCCCGCCATTCTTGGACATGCCATAAACGATGAAGTTGTTGGACGCGGTGACGAGAGTACGGTCGATCTGGTCGAACTCCTTCTTCAGACGAGCGATATCCATAACGGCTTCATCGCGGAACACGGGGCGAGGCTCCTCGGATTCCTTGATAGTGATCGAAGTCCAGGGCTTCATGGGGAAGTTGTAGACCTTCACAACATTCTCCTCTCCTTCCTTCGTAGGGCTATCCTCGGCATCGGCGCTCTCCCAACTGTCGGCAATATGGCCGTGGGCTGTCTCGTCGATGACATCCTTGACAGCTTCAGCTATCTCTTCAGGCAACTTGTCGAGAACGTGCTCATTCTCCTGCTTTCCAAGTTCCTTCTGGATAGCTTGAGCAGCAGCCTTGGTCGTCTCCTCGATCTCTCCCTCGGTTGTAGCAGCCAGCATGGCTTTCATATCCTCCTGGATCTCAGCCTGGCTCTCGGCCTTTTCGGCGTTCGCGATAGCCTCCTGGACTTGCTTATCTACCTGGTCACCGATCCCGCTGAGAGCGTGGGCGACGGTTTCCTTGGGGGTAGGCGCGCCGATGCCGATCAAGGCTTCAAGCTGGGTGCGGCCATCGGGAAGAGGTGTGGGTGGCGAAGAGGATGCGTTAGAGGAGGGTTCAGTCTTTCGCTTTGAGGGAGCAGAACTAGACTGCGCGCTTCGTTCATCCATCTTCCGCTTGTTATCTGAGCTCTCACGCTTCAAGATCTGAACAGCAGGTGCAGATGAAGGGCCAGGAGAAGCATGCTTCGGGGTACGGTTTCGGGGGGATGAAGCAGCCAATTGGTCAAAGGGGTTGACATATGTGAAGAGGCCCTGCTTAGGGGGAGATGGCTCTCGTGCATTCTCCTTGTTATCCTTTCCCAATGGAGTCAATCCGCCCTCGGTCGCTGCGGAACCCATCAGGTTCATATCAAGGGCCGCGTCCTCTAGAGCTTGTGTAAGATCACCCTCATCTTGAGAGCTAGCCTTGCTCTGAGGTGTCAGAACCTTCGCCGGTCTAAGCGGAGGAGAAGTGTCATCTTGCGATGGTTTTGGTTGATTCAACAACGAAAGAAGGTAAGCCTGCGTATCGGCAGAAGGAGAAGTCGCTGCAGCAGCAGGAAGACCCGACTGCGTGGGCTGCGACACTGCTCCAAATGGGGCAGCTGTCTGCTGCGGTGGCTTGGATTGAATAGATCCCATGAGAGTGGCCAGCAGATCGGGGCCGCCTCGTCCGCCGCCTGGGGCGCTGGAAGGACCCGCGAGATCAGGAGCAGAGAAATTCAATGAAGTCTCACGCGATGGAGGAAGTGGGGTGCCAATTGGAGCAGGCTGCTTGGGGGAGGTCGTGGAAGTGGTGGGTGGTTGACTGAACTTGAGAAGATTGAGCAAGCTTGAAGTCCTGTCGGGGTTTGGGGCGCCGCCGCTGGCCGCGGGGATGAACTGCTGAGGCTGTTCGACCGGGCTCATGATGGCAGATGGGTGGTGAGGCGGCTGGCTGTTCGCGGGGGGCGTGGGCACAGGAGAGGTGACGGAGGGTTGCTGGTAGCCGGGAGGCAATTGTTGGGCTTGCTGCGGCTGCTGCGAAGGTTGACCAAAGTAGTTTGAAGGATTGTAGTAACCATAACTGGGCTCGAGCTTGACAGATTTGTTCTGCTGCTGTCGGAGCTGGGCGAAGATTGAATCCAAACCATTGCCCTCGTCGGAGGCGCCAGGATATCCAGACATGGCAGAAGGCGAAAGCGCACCAGAGGCGCGAGAAGAAGAGTGAATCGATCAAAATCAGAGGATTTGGGACGTCCGGTCTAAGAGCGAGAAAGAAGGGGGAAAGGAACACGTCGAGACAGCTCTTGTTTCTGCAGAGAGGAAGAGAGCTGTAACTATGCGCGATGGGGGTTGTGGTGAAGGGGAAAAGAGATGGGTGAGAAGAAGAGCTGTTCAAATTGTGCTGGAGGTTGGAGTTGGAGCTTGGGCGAATTCTTTGTCTAGCAATGGCGCTAGCCGTGTGTAGTTTAGCCGCGTTGGACCTGGAGAAGTGCACCACGTCAACTGCAGTCGACAGATATTCGAAGCAGATCAGCCAGAGCGCGTCACAAGAATCCAATCGGCCCAAAAAATACCGGTTCACACTACGGAGCAGAGATCTACTCTTGAGGCATTGAACTCCAATAGATTCTCTCGTGGCCCTCTTCTCTACACGCTTGAACTCTCAATATCTGCTTGCGTAATACGAGAGCTTCCTACACCTCCTTCGGTCTTCCGGATGACAACCTACGCTTGATCGACGACGACGACGGCGGCTACAGAGACCAGCAAGCAAGATGTTCTGCTTAAGGAGGTCAGGCTCTCTCTCTCCCATCCGCTCATCATCAACCTAACCTTAAAACTAACACACAACTCCGCAGTTGGCTCCCCCTCCTCTTTATTCCCACGAACGCCTCCCCCATCTTCATCTTCCTCTTCTTCATCTGCACGTACTTCCTCAACCGTCCCTGCGTCTACTGTTCCTTCCTCCTCCTCATCCTCTTCGCTTCCTCCTGCCACTGGTCCGACCACTGCTTTTTCGATTTCAGCAGTAACTGGTTCGAGCCTCGTCTCCAGAGCGCCTTCACCAACCACTCTTCCTCTGCCGCTGCCGCCGCCGCAGCTGGCCCCAGAAATCACACATTAGAGCAAGTCGAGATCTATGTCGGGGCCGTGAATAATACAGCGGCGGCGCTGGCAGGCGCAGCGACGAGAAAGCTGGCGAGCTCGAGGGCCGAATGGACGGGGATTGGCGTCGAGTGGTTAAGGAGTCTGCTAGGGAAAAGGGAATGGCGATTACCGTGCGTGGATGTTAACGTGCGGCTGTAGACAAGGGGTGCTGGTAATGATCATGATCGGGTGGTGGTTTCATAAACAAGCAAGCAAGCAAGCAAGTAAGCAAGCATGGCATTCACGGGGTCATGGGATGGGGGCGTTCTATACACACAGGATGTTTTATTTTATTTGGGGGTGGATGGGAAAAGGTTGTTTGGATTACCTACGCATTCATGCATGTATGTTTTCTTCTTCTGTTTGTCCAAAAAGGTGGGCGTATAGGCAGCATTCTGAGAGGAATCAACCAGAGAGCCAACCCATGGTTTTTAATATATATAGGTACTATTAGGTAGAGAGCATTTTCTACTACAAGAAGAAGTTCAACTACAGCCGTTAGTAGCGGGCCTCTAGACAAGAGCTATCAAAATCCTCCCCTCCCCCCTCACCCTTTTTTTTTGGGGGGTCGGAAATGTTCGCTTCGTATAAAGGTAGAGAATTCCTAATGTACCATGTATAATGTATACACAGGTATATCCCTCCTATTCTTATATACAGATCTGCGCGTCGCACCCTCCCATCCCTATTCCTATCCTCATTATCCGTCCCAAGCCCAGAACGCCAGGCCAGATCTGTCATATGCAACAATATGGGTCGTACACCTTATGGGTCCTATATACAAAGCGGGGAGTTCTCAGATCCCGGGTAAGAAGCAGAACGCCAAATATGCGTGTGTGCGTGTGTATGCGTGGGTGTGCGCAAGTACAAATCGTGGGGTATCGTCGTCTTCTTCTTCTTCTTCTTCTTCTTCTTCATCTTCATCTTCTTCATATCCTTCTTTCTCGTCCCCGTCTCTTTCGTCATTATATCCACTCCTGTGCCATTACCACCCAACACCCTCTTCTCTCTTGTCTTTTCATCTTCTCTTGTCTCTTCATCCCATCATGCTCAGAACAGACGCAGCAAATTCCCTAAGCCTGACCGCTGTCTCGGTTCGAGACTACGAGGGACGTGCGGTCTAGCATTGGTCATCGGGGATCTTGGCGGTCCTGCCACTGTGACCTTGACCCATTCTTTTAATTCGGGCATCCAGCGATGTCTATTACTCTCAATTAGTTCTGGTACCCTCGATGGGGAATGGAGGACTCACCCCTCATGAAACGTCTTGGTCAGCGCGCGCTCGCTGTACTCCTGCGTCAGGATCCGATCGAACGAATATGGCACTGAAGCCGGGACGCCCTCGAAGATGGTCTCGCGCAACGGGTACAGATCCCGCGTCCGGTAGCGGTGGAGATTCTTACAACTCCAGACGCCCGGCTGTGTCGACGGGTTCGTCTCACTCAGGCCCGTGATGTCGATGAACAAGCCATTGCGGACGTCGATCCAGCGGGCATCGATCACATTTTGGCCGTCCCCACGCACGCGCTCGATGTGGTTCGGGTTCACGTCGAGGAGGTACTCGCGCTGGACCTCGGAGCCGTCATCGGCCACAAAGGTGTAGTTGTGCATGGTCATGTTGAGGTTCTCGCCCAGCCAGGTCAGAGTCCAGCCCGAGACCTGGACGTCGAGATCCCAGTCCCAGGGCATGATCTTGCCGTTCCACCACCAGCCCAGCAGGGTGCCGTGGGCGATCCAGGTCTCGATGTTGCGCTCGCGAAAGCTGATGAGGTAGGAGCGGATGAGGTGGTGGAGGGAATCGGACTTTTCCTCGTAGGAGACGGGCTCGCCCCTGTAGTAGCGGACATCATAGTGGCCCAGGGAATCGTCGAAGCCGGGCTCGTGGAAGTACTTGGTGTCTCGTTGTTCGACAGGACTGGGAGCGGCCGAGGCGGAGGTGAGGAGGAGGAGGGCGGTCGCAAGGAGCTTTGGGAGGAGCATGGCGGGTGGGAATGGAGGGGTAAAGGAGCGAACAGGCGATGTGCAGGGTGGAAGTAATTTTGTTATCAGGGATGCATAATCGTGAGGACAAGTGATGTATGGCCGATGATGGGGAACAAAGCGTAGGGGAAGGTTGAAAAGAGGAAAAGAGAGGTCAGATAAAAGGAATGGAGGGGGAGGGAAGGGAAAGAAAAGAAAAGAAAAGAAAAGAGATCTCGTCAAGAGTCAAGCAAGAATCGAGAGTAAAAGTGTACAGCAGTATTATGTACATGTATAGTACTGTGTACCCCTGTCGGCCGTGAGGTCATCCATGCGCGCGCTTACTGTTTCGGGCAAGAGCGCACGCGTCCAGATTCTGATCTTGATATGGATGATAAGTGCAAACATTACTCTTGTCATCTCAGGTAGTGTTTGTCTTTTGTTCATTATTTGATATATGTTATCAATCAACCATCAATATCTCCAGATATGCTGTAGTAGGATCTTATATCTTATATCTTATGTTATATCTTCCCAGCGCAAACCCGGCAAAGGGCCTTTATGAGGCACACGCGGCCTCTGTTATCCTGCCCCGCGCCTCATCTGGTGGTACGTAGACCCTTCGACCTTTCTTTCGGCCTCATGCCGTATTTGGGGCTGAACGCGTAGGTATTTGTATTGCCTGTCATTATTTCAATGATTTTATGTCTTCTAGGATAAGGTATCCTGGTTCTCGATTCCATTCATACGTCTGTTAGGCCATTATATCATCTCTTGTTCATCCACCCGGACTCCCGTCTCTAATCAGAACAGTACACGCTCCCACCAGTCTCACAGATCGGGAATATAACACATCAAATCATAAATAGAATCATAAATAGAATCATGACGGACAATGATACACATTCCAACATCCATGCCTCCCATCATCGCCAATCAGCCTCACCCTGCCAAGCCGCCCAGACACACGCCAAGCCGGCCAGCCCAGCAAAGGACGGCTTCCATTGGGCATGTTCATCCGCCAGGTCGCGTGCCCTCTTGCTCTTTTCCAATATGATGTACTCCGTATAGGTACCTATATAGCTCTGTCCTACATCACATCTCTCTGTCAGACTGTCTATACGGGGTACCTCCATGTTTTGTACGATGATGTACGCGGTACATCATCCGTGGATCCCATGCTGCTGCCATGCTGGAACTCGGGCCAGAGCAGATACCGGATGGGCTCGAAGACCTTGAGGCTGAATCCCGTGACGCCCTCCCTCTCTTGTGTCAGTCACATGATGCTAATCTCACTTCCATCAAAACCAACGTCCAACACTCTCACGACAAGCACCGATGCGATGTGCAACAGAATCCCCCATGTCATGTGATGCTAATCTCTCTTCCATCAAACGCTCTCATGACAAGCACCGATTGCGATGTGCAACAAGACTCTCCTCCCTGTGCACATCACCGGCCCAATATCAATCACATGATGCTAATCTCGCTGCCATCAAAGCCTCTCACGACAAGCGCTGATGCGATGTGCAACAAACCCTTCCATTCCCCCAAAGGGTCATGTGATGCTAATCTTACCTTATCAAAATCAATGTTCAGCACTCCCAAGACCAGCGCTAATGCGATATGCAACAAAACTTCCATTCCTTAGGCCGTAGCCAACCATGTGTAAACCCGATAACCTGATAACCTGATAAGAGATGGATATACACCTACTCTCTGTATGTACCTTACTGTAAGGGCCGTCTGTAACACTATCTTGATACCATCCCGTCCCAACCACGCCTTCCTATTCCAGCAATTCCGCCGCCATCCTTTCTCTCCGTATTCTTCCCATATACTGTATTACCTAATCCCTCCTACCTGCCCTCCTCTCCTCTCCCCTCCCCTCCCAGCTCCGTCACCAAAACCATCACGTGAATACCCATCACATGACCATCCAATTCCCGCCTCATTTCGCAGGCATCAACCCGAAACAGAGAGACCTCGGCATCGGCCTCTCTCACCAACGTCTCCTCTCCCTCCCTCCCAATTCCAATCCGACACTTTCCCTCTTTCTTTCTTTCTTTCTTTCTTTCTCTCTACAGAATAGAATAGGATAGGAAAGTTCCTACTGACTAGCTTGTTTTGATTACTTTGTCTGTTTACTTAGCATCTACCAAAGAAGGTCCTTGTTTGTTCCGCAGCGCCTCGGAATCTACCTATCTACCTAGGAAGAGGGGGATCGGGAGAATCGACATGGCCGAGGATAAGTCACGTGCTAAGGCGATGGAGGCCGTGGAGGCCATTTTTGAGCGGTATGTTCTGGTTTCTCTGATTTGTTTATTTTTTTATTTTGGTTTCTGGGTTTCTGGTTGCTGGGTTTTTTGTTCTGAGAGGTTTTGGTTTTGGGAGGTTCTGTGATATTATTTATTCCATTCTCCCTCCTCCCCCCCCTTTTTCTCCCTTCTCTCTCCTCCCTCCCTTTTCTCCCTTCTCTCTCCCTCCCCCCCCAAAAAAACCCCCCAAAAACCCCCCAAACTAACCCCAACCTCCCCAAAAGCTACGACCTAATAACGCGGCGCACATCATCGCCCCTCTTCGACAAGCACATAATGTCCGGCCTCCATATCGAAACCGCCAGCTCGGACGGCAGCGTCACCTTCTCCCTGACCATCGGGCCCGAGTACGGGAATCTGAACGGCGTGCTGCATGGGGGCGCCGCTGCGCTGATCTTTGATATGTGTACCACGGCAGCGCTGGGTCCTGTTGCGAGACCCGGGTTTTGGGAGTACGTTGCCCCCCTTTTTTTTATCTTCTTTTTCTTCGTTTCTGGGATGATTGCTGGTTTTCATCCCCTTATGAAATCGATCGATTGATGAAAACTTCAAATTCCAAAACCCAAAATCAAGATTATTTAAATCAAGATATTAAAGAAATTCCAAAAAAAACAGTTTTCTAGGCGGCGTAACCCGATCCCTAAACATCAGCTATCTAAAAGCGATCCCGATCGGCACGAAGATCCTGATCCGGAGCAAAGTCGCGCAAGTCGGCCGCACGCTGGCCCTGATCCGCGGAGAGATGGTGAGTGAGGATGGGAAAACCGTGTATTGTACGTGTGAACAGCATAAGGTTCGGGTGCCGACTAGGGAGGAACATAGAGCTGTTAGGGTGAGGTGGGATGAGGGGTGGGAGAAGGAGGAGGGGCGGGAGAAAGAGGGGGGAAAGAGGGAGAAGGCGAAGTTATAGATAGATAGATAAGTGGGTAGTGATGGGTATGATGGGGATATGAATGAGGATTTGTGGGGGAGGGAGGAATGAGATATGGAAGGATAGAAATAAGATCCAGTTCACTATCCACAAGCGAAGCGAACCCCCTATATACAGACAGCGGTTTCACAAGATGAATTGGAAGAGGAGTGTGAATGAATGAATGAATGAATGAATGAACGAGGAATAAAACACTATATATATATATATGTCCTAAGATATGTGCTTTTATATACATATAGATTATATGAGATCTTCGCCCTTTCCTCCCTTTGCTTTTCAATTCCCACAAATCCCACTCCCCTCCAACTGCGCCTTTGGATAAAACACCCTAGGCAAGCCCTCCCCCATCTGTACCGCTAGATTCCCACTCCCATCCGTCGTCACGCCCTCACAGGTCAAGATCTCGAGCACGTCCTCGCCATCCCCAAACCCCGTATCACTCGCCGGCAGCGTCAGGGTATAGGTACTCCCTCCGGCTCCCAGATTCGTGAAGACAGCAATGACCTGTGACCCGTCGGAGCCCTTGCGCATCGCCACCGTCGTGCTGTCCGAATAGATCGGGTACGCTTTGTACAGCACGTACTGGCTGTCTTTGTAGATGGCTTGATTCCGGATCTGGTTTACCGACGCGATGAAGGTGTAGAGCGGGGACGTGGTGGAGTACCCGGAGAGCCAGAGGGCTTCGCGGTCGTTGGGCACGGCGCCGCCCGCGTACTGCTGTTCTTGCCCGTAGTAGATGATGGGGATGCCGTCGGCGAGCATGGTGAAGGCGATGGCGTTCTTGGTGAGGGAGAGATCGGAGGTGAGGGACGGGAAGCGCGGGTTGTCGTGGTTCTCCATGAAGGAGCCGAGGAGCGTCGTGTCGCTGCAGTCGGACTTCATCTCGTTGATGCTGTTCACGAGGCTGCTGATGCTGCCGCTGGTGGATTGGAAGGCCTGAGTGATGGCGAAATAGCTGGGACGAGTAAGGATCTGGTTGATGTGTGTGTATAGTATGGACTGTACTTACATCGGGTAGTTGAGGACGCCGCTCATGTATTGTTGGTAGGGGCAGACGTACGTAGGGTCCCCGTTGAAGACCTCTCCGACGATGTAGACTCCAGCTACGTTGGTTAGCATTGATCCCGCCTTCAAGTGACAATAAGAACATACCAGCAGATTGGAAAGGGGGGAAGAACGCAGTGTCGACCTGCTGCGCACTATCAACCCGCAGCCCATCAATACTGTAATTCGACACCAAGCTCGTGATCCAGTCCTCCCACACACTCAACACACCTGAGTCCTCAGTGCGGAGATCCGGCAGTGAGACCGTGTTGTCGCCCTCCCAGCAGTCCGTGACGCTGGTAGCATTGTTATAATCAATCAGACAGAAGGGATGATAGTCCGATTCCTAAAACCGTCAGCGCAATCCCGCTTTCGACAAGGAGAGACCAACCGAGTTAAAGGGGTTGAAGATGCTGTAGTCCACACACGTGCCGCACCCAAGATATCCCATATGGTTCGTCACCACATCGACCATCAGGTACATGCCTCTCTGATGCAGCGCATTCGAGAGTGCGACCAGATCCGAGGAGGATCCAAAGTTACTGTTCACCTGGTAGATATCCTGCGCCCAATACCCATGGTACGCCTCCCCGTCCGCACTATTGCCCGAGAGATTCTCCACAATGGGGGAGATCCAGATCTGTGTTCTCGCATCAGTCCCGGATTTGGCGTTCTGAAGAGGCTCCTCCTACTCACGGCGGTAAAGCCCATCCCTTGGATATAATCCAGCTTGTCGATGACGCCCTGCCAGCTCCCCCCGCAGTAGACCTGATCGCCTGTATTGCAGGTCGCCGTCGTCGACCCATCGGCGCGCGCAAAACGGTCGGTGAGCAGCTGGTAGATAGATTGGCTACGCCATTGCGCGGGGGTCAGCGCGCTCGCGGCAGAAGCAAGACCCAAGAGAGCGGTCGTCGAGAACCTCATGATGTCGTTCAGCAATGAAGGTCCTGAACAACCACCCAAAAAGTCCTATGGACACCACATCTTTTATATATATGTGTGTACATTTCCCTATATATCGGATGAGCGTGTGGAGGCCCCCGCATACAGAAGATGGACAAACCTCGGCGACATCCTGCCCTTGAAGCTTCCAAAACACCAAAATCCATACATCAGACGTCAGAGAATCCTTCACGATCCTTTCCCGTCGCCGTCCTCGCCTGTCATTGGACACCGCCGCCCGGGGCCGATCCTCGAAGAAGCAGGCGTCTGCTCATCTCATCACCTATCATGCTCGACGCGCGCATTGCTTGAGTCCCTTCGGCCATAGCGAATCTTAAGTCTCTGCCCCTATTTCCTAAGATTCTAGTAGCCAATCCTGTGATGAGTTGATAACCCTGGCTATATGCTTCCCATCAAGGATTGCCTGGGGTAAAGGCCCGATTTATGTATGGCGGTTTTTGTTCCTGCAGTCCCTTGGTGGAATAATCCGTAAAGAGAGTGATATAGCAGGGAGACAGGAATTCATAGAAGGGATTTAATCATTGGGTATTGTCATTTGGTGATGACAGGATTCCTGTATTGGGACTGCTCCCCTGAACGCCGAGAAGTGTCCGGCAAAGGCCCTTAAGCGACCCCGCCATCTAGAATCCTGCACAGCACAATTAATACGATGCGATGCGATGCGATACGAGTGCAAAGTGCAAAGTGAAAATGTCCCTGCAGATACATCTAACGTCCTCTATTGTGGAGATGGTCGTGCGCATCCTATACATTACATCACGCGTCCAGGTAATAGTACAAAGCTCTTTTTCCCTCCCTCTATCGACAAATCCCTGAAGCAAAGTAATCAATCCCGAATCCGTTCCAGTAACCCCGAGCCCAAATCCCGATCAAGATCAAAAGTGAAATGCTCCGCGTCGTAGTTTGACATCACATGTATCCGCTCTTCATCGCCCTGGCGTGTACGCCCCCATGAAAACGCCATTGCCATAGGCCGACGCATCGGCTTGCTGCTGCTGCTGCTGCTGTTGCTGTTGCTCTTCCTGGCTCAGTTGAGACTGGTCAGTGGCTTGGTAGAACTGGAACGCGGGGTCTAGCGTGTTCCCGTTCTGGATGTATGAGTCCCATGCTTCCTGCATCGTTGTTAGCATGGCTTGGTAGACAGCGGAGCAAAGGGACCTACCCAGTCCAGATTCGTCGGCATGTCCATCATGCCGGAGCCGGTCCCTGCGTTGCCAAAGATGGTAAATGGTGACGCCACATTATTCAGAGAAGCGAAGGGGTTAGAAGGATCCATAGGGAAGCCATGCGCCATTCCGGTGCTGGCAGAGGAGTCGCCCATGCCAGTGTCAAAGTTGCCATACGATGTTGTACCCCGTGGCGACGGCCCCGTGGCACTGTTGAACATGGCAGCGGAACTTGGGGATAGGCCGCCGGAGAGCATCCCCAAGGTCATGGCGGCCGAGTGTTCAGGCTCCAGATTCGCCTCATCAAACTGTCCAAATACCTCGGCTGGGGTGGGCTGCTCTGCCGGCTTGGGTTGGGGAGGAGATCTCAACTTTTCGAGCATGATGCCAAGGACATTCGATGCCTTATATGCCTCCATAGAGGACTCGGCAGATTCTTTCCAGATCTGCTGGGATGTCTCAAGCGTATGGAGCATATCCGCACGTTGAGACGGGCTCCAGAAGTATGGATCATGATGCGGGGGAGGCTCAGCCATCGACTCCGACACTGAATCATAATGTAGTTCTAGGCAGACGATCATGGCCGCCAGAAGGTAGTCGTGCTTTGCAAGCGATGAGATGAACCATTTCATCGTTCGCATCCGACCGCCTGGTTGGATTTCTCGATGGAGTTGAGCCTGGGCACGAAGGATCTCCATAGAAGCATCGACACACGCTCGGCGAGAATGGGCGTACCGAGGATTCTGTCGTGCCCGAGCAAGGTACTTACGATGGAGCACGCATATTGTCTTCTGCCACAGTATATCCAGACTGAACCTCTGCATGAGCAGCGTTGCAGGATCATGCGTGCACTCCTCCATCGGGCGCAGTCGTAGGTGAGGGGCCATGTTATTCCTTAAATCTCGCAACCGGTTGTCACGCTTCAAGATATCATCATAACTTACAGGTTTTCCGTTCACAGCGTTGATCTCCTCGAGGATAGAGCCAAATTCGAACGAGATCTGAGCTTTGGTGATCATGTACGATACGGGGGTTGGCTCAGTGCTGGGTCGCGCCGGGGGTAATTCTCTCGATTCCGGACCGAACTCGTCATCGAAGATATTCCGAGGTAGGGCAGTATCGGTATCAGTATTTCTTATCATTCCGGGGAGAGCAAGGTGGAACGAGAACATCGTGTCCATCTGACGTATAAAAGCCCATACTCGACGCCGGAACTCGCCATGATAGGGGGTGATGCCGGAGAAATTACTTGGATCTCGGTGATAGCCCATCCGCATTGACAGACGAACGATTATGCCTACTATGACCCAGATCCCTACCTCGGCATCCCACCGACTTGTGTACTCACCGTGAACATAGAGGATAAGGGTCTCGAGCGTATATAGAGATGATTTTGTGTAGTCGGAATTAACAAGGCATTGAACGGTACGCAGCCGATACTCAGCAGCCAGTTCAAGTGTGCGGCCTAGATCCTGTCAGCAAAGTCCCGATGGGGTTATCGTATTTGAATCTTCATACCTTTCCACTCGAGAGGCTCATCCCCAATCTTGTGATACGACTGCATCGCAAGGCAGAGAACGGAATAGAGTAACCCAACCCACACTATTGACGTTTTCGATGGGTCCTGCCAGTAAGCCTGGAGTTGCTTGTGGAACGTAGGTGAGTGGAGGATGTGTACGGCTGGATCGTAAGAGTTGAAATAACGAGTCACAAGCTTATCGACGGCTGACTTGGGAGGTAATTCTGCACGTAGTTCTTGGTCTGTCGCCGAGCTATGTGCACTGAAGAGAAACGCTGGTCCATCCATTGCAGTACTCGGTTTAGACTGCTTGATCTTCTCGTAATTCTTTTCGAGCTCTTTCTTATGCGACGTGAAATAATTTTTGACTTCGGCGATCTATTCAAGAGTCAGCAAGGTTTAGACACTAAGTATTGATCGGCTAATATTGTAATAAAGGCCATATTGCGTGCAAAGATCAGGATCACACTGCGGCACTGTACCGACACAGTCCCACGGTGCAGTGGCACGAGCCAAACCTGAAATACCGAGTCTGATCCGTCAAACTTGGGGCGTGCATTGAAGCCGGAACAAAGACTCGCTCACAGTGGAGGAACATTCCGCAAAAATTTATGGGACGAGAAGAAAGACAAGAGAACTCACATCTGCTAATACCAAATGCCAATGAGAATCTCCCATATAAAGGGTCTTCCCCTTATCTGGATCGACTTTTAAAATACCGAGAGAGTTAGCTACACCATCAACGTCACTATCCTCGTCCCCATCTTCTCTCTTGACGTTTTCACCATGTTCAGGGTCCACATCATGTCGAAAGGAGGAGCTAGTAACATCGCTCTGCGAGCGGGAGATAGCAGCCGCTGCTGCGGCCGGGCCAGCAGACTGCGATCCATTGGTCATCAACGACAGCACCAGGCCTTCTAAACGGTCAATGCGGTTTTGCATATCATCAGGGCTAGTTGTTCCTTGAACTTGGTTCTTCTTTCGTGTACCCGGTGCAGCATATGAGCATGAGGAGGCGTCACCTCTTCGAGTGCAGTTCTCGCATGGGTACGACCGATTACATTTCAACCTGCAGTTCGTCAGCATCACTGAGGTTGTACTGTAGGATTTGCCCGATTGGGACTCCGAATCGACTTACTTCCTATGCCGACATGGTCCACACGACAGGGGAACACGATTCCTCTTCCGCACCACCCGGTACTGGGTATCAGGGGAGTGCCCTCCAGCGCTCGACGATGTGGTGGAGGCTGGAGTCGGCGCCATGATCAATGATGATGTTTTAAGTGCAGATGGAAAACTCAAGGGGAACGGGCCGAGTTCCGGGGAGACGGTATGACCCAGCAGCCTTATGCCCACTCAGCAACTGTAAACAGCGCCAGGGGCTAACGGACAAGGTAGCCTTCTCTTTCCTCACACACTCAAATCGCCCTTTCAATGAATTCCAATGAGAGCCAGGCACCGGTCTTTTCGTAACCGGACGTCTTCCAAATAGCGAGGCGGTGCCCTCGGGCTATCGGTCAGTAATGGAGTGTAACTGTGCCTCCTAGCCCTTCCCCGCGTCTAAATGCCAATCTGCAGACCGTCTAACAATCCTTTTCCCTGATCCGAATCTATGTGCGTCCTCCTAGTAAATCAGAAACTCAGGATCCGCCCAATATCAGATTGAAGTATAAGCCCGTGCTGAATATGTCGCGAGCTTCGCGCTGGGGTGTGTATAGTTCCAGAGCAATCAGATATCCACAGATGCCGCTGTGCAGTCAGGCTATCACGAATAGGTCCAGCGATCGTAGAGATTTGCGCCACGAGCTGCCTGACTAGATCAACCCTGAGCGATGAAGTTTCGCAGTGAAAAAGCGCGCGCCGCAAACGTCAGAAATTGGAGAGGCTCGGTGTTCATTCCATATACTGGGAGACTTGTCAGTGTCTATTTCCACAGGCGTCCCACAGCCATTCTCGGATTTATCTCACAGATTGCGGGACACGGTTTTAGCGGAGCGCTCGAATGCTGCTCCAAACAATGGTCACTTTGATCTTCCAGCCGTATCAAACGTCTTGGAGTACGCGGATGGGGATGTTCTAGAGAAGGGAGGGGGAATGAACTTCGGGTCGTGGGGGGAAGAGGTCGGAGGGGTCGTCGTGTTTTGATAATCAATCGAGTTTGATGGCTGGTGACGGCGACGGCTGCAGCCTTACGGGTCGCTAAGGCTGGAAGCCTGAGGCGCGGCGGTAGTTGCGGGCGCCGGAAAATTCAGGCGTCGATTCGAGAAGGACTACGGGGATGCAGAGCTGCAGGACCGCTGTATTCTTATTATTAATATCCTTAATACAGAAAGAGTAACGCTTGAAATGTAACCCTTGTCTGTGATTTTCTGATCTTCTCACCGTCAAAGTTTTTCTTCCCGTCTTATCTATACTTTCGGCAGCGATCGGCGATGGGAGAAAAGGAGGGTCTGCAGTTCAAAACTCTTGTCTAGAGCGGCCGGTGCTCGCGGCGTCTTTACTCTTTGCCAGTCTAAGGCTTGGGGGCACGGCAGTTCTTCCAGACCCACAGGTTAGGTAAAGACATTTGTACAATAACGACTCAGAATCGACTGCCAGCTATTAGATGGCTCACTTCATGAACTGTTTTGCTACTCTTGATGCTGTTGCTTTACATCACATGTGATGTCGCTGAACCATTTCAGAAATTATTATGTTGATATATTTGGCTACATATTATTTTTTATATCCCAACACGGCTTCCTTTCGTGCTTTCTATCCTATCAGAGATCTATAAGCAAAGCCTCTTTTCTCCAGAGCTCTTCATTCTGGACCAAGATGATTTATCTTGCCAATTGTCTCCACCAGAGACTATGATCTCTAGTCTCTCCCTAGATTCCAGTCATTGAATCTTGCTGCTACATTCGCGACCCCCTTTCGGGCAGTCTAATCTTCCCCCTTAGGGTAAACAGGTCCAAAACATCAAGCTGAATTCCCCATTTCATGCTGTTCGCCCGGGCAAAGTAGTTGGACTCGGGCAGGTTTGGCAGTGTCCTGTATCGAGCTGAATGAGTAGGATGCAAACTGCCACTCTCACCCTCCAATCCCAAAGCCATACCAAGTGCTGTCAGGGGGCGCTGCTCCCTTTTCCAATTCTTCCAAACCAGCATCGCAGAGCTGAAGGTTTGCCTCGGGAATCTCCCACGTCGCGACCTCATCTACACGACTTAAGAACTGCATCACCAGCCCCGCTTCAGAATGCCAGGCCATATGGCAATGGAAAGCCCAGACTCCTGGATTGTCCGCCACAAATCTCAATGCCAACCAGCCAAATCCCTCGGCAGTAGCAACGTCCCTTCTAGTCAGATTATCTAATCCCCCTTGATTGTCCTCCAAAACACCTTGACCCTCAGCTCTCAATCCAATGGATTCATAACCGGGAAACATGCCGTGACCTTGGCCAAGGACCCAGAACTTGTGTCCGTGTAAATGCATTGGGTGGTTCCCTTCGTCGAAGTTCTGGATGATCAAATCCACAACCTTCACTCCGGTATGCTGGATGACAAAATCATTCTTCAGATCGTAGGCCACTGCGTTCACGCCGTCACTGTCACTCATGGAGGTGAAGCTCTCGTTTCGTTTGCGTAACCCCTCCACTGTTCTGTGAAGCGTTGGGAGCTGTAAATTGGGTCGGAAGGTAGATTGATTGAAGAACCCTCGCTCTAGCCGCCAATCACCAATTTCGAGGTTTGAACGGAGATAATAGCTATGATCCGCAACGGCAGGGGCGGGCTCATGAGACACGGGAACGTACCGCGTCGTGTCCATGTCCTTGCACTGGACCGCGAACTCCGGGTTCGTATTCGTGGAGGTTGGTTGAGGAGCTATTGTTGTGGAAGATCTGGCATGACCGCTAGAGGTATACTGGATAATGGCTTTGACCTCATTAGCACCCCCGCCAGGTAGTTGAGACTCTTTCCAGCAATGGGTGACCATCCTTGCGCGAAGCCAGAAGGAATCGGCAGTGGTTTGGTTGGTATTTAAGATCATGCTGTATCGCTGAGCGGGACTGATCATCAAACTCGACTCATAAGCAGGAACAGTATCTGTCCCATCTACTTCCGTAATGGCAAACTGATGCTCATCCACACTGACTTGAAACCAAGCGAATGCTCCTACGTTGATGAATCTTAAACGATGGTTGGCGTTGGCTGCCAGATCAAAGGTGGGAAGAGCGGCTGTCGAGTTATCGCACATCCGATGAGGAAGGGCCGAGCAGTCGCGCTGGTTAAGCCCATTGATCAAAGCTCCGTCTGGTATAGGAGAGGACTCGCTACCAGGCTCGAGGGCACTCACAAGTAGGCCACTGCTGAGATCATGATAATGGTCCTGAAGCATTACAACTCGATCCGTGGCATATGAAATCTGCTGTAACTTCTTCTCGTCTCTGGAATGAACCACTACAGGTCCATATAGGCCGTCTGAAGCTTGTGCGGCTTGGTGGCCATGGTAATAATACGTGCCTGACTGTCCAGTGACCGTGAATTCGTATCGAAACTTCCTCTTCGGGGCAATTGGGCATTGTGTGATTCCCGAAGTCCCATCCATGAAGTTCGTGCCATTCTGAAATATGCCGTGGAAATGCAGAGATGTGGCATTGACACTCTGGTTATCCACCTCGATAACAAGGGTATCTCCTTCATTGCACTCGATCAGCGGGCCCGGGAACTGGCCATTGATGGAGATCATGGGTCTGAAGACACCATCCGGATTTGCCACAATGTCGACAATCGTCCAGTTATATTCCCTGACCTGGCTGGCAGCGTCAAGATTCCAAGCTTTGTCCAGGACATAATCACTTGCTGGTCTCCGGAAGCCTCCCATGCCGGAGACTTTCAGAGTCTCGTCGCCCGACTGTTCGTGGTGTTTGGAAACGATGAAGAACCTTGTAAAGAATGACAACGCACAGAAGACAAGGACAGCTGTGAGAAGTGACCCCGCGACAGCCCATCCTGTTCGCAGATGCCATTCTACTTTGTACGTGACATCTCCGGTCGCCTCGAGATCCCCGCCTGCGAGAAGCCGTTCTTCTTGTTCGCCCTCGAAACCACCGTCCCGCTCACTGTCTCGTTCCTGCAACTCCATGTCCTTCCCTTCAGAAAAGGACGGGGATTTGTCTGTGTGCACACCCATATTCGAGAGTTGTTATTCGTCACTCGCGGTTCTTCCAGTCTCTCACTGATGCGGTATCAATTGTCCATCGCACTGGTGATTCCGAACCCCGCAGGAGACAGTGACGGGTGGAAGGATTGAATGGCTCAAGTAGGGAATAAGAGGAAGCTATCTCATCAGAGGGAAGAGAGTGGAAAGGCAAGAGAGGTCGGAGGTGGACTCGGCCCCATCATCCAGGAGTTTCTTTTCCGCGGTCCCCCGTGTGTACACAGTTCATGGCAGATGTCGCATGGAGGAGCTCCAAGAGTGGAGTTGGTGCTGGGACCTTGTAACCTTGGACATTCGTCGTTACGTTGTCCGCACCAGGTTGTTGTTACTTGGTGATGATAAGGTAGCTCGAGATCTCGCCAATAAGAAGCGAATATCTCCCCACGCGCCTGTAGCGATGGACGGCCGCATTGGGCTTTTGTCCGAAGCGAAGGGTGGTTCAGCATCGGCCTCTCCAGCTTCACAAATCATGAGAACCAGAATGCCACTTACTTCGGAATGGCAATGCCAAGGTCGAGAAGGACCGTATTCACAATGCGGTCTTACGAGTGCAAGCCTCCTCTCCCCCAATCAACAGAGACACGGTGGTAAGCTACGATACTACGGCACCACCAACGTCCATGAACCGCCATGGACCCGTATCCATATTTCCCATATGTCTATCCCATGCCCCATGCCCCATGTCCCATGTCCCTCGATTGCATGGCTTTCACGCCAGGACGCAGGCACGAGCCGATGCATACCTAGTCTTTTGCTGAGTGAGATCCGATCTGACAGCACCGATCATAGGATGATAAGATACGCCAAGTCCGGGACAAACTCCCTCGTGCGTGCATCCTATGGCCAGGAGCAAAAGCATATGGGTAAATCGGACGTAGCTCAACCTCCACGCAGCCAGCGCTGTTGTCCCGCTCTGGGGGCTTTGCTCTGCTTCCCGACCCGCCCTATGTCGTCAACTCTTATTCGTCCGAGACAGTGTCTCTCCCCTCTTTTGAAGATTTGCTCCTTCACAGCCCAACTATCAATATCGTTCTCTCTCTTTTCCCGCTGTTCTAGAACACGTCCCGCGGTTCAGGTACGCGGGTTGTGCGTAGCTACAAGTATCTAGTCAATCCCGCCTGTCTTGAACTTGTCTCTCCAGTCTGGCAAGTCTGGATCCCTTTGACACGGTGCTTTAACAGGTCTTCAAGATGTTCTTCTCTACTGCTGCTGTCGTTGCCACTTTGGCCTCCGTGGCCGTTGCGGCTCCAGCATCCCCTACAGCCACTGACCCCGCTGACGTCTATGCTGCTCAAGCAACCGCGCTCACCCAGAGCCCAACCAGCAAAGTCAAGGGCAAGGCCTTCGATCGCTATGTCTCAATTGTATGGAATCTTTTCTTCGTTTGCCCTACTGGATCATGTCTTATTGCACCTTTCGGTGCAAGAGACAAAGCATTCCACTCATCCTCAATCCTATTCAGAAAAACAGAGATGTTGACTTTGAAATGTTCCAGTGGTTTGAGAATACCGATTATGACATGGCTGCGGCGGATCGTAAGCAGGTCTCTCTACTCTACGTGTAACATCACTAATTGAAACATAGCCAACTTCAAGTTCTTTGCTGAGAAGGGAATTATTCTGAGCAACAACATTGCCGTGACTCACCCCAGTGAGCCAAACTACATGGCCGCCGTTGGGGGGTACGTCCTTTCGCTCATACGTAGTAATTATAAACACAATCACTGATTCGATGATAGTGACTACTTCGGTCTCGATGGTGACCCATTCACCCAAGTTCCTCAGAACGTTTCATCCGTCGTTGACTTGCTCGAGGATAAGGGCATCTCTTGGGGTCTGTACCAGGAAGACATGCCCTACACGGGCTACCAGGGGTTCGACTGGGTCAACCAAAAGACTGGACAAAATGACTATGTTCGCAAGCACAAGTAAGTCCAGCTTGGTTGACCTGCGTTTCTACCGTTAACACCGTTCTAGCCCTGAGATTCTGTACAACTCCGTTGTCACCAGCCCGGAGCGTCTTGCCAACATCAAGAACACCACTATGTTCTTCGAGGACCTCAAGGCAAACAAGCTCCCTCAATGGATGTTCATCAGTAAGTCTCCCTGATTCGGTAAACATTGCGGGAGGTGCTAACCGTTCAACAGCTCCCAACATGACTTCTGATGGTCACGACACCTCCGTCACCGTTGCCGGTGTCTGGTTGAAGCAGTTCCTTGCCCCCCTCTTGGACGACCCCAACTTCATGGACAACACCCTCGTCCTCCTCACCTTCGACGAGAACGAGACCTACTCCATCCAGAACCGCGTCTTCAGCGTTCTCCTTGGTGACGCTGTCCCCAAGGAGCTCGTCGGCACCACCGACGACAACTACTACAACCACTACTCCGAGATCTCCACCGTCGAGGCCAACTGGTAAGTCAAACCCCCCTCGCTTCCCCTCCCCTGTCTAATCCCCAACAGGGATCTCCACACCCTCGGCCGCTGGGACGTCGGCGCCAACGTTTTCTCCTACGTCGCCGCCAAGACCGGCGACCGTCTCCGCAAATGGTCCACCACGCCTCCCCTCAACGAGCGCTACTTCAACACCTCCTACCCCGGAATCTTCAACTCCAAGAAGTGGGCCCCGCAGCCAGTCCCCGACTGCCACTCGCGCCGCAACGGCCGCACCACTCTCCCGGCCATCAAGAAGACCTGGGAGCAGGAGCAGGACAAGAACTACTACCACGGCCAGCTTGAGATCCCTGATGGAGCTAACCCCCCTGTCTACCCTTACACTTACTAAGTGTGTGTGTATATACTTGCCCTGTGGAAGCGATATGCCGGTGCGCATGAGGGATGAGACTTGTTATGAAATGCAGAGTTTGAAAGAAAAGAAAGACAAGGTTATTTTAATTTCTAGTACATAATTAGAAAATCTTCCTCTGCTAGACTGCTACCTTCCCACCTCAGACCGCAACTCGTATCTACCTACCTACCTACCCTACCTACCTACCTAATCCAAAAGTCCTCATGCATATATGTATGTATGTATGTATGTATGTATGTATGTACCTGACGTCGCATCGTCCATACATACATACATAAACGATGCAATCACGCCCCTCCCCAGTACGCAGCCCCTCCTATTCATCCATCCATCCATCCAATCCACACCCTAGCATAATGCAACCCCAACCCCGCATCAAGGCTTCTTTATCTTAATTTTAGAGCTCCGATAAAGCTCGATACTCTTTTTTTCCCCTCCTTTCCCCTTCTCTTCTCTTCTCTTCTCTCCTCTTCTCTTCTCTTCTCTCCTCTTCTCTTCTCAATCAAACAAACAAAATAAAACCAAACCAAACCAAAAATCACCTTAGTTCTCATTTACTGATCAACTCTATATACCTATATCATACATCTAGATCTCCTCTTCTTACAACCCAGGAATTCGTGTGATTTTTTTTTTTTTTTTTTTTTTTAAAAAAAAGAGAATGTTTTATTTCATTTCATTTCCCTTGTATTCTGATAGGTGAGTCAGGGGTCGGAATCGGGATTGGAATTCGGTTTATTTCTTGATAGGTAGGTAGGAAGGAAGGCTGAGGGTTGGAGGGGGGGGAGGGGAGGGGAGAGGAGGGGAGGGGAGGGGGATTCTTAGGTAGGTATAGACGCAGATAAATAGAGATAGATGTAGGTAGATGTATGTATTCTATAGATATAGATAGATAGATAGATAGATATAAAGAAGCCCAACTCCCCTTCCCTCCCCCGGCCCCCTAAATCTCCATAATCAAAATCACAATAAAATATAGGTAAATCAACGCATATCACTCCTAAATGAAGGAATTAATTGATCGCGGATCGGATCGGATCGGATGATTTGTTGTTTCTTTATATAGGTAAGGTATGTATATGTGTTATTTGGGGTAGGTAGGTAGGTAGAGGTATGTAAATAGGAGTCAGGCCTAGGTAGGGATGGGAGTACCTTAAGGAGTATAGATAGATAGATGGATGGGTTGTATGAGAGGAAAGTGAGTTGGGGGGGGGGGGGGTGAGAAGAAGTGGAGGAGATAGGGGAGGGAAGAAGAGAAGAGAAGAGAAGGGATCTGGAGGATAGAATAACAGGAGGGGGGGGGGGGGTGAAATGATGGAGTTTTGGAATTTTGGAGGAGAGGGTCTTGTATTTATCTATTGTGATGACTGGACTGAGATGTGGGTATTGGATATGATGTGATGTGATGTGGTTAGGGGCCTGAAGTATCGATATATACATCGTCGGTCATGGTGTAAAGAATGCCAACTTCAAGTTCGCTGTTTATGAGGACATCGCATCTTGTACATTAGGCTGTAGGCCTCCAGGGGCGCGTATTGACCGTTCAATTCTCTATGCAGTAGCGGCTGTAGTTGCTTGTTGGGATGGGGCAGCCGCTCCAGTGCTCTTCACTACACTGTAGGGCTTTAAGAAATCCGGGTCATTGCTCAGTTCCTCCTTTACCTGCGCGAGATGATTAGTCGCTGCTTCTACTGGGTTTCGTCGGGGAAGCCTTACGATGTCCAGACCGCCAACAAGCTCACCATCAACCCATAATTGGGGGAAGGTTGGCCAGTCGGCGAATTCTTTCAGCCCTTGCCTGACCTCGTCATCTGCCAATATGTTGAAGAATCCATACTTGACCGAGTTCTCCCTCAAGATCCCAACCAGTTGTCTTGAGAAACCGCACTGCGGAGCACTCGGTGTGCCCTTCATGAACAACATCACGGGCGCGGCCTTGACCAGATTCGATAATCTCTGGTGTAGATCTTCCTTATCCTGTTTTGTTTCGCCTGCTGCGGCCAGAGGTGACACAGCCGAGTCTGTTGATGCTGGTGCGTAGCTGCCGAGGTTCTTTGCGCCGGCCCCGTTGCTGGTTGCTACGCTGACTCCATTGCTTCCTGCTCCGGCTCCGTTTGCATGTTTCTCAATTGCCGCTCGTACTTTCGTGGCATCGCTCCCGCTGACGGTCTCGAGGACTTGTTGGTTGCGGGTAAGAACGAGGTATGGGACGGCAGTGACGTCGAAGGAATCGCTGACTTCGATGACCTCCTCGGCGTTCATGGAGACCCATGAGGTTGTCAGGGGATCTGTGACTGGGTAGGACGAAGCCAGAGTCTGCAACACCGTCGTCATGTGCTTGCAAGCTGGGAGGTGTCAGCCAGAGTCCCCAAGACTGCAAGAAGCTTCCAAAGCATGAGATGACCCAAAGGTCTGCGTGGCATAGAGATTGGGGGCAAGGCACTTACGAGCTGCCCATGGGGCGTGGAAGGAGATGATCTGGAGGGTAGTTGGTGGGAGAGAGGCAACATGTTGGTTCCACTCCTCCTCGGAGGTGATTTCTTTGAGGGTGGACATTGCGGATATGACAAGGAGATGGGAGTCGCAAAGAAAGCGATCTGGACTTGGGCGACCAGAACGAAGGTTATCTCAATGAGGCTCGTTGGTTATCGGCTTATCTGACCACGATGGACGACGAAGTGGGGGGCGACAGACAGGCACGATCAAGCCTGGTCAATGGGGAGGCGGATGGTGAGAGTATATCAGAGTCTTCACAGATCTATTGATCGAGGTCGTCGAAGTTCTGGAGAGATACAGGCGTGGCGACGAGGGAGTGAAGAGGGGTGATTTGCTCTGCGGGGGAGATTCAAGATCAAAACTTTCGGCTTCAGGATTCCTGACTAGCTCTGTACAGTAATCAGATCGCGCTAGGACCATCGCGTCATTGGGGGTGCGGTCACGTGAAAATGCATGTGCGATGGGTGATGATATATATCTACAGAGTCTGGGTTTTATGGTTTATGGTTTTGAACATTTGGGAGGACAATGGTGGTTCCGTCTCATGTGCCTGACTGCGCATAGATTGGAATATCGCATGACCCTGACCCATGGCTCTATCCATCCCTGATTCCCCTCCTACACGAGCTGTTCGGAAAGATTTCCTGAAGATACATAGAAGATCCGACTGTCGGCCCAAAACAGATGTGGCTGAGAATTGGTGGCTGAGCTGGGTCGGCGCCACATGACATAATTCGAAGCTGCCACGGGGAAAAGAGAAGAGAGGTCAAGAGAAAGAAAGAAAAGAGAAACGAATGAATGACTTGTATATATCTATATCAAGAGAAATATGCAAATATGTATAAATTAGACCAATCAAGATAGATATGTATATCAACCAGGCACAACAGCACCTCTAGAGCGGAATCGATCGCATCGTTCGTCGTAGTCTTGCGCCGACCGCCTTTGGTACAACAATAGTCTGTCCGCGGGCCCTACCATCACCCCCGACCCCAACCCCTTCAAGTGTGCTTGGCGTCTCGCATCTTCTATCCTCCGTCCAACAAATAAACCATCTCCTCCTGAAGAGAGATCCCCGACCTTGTCTGTCCTCCCCAAGGCTATCTATCCATCCAGACTTCACACGTACGTCCTGCCCTTGCTGTCGCCATCACCGCATCACCGGCGCAACCCCATCTAATCCCCGATCCGCAGATCCTACCACGCACAATGTCCAACCAACAGTACTACGGCGGTGGTCAACCACAGTATGGCTATCCGCAACAACCTCCCCAGGTACGCACGCATCGCATTCCTCCGGCGCTTGAATGAATGAAATGAATCTCTCGCATCCTGCCCCCCCTTCGTAATCTTCATCTTCGTCGAGCGCTGCCGCTGATACCTCATCTACCACAGGCTTACGCCGCGGGCTACGCTCCTCCTCCCCCGCAAGGATACCCTCCCCCACAAGGCGGCTACTATCCCCAGCAGCCTCCTCCACCCGTCAGTAATCCGCGCATGTCCAGATGATCTGATTGCGAACCTTGGACTGACCAACACTCCTTAGATGGCATACCAGCAGCCTCCTCCACCCAAGAGACAAGGAGGTGGTGGTAATGGATGTTTAGGGTAAACCCATCTCTCTCCCTCCCTGATGCAAGGGGAAAAAATAAAAATAAAAGTCCTGGATTCTAACATATAAAATAGAGCATGTTTGGCTGCTCTCTGCTGTTGCTGCGTTGCTGAAGAAGGATGTGAGGCATGCGCCGACTGTGCAGGTAAACCTTCCTCCCTCCCTCCCTCCCTAACATCATCCAAATCCATTCAATCATTCAATCATTCAATCAATCATTATACTAACACCAACCCCCCAGAGTGCGCAGAAGGCTGCTGCTAGTTCCCTCCCCCCCGCAATCCACCCCTACTTCTTCTCACACCATGTACAAAGCAAAAAGCTTTCGCCCCCAAAGAATCTTTCAAAAACAAAAGATCTCAGCCCACAGCCGCCAAGGAAACCGGATAATCTGGGAGGAAGGAGGAAGGAGGAAACCAAAGAAGAAACGACGCCTGGGATAATGGAGCAACAAGAAAAACACACACACAACAGGTTGTGATGGTGGGCTGCTACGGCGCTGAGCTGAGCTTTGGTTTTTCGGTGGTTCTTGCTTGCTTGCTTGCTTTTCCTTTTTTTTTTCTTTTTGCGTTTTGACTGACATTGTGTGCATGATCAATCAATCAAATCCTGAGTACCCCCCCCTTTGTTTTTCCCTTTTTCTTTTTCTTTTTTTAAGAGCTTATCAAAGTAATTATTGATGGATGATGTTTTTTCTTTGGATTTTGGTTAAGTCAGTCTTTGAATGTGAATGTGAATGTGAATGTGATGATATTCCTTAACCGTATCGATGAAAAGGACATACCTATCTATCTATGTATATGGTAGTAGATCTCTATTCATACAACACTTCGCTTCCTTTCCTTCCTACACGAAAAGGAAAAAGAAAAGAAAAAGACTTGAAATCCTGATATACTTAACTCTACTGTACTACTGTATTTATCTATACATAACCTAAGATAGGTACATAACATACAAGCAAGTATCACCCACACTACGCTACATGCACGTTTCACCAAGTTAGAAAGACGGACAAGACAGACAGATACAGCTGAGCAAGATATGATATATATCTCTTTCTATCAATCAATCAATCATTGGATATTGTGCTTTTTGTTTGTTTGTTTTGTTTGGTTTTTTGACCAGCAATCTCCTTCCTCCCTTCCTCCCTCCCTAGCTACCTTCCTTACCTACCTTGCCTACCTTACCCTACTTTACGAATCTCTTTATCTACGATCCGAGCACGAGCACACACACTTCTTCTTCTTCTTACTCATCAAGTTGTACATAGTTAGCAGGGAACAATCCCGAGCTACCTTGGTAATGGCCGAACCACCAGTCCTCGTCAGGGAATTCCTAGATATTCAAGTTAGTCGGGGCAGGAGAGGGGGCAATGAGACGGGGGAGGGAGGACGGGGGGCTTACGAGTCCGGTGATCGTGGCGCCTTCGGGGAAGCTCAGCTCGTTGTCTTCCGCCGCTTCGTAGTCGTAGAGCGCACTGGCCGTGGGGCCTGAAGGCGCGGCTGCGGCTGCGGCTGCCGTGGGAGCTGCTGGGGCGGGCTCGGGCTCGGGCTCGTGGCTGGCGGGAGCCGGCGCCGCATCGTCGTCGCCCTCGACGAGCTCGACGTAGTTGCTGGGGAACAGACCGCTCTCGCCCTTGGAGTTCGTGCCCATCCACCAGTCTTCGTCGACCATCTCGATGTTGGTGATGTATTGGCCTTCCACGAGATCAATCTCGTTGTCTTCTGCTTTCTCGTAGTCGTATTGGGCCACTGCGCGTTTGCCGCTGGCGCTTGATCCCTGGTGGGCGGTGGCCTGCTCTCCGAATGAAGCTTCGGCTACGGCTGCACTGGCAGCACGAGCTGGATCGTGGCCTGCGGGCTCTTCGTCGAGATCCTCCTCGTGTGGAAGGTTCTGTTCAATGGCTTGTGTTGGGAGGGCTGGCGGCGGGTTGCGATCCTCGGGTGCTTCCATCTCGGGTTGCTTACTTCGTGCAACAGGCATGGCAATTCGTACAGGGGAGGACTCGCGTTCTGGGGATTCAGGTGTGGGGCTCCGGGGGATTTGAGGAGGTGGGGGGATGTTGGGGCCGGCATGCTCTTCTTCAGATGGATGGGATTGAGATGGGACACCCACTTGCGGTCTGTTTGACGTGTTGATCGGTGGAGGTGGAGGTGCTTGCTCTCCCGTTGTTGCTTTAGGAATGACTGGTGCGCCCATTGGTACTCCTCCCTTGAACCGGTCTCTCAACGCGCCAACTCCACCAGCAGTTGATTGAGTCTCTTCCTGCTCACGCTCTTCTTCGCCGGTGCGTTGCTGACCAATGCTTTCGGTTCCAGAGCGGCCCGTGGCATTAGTAGCAACTGGAGCCCATGTCTTCCCAGTATATCCACTCTTCCATTCCCCGGTCCCACTTGCTTGGCTTTGGACTGGAGAGGTGACAGATGGTGGAGTAGCCCCAGCGCTGCTTGTACCTCTTTCTCGCGCCTTCTTCTCGGCCCAGATCTGAGCCGGGGTCTTACCACCTTCATCAGCAAAGGTTCGACTGGCTGCACCGACTGGAGGAGGAGTTGCCGCAGGCGTGGATTGGAATCCGTAGACGGCCGGAGTAGGTGCCTTGGTTCCTGTGAAAGTTGCAGCGGAGCCAAATTTATTGGCAACCTTAGGCTTTGGCAAGGCTGTAAGTCGTTCGGATTGTGTGAAGGCAGCAGATCTTTCAGCTAGTGATTTCGGCGGCTCGCTGCTTGTGTTGCTAGTGGCCGAGGCGCCTGTTGCGGCTGGTGTGAGTTGTTGAGCACCATCATCAGGCGGCTTTTGTGCTCTAGCTCTAATAGCAGCAATGTCGACCTTTCCAACAGGCTCGTAAGCGCCTTTCACCACTGTCGGCCGATCGTCCTCCGTCTTCTGCGCCTGGGCACGTATAGCTGCAATATCAACCTTTCCAACTGGTTGATAGCCTCCTTTCACAATGTCGCCTGAGTCCGCACGATCGTTATCTCGCCCACCACCATTGAACCTCGAAGGCTCTTTCTGTTTTGTCAACTCCGCCATGTTGACCTTGGTTGGCTGATATGCAGGTGCAACCTTTTCAAGCTGTGTTCGAACCACGGGGGGCGCATCCGCACCCCAGCCATCCTCATCTACATTGCTGTCGTTATGGCCGGGCCGTGTTCTTGACGCTAATGGATTGAAGCCGGTGGCTCCGCCTGTTCGTGTGGGAGTGAAGACGGGCTTAGAAGCTACCGGTGGTGCAGGTCCGGAGCTTGGTGGAGGGGCAGCAGATCCTGCTGAATATTTTGCGCCAGATGCATCTGCGACTTTCTGGACAATGCTTTCCGGAGTGAGGTCGCGATCGGATCGGGCTGTAATTTGTACGTGGTATCCCTGAGCCACCAAGATTAGTAACAGTTATGGAGAGACAGAAAGGGGAACCCACATGAAGAATCTTGGAAACTGCTGCAAGGTGGCTTGTGAAGTAGCCTTTGGTTCTTTCAGGCACACCCTCGCCGCACTGCAAGTGTTGTGTCAGCACAAGACGCAATGCGGTCTCTGGTTATAATTCCACAACTCACCCATCCGATCAAGACATATTTTGGCAGCGTGGTATTTGGATCCTTGACTTTGACAAAGGCGAATTGTACACGTCCTTCCGAGAAGTCATCGATCAGGTCAACGAGCTCTCCCTCTGTTGGTTCCGAATGTCAGCACAACCCATGTATATAGCAGCGGGGCCTCCGACGAGAAGCATTGCATACCCCCAGTGCTTTGAACCTTCAACACACTCTCCTTGCCGCCACTGTCATGCTGAAAGGCGTTCACCAGCGGTGCGGACACGGAGAAAAGAGCCCATTGTCCATAGGTAGGAGAGCTTGCCGCGGGGCCGCTTGGGGCCGAGGAATTGACAACACCCAGGTAGGAGGATTTGATGGATGGGCCGTTGGAAGAGGTGTTCAACGAGGCCATTTTCCAAGGCGAGTTACGATGGGCTCGTAAAGCCAGGAACTGGGAGTAGGGACTGTTATGAACTTAAAGGGGGGGGGAAGATGTGTTGCCTTGCGAAGTCGAGCTCTTGGGCGGCGTCATCCTTCTTCGCTCTGGCTCTGGCGCTCTCTCGCTTGGCAAAGGCTGCTTTGGTTCGACACACCGCCCCCCGGCCCAGGTCCGCCCGGTGTGCAGTCACGTGCGCGGCTCAAATGCTGCTGGGCCAATCGATTGTCGCATTTCTGGCTCGCCTCATTTTCTTCTCCCTCTCCACCAACGGTCAACACTCATCTATATCACCCCCTCCCCCCCCCATACATCCGCACTCGCCTCTTCTTGGAGAAGTACATAACCACTCCCTCAGCCCTCTCGACTCCTCTCGAGCTTCTTCTCTTTTCCATCTGCCATATCTCACTCCGCCCCCCCTCCCCCCCAAAAATCTCCAAGCAGATATCCTGTCGCTGCTTCACTTTCGTTGCCGTCGCGCAGTTCTGTCTCTATACCTAGTCGATTTTGCGCGCATGACGCGGTGTTCTTTCTTGCTCAGATTGCGAGGCGTTTGTGCCAATCTGAAAAGTCATCAATATCTCCCTAGTTGCTAGTTGTTTCTGATCCCCATCATTGCACAACTGGCAATTTTCTTGTTGTCTTCTTTTCTTGCTTGGTGTCTTGGAGCTTACCCCTAGCTTCTCTTCCAAACTGCTGGCTCTATAAACCCGTCATCTATACTATACCACCATGGATGTGCCAGCCAGCCAAGTTGCCACAGGTGGCACGGATGCAGCCCCAGCAGGTCCCGTTTCGGACGAGTCGCCAGCGGCGCAGACCCTTCTGAGCGCCAGCGAGAACCAAGCCTCCACGCACATGAATACCTCGGCTCTCAACCATGATGACGACTCGGCGTCAGACGTTTCCATGTCTGCTGAGACTGACGACGAAGAGGATGGGGCTCCTCATACCTCTGCCATACAAGTGAACCCGGATATACAGGTTTTGGACCAGCCTGCCAGTTCGGGCGCAATAGAACCAGTTCCAGTTGGAGACGGATCCAATAAACGAAAGTATCCTGCCTCATTGGAAGATTCCCCAAATGGATTGCCAGCAGAGGTTCGCAAACGCCTGAAGCCAGATGAGCCCTTGCAAAACTACAGGAGTCCTGAAGGCAAATTGCCTCGGGACAAGTCTCTATTGCCCGCAGAAATTTGGCATCATATCTTTACTTTCATACCCCCAAGAAGTTTGGGACTCCTGTTATCGGTAAACAGATCTTTCCATGCTTATCTTGATCCTTCTTCATCCGACCGTTCCATTACTCCCTTGCCAAGATCAGTTGCCCAGATCTTGAAGCCAGATGCCATTTGGCGCGCCTCCAGACGGCTCTTTCGACCTGGTATACCCGCGCCCCTAAATGGAAAGTCCGAACTTGATATGTGGAAACTGGCCTGCTCCTCCTCGTGCCAGTTCTGCGGCAGGAAGAAGCAGCCAAATGGTACCGTTCCAATGGATCAATGGCATCCGGGTCCAGGTGAAAATGGGATCGCCCCCGTGTGGGCGTTTGGAATCCGTACTTGCGGCTCTTGTCTCCAGCAACGTTCCTCGAAGGTAGTTCATGACGTTATTTTATCATTGTTCTCTTGTTCACCACTGATCTTGCGCCAGGAAATCGATCTTCTCTTGTCGTCTACAGTTCCTTCCCCACTCATGGCTGCGCTGCCGTTCGTGTTTCTTACCAATGAATTACACGTTCTTCCTTTGACAACCTTGCAAAATGGACAGCCACCGCCATCAATCCAGATAACAAAAAACTTCTTCCAGCCCCAGATTGAAGCCATTACTCGGGAGTTCTCGGAAGTCAAGTCTATGGGATCAGCAGCCGCAGAAGAATGGATCAAAGGTCTAGATGATCGGGGCAAAGAGCGAAGGAATGATTCAGCGCGCTGGGAACGCTGGGAAGCCAGTGGTGGTGTTGGACGGATGCGTATTGCGGAGCCGCAAGAAGCTAGCAAGCCCACTATACAACCCAGCAACTCTACACCGACGGCTACTACACCGAACTTCGCGAAAGGGCCAGCGGTGACCAACGGACGTGTCCCTGTCTTTCAAGACCAGAATCCCAATCAAATGCCGATGAAAGTCCTTCCGCAAGTACCTCAACTAACACTGCCCCCTCATGCCATCTGTATGTGTAATTAAATCTCCTATTAACCCAATCAAATATATCCTCGGTTCGAACTAATGTCTGGATTCTTCAGCAACGAGCCTCCCGCGCTTCGATTCGCCTTCCCAGGCCGGGTTTGCAGCTTACACCCCTCGCAGTGCTCACCCCGCACCTAAGCACGAAAGGACAAAAGAAGAGGTCGCTGAGCTTAAGGCAGCTCGAAGAGCAGAGATTGAGAGACGATGCATGTTGCTCGACCCACCGCTAACCGCAAATGTTTTAGCACATATGCCCTCATTCCAGGCCGCTATTCAGATCATCCAACCTTTAGATGATAGTGCCTGGCAAGTTCTAGAGCCGAGGCTAATTTCCCAGCGTCACGATGCCGAACAACGGGAAAAGGAACGACTCGCTCAGACCCGAGTGGTTCAGGAGCGTTTTGATGATGTGCAGCCCAGATCGGATTCCAGGGATCTCCTTGATCGGGAATGGGAAGACATCCAGGCTCCATTACGTACCCGGATTGGTGGGTATGCCGACGAAACCATTCGTGATGCCTGGGCTGGTGGTGATAAGGTGACCAAGGATAACTGTCCTGCATTCGCAGCAGAGGTCTTGATGTATGTCCGCAAGAGATTTTATGCCGAGGTGGCCAAGGACGAAGCCGCTATCCGCGCAACTGGTCGAGAACCGGAAACGGATCCTCCCAACGGACCTTTTACTCGAAAGCTCACATTGGAGAATATGAAGTGGGTATTCGATACCAAGATCAAGCCACACACGGAACAATACCGTAAGGAACTTTTTCTTTGCAGTGAGTGCGAGAATAATTTCAAGTTCTACGGCTTCGAAGGTGTGATTCAGCACTATGCCGCTAAGCACACCAATGAGCTCAGTGTTGGGAGTATTGTCGTCCATTGGAAATCCGAATGGCCAGAGTACCCTCCATTCAATCCGGAGCCTCTCTCTAGTAAGCCTTCATACTATGCTGCTCCTCCAAGCGCCAGTATCCCGTACCCTGTCAATGCACCACAACAAAGCTACGGCTACGGTGCGTATCAGCCAGCACCTGTTTCGGCTCCAATGCCAGGCCCCAATCCGCATGGCTACCAAGAAGGTCCAGCTCCTTACTACGGACACCCACAGTTTGGGGATCAATATTCTGGACATCAGAACGGAGCATATGCTCCACCACAACCATACCCGGAAGCATCACAGAGTTATCAAGCCCCGCAGTACTCTGTACCTCCAGTGGGCAATAATCTTGGGTACAATGAGCCACCGCAGGATTATTCTCAACAGGGCTTTGGTGGACAGTACCCAGCGACAAGTGACGGATATTACAATTCTTCCCATGCCGGTCCATTGTACCCCGCATCAGCTCCTGAAGCTGTGGCCCAACAACCGTCCTATGCTCAAGGGAGCCAATATGGATACCCCTATGCCCAACCACCTGTGCAGGCACCAGCCCTACCCGCCAATCATTTCACACCCTCACCCCAAAGAACGGAGGCATACAAGGCTCAGCTACAAGAAGTGGCGAAAAGTGCCAGAGAAGTCTGGGACTCTATTAATAACATTAAGGATATCCCGGGAAGTGTGAAGGTTTATACTATCATTTATCACGTGTTGAAGAGATCACGCGCCAAATTCTCTGAAGACCCGCCTCTTTCAATGATTGTTGATGGTCTTTCCAGTAACAAGGATATGCGCAAAGTCCGGAACATCAATGGTCTTCTGTGCAAAGCATGCAGCTTAGGCATGGCAGGCTCGTCCTCCGCCCCACAGAAGAAGCACTTCTCTTTTCCCCAGCTTGTCAACCACTTCTATTCGGTTCATGAGCAGGGAGTATCTCAAAGTGACCCTGGCCATGTTCCCGACTGGACCAAAGACATGGTTGATCTTCCTGATCTCTCTCGCCTGGCTTCGGTACTCAACAGGCCTGGAACGAACGAGCAGAAGCTTAAGCTTATTGGAGAAGCATTGCCAGAAATATTTTCAGCACCACAGCAAAGCACGAACGGGAATCATATGGGTCAAAGCCAATCATATACAGACAATGTAGAGCGGGAGCCGTATGCCCTTGCTCCATCCAGGGATAATCACGAGCAGTATTATTCAGCTGTTGATAGTGGCAGACAGTCTGAATCCGGCAATCAGACTTATGATAATGGTCAATATGACCCTCGCAATCCGCGCGATTCACGAGAATTGCAAACCTCGGAGAACCATCAACCTAGGTATAGAGTTCTACGGCGCGCTGAGGATTATTATCCAACATCGTATGAGAATCAACCTGAGCGCTCGTACATTGAACCAAGAGCCGTCTCACCCCCCTCCCAAAAGAGACCAATTGACGGTTATAGCCGTGGCATCGTCCGTGAAGAGGCCCCATCCTACTTGGATCAACAGATCCGCTACCGTGACGAGGGAGATGTGGAGTACCGAGTCCGGCGCGAAGCAGCGACACCATCTTACGGTCCCTCAGAAGCAGACCATCGGCTTGCCAATCCCCGTCCCTACAGGTCGAATCGTCATGATGTTCCAACTTCAACTATCCCAGAACATCCACCACAGGACACCCGTTATGTACCTGCCGAGGATGCCGTGGCTCAACAAAATCGCATATATGAGGTTGTCGCGCAGATTACGCAGCAGGCAAAGCAAGCTCGAGAGAGGAAGCCGATCAAAGAAGAACCCCTCGACGGTGGCTCTGAAGATGGTGAATTGCAAGCTAGGTCTGGTTCCAAGCCCACGGACTTAGCTCGAGTGCCGCCCTTCAATGAGGCAAGCAACGCCGCTGAGCGCTTCCTCAACGAATGTCAGCCTGGAGAAGCATCCCAGGAAGTCTCAAAGAAGACCGGTGATCTCGAGGGCCATCCAGTTAGAAATGACAACGGCCGGGTTGATGACATGCAGCGCGCATATCAGCCTCTGGCAGAGACACACCGACGCACACGTGATGGTTATGAAGATGATGATCGGGTCCCTGCTAGTCGTGGACGAACTGTTATGGATGATGATGCCCACAATGCATATATCATACGTGAACGAGCTCCACAGCTAAGGCATAGTTCTGGATATGCATACGGTGACCGTTATGTCAGCTCGGTTCCAGAGCCGGGAATAGTTCGAGATCGATCTCCGGAGTTAGTTGATCGGCGATTCAAGTTGAATAATGTTGTCTACCGTGAAGAGAGACAAAACAGCATGCGTCGTACGCCGAGTCGCTATGCTCGATACGAGAGTGTCCGGCTAGAGAACGACCGCGCGCGTTCGAGGTCGCCAGTATACGTTAAGATGGCCCCACAACCTGGGCAATATCGCGAGCGCAGTCCGGTTGCTCATCCTTCGCACCAAGAGCCCCTCTATGGTTCCAGGATGTCCTTACCACCGGCCGAGAACGTCACTTATGATAGGGCTCCACGTCAAGAGTACTATCGGGTCTACGCTGATGAGCCACGACCACGACAACCGCAGTATATCGAGACTTACGAGTACGTCCAGGTGTCTGATCCGCAAGGCGATTACATGATTCGCAGACCTGTCCGTCGAGAGCGAGAGCCGGAACCTGTCTATACGACTTACGAAGATGAACAGTATACCCGTGCACCGGTTTACGAGTCTCGTCCACCGGTTTCGCGCTCTGACCCGGCTTACTATGAAGAGTATGACCCTCGACATCCCGCACCCCCTCCTACGGCAGCCCCGATACGTCAGAGGTATCAATAGATAAAGTTCTATCAGGGGTTTCCTTTTTGAAAAGCACATTTCTGTTCTACCTGTAAAATATTGGATGCAACATTTGTTCATCTGCGTTGTTGCAAGTTTGTTGCATGTGCGTGTACACGTGTAGCATCTTTGCGTTTTTTTCCTATTGCTAATGTCTTCTGTTTCTCATCGGCCAGCATATGATATCATGTTGGTGTGTACAATAGCGTCTATTGTACGGTGCGTTCCACGGCGTTTGGACAGGTGGTATTCTCTTCAACCTTGTACAATACTTCTTCTTCCCGGGACAGCTCGATTGCTTGGTGCATTCTTGCAGCCGGGACTAATCATTGGGGTAGGGAGTTCCATGCGTTGGGTATATGAAAAGTCTCGACGAGACCTTTTATTTCTTATGCGGTTGTGGTCCTCGTCGATAAAAAGTTGTATTATAGTCTAATCAAACTCCCGGGAATGATAATTGCGATACTGGCTTCTACACATCTCACATTCTGATATTTTTGGCTGTCTCGTGGTATATGAGGTTGCTAATTCTTTCTGCTGGAAGAGGACCAGTGATTCCCGAAGCAATCCACCCCGCCTCGTATCTCCATCAGCCCTTACAAGATGTTCCTCATCTTAACCAGCTTTGAACGTTCGAAGGATAGATAAAGCGTCTATAAAGACTCGCGAGGAAAATTATTATGTATTAAGTAGGAACGAGACATTGTTATAGCAAAGGAACAACCTCTAACAAACCGACATAGGGGCTTGTGCTGTTAGTATTATAAATCTAAATATCAATATTAACTCCTCCTTACCTAGGTAGCAAGTACCTAGGTAGGTATATATATACAACTCACCTCCTATATCTATCTCTTTCAATAATCTATATCCTTTCTTTTTCTTCAATTATCCGCCTCGGCCAATCAATTAATTTTCTTATGGCTTTGTTTATCTACCTACTCTTGGTCTCTTGGCAGCTTGATGAGGTTCCATTCGTCTCGTAAAGAGGGATGGATTGATAGATTGATGTAGATTCAAATTTTCCTGGCTACCTTGGATTCCTTTTGCTTTTGCTTTTTGCCCTGACATAGCGGATCTGATTCGCTAGCTATGTTTTGGGGGGTTTTCTGTGGTTTGGTTTGTGACTTGGTTGGGATTTCGCGGGTTTTTTTTAGGGGGGGGGTTGGTTTACATATCTACACAGAGGAGGGGTTGACAGATGGATGGATGGTGAGATATCGACGAGTGTAATGCAATAATGCAATAGTCCAAGTTCTTTAAATTCACTCATCCATTGACTGATTGATCCTCTCGATTTGCAGCTCTAAAGTACCTACTTAACCTTAATCTCAACTTTGTTATATTCATCTGATCTACTATCATCTTTCTAACACTCACTCACCCCTCACCACCTCTTCACTGCAAACCAAGCCAAACTTAATCAGTATTCTTCTCTTGTAGTAATATTGTATGTATAACCAGGCGGGAAAAGCTACTATTGACTGACGGGTGGGTGGGTGGTTCGTGAGATATATAAAAAGAGGAAGGAAGGAAGCTCCCTCCATCTCCCCATTTCACATCCACACATCTCTCACACCTCAACATTCTTACAACCCACCATATATCCAAATCGACACATATCTATCCCAACATAACATCTAAACATAGCTCTTTTCACCCGCACACAGCCAGCCCCTTCTCGAGGGGACGGACGGAAGACAACGTGCAAATATCCGGTTCCTGCAGCTGTCAAAGGCGTGCGGGTAGCTCGTTGGGGGGGAGGGGGTGGCTTGTGTTTCGAAGATGGATGGATGGATGGATGTATGGGGAGGGGGGAGAGGGGAGAGGGGACGGGTAGGTGCTGTTTGATATTGTGGTTGGTATGCATGAGATGGAAAGGGGGAACTTTTGGAGATGTGAGGAAGGAATGGAGGGGGAGGGAGAGGAAAAGAGAAGAGAGGAGAGAATAGCATATGAATATGTGTACGTATGTATAGATGGATGTGGATTTGAAGAAATTCTCAAGATGTATGGGAGATGTGTATATAGATAGGTATTTAGGTACTAGGAGATAGATATATGGAAGTTGGCGGATGAGATGAGGGGATAGATCCAGGAGGGAGGCTAGGCACGCCGCGGCTTGAAGCTAGATGTGCGCGTGGGAAGAAGTCCTGAGCGAGAGTTCGGGGGTTGGATGGGCGCGGAGAAGGGGAGGGTTGGATTCGCCATCGTGAGAGGGAGAAGGGAGGCTGGGAATACTAGGGAGTCTACATTATGTGCATGGGTGCACGAAGTAATATATACAATACCTGTCTCCCTGCTTGTTAGGATTCTTGAATGAGATGATCATGATCCTGGGATGATGTTCGAGCAGTTCAATATGATAGAACTAGGACGAGGTCCACGGGACAGACGTCCTCGAAGTTTGATAGGGAGGTCCGAGACCTGTGGCAAATGACACCAGGACTGGGGGAACGGTGCATCGTGGTAACAGACAGCAGCAGGCGGGCAGGCAGTCTCTCGGCATCCTTGACATGAGACTAAGAACAGCCACTGTGAGCCGCCGGCGGGTACGAGCATGGCGTTGTGGAGTAACCGTGGGCTGGGCACGACCTGCCTCATCCTCAAAAACGAGAGCGTTGCACGCCTCGAAGCAGGTGGCTGCAGGAATCAGGGGACGTACGAGACCGTTGTCGGGTGGCGTGAGTATGTATACCGGGTGTGGAGAGTATATGCTCTAGAGGCTGTGTTAATAGTCAAGTGGCACACACGCACTCATGCCTTGACATTCCACACGGTCCCAGCATTTTCATTCCTGCTGAGCAAGGACAAGACGTCGAGGCAGACGCGCTCTGCACGCAGGCGATCGATCGAATCCGGTCCCGGATTTGCTATCATTTTCCGTTGCACACAACACCGACCAGACCCCTCACCAATGTGACAGCCGGTCGCACACTCGGTCATTGGATGCCGTGGATGCAGCAGGCGCGGGCTGCTGCCGGTCGAGTGGCAGATGATTCCGTCTGTCAGATATCATACCACGGATAGGGGTCCCGGAAACCGTTACAGAACCGTTAGATGCAAGATCCCCGATGTCTGGAATATCGAATCTCTGGTAGAGAGATCGTAGACAGCAGATACGAGGTCATGAAGAGAGAAAGTCGGATGGCAAGAGTGCGTAGGACATATGTCGTCTGACCCCCTTTCTTCCTTTGGAGGACATCCTGATTCGGATGATTTTGCAAGAGATACTGAGATTTCAGGTTTGAGACTCAAGAGATAGGAAAACAGACGATACTCAAGAGATAAAGAAGAACGACATGCCCTATGAGAGAGTCCAGTACGTTGTAGACCGTGCTCACTGCTCAACGGTCATGAACCTGGACGATACAAGTCACTATTACCTGTCTGGCGTGCGGAGAACCTCGAGTATTTTGATAGCGATCATCGAGAACCGACCTCTGATCCATAATCTTCTTTGATTCGCGGGTAGAGCGCTGGCCATGCTTTCCCCTTGTCCTTTGTCTCTCTCCTTTCTTTTCCTGTTGATCTCATCTCTCCTCGGACCCTTGGAGTCCCTTCCAAGTTCCCACCACCCTCCTCCTTTTCTCTACCCCCCCCTCTCGCCAGGCTCGCCTCTTCTCTCCGAAGGGACAGCAGGGGTTCTAGAGTCCTATATGCAAGAAAGCCGGCCAAGCCCGCGGAGAGCTGCCCTGCCATCCGTCATAGGCCAGTACCGCCCGGTCCTGTGCCGCAGCCAAGTAAGGGGCCAGTGGCCACACACCCATTACCCGTAATCTCCCCGTGCCGGGCCCCTCCTTCGGCGGCCACCAGGCCGAGTGCACCCAATGACAACCGCGCGCACCGACGAGGGTGAAGAACTGGTAACGCTGCGACCTCTCACAGCGAGTCCCAGAACTCCAGCATCCCAAGAGAAGGGGGGGAAGAAGCAAAGAGGAACGAGTCTGGGCCGCGCTGGGACAGGTGGCCTGTTATGCTGGTTTCAGCAACGGCGCTGCCGGGTCTTCGCGGGTGGGCGATCAACGATGGGTATACAGTACGTGCTTCTGCGCATACGTACGTCCGTACAGTAGTAGATGGTGATAATAGTGGTAATAACCCAGAGCGACGATACTGGGGAGGTAGAAGCCTGTCGCACCTTAGACGGATGTCAACTTCATGATCTTCATCAAGGCGGGTGTCTCCTCTCCCTAGAGTCCTACACGGACTAGTACACACCCATTTTTGTTACTGTCAGTGGTAATCTGGACGTAGTGCACTCCGGAGTAGGACTGGGGAGGAGCCATGATGGGAAGACAATACAAATAGTTCCCACTCTCCGAGTCTCCTACCTCCACACTCCCCCGTCTCCCGAGTGTCCTATCTTCCCAGTGCCCACCATGATCCCGCCCGTCGCACGGAGGAAGACAGGGGAGGCCCCACGAAGGCCAATCCCGGGCTCCCGTCCATGTCTCCCGTCCCCACCGGCTAAATTCTCGACTTCTGGCTTCTGGTTTCTGAATAATACCCATGTACAGTAGGTCGTGCATAACCCTGTGATGGGATTGCATCGCCTGCATTGCCTGCATTATTCGCTCGGTGTGGTCCTCCAGCGACAGATCTGAATGAGCTACTGTATATAATCTTTCAGAGCTTGCTGATTGGATGTCGAGGGCAGGAAAAATATGGGCTATGGGATGATCTCCGTCTGATGATTGGCCCCCCTCTTCTTCTGATGCTTCTGTTTCTTTTCGATGTGTGTGTTGTTTTTTCTTTCTTTTTTTTTTTCTTCAATTTTTCTTTCTCCCTTTCCTCTCCCTCTTGGCTGCCACGCGGCAACGTGCAACAACGTGCGCAGGATGCAGAGTTGCGAACTGAAGCCATCCATCAACTTGTCGGTGACTGTCCCCGTTGCACTGGAACGGCGGCGCACGAGGCATGGCGTGAACTCTTCCAGGCTCATAGCATCGAACCATGGGCCACGGCTCCATACTCGGGCAGCAGCCACACCCGGGTACTACGACTGTCCTGGTTGTGCTCCGTAGATGCTACGGAGCACAACGTAATGAAAGATCTACTCCGTAATGGCGGACACTATTCTTCGGGAAGCGTAGATCCGGGACTCTGAAACCTAACCCTCCTCTCAGGAGTCAGGAGGAGTGATTTAAATGGTTTGCCGCGCGTGTCAGAATAATTATAACTTACCGAGAACTATCACGATGATCGTGCGCAACTACGGAGTAGCTTCCGCTTTGGTTCGGGGGTTCTGCGCTGGAATTAGAACCAGATGCCACTACTTGACTAGCACTGGGCCGTAGGAGAAGACTAAAGTCTAATGGTCGTCTGGCTTGGCCTTCCTCAGGGAGAAGGCGTGATTATTAGTCTGATGTTGTGTATTTTGACAGGGAAGCAGACTTCCGCACCCTCGATTGGCTCAGTAGCCTCAGGTCAGGCTATCATGGCGTGGTTGGTCATTCCTTACTACAGAGGTTGTGTATGGAGTACGCAGTAGCAGATTCAAGGTTGCCAAATGCCCCCTCCAAGCCTGGTCTGCATATCAATGTGGTGTGGTCACTGTGGTGCCACCAGAATGTTGCACGGTTACTGGGACGATACGAACGAGGTGCTTGTTGTGCGATTTGATCGGTGATAAAGCGATCGACCCCCTCTCTTTCTTTGTAGGAGGCTGATATGTCAACGCTGACGTCCTCCATATATAGTTAGATGTACTGAATATCTATCCCACTGCGGAGTATATAGACGAGATCGAGGATCGTTCGGGTCGGACTCCTGAATGCGTGCCGAAGGGGCCGGGCGCTCCTGGGTCAGGGGTCAGACAAAGGAAGTTTAGACGATGGATCCAGCGGACCCGCCAAGCTTTCCCCAGGACACCAGCCTCCGCCGCTCGGGAACGGATGGGCGCGAAGCTTGGGAGTTTAGAGCCGACTTAGAAAGGTTCTAAACCCCGGGAGATTTGAAATACTTGGGTGGGCGAATCGCAACTCGCCCAGTTTCGTTTGGAGTTCGCGCCGTGCGGAGACTTTCTCAGCCCTTGGTAAGAAATTAGAATATCGACGGAGCGAGCTTGTTCCATGAAGATTTGAATCCTCCAGGCTTCAGGCTTCAGCCTTCTGCGGATAGTAGAAACCGTCGAATCTGTGCACAGAGATTATTGTACAATAATCATGTACATATATGATGCTTTGTGCGTGCGTCAACAAGCAGGCGTGAGGCTTGCTGTATCACGCATAACGCCTTGCTTGGTCTCGGGACACAGGATCCATAGGAGGGTCCCGGTGTCTCCTTAGAGGTCGTACGGAGGCACAGAGTTTGAGCCTGGGCCGGGCTGGGCCCTGGGCTTTGGAGGGTTCGCATTCCCCTTCATCATAGATCGTATCGTACGGAGTATGTCGAAAGGAGTATGTGGCGATGCCCTCCTTCAGGAATCAGGCTTCTGCAGTGCAGGGCCAAGGGCTACTCTGTAGGGAGGCAGTCTGAGGGGTGTCCCTATGATCCAGCACCGTAGGACGGAGGACACAGGAAAGTGGTAACCGGGTCAGTTACCAATGACAACCCAGGCGGAGTCGTACTCACAGTAGTGGGATCATGGAATGATGGCTAGTGGTGACGCTCCCTGGGATGGTGGAATCATGATGAGCCCTGTCCCTTGCCTGGCCACGGCCCCACTGCTCCCGCAGACATCCACAGATTCCACACACGTTCACAGGTGGCCAGGGGGGGAGGGTAGCCCATTGCCCAACCGTCTCTCGCTGTCTCGCCGTCAACCGTCGAAGCCGGCCCCATGCTGGTTCACCCTGGCGCCCCCTAGCAATTAGTGCTGAGCCCGCCCACTGCACCCTCTGCACCCAGTCGTAGGTGTCCCCTGCGGTCCCTGCCTCTCGGTCCAGTCAGAGCCAAACCCAGCTTCCTGACGGCCTGCTGCGCTAGGACACAGGGGAGGGGGGGGCGTGGTTCCTTGGTGGAGGCCGCCGGTGCACTGTCGAGGCCGTGTATGGATAGAAAGCCGTTTCCTATCTCCCAGCTTTCCCACTACCCATTCCCACTACGCTCGCCTGGTACTCGTCCCGTCGTACCGTCTCGTACACCCTCGTCGCTGGTAAGGGCCCGTAGCACACTACTGGGACCGCAACCCGGGCCTTGCAGGGCTTGGAGTCTTGGTCTTGGAGACTTGGGCTTTCCAGTCCCTGCCAGTCCTTGCCCAGCCCTTGCAAGTGGCACGCCGGCGAGCGGGCACACCCAGTCGCTGTGCACTGTGCGCCGTGCTGAGAGTGCTAGGCTCACTCTCTAATCTGTACGAGCGTCGAAGGAGGATCCTGCCGCCGCCGCCGCCGTCCCTCGTCCGCAGCCATAGCCAGCGATTCCATACTACCTCTCTCCCGCGGTCATCCCTCCCTCCCTTCAACATCTCTTCAACACCAGGCTGAGCGTGCATTGCTGGAGGAGGAGTCAACACCATCAACCGCACGTACACGACTCGACACACTCGACACCTGGGACCGACCGCACCGAAGAGAGAACATCCCGAACAGTCGGCACGCTATTGGTTTTCGTGGGAGACACTGAGTGGTTATCGCTTGCTACCGTCCAGCCGGATACTTTGGATCGAGCGAAAGAGAGGGTGAGATTGGGATTCGGGGTTTTCTAGGAGCTCAGAACCAAACATCAGGACGGCCCGACAGCGCGGATTTCCACAGGATAGACTTCGACAGTCTTAACAACAACAGAGGGGTCCGTTGAACCCTCGCCTTTGAGTTTGAACGTCTCACTCAGCCGTGCTGAATCCCGGCCCGTCGACCACCGCGGCGACGACGACGACGACGAGGTAAGCCGCACATTCGTTACTCGCCGACGCTTTGTTGTCGCTTTGCCTTGCAGCAGAAAACCCAGCATCTTGGGACTTGGGAAACTTTGATTTTCGCGTCGCTCGTTCAATTGCCTGGCAACAACACTAATTGTTGCACTGGAAATAGACTTCACCACGACGATTCGCCGCTTTACTGATCTCCATATCTGAATGAATTGATTTGAAACAAACAAAATGGCCGCTGTATCGACAAGAGGCGGTGCTGATGCGACCATCACCCGCGTTACGAAGGAGGGGAGGAAACTCACATACTGCCTGACGGTCATTCAGCAACCTGAGCGGGCCAGAGCATGTGGTTCAGGAGCAAAGTGTAAGGATCCATTTTTTCAAATATTGCAACTTCGTGTTTCTACAGGACTTCACTAACGGCTCACAGCCTCTGCTGACCGACGACCCGTCGATCCACCACCTGTGGTCGAGCTCCGCATCTTTGAAGGAGAGGGCGCTGAGAAGACTGATGTTACCTTTGGCTACAATGCCAACTTTTTCCTCTTTGCGACGCTGGAACTGGCCCGGCCTATCGCTCACGGACGTATGCAGCCTCAACCAGCCCAGCTTCCAGTTTTGACAGGAATGCCCGTTTCGGGAATGGCCTATCTGGATCGGCCCACCGAGGCAGGATATTTCATCTTTCCAGATCTCTCTGTTCGCCATGAGGGCAAGTACAAGCTAAGCTTCAATCTCTACGAGGAGACCAAGGAGGCAAAGGATGCCGATGCCGAACCAACGAATGATCAACACAAGCCGAAGCTTCCGGGTGGTGCTAATGCTCCAGAATCTTCATTTGATTGGCGTCTCGAGGTGAAGTCAGCCGTCTTCACTGTGTTCAGTGCGAAGAAGTTCCCAGGACTGGCTGAGAGCACTGTTCTGAGCCGGACTGTGGCCGAGCAAGGTTGCCGAGTGAGGATTCGCCGTGATGTTAGAATGAGGAGAAGAGATGGCAAGGCCAATGGAGATTACGAGGAAGCCGTCGAGGAAGAATACGTCCGAACTGGTCGTACTCCAAGCGTTCAAGACCCGTACAGGGAGCGATCACGATCGTTGAGCAATGACAGTGCCGAGAGGCAGGCCTACCCCGAGATCGAACGACGCATGTCTGGGGACTATTCATCTCAACAGTACCATCCATCTGGCCAGTCTGGACCTCAAAGTTACCTGAGTTTTGGTGGATCGTCTGGTAACCAGTACCAAGCACCTCCGCCTCAATTCGCCCAACCCGCACCACCAGCACCGCCATCCTACCAATCCGCTCCCCCTCCTGCTCCTTACCACCACTCAGGTCCGCAATACCGACAACCTGCTCCTCCACCTTCCCATGGCCAGTATGCGTTTGACAGACCACCGTATGCGCAATCAGCATACCCACCAGCAACCCCTCCACGTGAGCGTGAGTATGAGGAGGCAGATTACAGGCGCACTTCAGCTTCTAGCTATGCTAATGCTCCTGCCACGACAACTTCTCCATATCCCGCCGTGGATAGCAACTACAACCGCAACCCCTACCAATCGTATCCTCAACGCACTCACTCTCCTCCCATGCAGAGTCCAGTCAACCTTGCTCCTCTGAAGATGCCACTCATGGAGCCCAAATACGAAGGTCAGACATCGCCTGCTGGACCTCTCTCCTCCGTTAGCCGCATTGCCCCACCTCTCCCAAGCCCCGGTTATGATCGTTCACAGGAGCGTCCCGGATCTTACGGCCAGTATTCCAATTCTCTCCCTCCTCCTTTGGAGGTAGCACGCAACGGCAAGCGTAGCTTCGAAACTGTCTTCCCTGGGTCGACAGCAAGCCAGAACCAACCACTATTCAACGGCATGCGTCCCGGCAGTTCCCACCCCAGCAACAGCCTGTTCGACGATGACGATGACACGATATCCTTCGACCAACTGAAAATGCAGTACAAGTGTGCAGATGGCAGCAGCTACTCTCGCGAGCTTCCCATCCTGGAGTAGGAACCTGCTCTCATCTGCTTCTCACACAACTAGGGGGTTTTTGTTTTGGCGTTGCGGCGAACATCCAGCTGTGTTATTTGCTAGAGCCGGGAGTTTCTGGATGGGATGGATATGGATGCACGGCCTGCGCGCGTCCCGATCGATTTCTTCTACGATGGTACAACCAACAAGCAAAACAAAAACCAAAATTACTCAATTGACCAGCCAGCCTTTTTCTTTGGCCGGTTGTCTGACCCCCTCCCCTCGGAATAACTTTGATTTCCCCCTTACCACCTCTTCCGCGTTCAACACTTACCATCATCATCATCTACCTCAACGACCGATTTCCTCGACATTATTTGTTGGCGAGACGAACTTCTGGGCGCTCTTGCGAAGAAAAAGCATTTTACTAGCGTCATGCGTGCATCACCTTTTCCTCTCAATCTGATTTAGAATTGGCGGGACATTCTGAGCATTTCCTCTCCCTTTTTCGACACCCCACACCATTGAACACTTTCCCTATGTTTGTTTTTCGTTCTTTTCTCTTCCTTCAAGAGGACAGAGATCTCTGTACGCCCGTGGAGATGAGTGCGCCAGGGTAAATCAATTCCTGTAATTTAGTGGGGAGTTATAAAGGGCGGACCTAGAATTTTGAGGTTGCTCCTAGGGTACTACTGTTGTGCTTGAATACCTATGAATAGATACGGATTGACGCAGCCCCTGTTGTTTTTCTTCTCTCTCTCTCTCCTTTTCTTGTGAGCTTGCTTGGTGAAAGCACGTTGATGCCGTGCCTGTTGGTTGTTCATCTTTCTTCCCCTCTTGCTTGCTGATCCATCCGTCGAAGTTTGGATATTCTTTACTGTAAATAGTCTAGAAATAATCAAATCGGATACCTTATTCTGAACAACCCCCCGGGGGTCCTTTTTGACGTGTTCACCAAATAAGCTTCATTTTTTCCAGTACCTCAAAAGGACGACGCAATATGCTCTACCAACCACGAATCCGGAGAACATCACCACCAGGATACATACATACATCAGTCCCTAGCCAGAACTCCCCTTTCTAAATAGTCAGCTTTCCTGAATGCGACCCGACGGGACATCTTACACCTCTGTGCAGGAGACCAACACTACGCCCGGTGAACCATGACTACGCACACGAAGCCGCATCCAGAACATCGCGGTGAGCCAGCCGTAAACGTTACTCGTCCCAAGGTCTGGCGGGTGGCGAATCCAGCTGGAAGACAGGGGGTTGAAGCGATTCCAGATGCCCTATCACCCATATCACCACCACCACATGCCACGCCATCGGGAAGCGGTCTATATAGGAATACCATCCTCCACGCACCATCACTATAGCAGAAATCCAGAGATCCCCAACAACGAGACTATCTATACAATACCACCCGGCCTCCCCAAACTTCTTTGAAAGAGCGATCTCCGGGCATGGACTCCCATCCTCCCCAAACGGCGCTTCCCCGCTTCCCCACCATATTGCCGCCCGACAACGGCATCAACAATTCTTCAGACAAAACCAATGATGGATCGGTCTATTCCTCAAGGTAGATAGCATCCCAGTTCCTGATGCATGCTATCGGTAGAAGCATGTGCTAACCATGTTCAAAGCTTGGAATCCCGATACCACCACTCCAGGAGCAGCACCGAAAGGTACGTTAAGGCCCAATGTCTGAGTCCAGCAGCTGGACTGGAACCCTGATGCTAAATATTCATCAATGTAGTCTGTTGAGCGCTTCGACCACGACTGAGCCCCAGCTCTTTGATCTTCGCATCACCCGCTTCATCGAGAACCCGGATAGCGGCCCATGCATGTGCGCTCTCTCCTCCAACGTCGAATTAAATCCGGAGCATAGATTACAACGCTTGCGGAAGTCGGTGGACGAGTACGACTCCCTTTTCCCAACCGCAGCCAGCCCAGATCACTCGACCATAACGAAGGCGCCTTCAGTCAAAGACTTCGAGGGAGAAAAGACGAAGGAAGCCATGACAGCTCGACACTCCACCCCCTCCCAGGACAAGGTCGAGCTCCAGAGGGCTGCCGAGAAATTTAAGGCACGCATAGCAGTACTTTCCGCAGACGATGAGCAGCCACTTGGCGAGGATGATTTTGCGACCCTCCACTTTGAGGCCATACTTCCATATCTAAAGGTAGCCCTCAAACAGCGTGTTGGCCCAGGAATTTCGATCGGGGTCTTCGAAACGATAGATTGCCGTGTGATCCAAATCATGACGCACCAGGAACTACCTCATATGGGGCAGCTGGAGATGGCAGAAATGGTTGCCGAGCTTCTTCCTGAGGCATCCCGTCACTCGACCACATTGAGCTTTACGCAAGGAAGGCTTATTCGCTCTGCAAGGGAGATGAATGGAATTGAGCTGTGCAAACCTAGGAATGCGTATAAGTATAATGCTTTGGAGATGGGCGACTCGATTGGATCCGATAGGAGCGACGGCGTCTCGACTTCCGGGCCACGCATCCTACTGGGTAAAAGGGTTTACCGAGTAAATTGCTGGCATATGTGGGAGGACTTCGATGGACATAATGATAGTATCGACGGGGATGTCCAGCCCGACGTCTACCATCCTTCATATCCTAATGTAACTGAGTGCAACCACATTGGGTCTTTAGCAGTGGCGGAGGGACCACAACGAACCGGAAAGGTCGTCCTTCGTTCTGGATTCGATCGCACCACTACTAGAATCTCGTCCCATCCTGATTTTATGGGATGGGGCCATGGCTCTTGGAGCATCGTCTCGGACTGGACGCTATCCACCGAAGAAAATCAACTGCCCAAACCAAATATCGTAAAGATGACAGGCGTGCCTCAGGTTGGGACCGACAACCTCATCACATCGGCTGGCTTGATTCGACCGGGTTCTTACGTATACTCTCTAGGTAGATCTAGCGGTCTACAGATTGGGTCCGTCCGTAGATTCCCCACGTTCATGGACGGTGAAATGAATGGGACTGGAAAAGATACGCACGAGTGGACGGTAGAACAAGCTTTGACAGAGTTAGGCAAGGAAGCCTGGAGGTGCGGGGGGCTGGGAATCCCAGGGGATTCCGGAGCAGCTGTTATCGACCTGCAAACACATGCACTTGTTGGGCAGGTTTGGGCAACTGCAATAGATGATACTGGAGACCGCGTTACCTATATCAGTAACTGGTCCGATATTGCGGATCATATCAAGGAGAAAAACCGAGGAGGGTTGACTCTAGTGCTGCCGAAGCAAGATGACCGTTGGTACAAGGAAACTTCCAGACCTGTTTGCGATGGATGTGCGGTTGAGCTGAAAGAACATCTCGATTCTATCGAGCCAATCATCCGCTTGCTTGAGCAACGGAAGCCTTGCTCAAATGATAGTTCTTTGACTATATCTGGACAAGACACGGCATTGTCGGAATCCTTAACGCAGGATGACCCAGGAGAGTCGAAAGTTGGAAAGGACAGCAACATCAGTCAAATCCCATTGCATCAGGCCACGGGCAAGAAGACTCAGCTGAAAGCCAAAGTGGCGATGAGTGCAGGGCCAGCCCTCATCAACATCCCCAATGTTGGCCAAACACTTCACCGATCTTCGATGAGGGAGACTGAGCGGGAGTCGATTGTGCTGCCAGCAGCAGAGCAAGCTGTCGTAGCGTAGAGATGATGGGTAGTGGAGGGAGAGCTTGGCCGGACTCTGCCATTCAAGAGGCTCGAGTTCACTTGACATAAAGGAACATTCCAGTCTGATGAGGAGGGGTATTTCTGGATCAACGGCTGTACATTGACTATACCTTGCCCATGTTTGGGGGGGAGTATAAAGTTATCAGCCGACCACTCGGTCAATTAATCCCGTGTGGATATAGGATGAGGGATACCTTTTCTTGACGTCTGAGCAATGATTTCTTGTCCGATCAATGATTTCTTGCCCGTTCAATGTTTTCTTGACAGTTCAACGTTTTCTTGACGTTCGATCAGTCTTTGTACTATTGCTACCACAGTGGGCCACTAAGACCAGACAAGGCAAGTTCCCGTCGCTTAACGGTAATGATCTCCAAAATAAGGTTTGGCGCGGGCCGCGCGATGATCTCATACCCCTGAGCGCGCCAGAAACGCGGGAGTCGCGAAAGTCGCGGGCAGCGTCATTGTCGTCATTGTTTACTTCGGCAGTAAATAGGTAAATAGCTGGTTCTACGCGGATGCGGACCAACAACTCCATCGCGACCGACTTCACTGCTGCCTTGGTGGTGGCTCGCACAAGGTATTTCGCCCGGTTGTTATGATCTTGCTGAGCGTCGCCCATCTTCGTCCGATACAACACAAACAAACCGCATCGCACAGATAAAACCACTTGCTCATCCACTGCTCTGCTCAATCCAAACCAAATCACTGCGCTCGAGGACTCTGCTCTTGGACATTAGACAAGCTTTGGATACGCCAGCTCAACCAGAACCAGTCCAAAACGTGTCTCTCGGTCTCCATATCCTCTCGATCGCACCACTGCTCCACCACCGCTCCACTGTTCCACTGCTCCGCTGCAGTTCTGCAGTACTCTATTCCTCTACTGCTCTACAGCAGTGCTATACCACTCTACCGCTCTGCTTCTCTACTGCAGTGCTATTCAACTCTACTGCTCGACTCCTCTCCACCTCTCGACTCGAGCACTCTACCACTACATCTCTACATCTCTACCGTCTACTGCTCTACTACAGCAGTACTATACCCCTCTACATTCTACCGCTCTACTGCTCTACTACAGCAGTACTATACCATCCTACCACTCTACCATCCCAGCCCACTACCGCCCCGCCAGTCTACCATCCACCACCACAACTCTACCATCCCACCAGTATCAACTCTTATCAGCCTTACTCAGAGACATTATCCAAGCCTCTCAAAGAGCTTCGAGATGGCTGCATTATCCAAGGTCAGTCCAGATATCAGATCGTAATTGGACTGCCTGCACCTTCCCCAAAATATTAGTTGAGAGAATCAGACTCCCTGTCCTGACTGAAGACTCCGATTTACCTTCTTTTGTGATTGCTGAAGAATGAGCTGACTTACTAAACAGATTGCTCGAGATACCTCGAGGTCCCCATTGTCTACTGCTCCACAAGGAGCACAAAATGTCGATCTCACTCCATTGGCCGGCACCAAGAGACTTTTCAGCAACCGTAGCTTGCCACCAGTAGACCCTACCCAAGGCAATAACGAGAATGAAGAGCTCGAAGCTGCGAGTGGACAAATCCATTCTGACAAACGACCCCGTACTGATGACTGGCCTCTTGCCAGCACTACCGACACAAACCCTGCCAATGCTCCTTCTGCTAGAGCCACATTTGAAGCCCAAGATGACCCCAAGCTTGTTACGGATGCAGGCTCTGCCCATACTCCTGCCGGAGCCACTGTTGAAGCTGAATATGACACAAAGCTTGTTACGGATACAGGCTCTGCCAATGCTCCTGCTGCTGGAGCCACTCCTGAAGCCCAAGATGAACCCAAGGCTATTCCTCGACCTGCGCGCCGGTCCAAATTCATTGAGGGTAGCATGAATGATAAGGTTAGCCAAAGACCACCGGCAGAGTTCCTTGGTCCAGAAGAAGACCTGCTTAAGAAATATTCTCGCGAAGAATCCGGGGGGAGGAAGACTTCTCAAGGCAAAAATACAAAGCATCGTAGAAACTCATCTGCTCAGACAAGCAGATCCGAGGATACTCGCCAGTCCGGCATCGTCCGTTTTGGAAAGTCTGTTGCAGCCACTCTCAATATCTCCAATTGGAAGATCTGGTCCAAGCAGCAGCATCAGCAACAGGATGATGAGACGCCTCAACAGAAGATCCTGAGAGAACGTCAGGAGAAGGCCGAGAAAATATACAAGGAGCTGAAGAAGTCGGGAGATTTCCGTAACTCGGCTGCTTTCCCAAGCCATCAAGTTCCGGAAGTCAAGGACACTACTCCGGCGAAGCATGACTCTGGTGTTGACTTCGGCCCTGTGCCTTGCTTTCCTGCCTTTGGGTTGACCTCCAAAGCGGATAAGAGGAAGAGTAAAATCATTGAATCCACAGAGACTCAGATCCCTGCCAACACTACCGACAGTAGTGCTGGTAATAGTCGTCCTAGTTCAATGGGTTCTGAATCTGCTGAGCAATCAACAATATCAGCTTCGAGACAGTCGTTTCACTTCAAGCGGCCATCTCTGTCTAGTATCAGGAAATCAAAGGAGAGTGACAGAGCTTCGGTTGCTCCAAGCAATGATGAAGGCCATCCACTACACAAAGTAGCTTCGCGCAGAGAAATGAGAAAGCAGCAGAAGCTGGTCAAGCGTGTCAGTAACTTGGAGGACAAGCTTGCAGCAGCACGTCGCCAGCTGGCTAAAGCAACGGGCGGACCCTATCCTCCTGAGCCTGAGGTCGAAGCATCTACGACTACAACATCTGCCTCCGCACCTGGTGCTCCGACGACTCTACCATCTGAGCCAGCCCTCAGGAGCCGTGCCAGCTCTAATGTTGGTTCTACCTCCAACGATATTGCTGCTGTGCCTTCTGAGCCCCAGAACCTGGTATCCCAGGTCGGAAAGTTTCGTCGTGTGCCTGGTGCTCCGATGACACTACCATCTGAGCCTGTCCCCAGTGGCCGTGCCAGCTCTGATTCTGGCTCTAGCTTCAACATTGCTGCTGTACCTTCTGAGCCTCAAGCTCAGCCATCCCAGGTCAGAAAGCTTCGCCGCAAGACTGGTACTTTGACGACTTTACCAGCTGAGCCAGTCTTCAGTGGACGTGTCAGCTCTAGTTCTGGCTCCAGCTTCAGTTATATTGCTGCTGCACCTTCTGAGCCTCAGACCCAGCTATCTACAATTCGAAAGCCTCGCTTCGTTCCTGGTGCTTTGGCAACTCTGCCCTCTGAACGACTCCTCAGTGGCTACCTCAGCTCTGATGCTGAGGCCGATCTCTGTAGCACTCCCGCCCACGAGATTGGTAGAGCTGTGACTACTGATGAGAACGATAATTTGACAGTTAAGTCCCAAGCCAAGCTTCAAGGTATGTTCCCACACCTCTCCGCCGAATGACCAGCCTCTAACCAGAAGCACAGCTCTTCCTCCACAGGATATATTGATGCAGAGTGTGGAGATTGATCACCCTGCAAAATTTCAGGCTAGACACTCTGCCCCAGTCCGTGGAATGCGCACCATGAGACACGTCTCCAACTTCAGCCTATCCAGGCTGGCTTCTGTGATGCCAGAGACAGGAGACAGCAGTGACGAGGATGAGGAGCCAGTGAAGAAGCCGGCCGCCAAGTCCCCAGCACTTGAGACGGTCTACAAGGGACGCCGGATCATAGCCGATAGCAGCAATGAATACGAGGAGCCAGTGAAGAAACCGGTGGCCCAGTCCTCAGCACCCGAGACGGCCTCGAAGAAACGTAAGAACAAGGTCCGCGTCATGGTCGACAACGACCACAAGCTTGGCTTTGAATCCGACTCCGATTCCGACTCCAGCAAGAAGCTTAAGCTCTCCAGTTCACCCCGTCCGCCTCGCAAGGTCCAGAAGATTGCTCTGCAGCCGCTCTTGATTCCTCACGCTCCCAGAGAGACCTCCACCAGGAGCCGCATCCCCCGCGTGAGCTCCTCCCCGTCTCCAAGATCTTCAAAATCCCCAAAGTCTCCTAAGGTCGCTGAGGAGGCTGGCGAGAAGGCTGCCCAGAAAGTAGACGATGACTTCGTGTGGCCCGACTACGTCTTTTAGGCTCCCTCTCTCAGGTGTGGCTCTAGACATGGCCTTTTCCGTCGTTTCCAAGAATCTTCTTCGGTGCATGGTCAGCTACCCACCACTGGTAGATGGCTAGTTACTCACTATCTGGTTCTTGCTTTCTTCCCTTCTTTACGCAGAGACGAATTGTAGATGACTACTCGTTTAATCGGCATTTCAGCACGGAGTACTGGGAATCTGTCATCTCTCATGAACTCAGTTCATCAGCGAGCAAGGCGTTGGGGATCTTGTATTTTTCTGGAAATCATGAACTGTTCATTCAGTTCATCAGCGAGCGAGGCGCTGGGGATGGTGTTTTGTTTTTCAACATGAATTGTTCATTCAATTCATCAGCGAGCGAGGCGTTGGGGATTTTGTCTTTTATGGAAACGCACACAAACAAGAAAAAAACACGAGAAAAACGAGAAACGAAAATAACGAATAAGTCATGAGATCAGAGCGGCGTTTGCGGATTTGTTTATTCTGGGAGAAAATAATGAGAAAAACGAAAAATATGGATGTGTCACGAGATTCAGCAACGAACATGGAGTTGGGGATTTGTCTTCTTTTGCCAGTCTTGATTCATCATCAAGCAGCAGGGCGTTTGGGATTGTTATTCTGGAGAGAAAAGGGGAAGAACTGTTCATTCGATTTCATCAGCGAGCGAGCGATTTGGGCATTTTTGCCAATTATTTCATGGGACCACGGATTGTTGGGAAATTCAAAGTTCATCAGCGAAGTGTTTGTTGTTGTTTTTTTTAGTTTCTTGTAATAAGAGACCAGCGGAATAATAAATAAACATCATTAATAACAGCGAAGAATATCATCTTCCTCCCTGTGTGCAAGTTCTCTAAGGTAGTATAGTAATGTAATGTATGTAAGGAGTATGTAAGGGTAGTATAGTATGGATCGAAGCAAATCAGATCAAGGAAGGGAGGGATTTGGGGGGAAACATGCAACGCTATAAAACATCCTGGAAATTTTTCGTCCGTCCCGTCATTAAACAACTAGGTAGGTGGTACAACTGCTTGCTTTGCGCGAAGCAGTCCGCCTTCATCCTATGTATCCTAAAAAAAAAAAGAGCACACACACACACAATAAGAAGCAATCCACACTCCTGCTTTCCTTCCTTCCTGCCTTCCTTCCTAACTTCCTTCCCTGCCATATTTTTTTCTCGAACAAAAAAAAAAACACAGGCGACCCAAAATACAATTCTAATATCGACTGATTGATTCATAACGCAAACACGCAAGGTCTTCTCCTATTGGACCTCGACGAAGCGCGCCTGGTCAACGGCGCCATTGCGTATCGAGCGGAGGAAGGCGGAGGCGCCGGCCCAGAGCTTGGGGATACGGTTGTAGAGCATGGCGAGACTGATGACTATCAGGAGGGGAATCTATGCGATCGTTAGCATATTTATATGGAGGGAGGGGTTTCATGGAGGTAACTAGTTGGGGTCGACATACCCAGATGAAGAATAGATTCCGGTCACGGCTTAGCCTCTTCACCTTCTCGGCGTGCGCCAGCCGCAGTTGATCTTGTTGCTCCCGAGTGATGCCGTGCTTCAGGCCGATGCGGACGGTGTCTAGCTTCACGGGGAGTTTCTGACTAGCGGTCGAACTACTCTCGGCTTGGTCGAAGAGCTCGGCGCATTTGTTGTCCGCGACTGTATCAGCGGCTGCTTGGGCGGCGGATGATCGTTTCGTGTCGATATCGGCATCGTCTTGAGGGAAGATATCTTCATATGCAGGTGGTGCAGCCGGCACGCTCCCGGAGAAGAGATCCCACCATTTGTAATCCTGCTCTTTGGCGGCACCTTCACCACGATTATTGCCCACCAGATTGCTGATACGGCGGACCATGGGAGCAGTCGGGAGATAAGCTTGGTAGTCTGGAAGGTTGGGCATGAGGGCAAGTGTTGGCATTTGTGGTAGGTGTGGTAGGTTTGGAAGATTGAGATGCATTGATTGTTGCAGGTGCTGGATTTGAGCAGCCAGCTGTTCCCGGAATGCAGTCATGGTAGCCGACGGAGATGCAGGGGTTTCCGTGGATCCCATCTCTGCTGGCAAGACTGGATCCTTCTCATCAGCAACTGGTTCCCTCTGCGGTTTCTGAGCGCTGGCGCGCCTAGTAGATCGCATCCAGAATCCACCGTCGTTTGCCGTATCCGCATCTTCATCCTCATATTGGTTATCGTCGTCACTGTCATCGCTAGTAGACTCAGGGCTGACAGGAGCTGGGGTTGACGCTGAACCCCATACCGATCGTAAGGATGTGGCGCTGCTGGTTCGGCTCTTCAATGATGAGCCGCTACGCGTTCTGTGGTGGTGCTCGGCGCGGCGAGCTGCACGGATGACTTCCTCGGAAGTTGTCATATCCGCGGGTGTGTAGCCTTGGAGACTTCGGACCGTAGGATCCGCACCGCTCAACATGAGACGCCTCACGATTTGTGGGTGGTTATGAAGCGCTGCAAAATGCATTGGTGTGAAGCCACCCTTGTCACGTGGCTCTGGATTGGCACCCCGTGCGAGTAACGCAGCGACGAATCGATTGAGACCAAGAGAGCAGGCCAAGTGGAGCATAGTTTGGCCAGACGCTCTTCTCAAGTTGAGACGAGGCATATTGGGGCTATCATCGAGATCGATAAGATCCAGACACCTCAGAAGAGTCGCTTCGACATCGACGCCAAAAGTTGACGGGCTGAAATTGGTGACGTTCTGATTCTGTGGAGCCCCGTTCGGCGACTGGGCTGTAGAAACTCCCCATGAAGAAGGCCCATCTCCGACAATTCTCCTCGCAAGGTCACGAACGTCCTCCATTTTCCCGGTCATCTTGTGCCCTAGTACGGCTAATGCAGTTCGGATGATCTGCTGCTCATCATCATCTACATACTTGAAGTATGCCTGCTGTTTCGGGATAGGAGGTGTAAAGTGAGGCTGCATGGTTTGTTGCAGGTGTTGGTGTTTGAACGTCACAGGAACAGTGCCGGCGAAGGCAGATGGTGGTAGAAGGCAAACAAGTGACGTCTCACCCCAGAAGGTAGTCGTCGTGGCCTTGGCATCGCCAAACATCACCTCCAACCCTTGACAGAATCCGCTGCCCAAACAAGTGACCTCAATCCCACCAGCTTTAGGACCTTCATTAGGAATAAGTTTGTGTATTGTTGGTGGTCGATGAGGGTTAAGGCCCAGAGGCATGCCGTATAACCCATTAGCTACCGCTTGGGCAATCTGGGCTTGTTGCTGCTGATACGCTTGCACACTGTTTCTTAAGCCACTTGGGCTTGGGGCGCGACTGGGATGAGCTGAAGCTGGAGCGGAGAACATCTGGTGCTGTATCGCTATATTCTCCATGGACTGAGATCTGTTGGCGTTGGAGAAGAACTGATCGTTGCTATTCGGAGTTGGAGGGCCGTTATTAAATTGCGGGGGAATGGATTGTACGGCCGCGGATGCGCCGAACTGCTGGTCCGCTGGTAGAGGGAATGAAGTGAGGTTGGGAGTGTAAGGCGAAGGTACAGTCGTGGTACTCATAGGAGCAGACGCGGACACTTGCCCAGCGCCAGTATCGGATGTCTCTAACCTCGTCATAGCGAGTCCGCTGGGAACCTTGTTCGATCCGCTAGCTTTCCTCTTCTTTGAGGTTGGTCCAGAGGAGGCTGATGGCGAGGTTTGCCGAGATAAGCTGCGAGGCGTCAATGTTGTTGAAGTTGCCTGTGAGGTATGAGAAGGCGTAGTAACGTCCAAGGGGCTGTGGAATTGCATATTGAAATTTGCTCGCATGCTCTGCAAATCTGAGCTCGAATGCGAAACGCGGAAAGGAGCGATGGTATCAACTGCACCAGGCATATTGAAGGTAGCATCGGTGGGGAAGGCCCCAGATCCTGCGAACATAGGACCGTCAGAGCCGGTGGAATTTTGTGTCGTAAGAGGCATGTTGTGCGTCTTGTGATCATCGGTGATCATGATTGGATTGGTAATCTCCTGAGCAATCAAATTGTCTTGATAATCCTTGATAGTAAATATCACTTGGAATCCAAGCTTTTCATTTTGATGCCGACAGTAACATGCAATTCGCATGGGCGCATCGACTTGCATAGCACCTTCGGGGACGAAGGGCTCGGGTCGATCCGAGTTTGTTTCTGAAGACTGACTTGAAGGAGCCTGCCATTCCTTGATCTCATGAGTGTTGAAGACCACGACACGCTTAGCCTCGTCCTTGTGCCAGGATTCCTCCTCTTCCACCTTTTTGACCTTCTTGCGTGCTGCTCGCTTCCGCTCTCGAGTTATACAGCCTCCACAGATCTTAACATCTCCGCCGTTCAACGGCTTATTCTCGTCATCCTCATCTGCATTTTCGGCTGGAGCCTCTTCCCGACCAAATTCTTTTGCCGCAGCTCTTGCCAATGCACGCCGCCTATGTTCTGGGTTTTGCATGGCACTGGTGCAGACCAGCGTAGTGTACAGCTCCAGCGTATCCGGGGATCGTTCAGGGGTCGGTTTAGCAAGGAGTTTGGGTTTCGAGATAGTGTATGTTGGAAGATGAAGTTTTTTGATACCAATGGGCATGGGAAAGAGCGACAACTTTATCGGAATCTGGGTCTCGACGCGGGATTTTAAAGGCGTAGGGTGTATCATCAATATGTAAGGAGGGCCCAGACCCCGAAAGACTGGTGGGACTGCCATCGGTATAGACATGTTTGGGAGCCCATGATGCGGGGTGGGTATCCCGTTGTGTGGAAATTCAAAGTTTGTTGGCCACGCTGCATTAGCAACCCCTCCATTGAGCATATTCCCATTAGGGTAGTCAGGACCCGTGCTAGGAGACGGCGAGTTGTTGAAGAATGCTGAAGGTGAAGGTGATTGACTTGCCACCATGGCTGACAGTGGTGAAGTCTCCCTGGAACCCGCAGTTGTGAGGCCGTTCATGGATTGAGTCATAGAGTGTTGCTGCAACTCGTCAGTGTTTCTCCATTGTGTACTTTCAGGACAACTCACTGAGTTCACCTTGTTATGGTTCATAAATTTGTTTTTCAGAGGCGGAGACTTCTTTCGAGGGGTGTCACATTTAATCGTTGGCTTTCCTGGCGAGTCCATATCCGCTGGCTCAATTCCGAAGGGACTTGAGCTACTAGAAGCGCTCTCGAAGTCAAAATCATTCTCCATCGCTTTGTCGCTGAAATCAAAATTGGTATCCATGACTAGGGGATTGATGGTCCCATCATATCCACCAAAGCTTGGTCCATCGTTTCCTCGCATGATATCGTCCACCTTCCAATCCCCCATATCCGTGTCGTCTGCCATCATGGTGTCACAGCTGGTCAACGCCGACCGCGACGAATCCGAACTCGACTTCCGCTTGTATCTAGAAGAATCGGGAGACGAATCCTGGTATGATCCAGCGGGGGATACTGTCGATGGGGCGGGTAACGACGTCACCTTGGTGTCCAGTAGAGACGCTCTGGCTGGAAGAGGGCTCTTGTGGGTTGCAATTGGTGATCCAAAGGCTCCCAGAAACTGGGGACCGTCGATTGCAAAGTCCTCGGTCAAGAAGACCCCCGGGCTGTTGGCAGACTCGAGCTGGTTGCAGTCGAGGAATTCGAGATCAGGATCCGGGTCCAGTCGTCCTAACATGTCCGAATCGAAGACGAACGGCGGAGAACTCGCAGAGCATATAGGCTCTGCTTTATTGTGCATGACCTCTCCGCTATCCCCTCGGCTTCTATGGCACAATGTATATCTGGCCCGTCTAGTAGACAAGCCTGGTAGCAGCGGTTCTTAGGGAACCCTAAGTGCGGGCCCGTCCAGAAGCCCCCTAAATCCTCCAATCCCGAATATAGCTGGCGGCGATGCAGTGTAAGCGGTCGCTGGCACAATAAGTCCTCAACCGCTCAAGGCATGCTGGACCCCGACCCCGAGGCAGGTAGAGACGTGATGGGAGGTTCGAGGTGAATTGTGTGTCGAGAGAGATTCTAGGCCGCCACCGCTGGTGGAAGAGAGGCGCGCGTTCGAGTAGCGATGCTCTGGCGGTCGGGTCTGCGAAGGGAGAAGTCAACACTGGACGAGCAGCCGCCTTTGCACACTGGGGCTCCAAACTCACGAGATTCTTGTCGTCCTGGTAGAATGAGCCACGAAGTGGAGAAGTAGCAGGCTGGCAGGCTGAACGGTCTATTTTCGCGGTGTGCTCTCAACTCCGCAAAGCAGCGCTAGTGCGAGTTTTCGGCGAATCACAATCCAGTACGTCGACGACGATGGAGAGAGGAGGCTACCAGACCTTGTTGACGTGTTGACTCTCGACGCGGATACCCGTGGATGATGCTATTCGGATGAGCCAAGTACAAGACTCAGCGCGGGGCGATTCATTCAGGAAGATGGGTGCGATGATGTTGGAGCTCGACTCTTCTACCAATCCGGTTATCAGACTCTTCGCTACTATAAATATACGTACAAGGTAAGGTACATGTAGCACATATCCAACCGGGCGGTTAAGAAGCAGTTCGGACATCTCCCCCTCTCTATCTCTATCTCTATCTCTATCCCCAGACTGGGCCAAGAGAAGAAGAAGAGGAGATATGGAGGAACAGCCTGCTAATCTATCTGTCAATCTATTAAAAACCATTCCAATCCGGGATTCCCCCCCCCATCTTCCTATCCCGGACTCGTACATCTCAATCATGCAAACCGCCCCCATATCCCTCTCATCGCCACTGGTTATTCGCCAGCAACCGACCCCCGGGGGGAATGTCACGTCTTCCTGTCTTTGTCTTAGCAACAGATATGCATGGCAGCAGAGGGGGTGAGCGGGGTTAGAACGGGTCTCGCGGTACTACAATATATAGCTGGGCGGGATACACATGCACGGGTCACTGAAAACAGATGCTTTACGAGGAACACTGGCTCTAGAACCCAGGTAGATTTAGGTGAAACCGCTACGGCACCGGCGATTATTACAGCCCGGGGAGCTATCCGGAGAGAATATGCACTCTAGTCCATCACATCCTCGCCTCCTCTCAGCCCCTTCACTCTTCTCTTCTTTCTGCGTCCGTGGCCTCCAGAACTAACGTTGGCGGTTCATCGTCAGGAAAGCGAATTGTTCTCTGATGGGCCACTGCAGGAGGCGTTGAAGGTGTCGAGGGCTCCCCTGATCCAGGATCTCCTGGGGTGGCAGAGCCCGGGTTTGGTTCACAGATAACTCTGCCTCCAATCTTGAATAGTGGGGGAGCATTTGAAGCCGAACGTGGTGTTGATGCTTCTGAATCTGCTTGCCTTGAGCTGGCTGACCTGTTCCTATTCCTACGCTTACGCAAACCACTGATGGCGGACGTCCTGATACGTTCGCCCACCCGGAAGGGTTCGTTGTCGTTAGCACTTTGGGAGGTTAATGCTCGGGACAGAGTTCTTGGTAGGAAGAAGCCGAGCTTGCCCAAAGGAATGCTAAGGCCGTGGACAACCTGAACCATGTCAGCCTGCTGTACACAGAATGTTTATTAGGCGCAACAACTTACAATGCTGCAAATAGCCAAGAACCACACAACCACCTTTATCCCATCGCCCAGTTTTTTGGCATCATCTCGTTGGACACCATCCACAGTGATACCTTCAAGGAACTCGAGACTGATATATAGATAGAAGATGGCTGATACACCGATAGGTCCAAAGAATCCTACGAATATTGCTTGTCTCTTCTCCTCAATTTGGTGGATAGATTTGTGCATAAGAAAGACAATAGGGAGTCGCCTGAGAGAAATTAGCTACTAATATAGACTTAACATCAAGAGAGACTTGCCTGAAGAGAAGAATCAGAATCCCTAGAAATATCAAGCGGTAAATAGGAATAACGTCGTTGTGTACGAACGAATCCCAAGGGCAGATGGCTCCGAACCAGATGAAAATGGCCAGGTTGAGAAGCATGTCAATGGTAGGTTGAAGCGAATCGTCCAATGTCTCAAGTCGAAACCAGTCATCCCAAGTGAAGGCATTACCCGCAATGAAGCAGGCCAGTACATCGTCACTTCCAATCATGCCGCATGTCCCGACGATGAATAGAGCCAGCGTGATGGCGAAGACCAAGAAGCTCTCTCGGTCGACGAATTTCTTCTCATCTGCCCAATGTAGAAGTTCTTTCGCGATCCAGCCAACTACCCACCCGTAGACTACGCTGAGCAATATGGTATATCCCCAGGTCTCTCCGAACCAAAGACCCATAGCTTTTTGCGCTGATCCATGCTGTCCTAGCCCTCCTTCACCAGTATATTTGATCAAGTATAGCGCCAGGAAGAGATAAGGATATCCAAGTCCATCGTTTGCCCCAGACTCAGCAACGATGATCTTCTGCAGGTCCTTCGGAACATTTTTATCCGCGAATTTGCCTTTGACAATGCTGTTCGACAAAACAGGGTCGGTCGGAGTCACGCAAGCTCCGATAGCCAAAGAATGGAGGAATGAAATATTCGGAACCAAGGCCCATACTAGGAGACTGCTAACAATCCACATAACGACCATTATAGGGCCCAGGAGCAAGGCAAGCGATTTCCATTCTTTCTGTAGATACCGACTTGGGAGTTGGACCCCCGCCAGAACTAGTTGTACACCGAGCACAAGGCGACTGAAGTACAATGTGACGATGTTCAGGTTGGCTTCCGATCCCGTGTATTCCAGAGGTTTCGCGAAGTTCGTTGCATGAGGAGAGAAGACCACTCCGGCCAGTAGGGATATCACTTAAACCCCCATTATTAGCATCCTATCCAAAGGCGACACGACCTGGCTTGCCTACATGCTTCAGAGAGATAGAATTTCTCTTTGAAAAGGTATGAGACAAGCCCAAACACAGTTATGAAGCCGCCGAGGACCGAGCAGACAATCTATAGCTGTTAGATGATCCTGGGGAGTTCCCTGTTCCGGGTGAGACATACATTGAAGTTTGTAACTGCAAGAGTAGGCATCTTCGGGTTATTTTTTTATTCTTTTATTTTTCTGGAATTCCCCAGATTATCCAGCTAATGTTAGCAGACTCCCGTATGGTATTTGCTGCTGCGCAGAGCAGGCAAAGGTTGATTGTAGGGAGTGTATTCAACGGGTGTTATTGAACCATTTGGGCAGTGAACTGTTGCATTCACGAGGACCGCCACTTTTGCAGGAAATGGAGGACCGGCTCAGTGATACGATTGGATCGCAACCAAATTGTATAGCAGAGAGTGTGGTGTAAGGTAGTGATAGCGCTGGACAATGGGGATTGTAGTTGCTAGAAGATCAGTAGGGGATCATCCTATTATCGAGATAAGTACGGTTGTAGGCACCCGAGAATTTTTGTAATCTGTGCCCCATAGCACGTGCTCTCCCCCCTCTTCAAAGGGTGGAAGGTTAGATAGCGGATCAGATTGAACAGCGAATATTTGATCAAAAATATCTAATAAATCATCTGAAGAATTCATAATGGCAGTAATTTGAGACTCAACTATAAAAACAGACTACATAATCAATTCTGTCTTGCTGACAGCTGGGTATTAAGTCTCCGACATACAGAACCATCCAGCCATTCCCCACCCACCATAAGGCAAGGCCCGTTCCGGTGCCTCAGAAGATCAAACACCATGACAGCTCCAAAATAAAGGAAAGCCCATAGCCTATACATAGCTGAACCCATCGTTACAAACACACTCCATGGAATCCATCGTTCCCATTCGATAGTCTGGGCTATCGCCACATCAATCATACAGAGAAGTACAGATTCCGCTTACCCGGATTCTTGGCGCAGCTTTCTGGGGAAATGGAAATAACGGGCGCACTCTCTGTAAACCTTCAAGTGCTGCTGATATTGTTTCCAGATTGGAGAGATATCCCCCTTCCTAATGGCAGATTCAAGAGCGGTTAGCGAAAGCCCCAGCAACAGCAAGTCTGTCCGCGGCCTCGTTCCCATGGTCAGCACTGTGCCCCTTGATCCACTCCATTTCTGTCTTTGCACCCTTCGCGTCCCTCTCATCGATCAACGCTCTGATCGCCATAATCAAGTCCTTGTTCAGCACCGGTCCGTTTTGGGAGGTGGTCCAGTTATTTCTCTTCCAGCTAACATACCAGACTGTAGAGCAGTTAATGGCGTAGTTGCTGTCAGTGATGATATGTATATTGGCTGATCTAGGGACAATTTCAAGAGCGCGCTGGATGGCAGTCAATTCTGCCCGTTGGTTTGTTTGGATCTCGCCCTTTAATGGCTCCGAGACGTTTCTGTGGAACGAATAAGTACGATATGCCGTAAATCATAGGGATGAGAGGGGTTTATGTTTACCTTGGATCGTTATCGCCAAAGTACACACCAACACCAGCTATTGCCCCAACCTTTCCATTTCCCCGACTGCTCCCATCTGTATAGACCGTCACGGTTTTCTCCTTAGAAGAAGAATCTACACTTCTTTTGACCTTCTTCGGAGTTGGTTCACGCACAGTGACCTTGATAGAGGTCTTCCCACCAGTTCTAACAAACTCTTCCGCCTCAGCCCTCGTGGCGAACTTCTTATACTTCGGGCCCTTGACATCCTTTATCTGTTCCGCGGCATCGTTCCAATCCTCATAGACCCCTGGCACGCGACCAACTGCCACGCCATAGAACTTGTCTCCCTGGGGTTTCGAAGCTGATGAGGCGCCAGAGGTAGCTCTGCCCGCGGCGAAGTCTCTGGCCTCTTGTTCTGAAAAGAATGATTTGACTGCGTTCCCATAGATGTTAGCAAGCAAAAACATGATTCAAGATCTCAGCACAGTGTTGGAACCTACATGAAGCTCCCTTGAAACCAGTAATGTTCTCCTGGCAATCCGCCCAGTTCAAGTACACGCCGGGCCTATGCCCCGCCCGAACCGCGTAGTACTTCGTTGGAGCAGCCACATCGCCGAACTTGCGTTTTTTAGAAGCTGTAGACATTGATAGAAGTGTTGCGACCGTCAAGTACTTCCTGGGATTCTCGAACTTGGATATGCGCCAACTGGAGAGATACTGATTGGTGCTTGTCGTGTGCCCTCTTCGCGTCCAGAGATTGAACGAGATATGCCAGGCTGTAAATATCCTAGTATTGGTGGTGGTCTCGGAAGATAAGCGGCAGCGGGATAGTATATCAGTTCGAAGGTTCAGTATCCTCAGGAGCTTTCGAGTATGAGGGTCGAGGGTTCCCGATGGCCTTGATTGAAAATCTGGTACTGGCGATCCAGTGAATGATCTTGGGCGGCCTGTCGGTTTCCGGTAGGAAAGAACGGCTTTAAAGGACGACGACCGAATTGATAGTGCCTTGTATCAGGTTCATTGTTAGCTGCGTGAGACCTTCTAAAGCGGGTTGATGCAGACAAAGCCAGGACTGTATCGATCTGGTTCCGTAGCGGCTTCAAAGAGAAGAAGAAGGATGGCTCACCAGGTTGAATGAGATTGCTAGACATCGCGATCCGTGTCTTGGTCGTCAACAGTTCCCGCCAGTCAGTTTCCAATGCCCAAGGATCTGATCCATGGGGCTGATCCAGTGATGCTTGACTTGCTATCGATCTTTGAGCAAGGGAGAGTCGGATGTGGGGGGACTACTCCGGACTTCTTTGAAGCGTGGTTTCTGTGGGGTGACGCGCCTCGCGACCATTGTGATTGTGATGGGACACTCACTCACTTCAGCAGATTTCAGGGGCGACCAAGACGAGATTAATTGTTCTTTATTTCAGAAGCTACACATTATAGCTATGTTGCAAGCAGCCTGTTTAAGACATTTGGCCAGCCCGAATCTCACAACGGACACAAGCACATGGGAAGAGACTTCAAGTAATAGTATAAGCCAGTCTTTTTGTCTATAGCGTAGCAAGCAATCCCAATAATATTACAGTGGTTTGTCTTGATAACAAACTATGAAGCCAGTAAGCCATGCCTGCAGTTTCATTATGTTATCCCCGTCCCGATCCGTTGTTGCGCCGTACCAGCCATCCCTCCCACTGCCAACCCAGCGAGCGCATCGCGTCGTTCTAGTGCCACAAACTCCATGGCCAGCCACCGTCGCTATGCAAGCAAAAAGCAAGTCAGAATATTCGTAAGTGCCTAAACCCCCCGCCCATAATAAATCATTCATCGAAACCGTCCTCCATTTGATGTTTAATTACCCTTCTTGGTCTCCTTCTGCGGCACATACCCAGGAAGCTCATCAAACCAGCAATTCTTCTCGTTATATTTGTAGGCATGGAAGTCGATGCCATATGGCTTTGGTTCGATGGCGTAAAGCATACCGAGAGGCATATCGAGATCGGCAATGTCGTCTCTCGTGAGATCCATGAAGTACGCCATCAGAACGCGAGCGATAGAGCGGTGTCCAACAATCAAGACGTGGTCTTTGATGCGTTCAAGCTCTCGGACCATATCCCTGAGACGGCTGATAACTTGTAGATAGCCCTCGCCTCCAACGCCAGGATAGATGTAATGCAATTTATCCTTCGCCCGCTTCTGAAACTCGTCAGGAAATTGTTGTTCAATCTCTTCGTACGTCAGGCCTTCAAATGAGCCAGCATTAAGCTCATTCAGCATCTCCCAGTTTTTGACATCATAATCGTCGTCCTCGTCAAAGTCGGCCGCAGTTTGAATGCTTCTCTTGAGCATGGATGTCCATACGCAGAAGTTCTTTTCCTCGAGCTCGCCAAGAAGCTCCGGATAGGGTGGAGTGTGGTCTCCCGGCTTGGGTGGGAGCGACGAGCTCTCGATCGCTCTCTTCTTCTGATCAAACTCCCATTCCTTGCGCTTGTGGCCAATGAAGTTGTAGAGAACAGTGCCATATTTTCGCCCTTCAGGTGTGAGGTCTGAATCTCCGCCAATTTTGCCTAGACAATTGTCGTAAGATTTGCCGTGCCGAGTGATCCAAATCTGGCGAGGCGAGAGGTTAAATGTCGACAGGTAAGCAGCAATTCCACTTGCAAGGAAGCCCGACAACTGATAATGGATGACCTTCTTCCCCACGTCGATCATCTTAATATACTGCATGTGATGTTCCTCTTCATACTTGCCCAGCGGGACATAGGCACTCTCATACGCTTCAACTCGCTTCTTGAAGTCCAGATAAGAAGTCTCAGGATCTTTACCTCTGTAGTCTGGACCACGTAGCTTCAAGCGCATATTTGTCTCGAGAAGCTCGGAACAGTTAGCTAGGATTTTCTCAAATTGATATGAAATAGTCACCTTTTCGTCTTCGCAGACACTCTCAATAAAGAGGATGCCAAGCTTCGGCTCTCGACGCTTAATGTGATTGAACAGAGTCTGGCGACGCGCTATCGTACTGTTGGTTGCATCAAGGATACCAACAGAACCACCCTGCTCGAGAAGGAAAGCCAAGAGCTCATCTAGAGTTGACATAGCAACTTGCTCTCTAATGGCCGCGGCTTTCGTATTGTTGGGGTCAAAGAACTCGGCAGATTGATCCATACTTTCAGATCTTGGCAGCTGGATAGGCTTGTTTTTCTCCTGTGCTTCGCCGTCGACCGCCTCCTGGATTGTGGGATCAACGCCATTCAAGAGGATATGGGCGGCCTGCGTAGGCGCATCAATGACTCCTTGAATCGATCCTGTGCGGACGGGTCGGGATGATTTCTGAGGAGATCGCGGTGGAGAGCTTGGTGCTTCGACGGGACCTGTGGTGGCACCCGCTACTACTCGTCTTCTGTTCCCAACATTGAATATTCGCGATTCGTGTTGTTGCCAGGATAGATATCGCTGGAGCTTCCGGGTGATATAGGACTTTCCTCTAGCAGGCAATCCGACCATAATCACAACCAGCTTGGCCCCAACGTCTCTCTGTGATATCTTGCCATCGGGGGATACTCGCGATCTAGTCATACCAGGGATATTTAGGGTCGTTGCTGGTGGTCTGACTCGAGGAGTTGAAGAGCCCGAGTTCTGTCTGATGGGCATGCTAGTGGCAGAATCAGTACCTTTGAGTCTGTACCTTCTGCTGGACTCTACTCGATCAATGACTCATCCATGACTTGCTTGGACTTCCAATGCTAGAATCAGAGGAGGGTTGTATGTGCCACATAAATGGCAAACGGAAAATACTCACATCCGCGGACTGCCTGGAGCAGTAGCCGGCGTCGCACTTCCCATGGGCGTGTCACTGAGAGGGTGACCAACTCCCTCATGAAGTGTATTTCCGAGCAGAGCTCGTCCTAAGGAGGTTGTAGTTGGAGGGGCAGCATGGCTCTGCTGGGGTTCGTGTAGCTTTGGGATAGCGAGGTTATGGTCGGCGGTGGTGGTAGTCGAGGGATTTGGGGCAGGGCTGAGAGGGGGACTAGACATTGTGGACGAGGCGCAGCTGTTCATAACAGCCTTTGCAATGTCACTGTGCTGGCTCTGATGTTGAGTCTGGCCGTGAGCAATGACTATATATGAGTAAGAAGAGTAAGAGTCAGTGGTTTCCTTGGGCCAAGTTTTGCTCAAAAAGAGTGGGGATTTACCAGGCGTCTCGTGACCATCCTCACCCTCAGCAACGACCGAAGACATTGTCGTTGATGATCGCTGAGGGTTTTGGGAAATGGGCCCCCAGTATGTGATATCAGAGGAGGGGCAAAGAGATCGGCGGGGATGTTGAAGTAATTTCGTCGGAGGTTTTGCGTAGGGCGGTCCGTCGTTTGCAAGGCAGGCTGGGGCCAGGTGCGACCGTCAGAATCTCAGCCCGCAGGAGATGTGCGGGGTGAGGAAGGGTTGAGGGACAACGGCGTGGGGTCAATGGAGAGAAGAAGTAATGTAGTGATGCGGTGAAGCAGTGTGGTAAAGGGGGAGAGAGGATGTTGAAGACGGGAGGATGAATCAGAGGGGAAAAGAAGTTGTGTTCCAAGAGGCCATCAAAAACCGCGAGCCTCGTCTCCCACGGTCCCAAAATAATCTGGGCCCTGCCTTGCCTCGCTTGTCTCGCTTGTCTACAAGCGTGACGCTAGCGGAAAAGTAGATTTTCCGTCTCGATCTCTTTGTCGGAGGGCGGAGATGTTCTAGTAGATGGGGACAGAGGGCAATTCTGTTTTCAAGTCGAACGGCAAAACAAGGCAGAGAAAGCAGAGAAGAGACGACAAAAGATGTGCACCTGGTACGCGTACAAATAGCTCCCTGTTTGTCGAGCAGAGACAGGGGAATAACAGCTACTAGAAGGGGGACCGAACGGACAGTCGGCAACCATTGCCACTAGAGGGATATGGCCGCGACCACAGGGAAAAGGCCAGAATGGCTGCAAAGCGCATCTCACTGTGTCTCCCGTGCTAGGGAAGCTGCATTGTTGGGTGAACCGTGGATGCATCCAGACTAGAGCCATCGAGCCATGCACAGGCTGTGAAAGCCCCGACCCAGAGGCGTGGTCTGCCATCACGTTCTCATAGGCTCCCGGAAGTACCGCCCAAGACATCCTCCGTACGGGATTCAACACGGCCTCTTTGTAGACGTCCATTGATTCCAGATATGCACTGACTTGTTCTACTCGCGTACGGTATGACTATGATTACAGCGCTGATTTGAGATAAGGTCAGATACAGTAGACAGGCCTTCTTGGTTGGCTGTTATCAGGTATAGTGCCACCTGCCTCAACCCTGCCCAGCCTTGCCCAGAAATACCAAGAGACGAAGGTGCCAATGAAAATAGAAACGCGAACATGTGTTCCACTTGCTGACTCGCTCTAAAGGCTTACTCCCCCAACTCAATTGATGGCTATGCCCCAGCTATGACCCAGAGTGCTCATTGTACAATGTCCACGTATGCCCGGTAGATACAGGACACCCTGGATGCTCTCCCTGCGATAGCGAATGTATAATTCAGCCTTGCAGGTCGAGCTGTAGCTGATTGGTCCGCTGCCTTTGCTTGGCAAGTTGGCAATGGAGACTGAACGGTTCGGAGTCTTCGACATGACCCAGACAGGCGTACGTTGCCTACAGGGCTTGGAAATTCGAAAGGCTGATCACCAGCGCTGCGTTAGTGTCTCACATCTGTTCCTCTGAGTTATGCAAGGCTGCCAGATATCTCCCAGTCCTGTGGCAATCACATACGCAACGGGAGTGGCGCTGCCGTAGGAATTCTCAATTGTCAGGTCCTAGTTGGTGTGTATATTCAGCATGTCGGATTCCGGAGTGTTACTGTGGAGGGTTTGCCAATCATCTACTGTGGCGTCTCTACGTATGTGGGGCATTGTTAACGAAGACGACGACATGTCTTGAGAAAGGGAGAGTCGAAGTCAAGTTTGACAAAGGGGCCAAGGAAAGAACAACAAGCTCTACAAGTTCAGCTGCGTTTCTTCAACTGCACGACCTTTTGTTGAATTGCCAAGATGTGCTTTACCGAGATGATCTTTGTCGTGAAACAGACAAGGCACCTAGGTACCAACGATAGGATTATCTCTCACCGCCGGGACAAATATAAACAACTGCGTAATCTTCATAACACTCCTAGTTCAACATCAACAATACAAGAATATAATAGGCCAACATTTGCCTGCGATACCAGGCGTCCGGTTGCCTTGAGCCTGGCTAGGGATCACAGTCAAGGAGTCGAGATGTCCAGAGTGTCTAGCACAAATACCAACGGTATATTTGTTCACAATATTTACATTTGAATGGCATGTTGACTCAACCCTTAGGCCTTCTTTTAACATCCAATCGCTGTCACCTGTCCTATGAGGCTTTGCGAGAAGTACAGCGGTTTGGCATCAGTCTCCTACGAACCTAGGCGCGACATTCGGAACGAATCCATTCTCCCTCATATGTTCAATCATGGCCTCTCTCACAACCTCCCCACAGAGCTTGGCATACGGATTCAGCTGCACTGCCATATGCTTCGCAATCTCATTCCCATACTTCCCTCCCTCTCTGAAGTCGGCGGCCGCCATCTTCTCCAGTCCTGCGCTATTGATTCCTTGGAGCTCCCTTGGCAGCATCTTACTTCGGGAAGGATCTTCTGCCACTGACTTCGACGCCTTGAGCAGCAGATGCGCCCGGTGCGTATACGCGGATGCCAGGCACTTTCTCTGGAGCGGCGAGACACTTGGATTTAATTGCGTCGGCGCGGCTAGTCGCAGAGCCTCGCACAGGTCGGAGTACAGTGTGCTAGCAGCCACAGCCGGTTCGTGGAGGGTTTCCCCCACCAGCATACGTACCGCCTGGGCGCGATTGTTCCAGGCGGGTGCATATGTGGGATACTGCTCGAGGATATGCGTTAATTCGGTGACTGCTGCGTCGATTTCTTGGTGTGATGGCGAGGGCGAGTTGAGTGGCCTGATGGCTTTTACCTCGAGCTCTTGCAGGTGCTGGAGAATGGTTGGTGGAATGCCTGGAAGGGCCCAGTGGGGTTCTTCTGTGAATGGGGCAGTTCTTGACGGTATTCCCTCAGCATCGAATAGTGCTGATAGCACATGTTGGTCGTTGCGGCTAAGTGGCATTGCGACTGCGACTGGTGGTGTCTGATGTGAGGAATGGATTCGCCCGGTCGTGCCATACGCTGGAAGTGTCCAGCTGTTGAAGTTTAAGTAGAAATCATGCTCAAAGGCAAGGTGGGCAGGTGGGTATTGATCATAACGTATTACTCTTTTCGCACAGAATCTCTCTCTCTCTGTCGTCCTGTTTACGAGCTCTGCTCGGCTTAAGAAGAGGCGGAATGCGCCCGCCTCAGCGACGATGAGATCACTTATGCCACCCCGCCTCCCGCCGGCGCCGCCCCGCCCACACCAACTCGGCTTTGCGAGGTTAACAACGGCAACAATGGCTTTCTGCCTCTCGAACACCATCTTCTTGCAACATTGCCTTCGAGTCAGGTTATACCTTGAGCGATCATATATGATATATCTAAGTAGGTAGCGGACATCCGATTTCCCTTATTTCGTCATCTCTATTTTCCCAAGACGGTCTCATTGATCTGCTTGCTTCCTCTATATCATCTCATTCCACGTCCTCTCATATCACCAGGTGTTTTTGTCTTTCTTGAGCAATGGCCCCTCACGCAGAGCATGATCAGAGCCCGTCTTTTGATTCCTTGCACGACGACAGTCGGCCTGGAGCTCTCCCTGAAAATGAGGAGACGATCGGAGAGTACAGAGGCTACGACCACGTCCACTGGTATGTCGGGAACGCAAAGCAAGCCGTGACATACTACACCGCACGCTTGGGTTTCCACCTGGTGGCATATAAGGGTCTCGATACCGGTTCACGAGCAGTTGCGAGCTATGTCCTCCGCAACGGGGATGTTACCTTCGTCCTGAGCTCGCCGCTGCGGACCGCCGGGCAGGCAGAAGACCCTGCCGACCAAGACCTCCTCGCCAGCATGGCCGACCATCTAACCAAGCACGGCGACGCCGTGAAGGATGTGGCCTTCGAGGTTGACAGCGTCGACCAGGTGTACGACCAAGCGCTGGCCCGCGGTGCCGTCTCGGTCTCAGCCCCCCAGACGATTTCCGACGAGGACGGTGTTGTTAAGATGGCCGCCATCCAGGCATATGGCGAGACTATCCACACCCTCGTGGAGCGTAAGGCCTACCATGGGCTCTTCCTGCCCGGCTATCGAGCACCAAAAGACAGCGAGGACCCTATCAATGCAGTCCTTCCCTCGATCGAACTCGAAGCCATCGACCACTGCGTCGGCAACCAAGACTGGAACGCCATGGACGAGATCTGCGCCTAGTCCGTCCCCTCCCCTCCCCCCCCCCCTCCCCCACCCCAACTAACCCCTCCATCCCAGCTACGAGCGGGCTCTCGGCTTCCACCGCTTCTGGTCCGTCGACGACCAAGACATCTGCACCGAGTTCTCCAGCCTGCGCTCCGTCGTCATGGCCGCGCCGCACGAGCACATCAAGATGCCCATCAACGAGCCGGCGCCCGGCAAGCGGCGCTCGCAGATCGAAGAGTTCATCGACTTCTACAACGGGCCCGGCGTGCAGCACATCGCTCTGCGCACCCGGGATATCATCTCGACCGTGTCCCGCCTGCGCGCCCGCGGTCTCGAGTTCATCAGCATCCCGGACACGTACTACGTCGCCATGCGCTCGAAGCTGAAAGCGGCCGGGGTCCATCTCGAAGAGGACTTTGAGACGTTGCGGAGATTGGGCATCTTGATCGATTTCGATCAGGGTGGATATCTATTACAGCTTTTCACCAAGGTTCGTCCCTCTCTCTCCCCCCCCCCTTTTTTTTTCTATTTATTTCACTCACGCTAATCGCCCCCCACAGCATCTTCTCGATCGCCCAACAGTCTTCATCGAGATTATCCAGCGGAACAACTTTTCTGGCTTCGGAGCCGGGAATTTTAAATCGCTCTTCGAAGCGCTGGAGCGTGATCAGGAAGCTAGAGGCAATTTGACTGCTTCTGCTTCTGCTTGATTTGATTTTGATTTTGATTTTGATTCTGCGTGTCTTTTTATAGTACCTCACCTACCTTTGTTACCTTATCTAGATAGATAGGGAGGGAGGTATGCAGTAGTTATAATTCAATACATTTCAATACACATACCATAATCTATATAAAAACCCAAGAAAGACTTCCCCCCTTTTTTTATATATAATACAATACATAACATGCTTGCTTGCTTTCTTTCTAGCCAGTGAACGCCCTCCCGAAAGTTGAAACCCAAAGAGCAAGAGCAAATATCCCATTTTATTCATATCCCATGGCACTCACTAATTCATTCATTCATTTCATTCATTCATTTCATTCATTCATTTCATTCGTCTGACATGAGCAAGCAAGCAAGCAAGCAAGCTAAAAAAAAAGGGGAGATTTTTTGTTTGAGAGATAAAAAACACACATACACACACACACACACGCACACAGAGACACAGACACATAAGATGAGTTTCAGCTAGGAGTGAGATGGATGGATATTTTCTTTAGTCTCTGCTCTCTGTGCTTCAAGTCAGAACCTAATTCTTTCATTTCCCTTTTCCCTATCCCCATTCCCCTTTCCATTTCTTTCTTAGTATACACTACTCACACAACATTGGAGATCGATCAAAAAGGGGTTTTGTTTCTGTTCTTATCTTTATCTTTATCTTTATCTAGCACCACCATCCAGAGTCCACGTCCTCATTCATGGATCCGACATCCTCCACGTATCGAACCACTTCAGATAGCTATACTGGCGATTCGGGCCTACCATGCCCCAGGAGATCGGCATGAAGAGGATGTACAGGCCGATGGTGGCCGCGTACAACACGCCGTAGAGGATGTACTGCACGCTCTGGACCTGGTGCCGCAGGACCCAGTCGGTGACGAAGCCGAAGGTGAGGATCGCGAAGTAGAGCGCTGGGTAGTAGTGGTGCACGTAGGTGACGCGCGCCATGGCCATGAAGGGGAGGTAGTGCAGGACCCAGCCGAGGACCGGGTAGATGCCCGAGTAGTGGATGTGGTCGATGTCGGACGGCTTGAGCTCGTCGTAGCCGCGTTGCCAGCGGATGAGGTACCAGATCACGAGGAGGCCAAGGGCGCCCAGGGAGGCCGTGGAGCCCCAGTAGACGAGGGGGTTGCCGAGGAGGAAGTACTTGACGATGTTGTCGTCCCAGCCACACATACGGAGACCGACGTGCAGGATTGGCCATTGCCAGAATTGCGAGGCGAGGTCATCCTGCTTGTCAGGATCAGGGACCAGAGCGTTGTTGGAGGTCATCATCGCAACATTCAGATGGATGAAATCTTGGAAGAAAGGAGATTTGTACGCTCCAGCATCAGCGGCGGGAACTGAGGCATGTCAGCATACGTCACTACACTCGCGTGAATTACTTACGCTTATCATTCCAGTGTGCCTCAACGTTCCAGTGAGTGTAGACATCCTTAGGGTTGTTCTCAGGAACACAAGTAGTTTCAATCTGCTTGAAACCCCACTGCGGTAAGTTGACGTTCCCAGCACGGAGATAGCAGCCGAGGACGGTATGCCTGAGTCTGAATGCGGTGGTCAAAGTTCTGACCCTGCTTCGGTCATTCGAGACGACATCCTTGACAATCTCCATAGTCCAGTGGTCCTTGTCGTCACCGACAGTGGTGTTTCCGTAACATGAGACCTCCTTGTGGGACTTGGTGACTGGAGCAGCGACATCGTGAGAGTGCAAGTTGCGGCCAGTCTGGGAGTGGATCAATCGCAAAACATCACCATCTCCAACGTACTTGATTGGTGCCTCGGGGTCGTATTCGGGCTGCATGCGGTTAGGGTAGAACCACCACTCATTGTTGGCATCTTTGTGATGGTAGCAAGTAATCTGCTGTTGGGTAGAGCCCTCGGGATATGTCTGAATGTGGGAGTGGAGTAGGCCACCACCATAACCCATATTCTTGATCGTCGCTCGGGAACCATATGCGATTTCGAGGGGGCTGTCCTTTCCGACCTCCGTACCTTTCAGGTTTGCTTGGAACAGAGAGCTCATTTGAGCATCCCCTGGACCGCTGTTCTCCAGAATTGCAAAGTGAAGCGCGAAGGATAGCATGTAGATAATGACGGGAACGACAATCAAGCCCGCAACTCTAGCACCAAGATGGGCTGCAAGTTCGACCTGGCAGGGGTGTAAGCGGGGTCGTATGGAAAGAAGATACCCCATAAGGGCCTGCTTACCTTGGGCATCTTGAGATCACCGAACTTGTTCCATAGATCCTCAATCGTGTACAACCCAACCAGGGCGGTAACAAAGAACCCAACCCATTTGACACTGCAAACGCAACCAATGCTCACACCGGTCAGGATAAGCCACGCGAACCACTCGAAGCTGAAGCTCTTGTGCTGGAGTTTGTGGAATCTAGCCCAGCACAGTACAGTCGTGAATGTGAAGCACAAGAGCATTGAGTCTAAGAGGATGAATCGGCTGATAGTGGTATAAGAGTTCTCGCAGAGGACCATGAGCGTAACAAACCACACGGCAGGTCTCTTGAAGTTCAGTTCACGAGCCGTGTAGTAGGCCAGGGGAATAGTAACCGCGCCGAAGAAAGCGTTGAATGCACGCATAACCGTATAGTTGAGCTCGTCAGGGTATCTCTCCCCGGACTTAAACTCGAAAGATCCATTGTAACCCGCGAGGTAGCCGGATAATCCTACCAGCATCTTCCCAAGCGGAGGGTGCACATCGAAGTAGAACTCCCGTTTGAGGTAATGAGAACCGAACTTCCCGAAACTGTGCTGCGTGTCAATACTCCTCTCCTAGTGAGGCTAGGACGGGTGAGTCCTACTGTGCTTCATCCCAAGTCACGATCGGCGACAATCCAATCTTATACAGGCGGGTGAAGAAGGCGAAAGCCGTGAAGATGAAAGGTGCAATAAGGAATTCCCATTCATCCAGGAACTTCAAGAGGGGCGACTGTGTGGTCTGCTACAAAACACATAAGCTTGGTCCCCATACCGTTGATTGTACAGGGGCTATGCGCCTCAAGGATAGCACAAAGCCTCACCTTCTTGCTTTGCGTCTTCTTGTCATCAACTTCGACCTGGTTCGCTGCTCCACTGCTAGGCGTGCTGGCTTGCACATTTCGTCTTCTGGTCGTCTGATCCAAATCGGCTCCTGACGCAACAGCTCCTTTCGACGCAGCCATCTTGGTGTCCGCGGGCCTAAAGATCGATGCTCAAATGATCCGCGTCCACAAGTGCGTTGTGCGCGCGCGTCCTGTTGTTAGAAAACAGCGCTCGTAAGGCGACGCGGCTGGAAAACGAGAGTAGAGAAGGGAAGAGGGTACAATGGTCGTCAGAAATGAAGAGAGAAAAGAAGTCAACTAGTTGCAGAAGTCACACATATCCGCAGAAGGGCATGCAGCTTCGAGGGCAGATGCAGAGAGACCAAGATGGTTGATGATCCCCTGGCAAGTGGTTGTCAAAGGGGGTTTCTCTCGAAAAGTCGCGCTTGACGAGCCGCTTTCTGGGACCTGGCTGGATTGAGGCTATTTTAAGCGAACTGGACACGATTTCCAACTCTCCACCAGAACGAATGCTATTTTTGTCTTTTGTGATACGCACTGTCCTGGGGAAGACCGGATGCCTTCCGACTGTTCCAGAAGGCTCGAAGTTTTTGCATTCTATATTATCATCTCGTGATTACAGCACCAGCACCAGCAAACTCCTCTCTTTCGTACAATACATAGATCGATCAGTTACCTTAGGTTACAAGGGCCGCTATCCAAAGCTGGCTACCCCGGCTTTCACATGGTTATGAGCCCCCCCAGCTCCACACTTCGGGGATCTCAAATGTCAACACAAATTTCATCCTTTGTCGTACGAATCCACCGAGTCGAAGGCCGTAATCCCAAGAGTGCCCTTTCTTCCTCCTCGAATATAGTAAAAGTGTGCCCTCGTTGCACTAGATGTCTTTGTTGTTCACGAACAGTGACGATATGATATTACACCAGCACCCGGCGAAGCTCCTAGTACGCCCGCCTTCTATAACCCAGCTTCTAAATGCAATTTCCAACTGTGGTCCGCTTGTTATTCCTCCTGACCCAGGGGAGTGTATCGTCCGTTCTTGCTACTTGCACCCTCTCCACTCCCCTTCTTTTTCCTGGCCACCATGCGTGAGATCCAACCACCAGAACCCTCCGCCCTCTCGTCCGAAGTAAATTGAGGTTTCCCGCCTACAATAGCAACATGTGGAGGATCAATGTCAAGACCGGGAATGGCGCTGGATGGGCCGATGCCGCGGCCAGGAGCGGGACTCGCACCCATAGCGCCCCGTCTAAGATCCACTGAAGGGACAGGTGAACTCGTACCCAGCAATGATCCAGTCTCGGCCCTCGCTGTTGGCGTGGGCATCGTAGACGTAGCGTCACCGAACAATGAATCCATATCCTCCAACCTTACACCAGCCGTCTCGGGGTAGATGAAATACACTGAACATCTATTAGTTTGATTTCAGCAGTAGAGCAAAAACCACTCACCAACAATGAAACTCGTAGCACAGAAGAATGCATGCATGAAATACAAGCGCCACGTGATTAGCTCTTGCAGGACTGGGGTTATCTCTCCAACGAGCCAGTTGAACGCCCAATTCGTGGCAGTAGACAAGCTGGCACCCTTAGATCGAATGCTAAGGGGTAAGATTTCCGGTGGGTATAACCAGGGAATCGGGCCCCAACTATACCCGAAAGAGGCATTGTATATCATAACAAAGGCAACCACGAGTGTAGGTGTAGAATGTATGTCAAGGTAAAGGAAATAAGATATGGCGGATAGCGACAGAACCATGGCGATTGCACCGCTCAGAAGAATGAACCGCCGGCCCCATCGATCAACAAGGTACCAGGGAGGCACCGTAGACAAAAGATAAGTGATACCATTGATCCCGGTCATGAGGATGGCTTGTCGGCCAACCCAGCCGGCCGACTCGAAGACGTACGGTGCGTAGTACGATATGACATTGATCCCATTGAGCTGGGCAAAAGCTTGTGCGGACATGGCGATAAAGACACGAGTATGGTAGCGGCGGAACATATCATGATACGACTTCTCTCCTTCTTGGCGGGAAAGGAGAACGTCCATCTTGATTTCGCGGTACTCCTCACGTGCTTTTTGGTTGTGGATGTCGCCGCCCCCGTAAAGGTTAGCAATCACCACAATTCCTTCTTCATCGTGATCATTGTCCAAAAGCCATCTAGCCAGGTTAGTATTGCAACTCGGACTGGAGGTCAGGTAACACACCTCGGTGATTCTACGATGATCAGACTCCCTAGTCCAAGGAGCGCACCTATCACGCATTGCATTAATAGGGGGAGTCGCCAAGAGAGTCCACTGTCGATGAAGCTGCAAAAGTAATCTACCCAGACCGATGTTGCATAGCCTATGATGTTCCCCGAAAATTCGATGCAGGCCAGCTTGCCGCGATTGTGTGGAGGGGAGATCTCGGACTGATAGACCGGTACGATGGTGGATAGCATGCCAACCCCAACACCTGCTGTGATCCGTCCGATAAGCATCATCGGCAGACCACTAGCAAAGGTCTGGCATGCTCCTCCGACGAAGAAGATGCAGGAGCCATAGAGAATTGTCCTCTTTCTGCCAATAATATCACCCACCCTACCAACGACCAGGGATGAACACAGTGCTCCGATTTCGAGAATCGCAACCATAGTACCCACTTCGGCTCGTGTGGGTTGATTGAAGTAATCTTTGAAATAAGGACCGCTGTAGGACTATTAGGCCGAGTTCAATGGTGCTTTGGGAAGACGCAACCTACGTGATGATACCGGACATCACACCTTGATCATAGCCAAACAGGAACACGCCCAAAGATACAAATATGCTAGTAAAGTATCTGCATCACCGTTAGTCGTGCGCAGATTGTGTCTGATGTCCTGGTCCCCTACACTAAGGGCCTGCCCGTGAGGCCATGCATCTGTCTCTCTCCCCCCGACATGATGGCGGCGAGAGTCTGCTCCGCTCTGCTAATGGTGCGTGGAGCAGGATTGGGGATCGGGATGTCCTCCTTGACGATTCCCCGATGATATTCCTTGTCTTCGGTATCGCCAGTGTCTTCGTGATAGCGGACGCGTCTTGGCCGGGAGCCTCGTCTCGAAGCACGACCAAAGACGTGTTCGTCGAGGGACTCGCGCAACTGGAGCTGCAACGGGTCCTCTTCGCCCAGCTGTAAGGCGAGATCGCCAGTGTCACTCCACGAGAGATCGGAACTAGGGGACGACGACCGCGAAAGGGAGGAGCGGCGGCCCTGTTTCTCGTCGGACTGTTCTCGCAGCAGAGCGGTGTCTTGGGACGACGGGCTTCCGGGGCGTGGGAGAGTTCGTAGGGGGATGTTGGCAGGACGACGAGAGGGTTTTGGGGACGGAATGATTGCTGGAGAAGGACTGTCTAGCAGCAGTCCTATCTGCCCGATGAGAGATGATGGGGGGACGAAGGAGGGTAGTGCGCCGTGGACGCGGATGGAACTAATAGGGCGGGTGATCTCGTCAACACCCGCCACCTAGCAGCAGTAGTAGTATTCAGGTTCAGTGGTTCTCAGAGCATAGGAGATGCCGGGAAATGTGGGGCGACCATGGAGAAGCGGGCGACGGGTGACGGGGGAAGATGACAGGAAATCCGGGGAGGGGGATCTGGCGGGATGGGCGGGGACGGCGGGGAATTGAATCAATGACAGCGGAGAGAGAGAGAATGGATGGATGGGATGGGATGGGAATAGCAACGCAAAGTCTGGCACGAGATGAATATGGAGTTGTGTGAATGGAGATGACACGGGAACTTTGGAAGGCTTCCCCTGCCATGGGGGTCACGTGTGGTCCCGGGCAGCGCCCACCCCGGGGCCCGACGAGCGTCATCCTTCAGGATCGACACGGAGGATGGGAAGAGAAATGGATGATCAGTATGTTGTGTGAGGAAGGAAATGTTGACCATGTGACCATGGCTCTCGACAAGTATGTTATCATGAATGCATTGTACCCTCATCTATACCTTATTTTACCAGGTGTACATATACCCCAGATCGCGTGGTATAAAAAGACGACGCCTCTTCGTCAAAGTGGCTCGCTCCCCTTCAGCCACGGCTTATGTAACGCCCTGCTGGTCCACAGGGCAGGAAGGGCTAACCGCCTCGGGAAAACACGGGGGTGACGGGGCAGACGTGACATTTAGACTCCAGGCCATCTAGAACTTGTAGCATCTCAATGTTTGATGTATTCCCTTTTCCTAATCGGGAACGTCAAAAGGGGCTAAAAGCAACGAACTACCTTTCAAAAGCGGAAGCGGCTCTAGAAAGCCAACCTGCCAAGCAAAACGACATACTCGGTAAGGTAAGCTGAATCAATACCGAGGACCTCGAGGCGCACATCAGCATAGTTATACAGCCTTTTATTGAATTACCAAAACATATATCTACAATCCGTCTCTCATCCTCGACACCTCAAGGGTATATTTTACAATTCGTCTCTCGTCCTCTTCTCCGTCTTTACCTCCACGGTTCCACTCTGTGCCTTCTTCTCTCCATTCCCATCCAAGCCTTTCCGCTTCCTGTCTACAGCCGCGATCTCATCATCATACACTGTCCACTCGGGCACCTGTCTCCTTGCTCTATCCAACTTCGGTTCCTTCGTCAGCGGATTGTTGCACAGATCTATGGTGCGCGCGTCCTTCAAGCTCTCGTCGCTACACCATGTCTCGCACCATAACCATTCTTGTGGCAAACTATGGATCGGGAGGATGGTCTGCATATGATTTGGCAGATCTTGATCCAAGTTTGACAAACTGTTTGGATCAGAAGACAGAGAGTGATATTGTTGGCGAAGTCTGTCACCGGCAGCCATTTGACGGAAGCGTTTGAGATCCACGACGTAGAGCGCCGAAATGTGGTATGGAAGCCCACGTAAGAATTTCTCCCAATAGCCTTGTTTCCAGAACCGGAATCCTTCCATTTCAGTCCGGCTGTCACACATGGGTGTAAAGCCATAAGGTGCTCCTTTCAGGTCGTGGTTAACGAGATCAATCATATCTGTTCTTACGATCTGATCCGCATCCACGAAGATCACCTTGTCGAGAGAAAGAGGGAACAAGACGTCAAGGAACAGGATCTTGTAGCCCCAAATTTCACGCTGTTTTTCGGTTTGGTGTCGGAGCCAGTGAGGCCATTTGTAGGTCACCATTTCGTATTTGAAGCCGTATTCAGCGGCGAGGTAGGGGATGAAGTCTTTGAAGGAAGGTGATAGGAATTGTTCAATGAACCAGAACTTGACGGTATGTTTGGTGTGCTTCATTACACTGACCATCATGATATTTAACATGCGTTCGTAAAGGTGGCCACTCGCAACAGAGAAGATGTTGATTTCGGCATGCGTTTCTTTCTCTGCATCTTTGCCTTTGCCACCAAGGATTCCCTGGGCAAAGCTAAGACCTCGCGATACGATGTCCAATGTCGAGTCTGCCTTTTCTTCAAGGACATCTTTGCCCTCCATTCCTGGCTTTCGTGACAATCGGGGGAACAACGTTACACCTTGGAAGCTCATAAGAATGATATCCGTGCTTTCATCACCCGGAACTGGAAGCCAACCGCGAGAGCCAATACTTTCAATGTTGTAGATTTCCGAACTCCTACCCTCCTGGAGTTGGATTTTATAAAACCCTGGGTTTGCTTTGAATTGGAAATAACCCAAGTTGGCCATGATGATCGTGTCGGCAAAATAAGGATCTCTTTTAGTTCCAAGAACGAGCTGAGCACCACGTGGAGCACCACCAGTTGGGACCTCGCGGGAATGACCTTCAATAAGAATATGCTCTAGTTCATAGACGGCATTGACATCGGTCTTTATGGAGCTGAGCTTGATGTTGTCCAAGTCGTGAACCGAAACTTTTGGTGCGACTAGCCACGCCGGCGGTACATCCATACCCACAGTCAATAGAGCATCTTGAGGGACGCCAGTGAAGGAAGCACCAAGAGACTGGAGGGCCCCAGAATCATCGAAGGTCGGTTTTGAACCAAGAACATACCTGTAGAATCGCTTCACAGGGATCTCCTGAAGGCGCTCTTTAGGATTTAAGAAAAGCTTGACGTAAACACCCTCAAGCTCTGAGAGGGCTTTTATGATAGGAATCCATTTTTGACCTTGCTCACTGGCGGGATCCACAAGTAGTGTCATCTGTATGGTCGCTGTAGAGATATCGCCAACCTCAATAGCAGTGTGGGAACTATTCCATAAACCGTGCAAACTCATCCTGGCTGTTGAATCCTTCTCAACAATGCCATCTGGTGTACCCGGTAGCATGGATGTCGCTACGATGGAAGAGATCTTCGCCGCGGAAAGAGGATCCACAAGACTGTCGGCCCTTCCAAGGGTCTTCACGGCAGCATATACTGGGGAGATTCGGTTGGAGCGTTCATATGATAGTAATTGTTCGAAGTCTTCCAGGTCGAGCTCAGATGTCGCAGTGACAGGACCAACAAGGCGACCGTTCAGCAAAAGGCCATTTTGACCAGGTCGGAACGATATAGATTTGACCAAAAATTTGGCGCCTTGCCAATACTCGTCTGCTTCTTGCTGAGCCACATTCTTTTCTTTAGAGACATCTGCAGTCAAAATGGCAGCAAGATCATCGGCATCTTGGAAAGCCTGGTATGAATGGTCTCGTACGTGAGAAAATAGGAGATTGCTCACGGCGAAATTAGTAGTGTCGGAAGCTGGATTGTGCACTACAGTGAGTTCGACCGAGGGGTTGGTCTTATGAAACAAGATCGCTGTCGAGAGAAGCTTTTTACCAGCCTCAGAGTCCAGGTCTGCTATCACAATCATATGACCCCAATCGTCTTTCGCAGATGATGGATCAGCCTCTACACGGGGCAACGTTTTAACAAACTCATCATTTCCCCCTAAGAGGTTGTTGACATCGAATATCCTCAGACTGCTCTCGTCCTCGGGCACCACCAGTGCATTTCGTTTCTTAGCCGCCTGAGCGAGGAAGTACGATGGTAGCCACGCATCTGCTTTGAAATACTCTTCGTAGATCGCCGCTTGAATGGACTGTAGATCGGCCATGACTCTGGAACTCATCGTCTGCAAGAAATTTTCACCACGAGGAAGGGCAACTCCATCAACAAACATTGGCGGGATTGTACTATCCGCAGCTAGTCTCCGAATCCATTTTTTGGAGGCCTGGACCTGGCTTCGATACTCTTCAGACTCGAGCACATCTTCGAAAGATTGAGTGGCTTTGTTTGCTCGGGGCTTTTTCTTCTTTATCGTACTTTCAAAGACCGATTTGCTCGCAGATTCAACAGACCGGGAGTTGTAGGACGCCTCGAGGTATTCGGAAAGAGCGGTTAGTCCGTATGTATCAAGCAGGTGATAAAGCACCGCAGCTTGATCTTCGGCGCGGGCTGTTTTGGTAATGGGTACAATTCCAATATGAATGGCAAGCTTCCGCCTCACAAAGCTTATAAGAGTATCAGCGATAACATAAACATCCTGCATGCTTGTGAGGTCAACTGGTAGAACCAAGGTAAAGCAATCTCTCCGGACAGGAGGAAGTTGTCCAGGGTACGTCCGCTGGAGCATCGCAGGGAGAGCTGTAGGCCAATCCGCATAGCGTTTGTCTTTCTCGAGGTCGTTCAACCATATTATTGCGTTACCGCCCTCGATCTCATCCCTCCAGTCAAATCTTTGTGGTTCATCGTCAGCGTTGACGGCGGCTATTGCTTGGTCTGTCAGAAGCTCAATTGCTTCTTTGCCAGTGAAGCCAAGATCAGTGACACCTTTTACGAGCTTCCTTTCTTTCCGCAACAGATGAAGGAGACTCAAAGCTCCAATTTGTCGATCAGTCAACCGGGCACCATTCATCCACCAGACGTTAAACCCAGCCGGCACTATCCGGCCACGGTTATAACTATGCTCTGCAAGAAATTCCGCAGTGGCATTGTGGGAAGCCACGGCGCTTGAATATTTTGGAAAGTCCTGTGAAAGCTTTATGAGGGTATCGAATGGCTTTTCGCTCTGCATTATGAAGCTTGATGTCTTTACACTTAGGTCGAGCAGTTCCGAGCTAGACAGAGGTTTAAGATCCGCAAACTCTTCGTCTTCAAACTTCACCTCTGTCTCCGAGACAGCCTCTGAAGGCTTGGCTTCATTGTCCTTGCGGTCATCAATCACAATATAGTCTGTTCGCTTCAGCGCCAGCTCAACACCGTAGCCTGGGATAATGAGTGGCTTGGACTCGGGGGAAATTGCTTTCTTGTATCGGACTCGGTAGGAAGCTTTTCCCTCACGAGCTCTCTTTACCAGGATTTTGTGGAACTGTCCAAATGTCGGGGAGGAAATATCAGCGTACAAAATAGAGACGGGTGCCGAAGGATTTCCAAACACCCTGTCGAACGGCAATTCTTCTATTTGCCTTCACAGTTGGAATTAGCCCCTGAACCCCTGGGTCATGATGATAGAACATACGAGTTATCGCTGACGTCCTGATGAGGTGCATCCAGAGCCGGCGAACAATACTGCTTGTCGTCAAAGAGCACCCACTCAGGACATGTCGTATCTTGTTCCACTTTCAGAGACGGCTCCACTGCAGTGTGGTAATACTGATAATGTGCTTCGATACGAGGGGCTGAAGACCGCATGGACAGTGCAAACTGGTAGACAGAAAGTGTTTCTGGATCCGACATGTGCCCATCATCTTTCAACACTTGTATAAACTGGTCATAAAGCTCCTTATCTGTAGAGGCTTTTGAGAAGTAACCGTCGGCAATTCGATCGAGAAGCGGAAAATAAGATGTTGCGTTTTCGTCTGCAGCTGTTTCTCTGTGCCCAGGTCAGTCTTGTCACGCTTGAGAATGGGACAGGAATCTACAAACAGTAGTTCAAGGAGGTATGGCGCAGAGGAGAAAGAGGCCTGCAACCCGACATTGATTGATGGACTAGCACAGGCAAATAGTGAGGGAAGATACGTGGATGCCAGCAGAGCTCCTGTGAGACTCCACGGCAAGCTGAAGACCCCCATCTTGCCCGCTGGAGGTGTACGAAGAGCTTCTATGCTTCTATGAAGCAGGCTCCGACTCTGAGGGGGGATGCTCCGTAGCAATTAGACAGCGAGGACGGGCGTCCGTCAGCAGATTAAAGTAGAGACTCTCCTATGGTAGTCGAATCGGCGTGAAACAAGACATGATACACGCCTACAACACATAAGTGAGTGCAAGTGCAAGGGCAAAAGGCAGGGAGAGATCAACTGGATCAATTCTACGCGAAGAGGGACGAGGCTGAAATGTTGTCTCGACTCTGCGAGGTGGCCTTTCCCCTAGGCAAAGGGGAGCTCCACTGCGCGCAGGGGAGTTGGCGTCATCCGTAGCACACAAGAATTGGACACGGATCGCGATTCGCAACACCACCACATCACACAAACACCCCCCCCTCGACTCGATCCTGAACTCCTCCGACCTGCTGTCTGCCATCTGCGTCGAACGCCCTCTCCCATAGAGGTCGTATATCCTTGGACACCCGCGCACCCGAGAACCCTGCATCCTTCATGCGCGGAGCGTGAGCTTCTCGTATCTCGCAGCGGTCAAGATGGCATCCTCCTCCACGAACATGCTGACCAAGGTATGTCTTGAAGGAAGGCTGGAATGGCTGTGGTACTTCTGTCATTCGGTTTCTGACAATCGGGATAGTTCGAGTCCAAATCCTCGAGAGCGAAAGGCATTGCTTTCCATCCTAAAAGGTCCGATCACAATACCCCCCTTTTCGCATCCACAACTAATCATCTACAGACCGTGGATTCTGGTCTCCCTGCACTCCTCAACTATCCAACTATGGGATTATCGTATGGGAACCTTGATTGACCGATTCGAGGAACACGATGGACCGGTTAGAGGAATTGACTTTCACAAGACGCAGCCCCTCTTCGTCTCTGGTGGAGATGACTACAAGATTAAGGTCTGGTCATATCAGACTCGCAGATGTCTCTTTACCTTGAATGGTCATTTGGATTATGTTCGGACTGTCTTCTTCCACCACGAGCTTCCCTGGATCATTTCGAGTTCGGATGATCAGACTATCAGAATATGGAATTGGCAGAACAGATCCTTAAGTAAGTCTATGTTCTCACCTTAATCGATCTTTCTAATAGCATCAGTCTGCACTATGACCGGTCACAATCACTACACCATGTGCGCGCAGTTCCATCCAAAAGAAGATTTGGTAGTTTCAGCCTCACTGGATCAGTCTGTTCGTGTCTGGGATATTTCAGGCCTCCGAAAGAAGCATTCTGCTCCCACATCTATGACCTTCGAAGACCAAATGTCTCGCGGAAATCAGAATCAAGCCGATATGTTTGGAAATACAGATGCTGTGGTCAAATTTGTGTTGGAAGGTCATGACCGGGGTGTGAACTGGGTAGCTTTCCATCCCACACTACCCCTAATCGTATCCGCTGGAGACGATCGACTTGTCAAATTGTGGAGAATGAGCGAGACAAAGGCTTGGGAAGTCGATACGTGCCGGGGTCATTTCCAGAATGCGTCAGGATGCTTATTCCACCCCCACCAAGATTTAATATTGTCTGTTGGTGAGGATAAGACCATCCGGGTCTGGGATCTGAACAAGCGAACTTCAGTCCAGTCCTTCAAACGAGAAAATGATCGCTTTTGGGTTATTGCAGCTCATCCAGAGATCAATCTTTTTGCCGCTGGACATGACAATGGTGTTATGGTCTTCAAGCTTGAGAGGGAACGACCCGCGTCTGCTTTCTATCAGAACAATCTCTTTTTCATCACTAAGGACAAGCATGTCCGGTCTTATGACTTCCAGAAGAACGTTGAGAGTCCAACTCTGTTGACCTTGAAAAAGCTCGGTAGCCCCTGGGTTCCTCCGCGATCACTGTCTTACAACCCAGCCGAGCGCGCTATTCTGGTCACTTCACCCGCGGATGGTGGCTCTTACGAGCTCATCCACCTTCCTCGGGAGGGCTCTGGATCAATAGACCCCACAGACACGAAACGTGGCCAGGGCAATTCAGCCGTATTCGTGGCACGCAACCGATTCGCAGTTTTCAACGCAGCTGGTCAACAGATTGATATCAAGGATCTCTCGAACTCAACCACAAAGACCATCAAGCCTCCCGCAGGTACTACTGATATCTATTTTGGTGGAACCGGCAATCTTCTTCTAATCACCCCTACTGCTGTGCATTTATACGATATCCAACAAAAGAAAAGTACTGCAGAACTTGCTGTCACTGGAGTAAAATATGTCGTATGGTCAAATGACGGATTATACGCCGCGCTGCTGAGCAAGCACAATGTCACGATTGTCACGAAAACCTTAGAGCAGGTCAGCACACTTCACGAGACGATTCGAATCAAGAGTGCGACTTGGGACGATGCCGGCGTCCTTCTCTACTCTACCCTCAACCACATCAAATATACTCTTCTTAATGGCGACAATGGCATTGTTCGGACTCTTGACCAGACTGTTTACCTCGTACGAGTAAAAGCGCGCAGCGTTTACTGCCTCGGTCGAAACGCAAAGCCGAAGATCTTGAATATTGACCCGACTGAGTACCGCTTCAAACTGGCACTCGTCAAGCGCAACTACGAGGAAATGTTACAGATTATCAAGACCTCGAGTCTGGTTGGTCAGAGTATCATCTCTTACTTGCAGAAGAAGGGATACCCGGAGATTGCTTTGCAATTTGTCCAAGATCCAACAACGCGTTTCGAGTTGGCCATTGAGTGTGGTAACTTGGAGGTTGCAGTAGAGATGGCAAAACAGCTTGATAAACCGAAGCTTTGGTCAAGATTGTCAACAGAGGCTCTTGCACATGGCAATCACCAGATTGTCGAGATGACTTACCAAAAGTTGAGGCAGTTCGATAAATTGTCATTCTTGTACCTGACTACAGGTGATGAAGGGAAACTCGCACGAATGGCCAAGATCGCCGAACATCGTGGAGACTTCACTGCACGTTTCCAAAATGCTTTATATCTCGGAGATGTAACTGACAGGATACAAATGTTCAAAGAGATCGATCTCTGTAAGTTTCAATGGATTGTAAAATGGGAGCGATTACTGACATATAAAGACCCTCTCGCTTACATGACTGCAAAATCTAACGGTCTTACGGAAGAGTGTGAATCAATTTTGGAGGCCACTGGGCTCACTGAAGAACAAATCACACTCCCGACTCTCGGCTCCCCCCTTACTCCACCAAAGCCTATCGTAGCGACGTTCAAGGCAAACTGGCCCACCAAGGCTACATCCCAATCGTTCTTCGAGAAAGCATTACTTGGGCAGGTTGAGGGTCTGTCGTTAGAAGATGAGCCCGCAGCAACCTCCAACGGTTTTGGTCTTGATGAGGCTGGAGAGGAAGAGCGAAACGGCCATCTTATCGAGGCAGATGACGACGAGGATGTTGCTGGCTGGGATATGGGTGATGATATCGTACCAGAAGTCGAAAGTGATTTCGTCAATGTTGATAGCGCCGAGGCGGGTGCAGGAAGCAGCGAAGCAGACCTCTGGGCCCGCAACTCACCGATTGCAGCTGATCACGTGGCCGGAGGCTCCTTTGAAACCGCCATGCAATTACTGAACAGACAACTAGGTGCTGTCAACTTCGCCCCGCTGAAGCCACGCTTTTTGGAGATTTACCAAGCCTCTAAGACATATCTTCCTGCATCTGCCGGCCTTCCACCGCTGGTCAACTATGTCCGCCGAACGGTCGATGAGACCGACCCTCGAAAGGTTCTGCCCATCATCCCTCGTGACATAGAAACTTTGGCCACTGGAGATTTACAAAGAGGCTACGATGCCATGCGTACCAACAAGCTTGAGGATGGTTCACGAATCTTCAAGGGAATTCTACACGCTCTCCTCGTGAACGCCGTTTCAACCGCTTCAGAAGTAGATGAGGCAAAGAAGCTGATCACAACTGCCTCCGAGTACACCCTCGCGATGGCAATCGAACTTACGCGACGAAATCTTGGTACAGCTGAAGAAGTAGCTAAATCCCCAGAGAAGCTGAAGCGATCGCTCGAACTCTCGGCGTACTTCACGATTCCCAAGTTAGAAGTGGCGCATAGACAGTTGGCTCTGGCGAGTGCGATGAGAGCGGCGTTCATGAACAAGAATTACAATTCTGCCTTGAGTTTCGCAAACAGGATGCTGGCCAATGGTGGAAGTCCTAAAATTCTTGATAATGTAGGTTTCAGTGATTTTACCAACGCTCACGTTACTAATATAATATAGGCACGCAAAACCAAAGCTCAATGCGAGCGCAACCCTAATGATACCCACGAAATCGAATTTGACCAGTTTGCAGATTTCGACATCTGCGCAGCGTCATATACGCCAATCTACTCTGGTTCCGCATTCGAAGTATGTGCATTCGATGGAAGCAAGTACCAACCCAAGTACAAGGGGACTGTATGTACTGTTTGTGAGGTCTGCGAAGTGGGACGGAACGGTAGTGGATTGAAGCTTGTCGCATGAAGGATTCTGGAGGTACCAGGACGGAGTTTGGGAAAATAGTAGATCGACGCTGCTTGGAGCCCAGAGCAGTCGCATGTAGGGAGTATTCACAATCAAATGTCTGTTGCAGGATCAAATGGATGACATGAAATGATATCATATGCCATCTGCCTCTCATTGCAGAAATACGCCAGGGCGCCAGTTCTAGAATACATCCATGCAAGCTTGTCCCTCTTTGTTTTCGTCTCCAGGCGACGAAGATGTCTTCCGAGATCAGCAAAGTAAAACCGATCAAACAATAGTCTCCAGCTCCCTCGCATACCCCAGTGTATTTTCAATGACCATTTGGCTAAGCGCCTTCTCATTGCCTTCATCAACGCCCATCTTGACTTGGTTCGGGAAATATATCCGACCATCCTTAATCGCCCAACCTCTGCTCTGTGCAAAAGAAACGACTGCGCCTTCGCTGTCCAAGAAGAGTAGATTCTTGGTTGAAGAGATAGGGAGAGATGGATATGCTGTTTCGCTGCACGAGGCGATCTCATTGCGGATTTGTGAAGTCAAAATCTATGTGATCAACGTCAGCGCACGATTCGCAGGAGAACATCAAGAACAGGCAAGGGGAAAGAAAAAGGTGAACAAACCTCGCTGAATACACCATATTCCTCACTCGGCACCTCCCGACTCGCCATCGCCTTCCACACCAGATCATAACTGCCCTCCATCAACCACCTCTCGAGCTTAATCGGATATCCCAAAAACCTATCATCCTCCACCAACCCGCCATTCTGTCTAAGTTCCAAACCCTCTAATTCCGTGTGGAATCCAGAGTAATTGCCCTGCGTCAACAGTAACAGCAGATATAACCCCGTGATCTTGTTCTTCTCGCTGTTCGCCGCGCTCAGCCTCTCCGGGGGTAACTCGTAGAATGGCGTCAGCTGGTGTACGTAGCGGGTAAAAGCATCGGGATCTTTAGCACGGATGGACAGCAGAGCACCGGCTTCGAAGACTTCGCGCGCGGCGAGGAGGATGGAGGAAGGGGTGGTGGGCTGGGGTGTTAGGGCGTTAAGCTTGAGGAGAGCGATCTTGGCTTTGGAGAGGAGGGAGAGGGATTCTTGATAGCTGTGAGAGGATTTTAACTTTGGGAGCACTTCTTGGAGATCGCGTTCGGCCATCTTGGAGGAGGTTTATGACGTTTATGAAGGGAGAAAAGGTGATCTGACGTTTGGATTCAGAGATGATGCTCCAGGTACTGTACATACCTGTAGGTAGCTCTGGAGACGCGGTTGCTTAGTAAGAACATATTAGCCTTGTTGCCTTATAGTCACAGTCACGTGTAATGCCTCCTTTTCCGTTCAGCCTCGTTGCGGTCTCGACGTCAGAGAAGCACAGGATGGGCATTGCTGCGATGTGCAACAAAACTTCCTCTCCAACCGTGTCAAGTGATGATAATCTCACAACTCGCAAATTGCCTTGTTATAATTACGTACAGTAACAGGCTTTATATGCTCATAAATGCAGCTTCCGGATAATAATACCTTGTTCCGAACTGCTGCCGTCAAGAAGGACATCATGGAATTTCTTCTTGATGTGAATACAGCGAGTTAGGACAGGGCAAATTGGAAGTCCTACTTGTATCTTGCTGTTTTGACTGTAAGAGTAAGTCCATTATTGTTTTCATCCTTCCCGCCCTGAGCTTCATCTCCCTTTCTCTCAAAATCCTCGGGTGGAATCTCGTTTCCACTACTATCCCTCATTTTTATTGACGACTTGACACTTTAGATACTCAATATCAGGACTAGTGCCATGAGGGGTATCGAACCAAGAATTTCATCCCGCCATAGATCCACGATCTCTAGGTTGGAAATGTCCATGTGCCAATTTGCTCGGTCAGTCAATTCGTTCATGACGCCGACTATCGTGAGTTCGCGCTGCGTGATTGCAGGAACTTGCTTCTACTCGTTGATGCCGTGCGCGAAACGGCGGGAGATAGGGATCTCCTCCTCGAGAGGAATATCTCCAAAGCCAGGGACGCGCAATGGAACCGCGCCTTTGTTGTCCATTAACGGTACCGACATGCTGGGAAAACTTTTTGCGTTTGAAAATCCGAGGAAAGGAAATGTAGAATTTTATTCGATGATGAAGCCGCAGTGACAAACAAGGTCAGTCAGTATAGTTGTACTTATCCGAAAAGTGAGTCGTACATCCCACTCTAAGCCAACAAACATCTCACAACATGTAATTCGAGCTCCGGTTCATGGCTCTGCTGTGAGCCCTTCAGGCAAGGAAGTTAATTCCTATATTCTTGAGGTATCATGAATTTTGGCCATAATAATGTAACGCTAGTCTCTTTTGAATCCTGCTTAACTTGGTTATCTTTAAAGGGGGGACATGCTGTTGGAAGATTTTGAGTATTTGACTTCTAGTATTACATATCTCTCCCGCCTGGGATACGATCATCAGTAGGTCTACTGAATCGTCTCTGTCTAGAAAAAGAGCTCCCACAAAATGTTGACAGTCGTTAAGTCTAAGATCACAACACTTGCCGGATCTTCATGGGGATGACGCGGAAGTAGGTAGCTCGCAGCTGTGATCCCAAGTCAACCCAGGAATTATGAGTAGTCTTCATACAAAACAGACGCCTGGTCTTATCAAACCATCTTCTTTCCCCTGAAGAAAGCGCCCAGCGTGCCCATCAACTGTCCAAAGCCCTTCTGCCCCGCATCTGCAACCATGCCCTCCCTAATCCACGCCGGGAGCTTTCCCTGGACCCGCTCATTCCCGAATCTCTTGTCAATCATCACGATCGCTGCGTAGTCCTCACGGTGGCGGATCGCTCGCCCGACGCTCTGGTTCACGGCTCGCATGCAGGCATTCTCGTAGAACTCGCGACCTTGCTCCTTCGCCTTCTTCATCGCTTCCTCTCTCCCCAGCTCGGCCTCGAGTCGGGCAAGGGTGGTCGATTCGATATACTCAATCTTCGCCTTCCACTCGGCGCTCGCGATGTTCGGGAATGGGAGCCCGACAATGACGACGCAGCGCCCGAGGCGGTCCGAAAAGTTGATGCCCTCGGACATCTTGCCGCCCACGACACTGAGGAGTAAACCTCCTTTTCCCGCATCAATAGCTTTGCCATATTCCTCCAGCACGTTCTCCACCCCACTGTCTTTCTTCTCCCGGAATAGCATCTTCTTCGCCTCCAGCCGTTGCCAGATGCTCTTTGCCCCCTGGCCCGCCTCAGAACTGGGAGCGCGAGTCCAGTGACTGGTGACGGTCTCGAGGTACGCATAGCTGGGGAAGAACACCACAACGCCGTCCGGCACCACGGTGCAGATATTCAGCATCGCGCGCCCCAGCTCGTCCATCATCTCCCCGTTCCCGCGATTCTTGTACGTGAATTCAAACTCGGCTTCCTTGCCACTGGGCCCGGAGGAGAGATTCCAAGCGACGAGGTTCGATTTCGGTATCACATGGCCGCAGCTGAGTGTGGTGATGGAAGCGAGGGGGAGGTAAGGGAAGAGGTGGGAGGTGTAGTCGCTCATGGGCGACATGGTTCCACCGGCTAGGATGACGGCACGGGCTTCGCTGACGATCTCTTGGAAGTGTGACGATGGGTCGAGGAGGAGGAATTTGAGGGTTATGGAATCGGCTTCGGGCGAGTCGGGGGGTTTGGAGAAGAAGAGTCGACCCTCTCTTGACGGGTGCGTGAGTGCTGATAGGAGAGAGGAAATATGGTGGAGTACGGGGGTTGTGGATTCGGGTTTTGGAGGGGAGGATTTTGTGAGTTGGCTGGTGGGAGGCGTCGATGTGTGGATGGCGTAGCTCTCGACTTTGCGGGCTAACTTGCTCTCTTGGAGATACTTGATTAGTTTGAAGAGGTTTATTTGGTCGACTCCCTTTCCAGAAAGGAGCTCTTTCTCGTCCACAATTCCGTCTGCTTTCTACAGTTTTGGATTAGCTCTCCCTTTCTCTAATGTGCAGGGGAGATCAGTTGCCTTACCGGAGTTCCCAAACGGGCTTCGAGATACCCAGCTAGAGAGTCAATCACTCTGACAACCTGTGCCACATATACCCTATTCTTTCCCTTCAACCTATTCCGGAATTTCTGTAGATATACACCGAGCTGAGTTCTTGCACGTTTTAACTGCTTGAGGTTGACCTCCACCCCCTGTATGCCAGCAATTGCATCCATCAAATTATGGGCTTCATCGATAATAACCACATGGCCCTTCAGACTCAACTTTAAAGCTTCTCTCGCACTCTTCTGTAGAAGCAGCGGGTAGGGTAAGGTGACTATCTCAGCAGGTTTGATCGCTGACCTCGATGCATAATAGGGGCAGATGCCAATCTCTTTTCCCAGTGAGCCCATGTCCTCGATATCGCGGATTGTGGCAAGTGCATGATCTCGAAAGTCGTTGACTAATGGCTGATTTTCTTTGTTCGGAAGGAATACGCATTTGTGTGCCTGGGCAGTGCTGGGCTGTTGAAGTTCGAGACAACGCTCGTTGATGGCGGTTACAGAGCTTAATTTGTTGACTGAGGGGTTCATGCAGAGGTTCTTGCGTGATCCAAGAGTGAGATGCTTCAGGTCTTCGATTTGAGGATCGTTCTTGTCCTGCTCTTCCGCCGGGATTGCTGGCGGGAACTTGACGCGGCGGAGTTCGTTGATGAACTGTGTAAGCTGCGAATGGGTTCGAGAACAGAAGAAGATCTCCAAAAGTTAGGAAGATACCGTAATAATGAGAGCTTTCTACCTACCTTGAGTTCATCTTCTGCCTCTTCATCATCCTCTTTTGGAGCTCCAATGGTCATACCAAGCTTCTCCATTAGCTCCAACGTCGCTGCAGAGAGGCCTCCATTGTTCCCGGAACTCGATTTCTCGCCGTCACTGTCATAATCATCTAGAACAAACTGTTCTTCATCTTCTTCGGCTCCATTACTTTGCTTCAGGTCAGTCTTCCTCCTCTTCGGTCCCGAATCTCCTCTGAGATATTTGGCTCGTTGTGCTTTCTCTTTGGCTCGAATCTTTGCCAGCCGAGTCTCAATGTCTTCGCGTCGACGAAGCATTTCTCGCCGCTTCCTGGCTCTAGCTTGCTCGATGATCCATTCTGGCTCGTCAGAGTCTGGCTTCGTTAGTCATATTCTCGCATGCTTTGGGCATTGCATACTATCTGGACGCCAGTTGAGCCCGTCTTCAAACTCTCGGCGTTTATGATCGCGCAGCCACGTCAACGCTCCGCAGATCAGACTCAGAGATTTCCCCTGCAGATATGTTAGGACATGGTAAAGCTCTCTTCCAGAGGGAGAATCACAAGGGGATATCGCAATCACGTGACATCACAGTGAGGAGACTTACGGTTCCTGTAGGGCTCTCAAGAATACCCACCTTGCCTTCCTCCAGCACTTGGTAAACAGTGCTCATGAAGGTCTCCTGGATGGCATAAGGCGTGTAAGGGTGGTGGAAATCCTTTGGGGGAGAAGTCACATGACTGTCTGGGCCCTGCGCGATCCCTTCTCCGTCAGGGGGATGTGAAGCCATGGTTCCTCTCCAACAGAGCTCGCAACTGCAGCAACCCCATGGAACAGGTCTGACAACTCCAACAACTGTGTAGGAGCGACGAAGGACCCTGAACAAGACCCTTGTCAAGTGCACTCCCTCGAGCGCTTCTCCTGATCGAGTCTGCTGCCGGCAACGCGCGATGCGTTTATTCTGTGTGCGTTGTTGCCCAGGCGCGATGCGCGGGGAGAAAAGCTTGGCGGGTGGAGGCGGCGGCGGCGGGCCCCTGGACAGCCGCGGGTTCCCAGGCTGAAGGTTACATTACATCTCGGATTGATAGCTTTTCAGTAAGATTTGATGTGCGGTCTGTTATAGATCCACAATGCCATTCACGGTGTCTCTGCTGCTTCTGATCCATGCGTTTTCAAGGGCTCTTCTCTATGGCTATAGGCTACTTGTCCCGCGCAAAAGGGGTTTGCAGCCTGCTCTTTCAATGGCCAAGTTCCAACAAACAACAAGACAGACACGTCTTTGGCTCTCACGGAATGGTCCACCCAAGTACTGCATACAATGTCCAAGCACTGAAGAAGCTGAAGCAACTGAACAAGGTGATAAGCTACTGCTTACTCTACAATATCAATAGAATCTAGGCTCGTAATTGTGGGGTGGCATGCGGACTGAATCCCAGGCAATGGAGACGCCAGACTCGGATGAGGGTCTACCCTGGGAGGGAGGCTATTGTTGTACAGTTGTTGATCAGGCCTGAAAGTCGGTGAGAAGAGAGAGAGAAGGATAAGGAGAAGTAAGACAGAGAAACAGAAGAGAAAAAGAAACAAAGAGACAAGAAAACTGTGCCCTGCCCTTGCCCTGCCCTTCTCCTCTCCTTTCTTGTCTTCCACCGCCCTCTTCCTCCTCGACCTGACTCTATTCCAATCTGATGTGAATGGCATCATAAGAATGTAGATTTGGAAGAGCCGTCACATCGCCGCAGAACAATACGATGTCTTTCTCTCCCTCCACCAAGCAGGCAAGCACCGCTACCCGGTTCCCCATCGCCCCGAGCCAGAAAGCTCTTCGGGGGAGGCAGCATGGTTATGATGATGGCTTTTACCAGCGCCGAGGTGCGTGCTTCTCTCTACTTATGATGCCACTACTACTGCTGTCTTCACTTCCCCCTTTTTTTTGGGGGCTTTTTTTCTGGGCGTTTTTTTCATGGTTTTTTCCTTGTTCTTTTTATAGAGCGCTGGACCTTTGCCCGTTCGTGCCGTTGCCGTTGGCCAGGAACGACGACCCCAAGACGCTAAGGCTCTCCCACCTCCCTGAGTCCCCCTCAATCCCTCCCCCTCCCACTCCCTTTGCGGAGGCCGAGAGTCCAGAGACAACGCAGCTTCTGCCCCTCGTGCTTTTCCTCGGGTTGCCTCATCTTTCAACTTCTGCTTCCGCTTCCGCTTCCGCCTCCGTCCTCCATCCTTCTCTTCCTTTCCCTTCCGACCAGGATTCAGCCCTCAGATGCCATTGTCGCCTTCCCACTTCCCACCAGCTTCTTCTTCTCCCGACCTGCAATTTACAGCTTAATCTGCTTGGGGCCTTGGCTAATACGGGCTTCCTTCGCTCCCAGACTCTCGTTCGAACGCCAAAATCTCTAAGCCCACTGTTGCGCCGCAGCCGCAGCCGTTGAACCCCGGGGCTTACGCAAATCAGCAGCGCCAACCCTCGAGCAATATGGAGAGGCCTGCACCAATCCCCCCCAAGGTGGGAGCAACTTTCTATCCTGGAGGTCAGGATGACTTCCGTATGCCAGAATTGGTATCGCCAAAGCCTCAAAGGTACGTGAGAAATGTTGATTCCTGCTAAATCGATCCTCATGCGACCGGTCAGAGGAGCAGAAAAGAGTCAAGGGATGAGACATGGGAGACAGGCTGATGCGAAGCTCCTAGGGTAATGCCGGAGGTTCCGTCTAATATGCAGCAAGACCTTGCAAACCTTGAACTCGAGGCCCGAATGACCCCAAGCCATCCGGCCAGTTCTACGTCGACGATGTCGTCACACTCAACACATATCGATTCATACCCGCGAGACCCTCAGACGAGCGGCTCCTCCCAGACAAACATGCGCCAACGCTCTGCCGTCCCGGGCTTCACTGCGAGCTACGAAAACACGAACGCCTCGGCATATCAGAACTTGAACAGGCGATCACTACAACAATTTACTGCATCACAGCCAGATTCACCTAGGTTTTCTCCATTCCCCAAACTCCACAACGCAGGAGAGAATGTGCCGCTTTCCGATGACGAGAAGGAAGAAGTATTGGAGAGGGCACGGCCATTGGTTCTAAAGTCGACGGATCCAGAAATGCAGTTGGCTTGGGCCCAGGATGCTCTATCGTGGGTCGAGGTGGCAAGCCAAAACTCCTCCCGCCAACAGCAGTTGGACGGCGGGTCTCAGAGACCCGTTACTCCAAAGGTAGAGCACCAGTTGAGAGTCGACGCGCTGAATATCGTCACATTTCTTGCAGAGCAACATCATCCAAAGGCTCAATTTATGCAAGGCATGTGGCTCGAGTTTGGCAAGTTCGGATATAGAGTAGACAAAAAGGAGGCGTTTATGGCATATCGAAGGGCTGCAGAGAGAGGTTATGCGCGAGCAGAATACCGGATCGGCATGCAATATGAGAGTTCCAACAACCCCACCAAAGCTATCGAGCATTACCAAAAGGGGGTGGCGGCGAACGACTCGGCTTCAGATTATAGATTGGGCATGATGACACTGCTCGGACAACATGGCATGCCGCGGGATTATGAAAGGGGTGTGAATCTCATACGATTTGCTGCAGACACTGCCGACGAGAATGCCCCTCAAGGAGCCTATGTTTATGGTATGCTTCTCGCTCGCGAGCTGCCAAATATAAGCGTTCCTGAGCAGTACCTCCCATACGACGTGAAAGATGCCAAATACTACATAGAAAAGGCTGCGTATCTTGGTTTTGCAAAGGCACAGCTTAAGATGGGTCAGGCTTATGAATTATGTCAACTCGACTGCGAGTTTGACCCAGCTTTATCACTGCACTACAACGCTCTTGCAGCCCGCCAAGGAGAAGCGGAGGCTGAGATGGCAATCAGCAAGTGGTTCCTGTGTGGATATGAAGGGATCTTCGAAAAGAACGAGGAGTTGGCATTCACATATGCACAACGTGCGGCACAGACCAAGATGGCCACAGCAGAGTTTGCCCTGGGGTATTTCTACGAGATAGGCGTGTACGTGCCGATAGACTTGGTCGAATCCGAAAAGTGGTACAAGAAAGCTGCAGATCATGGAAACAATGATGCCATCGGAAGAATCGATAGCATCAAGAAGAACAACACTTTTTCGAAGAAGGACCACGAGCAAATAGCTCTTTCACGGATCAAGTCCCAATATGGTTCTCAGCGTGGAGGCCGACCCGAACGATTCAAGAAACCCGTTCAGCAGATGCCGGCAATGGCAGAGAGCGTAGTTAATATGCCTGACCCGAGGAATCCTTATCGGGTATCAACTGCACCGTATCCCGACGATGATGCATCATCTCTTCCCGCTCAGCATCCCAATCCTCAATACTACAATCAAGGCGGGCGGCCCTCTTCAGCAGCCGGACCTCAGGCAGACAGGCCCTCTTCTGCGTTTGGTGTCGTACCTCTGCACCACACTGCGACTGACCCATACAGCTATAATGGAAGCGTAAACGCACCCGAACCTTTGCGACTACCCAACAACATGGGACCAGGTGGCCGAGGCGCCAATCGTGTGGCTTCCGCTGGCTGGGAGCCGCAGACTTCAGAGCTTGACCAAGGACGCAATAGACTTGTGAGCGCACCGCAGATCAATATCAATAACAGACCTCAACCACAGAATGTGCAATCTCTGCAGCCATTGCCTAACACGGGTTACAATTCTGATCCGTCAAGACAGCCAAGGCCACAATCAAGAGGCGACAGTCCTGCTATCAGCATCCCCCGACGGGACCTTGCTGCCAACCATCTCCAACACCCCGAGCGACGAAGCTCGATGACGCCTGTGAATGGTAGGGCGAGCCCTGCGAGCCCTGCGAGTCAGCGACCAGCGAGAATCGATTCAATGCAACCCTCAAGGCTTGACTCCCCAAGCTCGCCTTACCAGAATACGATGGGTCCGGGCCGGGCATCCCCAAGGCCTCAACAGCCAAATTCTCCGCAGACTCCCGCGCCAGCGCCAGTGTCCCACCCACCCAAGAAGGCCGGCCCCGCTACCTTTGAAGAGATGGGGATCCCTGTCGCAAAGCATGAGAGTGATTGTGTACGTCTGCCGTTATTACAGTTTTTTAGGGTTTACTGACATGTGAGCCAGATTATAATGTGATTCGGAAACTCGAATTCAACCTATTTTCTACTCGCTAGGATCAATGAATCCGCACGCGATGATGATGAGATGCAGCACCGGAGGAAAAGGCATTAAATGGCGTTGAAGAAACTAAAATATTGGATGAGTGCGAGGGACATTTCCACATACCCTTTTAAGTAGAAATGATACCCATTTGCGTTGTTTGTTTCATTTCGTGATGTTTGAAGAAAGTGAGTTTGGGCACGCGAGACTGCCAATGCGGCACTGCCGTCTTAGGTTTATAGGTGTCTACCTGCATTTGGCATCTCGCAAAGCTGTCATTCATTTCCAACTCCATCGCCCCGAAACCCTAAAAGAGGGTGCAACTGATAGAACAGTTCTTATCCTAATTTCTACTCTTGTAATATAATTCTTCTTATTTCCTACCTGCGTATCCATCTTCGACGTCTCCGTTCCACAAACAGACTACCCGCGCATCCCCGCGCCCCAACCCTTCACGGGGAACATGGCACCACGAGCACCCAAACCCAAACCCGACGATGCCGACCCCTTGAAGCCCAAGACGGAGAAGGCGAAGGTGGAGAAAGTAAAGCCTGAGAAGACCGCAAAGGTTGAGAAGAAGGAGAGCGTCAAGGGGAAAGCCGAGAAGAAGGAGAAGGGGGAGAAGACAGACAAGGGAGAGAAGACCAAGGCTGTCACGGGGGATGAGGCGATGGAGCTGATCGCAGCATATCTGAAAGCACAGAATCGACCATATAGCGCGACGGAGGTCAGCGCCAATCTGCACGGGAAAGTGAGTCGACTTTCCATATCTCCCTCCGCAGAAGTAACGTCCTAGCTGATCCATCCCCCTCCTGGTACAGGTCACCAAGACGGTCGCGGACAAGCTGCTGAAGGAGATGGAGCAGAACAAGCAGATCATGGGCAAGGCCACGAATGGCGATAAGAAGGGCAGCCAATGGGTCTTCTGGGCCTTACAAGTCCGCCTCCCTCTCTCCTGTACCCCCAAGCAATCCTTTTACGTACCGCTAGCTAAACACCCGCGCACCCCAGGATCCCTCAGACGCTGCCACGCCCGACGAGCTAGCCACCATAGACAGCGCGATCAGCCATCTCCGCGCCTCGCTCCCCTTGCTCAAAACACGCTTCCGGCTCGCAAGCACTAAACTCTCCGCTCTGGCCGCGGCTCCAACATCATCCGAGCTCTCGCGCACGGTCGAGCGACTGCGGGCGGAAATCGAAGAGAAGCGATCAAGACTGGAGGGGCTGCGGAGCGGGGATGCGAGACCGGTTACGAGGGAGGAGGTGCAGCGGGTGGAACAGGAATATGGGTATTGGGCCGGGAGAAGAAGGGCGAGGGTCAGGGCGTTTGAGAACCTGGAGGAGCTGTTTCTCGTGGGGATGGAGAGAGGGGAGCTTTGGGAGAGGGCGGGGATTGAGGGGGATGTGGAGTGAGGAGGGGGATGGTTGGCATGGTTGGGATGGGGGAAGTTCGTATTTTTTGCCCCCTTTTCTTTCAGAAAAAGGGGGGAGGGTTCAGGAATGCGAGGAGAGAGTGCTACAGTAGGTGTGTGGAGTTGTATTTGGGGGTTTGATCCTATCTATCAAGAGAGAGAAGAGGGCTTTGCTGTGGCTATATATATCATTGACGGCTCTGTTTCTCTTGCAAATAGGTAGTCAATTGTGTGACGCCTTTCCTCGTCCTCGCTCCCCCTCCGCAGAAGCAACGTCCTACATTAGTAGCTAACCCACCTATCTCGCGGACAAGCTGCTGTAGCGAATTAAGCGAGGCGCTAGCTAAGCCAGTCCATTTTGACATATCTTATACCCCAGCCCAGCCCCATCTACCTTACCATCTATCTAACACCATCATCGTCCAAACATAACCACAACCACCATTCAACACAATCATAATAGCCCCGTGCCAACACCATGGAGCCAGCCAGTACCACTGAGAAAGCTAACACCAGCGAGAAAGCCAACACCACTGAAATAGTCCATCCCATGACTATGCATCCCAGTGACCTCCTTCGTTGCGTCGCTGGCAGCATGAGCTGTAAAGACACCTCGATATTCGTCACTGTGCCTACGATAAGCAGCTGGAAATCCGTAATACGTGCAATAGACGCAGCAATTGGCGACGACGTAGACCGGGAGTTCATGGTCACATATCCACGCACGGAAGCCCAGAGAGCTCGTAATCGCAAAATCGCTCTAGAGAATGTCGCAGCTTGGGACGCAGCTGAGAAAGAAGCATCATTATCATCAGAATTCTCGTCGCCGCTTATATTTCCAATACGTACGAAATATGATATTGAAGCTCTTCCGACCCCGAAGCGTATATCGGAAGATGCACGAAAGCGACTTAAAGAAGAAGATGCAAAACGATTTCCGTAAGCTAGGTATACTATGGTTACCCTTACCGCAAATATCACTAAAAATACGCTTCTTCCTATTGTCAAGGCTATGATAAGGCTCAGCAGGATTGATAGTAAGTATGGGAATCCAGAGGAGTTCAAATTAGTCGATATGTTATAGGATACTAGTGCGCAGCAGACAATAATATGAGAGGAACTTTTGTCAGAACCGTTCCGTCGCTACCTTCAAGACCCTATCCATGATCTATATCGTTTCCCAAACTGCCTCCGTGTTCAGTTAGAAGCCGTTGTCGCTCTTTCGAATACTCAGGTCAATCAATATATGATATATCTGCTATTGTTTCCGTGGTCCTAAAGAGTGTAGTGCCAAACCAACGTGTAGGAATTATTTTCTGTCAGAAGCAGAGTATATTGACCACATATATTATGCTAGCATCTATCACACGTCGTATCCTAAAGGAAAAGAGAGAGGAGATTAACTACGAGGAGATTTAGGAGAGGGCGGGGGATGTAGAGGAAGGAGTAAGGAGGGTGATAGTTAGGATAGGTAGTTAGGATAAGGAGGAGTTTGTTATGTTTTTTGCCCCCTTTTGCTTTTTAAAGAAAGAAGGGGAGGCCCTCAGCACCTAAGATGGGTACCTTATACTACAACGTAGAAGCAACTCTACCCTCTATATGTGTGTGTGTGCGTATATAGGTAGGTATACTTATACGCATAACTACCAAGGCATGCCACTAGCACCACGCTCGGCTATTCTTATCTCTTTCGCGAGAGGTACAGTATCGTATCATCGTATCATCGTATCACGCAGCAGCGACAGAGGGGCAAGGTCTCCGAGGCATGCTCGTGTGTGACGCGCGCCGGGCTGAGACATTTGGTGGGTGTTTCATGGGGAGGGGGATGGCTGGGAGTAGGGAAGGGGGTTGAGGTGATATGGGTGGGTGATGATGAGAGGATGGGTTGATGGATGGATGGATGGATGGATGGACGGATGGAAGAACTTGGGAAGAGGTGGCGGAGGGGAGGGGAGGGGAGGGGAGCGGGATGAGAGAGAAAAAGGTCAGGAAAGCAGGTTTACGAAGCAGGAGTAGGAGTAGGAGTAGGAGTAGGAGTAGGAGTTGGAGTGGGAAGCGGGAAGTGGGAGATGCTGCAGTTGCGAATGCAGTCATCTGCTTCCTGCTGGACCCCTGCAGCCAAATGTCCCGCGCGCTGAAGGGACGTCGCTTTTGATCATCTGGGAGAGGAGAGGAGAGATATATGTGTCTTCGACATCGAGCGAGAGGGCTCTGCATGATCTGATCGGATCCATCCCTCCCATACCTAACCTGAAACCGCCAGGGATGATCGGATCTTGATCAGCGTCATCGTCATCCTCCTCCTCCTGCCCGCGATGCCTCGCGCCGGGACATGATAAGAGAGAAGCGACTGCGGGAGAGTGCATATCTGCGCATTTCCGGAGTATCGGACCTGGAGTGCTGAAATCCACTGTGCTCACGAGACGTTGGGCTTCCTCTGTGTTTTTCTGGAATTCTTCTCTCCTCTCTCCCCTCCGAGGACCTTCAGCCAAACAAACGAGCAGATCTCCTCGGTCGTCTCCCTTATTTGCTGCGTACACGCGCGAAGCGCCGCTTCTGCTTCGGAGGCCGAGAGAGGTATATATGTGGCCTTAGGAGGATGAGCGTTCTGCCTTGCCAGCCAGGATAAGGTCATAGGTTGACTGTCGACCGTTGACCAGGATCGCTACACCCGCACCGCGCCCCCAACCTGCCGCACAAGGTGAAGAAGCCCGGCTGTCCTGTGTACATTCCCATCGTCTCTGTTGAGGCTCCCATTTCTATCCGCAGCGACCAACACACCAGCACATCCACACCGACCGCGTCGTCGTTGTCGACAGAGACACAGAGAGAGAGAAGAGGAGACCAGACTCTCGCGATCCCGATAATCAAATCAACGGCACGCCCGGCTGCCCTCCGCTAGTGCCGAATGGGCCTAGTGCCCGGCGGTCTGAGCTTTCTTTCGGTAGAAGTACTCCTCGTAGGTATCTTCCATCTCGAGGCTTCGCCTTCTTCCTTCACCCCCAGGCACAATCTTGCTTCCCTCGCCCTCGCCCCCAGATCCAGTGCCCTCGACGCGGTGAGCCTGTTTCTGCTGCGAGTGTTTTGTATTTCTGTCTTCTGCTCGCCCGTTTCTCTTGCTCGCGATACGCACACGACACTCTCAGCTCGGAATCCCTCCCTCCCCCCCACCTCAGCCCCGCGATTGCGAATCTGAAGGACAACCTCCGTGATGCTGAACAACGGTGGTCCTCCGCCCATCATGCCGCCTCATCACGAGTTCAGACATATGAGTACGGGCTCTCTCAGTATTCCACCTGGCGGCATGGACGGCGCGCCCAATGGGCCGCCGCATCTAAGCGGACCCATGTCGAGGTTCGAGGGCCCGCGCAGCCCGCCTGGCAAACAGAGTCAGTCCCTGATGGATTCAGGTTCGAGCCCGATATTACTGATGCTGATTCCCGATAGATACATCGCATGTTCCGTGCAAGTTCTACCGCCAGGGTGCATGCCAGGCTGGGAATTCTTGCCCATTTAGTCACGATCTAGCGAGTACGAGTGATAACGTGTGCAAATACTTTGCAAAGGTTAGTTACGACATAAGTGCACCAGTTCCTGGCTGATATCTGAAGGGCAACTGCAAATTCGGTCCTAAGTGTGCGAATGCGCATGTTCTCCCAGACGGGCGCCGGGTCAATTACAAGGGAGGCCCAATGATAGGAGGCCATCTAAACCTTGGAGGACGAGTGAACCCGGATCCCTACCATGGGCAAAGCTCAGCTCTTACGAATTCTTTCATACGCGCAAATGGGGTCCTTCCCTCGCCTTACGCTAAATACCCGCCATATGGTCAAGAAGATGCGTTCCCTATGATGGGCCGGAGTAGTATCGATATCTCGGTACCGACCATCGATACGAGCTACGCCTCACATACCGGGTCGAATTATGGTTCGCCGAGAGATGATGATCTAAACCGCCTCGGTCTAGGACTATCACCCGTTGCAGGCAAAGGCTTGAGCGTTTTGGATGCTCCATTACCGGCATCTTTTGATAGCAATGGTGTGTCCTGGATTGCCAGGCACGGCCCCATAGCATCTTCGGTCCCAGCAAAGTTTGGCTTCGAGTCACCTCCAGGATCGGTCGGGGCAGCGAAAGATGGAAGGACTTCTGAAGCATTGAAGAACCTACACAGCTCTGCGTTCGGCGATGATACCAGAGACCGATTTAACGGCCTCCCATCTTCGCCACCAGCACCTCCTGCCGAAGAATACTTCGGTAAAAGGGCCATGCACTCTCATCGCTTCGCTAAATCAAAGGTCATGTCAGCCAGCCTGCCGAAGGCTGTGGATCAGGATTGGGAAGCTGCTTTCACATTTGAGGAGGATTATCTGCCGGAGACACTGAAGGACCTTATGACACCACAGGAGAAGGCCCGGAGAGACTCCCGTAATGCAGACGAAGGTGGCAGGCCCATTCTTAACAGCGGCACTGGTACCCCAATTACCGAAACAACCTCCAGCAAATTTGGTTCGCCATCAAACGCGAGCCCTTCGAGGTGGGGTCCACTCTTCCAGCGACATCAACAACAGAAGGAAGAGGAGGAGAAAGCCGCCGCTTCCCGTGTATCAAGTTTTGGCCACGTTGGCTCACCACTTCGGAATTCCACTCTCCACGCTGGCGCAAGTCCCAGCTCTCGGTCAATAGCACGAACCAGCATTTCTGGCGATTCGTCACCATACGTCTCATCTCCACCTCGGCAAAGCTCCATGTCGATCATCTCCCAGCAACTACAACGGACCCGGCTTTCCAGAGCAGAGTCTAGTGGCAGTGACTCAAGTCTCCATCCTGTGGCTGCTACGCGTGCTTCAAGTAACCCCATTGGCTCCGGGGCGGGTAGAGCTGGCGCGATTGGAGAGAGACAGGTCAGCTCGAGTAGTATTGGAAATGGGGGAAGTGGCAGATTTACGACCCCGATTGACGAGGAACAAGGCGAATTTGTGTTTAGCATGGAGGGTATGGAAGATGTTGACGAGAAGAAAGGGGAGAAGAGAAACAGTGGCAGTGGGGGATGGACATATGCTGGAAGTACCAAAAGCCCCCATTTTGGTGCTGTCGGCGGTGGAAAGAATGGAGCCTCTACTGCTACGAATGGTACGAATGGTACGGGAATGGACGGGATGTTCGGTACACGGTGAATCATTTGCTAAGCTTCGACCTATCCCAACCTCACGAGTCCCGCAACGACACATGGCCGCTTCCCATACGTACGAACTTGGCCATATCACAGAGCCACAAACGATACGCAAAAGCCGATACGCTCGGGCGACACGATTAGATGCATTTTGAAAAGACTCCATCCTTGAAGACAGCTTTATCAGCGCGCAATTGGAGTTGGATAAACTTTCTGGATATTGATTCTGCTTCTACAGTTTGTAATCATAGCATAGGGGGCAAGCCGCATCGGTGGTGGAGTGATCGTAAATATGTTTGGAGTTTGGGTGACATGATAGATCAGTTACGAAACCAGAAATAAATATATGATCAAGATTTATTGCGACTTAACTGTAGGAATGAAGTGTTTGCGATTCGACATCTCCTGAGGAAAGGGGGCAGATAGGAGAAGCGCAAGTGGACTCTTACGAACACCGGAATTCTGGCACGTGATTCTATGATATCAGAATATCTTTGTGCCTGTAACTTCAGGCACAAAACGCACCCCACCGTAGACGAATTTTTGAAATGGAATTGAAAGATTTTCCGCTCAGCACTCGACCTTGATTATATTCTTCAGATCCTGCATCCAGTATCAGAGAGTAACGCGATTGCGCAAGATCACAGTTTTTGAGATTTCAATCCTCGTCCGGCCTACAGCAATCAGGCCAGAGAGCCGGAAAATTAGGGCTTACCCTCACCCGTGCTCGGCAAAAAAATAAAGCGCGCCCTTAGCGTCGCTCGTCTCGCATATTGAGAGGAACGTGGAATTCTCGAATTGAAGAGATAGACTCACGACGACAACAAGTTTCGGCATCCCGACGACGACAAGATGCCTACCCACCTGAGCAAGACCCGCAAGCAGTATGTTCCCCTTCGCTTTCTCTCTATGTGTGCGTGTGCGTGTGGGAGGTCCTCCGGGCGCTGCTGCTGCTGTGTCTGATGATGATGCTGTGGTGACTTTGTTTTCCTGCTGGCTGCGCGGGGGCTTTGGAGTTCGGATTGGGATTGTGGCATTGTGGCATTGCAGTCGGGGAATTGGATGCAGAGGGACTGAGAGAGAAAGAAAGAAAGAATGGATTGCTGACTTCTGTGATCTCAACAGCCGCGGCCACGTCTCCGCCGGACACGGTCGTGTAGGAAAGCACCGCAAGCATCCAGGTGGTAGAGGTCTGGCTGGTGGTCAACACCACCACAGAACGAACCTCGACAAGTACCATCCTGGTTACTTCGGTAAGGTCGGTATGCGGTACTTCCACAAGCAACAAAACCACTTCTGGAAGCCCGTCATCAACCTCGACAAGGTATGCTCTATTCCTTCTTCTTGAGCTTGGGGTGTGCACATGGGATGGGAAAGAGAGGGGAATGGAGAGAACAGTATGGAGGGATTGTCAGTAGCAGACAATGGCCTAAGGAATAGGGTTCTGCGAGGATTGATGTTGCGATGATATTGTGGAGGTGGCAGGAGAGAGAAAACAGCGCTGACGATCTATTACAACAGCTCTGGTCCCTCGTCCCCGCCGAGAAGCGCGATGAGTACCTCAAGACAGACAGCAAGAAAGACACCGCCCCCGTCCTCGACCTCCTCCCTCTCGGCTACAGCAAAGTTCTCGGCAAGGGTAGACTCCCCGCCGTCCCTCTGGTGGTGCGCGCACGATGGGTCAGCAAGGAGGCGGAGCGGAAGATCACCGAGGCCGGCGGCGTCGTTGAGTTGGTTGCATGAGCGTTTTCCATCACGGCTAAGGGCATTTGGGCTGTGAAGAACCGGGGCTTTTGAGTTTCTTTGCTTGATTGGCTTTCATGGCTATGGGAGTTCTCTACAAATGAAAAGAACGAATGAAAAAGGCTTCGAAATCCATGCTCTTGCTGTGTTCTGTGTGGCTCCACCTGTGAGGTTACGATTTATGGTTGTGATTGATTTGTGCTGCTATGGTATCTACCTGGAGCTTACAAGCCAGGACCGCCAAAAAGTGACAACGCCGCTAAGTATATACAACGAACGCCTCCGAGCTTTTCTATGCGCCGCCAATGCTTTTTAGACTCCTTGATAGCAAGCGTCCCATGGTATCTTATGGTATTTTACAGCATATGCATCTCATCATCCAAGCCCACCTCCTCTTCCCCCTTCACCTTTAGGAACGGATGCTGCAACGCCTCCTCTGCACTGATACGCCTTCTTGGATCCAAATCAAAGCAGCGTTCCAGGAAACTAACCGCCAGCTTCTCTTCCTCCGTCAGAGGGATCTCCGGCCCTCCCGCTTTCCCCCCATCGTTCCTGCACGTCGACCACAGGATGATCTTCTCGAGGGAGAATCCCGCTTGCCCAATCGTCGGGATGCTGGTCTCGAAGCAGGCTCCGTGCAGGTACGCGCAGGCCTTCATCCGCCTAACCCCGAAGATCGTAGCAATCTCAATCATGGCCTCGACGTCATCGGCCGAGTTGAAAAACGGAAAGCGCCTGGATAGGATGGTCAGCAGGATCACCCCAGCGGACCAGATGTCGATCTTGGTCGTCTGCTCCGTGCACTTGAAGAGCACTTCCGGGGCACGGAAACCTCGAGTCCCAGCGCGGTTGGCACGTCGGGAGGGTCGGGAGTCGTTGCGTGGATATCCGCTTGAGGGGCCCATTGCAGCTGCTATACTCGATTGCACGCGGCGGCGTCGTTCTGCAGATGACTCCGTACAAAGACATGGCTTACTGTCCGTAAACTCCTTCTCGGCGAGACCAAAGTCCACAAGCACTCCGCGTTGCTTTTCCGGTTCGTAGAGGAAGTTGGTCGGTTTGATATCACGGTGTAGAATCCCTTTGGCATGGACTGCAGCGAGGGCTGTAAAGAGTGACCGAAAGTAGATTTGCATGTCCGGAACCGTCATATCCCGGAAGTAGTTTCGAAAATCGGTGTGCCGGAAGTATGGGAGAACAGCAACGACTTGATCTGTATTTCGAAATGCCGTGATGAGAGGACATACGGAATCACAGCCTTTCAGGGCGTTGAGAAGCTCCAACTCGTTGAGAATTCGGGCAGGGCTGCTGGTGACATAGATCTTTTTGATAGCAACGTATCTTGGCCGCCGTCTCCGTCGTCCATAATCATCCTGTTCTTGCCCTTCTGTCCGACGCTTCTTCAAGGGTGGTGTCATCCATTTAGCATTTTCCTTCTCTTCAATATCCCAGTCGTTTTCATATGCCTCATATAAAAGATCTTCCGCCTTGTACACAGTCGAGAATGTACCTGTACGATGTCAATAGCGGCCCCAGAAGTGAACTGGGACAAGCTTGCCTTCTCCAATCCTATTTATCAGCCGGAAGCGGTCCTTTATGTCCTTGAAACTTGCCTCAAATTTATCCATATCCTGTAGCACTGAACTGTCGATAGGCTCATCGAGGTCAGACGAGGAGTCTTGATCCCAATCCTTCTGCTCTGTCTCCCATGGCTTCGTCGCCACGGAGTCTCCTACATCACTATCAAAGCTGCCATGCTCATCGTACGTGGACTCCTCCTCCAGCTCATCGTGGTGTATCTCGAAAGGCTCTTTCGCGCTGCGTGGGCGAATGGTCGCCATATTCCGGGTGGGGAAGAGCTGCGATTAGAGATGCGGCTGTAAATAAGAAACCTGCCAAACGATAATCGACTTCCGGATGCCTGTCACTAAATTTGTGTTTAGATCCAGATTCAGGTACACCCGCAGGGCAGGGCGGGGTGTTTGTGCGGCTCGAGACGCGACTGGCTAAGGACTGACTAATTGGGAAGTCTGTTTATCAACATCGCTCTTCGGTAGCAACCGCGAAGAAGCGCGAACATCTTCATCTTCATCTTCATGAGCGCCGACGACACTTCTTACATGCTGCGTTGATATTCACCCATAGTTGTGCGACAAATCTGCCGCCATCATGGATACCATTACTTTTGATATCAACGATGCCTTGAAACATTATATGAGCGATCCTGCGACCATCTCCACGCCTGAAGCCGACTCGAATCTCGTCGATTGCGAAAACGACCCGGAATCCCTCACCAACTCCCTGATCAACACGGTGCTCAACCCCATAGTAGACTCGGTCGCGGAGAATCCAGATGCTATAACAAGGAGCTCATCATTTGATTCTCTTCAGTTTCTGCTAAAGTGTGCCCCAGTTTCCCTTAAGTCTAGTCAAAACTACCCTACAGAACCAGATTCTGAGCTCTTCAAACTTTCTAGATCATCCTCTTTCCTGCCCACCCATGCGCTGAGCAAAATCTTTGATTTGCTCATCTCCGGTCTATCGGCGGAAGCGGATATAATCCATACCGACCTCGAGACGGACGAACAAGATATTATCGCCCACCACAAACAGTTGCTAGAGGTCTTTGGCTTCTTGCTTCAATGGACCATCGCGGCGGTCGAGACCAAGGCGGCGGAGAAATCAAGTACAACCCCAGCTGTTCGGGGGAGGGGAAAGGGCGCCAAAGCCAAAACGAGTGCGAAGGATGGCAACTGGGATTCGTCTGCTCAGTTGCAGACGGCCTTGGATACCATGTGCAAGGTGCTGAAGTTAAAGCTCTCGAAGATATTCATGACCACTTCTGAAAGAGATACATTTATAAGCCTGTTTACCAGACCAGTGTATATGGTGTTGGAAAGCGAACAGAGAGTCAAGAATACCGCGATTCGGATGTATGCATTCAAAGTTTTGTGCATAGCAGTGAAGCATCATGGACACGGTTATGGTAGGAATTCAGGTTTCACTTCAGGGAATTTACTAACTTGGAATACTAGCTGCACAAATATCCATTGTCCAGAATCTGACATATTTCGAGCATTTGGCTGAACCTATGGCTGAGTTCCTGCATATCCTCTCGGAACAGTACGATTACCAGCAACTGAGTGACGAGATTCTCCGAGAGCTCAGTAACAAGGAGTTCAATAGTAATGATACGAAGGGACCGAAATCAGTCTCCTCGTTCATTGTGAAGCTCTCCGAGCTTGAGCCTAAGCTTGTCATTAAGCAGATGACGCTGTTGGCAAGACAGATGGATAGCGAATCCTATGCATTGCGCTGCGCCCTCATTGAAGTTTGCGGGAACTTGTTGGCCGACTTGAGCAAACAGGAAGAGCGTGGTGACAACTACAAATCACAGTTAAATGCGTTCTTTGACGTGTTGGAAGAACGTTTCCTGGACATCAACCCCTATTGTAGATGCCGGTCTATGCAAGTTTGGATCAAGCTTTGCGACCTGGAGCAAAAGTTTCCAAAGCGTAGGCAAAGAATCGCCGAGTTAGCAGCACGAAGCTTGGAGGATAAGAGCAGCAATGTCCGCCGAAATGCCATAAAGCTTCTTGGCTCTCTGATCAAAACGCATCCCTTCAGCATTATGCACGGATCCCAGCTCAATTACAAGGAGTGGAATTCACGATTAGAGGCAGTAGATGCCGAGTTAAACGCATTGAAGCCCCCTCCGGGAACTCCAGGTTTTGTTGATACCAAAGTTGACGAGGCATTGCTGGATGAAGCCACTCAAGTCGAGTCCGATTCTCCCAAAAAGCCAATGAGCGATGAGCAGAAAATAGCGGCGGTTCGAAAGGCTCAGGAGGATGCCGCGACTTCAGAAGCTATCAACAAGCTGACTCTGACCAGACGATACTATGTTGAGGCTCTCAAGTTCATCGAAGTCTTGCATGGAGCAACCACCACCATCTGTCAGCTGCTTGGGTCGAAGAATAAGAGTGAAGTCATCGAGGCTATGGATTACTTCGAGATTGGTGACGCATATAACATCGAGCAGAATAAAGTCGGAATCCGACGAATGCTGCGACTTATCTGGACGAAGGGCAATAGCGACGAAGGCAAGGGTGTCCAAAATCACCTCATCGAGTGCTATAAGCGCCTCTTCTTCGAGGCACCGGACACCTATAGTAGCAATGATGCCGCCAATTATATTGCCCGGAACATGATCAGCTTGACCTTTGGAGCGACACCAGCAGAATTGACTTCTCTTGAGCAGTTACTTAGCACCATGATGAACGCTAATCACATTTCGGAACTCGTTGTTACAAAACTGTGGCAGGTTTATGGCGTTCAGAAAAGGGAGATCTCGAAGAGCCAACGACGAGGTGCGATCATTGTCCTGGGTATGCTAGCAACCGCAAAGCCAGAAATCGTTGTTGGGGAGATGGAGACTATGTTACGGATAGGCTTGGGTGGACTTGGAAGATCAGACTTGCAATTGGCAAAATATACCTGCATAGCACTACGGAGAATCAACCCTACAGGACGGCAAGCAAAGGAGACCAAGGTTCAGACTTCGAAGCTCCCCAACGATCATGCTGTTCTCGCCAGGCTTGCTGCAATCATCGAGGTGGAATCTGACAACAAGGAATGGTACGGTGTAGCTGAGCAGGCGATTAGTGCCATCTACACTTTGTCAAAACACCCAGATACTCTTTGCTCTGAGATCCTGCGGAGAAAAACCAAGCACGTCTTCCAGAAGCGAACAGAGAAAACCCCCGAGCCCCAGCAAGCTCAGGAGGCAACCCAGATAGAGACGCCTCCTCCTGAGTCATCACCGGAAGCTCCTGTGGAACCAGAGAGCAAGTTAAAGGGCTCCGTCGCTTTGTCTCAACTTCTCTTCATCGTTGGCCACGTTGCTATCAAACAAATTGTCCATTTGGAGCTCTGTGAGCTCGATTTCAAGAGGCGTAAGGCCGAGTCAGAGAAGAACAAGCCAGCCGCTGAAGCAGCAGCGGACAAAGCTGCCAAGGAAGCAGCAGATGATCTCGATATGATTGGCGGCACAACGGAGGACGACTTTACAGAAGCCATGGCTCACATCCGAGAACGTGAGCTTCTATATGGCGAAAACTCGCTCCTTGCGAACTTTGGGCCCCTCGTCTCTGAGATCTGCTCCAATAACACAACCTACCGGGACCGCAATCTCCAAGCAGCCGCCACATTGTGCTTGGCAAAGCTCATGTGCGTCAGCTCAGAGTACTGTGAGCAAAACCTCCCTCTACTCATTACAATCTTGGAGCGGTCAAAAGACCCTATCACCCGTTCCAACGTCGTCATCGCTCTCGGAGACATGGCTGTCTGCTTCAATCATCTTATCGATGAGAATACTGACTTCCTCTACCGTCGTCTTAACGATAAGGATGCAAGTGTCAAGCGCACATGCTTGATGACCCTTACCTTCCTCATCCTTGCTGGTCAAGTAAAGGTCAAGGGCCAACTTGGAGAAATGGCCAAGTGCTTGGAAGATGAGGATAAGAGAATTGCCGATCTGAGCAGAATGTTCTTCACCGAGCTGAGCACGAAGGATAATGCGGTTTACAACCACTTCGTAGACATGTTCAGTCTATTGACTGCAGAGAAGGATTTGGAGGAAGATGCTCTGAAGAGAATCATCAAATTCTTGGCTGGATTCATCGAGAAGGTATACTTTCCTCCTTTCATTTACTTTTTTGTATCAGGGTGCTAATAGCTGGATAGGACAAGCATGCCAAACAGTTGGCCGACAAGCTAGCAGCGAGGTTGCCAAGGTGTGAGAATGAGAAGCAGTGGAACGAGGTTGCTTATGCACTGAGTCTCCTACAGCACAAGAATGAGGACATCACGAAGATGGTGTCAGGAGGATTTAGGGTTGTTCAGGCCAATGCTTAAGTTATCTGACTTGTATGAGATATGGATGTCAGGAGTTGGCGGATGGTTTGCTGGGGACTTGGTTAAAGACACGGCTGCTGGCGTTATTCTGTTTGTGACGACTATTGAATCGAGCAAGAATGCAATAATGATTTTATGAATAACAACTGGGTCGCCAAAATTAAGTGTTGGGTTCAAGGTCAAAGAATTAAGTTGATGTTCTCAGAAAGGAAGTAAGTGTACGTGAGTGAGTAAAGTTATCCAAAGAAAAAAGATATGCTCCCTATCAGGTTCGAACCGATGATCTTCTGTGAACTTTTGCACTTAGGCAAATGTAAAACAGACGTCTTAACCACTTGACCAAGAGAGCTTGTTTTTAGAGTTGCTTTCCTTGTTTTGGTACACATACATGACATCTGGTGAATAGTGAATAACTTTGCTTCACTCATGTTCGAAAGGAGTGTGGAGGAGCTACTTGTAGACCCAGACAGCTCGACTATACCAACGCAACTAAAGAGAAAAGGGGTGTAGCCCCGAGATTTCAAGTCTTCTTTATAATTTGCTGTCGGATTTTTTGCTTTTACTACTGACTTCAGCATCTCATTATGAGTAATTCTCATAGAAACCACCTCTGTCTCTTTTTGGGGGACAACAATCCATTCACGACTTGCCTACTCTATGCAACCAATCCAAATTTCAGCCTTCCGGTCTACTCTCCTCTTCCACGACTGCCAGAGCCGGATCCCACTTCCAAATACACAACAACTTATCATAAAAGCTAGTACTGACACAGACCCTCGGCGCATCCCAGGCCTTCTCGTCCATGGCTATAGGTTGCACATCACTCGCATAGCACATACTCTGATGCACCGTGACTCTTCCCAGGACCCTGATACTCCAGCCCTGGCTCTCATCTCTCTCGATCTCTAAAATACGCGCCCCGGCATACGCACAGGATGCCAGCACGCGGAACTTCACGGGAGCGTTGTCGGGGGAGGAGGGGTTTGGTCGTGACGAGTCGTAGTAGTAGTTTTGGAGGAGTCGGAGACGCCAGACGCCGCCGCCGAGATTCAGCTCTGTGAGGACGCGCCCCCGCTTGCGCGTGTCGTGGGTGGCGTATACGCGGATGAAATCGTCGTAGCCGCCTGTGAGAAGGATGCAGGCGCCGTCTGGAGAGGTGATGGGGAGGGGTAGGATATAAGTGACGCCGCTAGAATGCGGCCTCAACGTCGCGGTCGAGATGTCTGGGATATCCTCGTCCTCGTGATTGTTACTGAATAGGGACGAGTTTGGTAGGGTGGGTGCCGTGGACATGCTGAAGAGCCGCAGCGTACAGTCATCGCCGCCTGTGAAGAGGCGTGTCCTTGAGCTGGGGGGCTCAGAAGAATTGGAGGGGACCCAGGCACAACACCATGCGGATTCGGTGTGAGCGTGCAGGTCCAGAAACTCTCTTTGGTCATCCGTCACGAATTCTACTTCACGGAAACTCCGGTCCTTGAATCTGACAATGAGGACTCCCCCGGTTTCCAGGTTGGCGGCAAGGAGAGGCGGGTCTGTTTCCCTGGATGGGTACCAGGAAAAATAGGTGATTTGGGCATCGACGAGATGATGGGTGCTAATGAGCTCGAACTTGTACACGTTCTGTTCAGTCTGAAAGAACTTGAAAACGGAAATATCTCCGGTGTTGGTCACGACAGCGAAAATTGGGCTGTCTGGAAGAAAATGAAGGTCAAAGATGGCCCCTTCGTGTGATAGCTCTTGGACGAGTACCCTACAGATGTTAGAACATAGCATATCTTTAAATTCGAATCTCAACTTGATAGTAGAAGGGTACCAAAAAGAATACATGTGACAAACAAGATAGGAGGAAAGTCCATAGCTCACTTACTGTTGGCCATCCTCCAGTTTGAAAAGTTTCAAACCGCCGGTTTTCTCCTGGGGCTTTGCAGGCCGAGGAGCTGAGCCCTGCTCATCTATTTCCCCTTCATTTGTACTGGGTTTCTCTGCATCTTCCAATAGTGTGTATGTCCCCACGACGAAGAACTGAGAGTTGGGATTATGCTTGAGAGGAACGAATTCAAGACAGCTCGGCTTGGCATCCAGCACCTCGGAGGTGATGGGCGTGATGCAGCTGCTGAATTTTGACGGGTCCATGGTTCACTATAATTAATCTCTCATCCTCTACTGTCGGATATTCGTCATTTTAAGCATCATCTTCAGAATGGTGTTGTGAGAAGCTCGAGGTTGGTTTTGATGGTTGCGTATGGCGGTGGATTTTTATCTTCTACTGTACTAGGCAAAAAACAACCCTATCCGTAAGCTGGTGTTTGGGATTGGAGAGTATTCGTCTCTTTACATAGGGACACATGCGTTTTTAATCAACTCCTTGCAAAAACAGAATCCGGTGTGCATTTTATATTCTTGTATTTTCAATCATTAAACAATTAATACTGTATCTGCGTACTCCCCGTACCCCCTCCCTCCCTCCAACTATAAAATTGACCCCGCCTCCTTTTTTCAACATCCTTATCGATAACAGATGAATATCGTTGATTGGAGACTTCTGAAATCAGAAAATCATACCAATGGTAGATGGTCATCTTCAAAGGTAATAAAATAAGTAAATTTTGTAGCATGGAAAATGTCAATGGGTACTTTGGTACACAGAGTTAGAAGATAGTATCTCTTAACAGGAGGCTGGTTTTCATATGCATCCGGGGGGAGGTATTTCTACTTACCTATGTGATCGTTAACCAAACATACAGACGGCCGGTTGGTGTAGTTGGTTATCACGTTTGCTTAACACGCAAAAGGTCCTGGGATCGAACCCCAGACTGGTCAATGACCTAATACGAGTCATTTATTTTGTTTTATTTTTATTTTTATTTATTTTTTCCCCATATGCTTTTGCCTGCCGCACAAGTCGGAAAGTTTGTTGCTAGAATCCGGTGATCGATGAGATTTCTGTCCATGCATGCGTAAATTGATACAGATTTACATCTGTCTGGTTGACTCTGCAACAATATCATATCTAGCAAACAACATAGGTAAGATAGGTAAGTGGAGTTGAAAAGGAGTTGTCAAGTTGACAGTCTCTTGGAACCTGCAAGGTCTGGGATTCACGACCTTTTGTGGCGTGAAAAACAGCAGACTCCCCATCCTTTTTCCAATCGTCCCTCAACACCACTTCATCAAAGAACAGTTCCTCAAAGTCCAGTTCATCTTTCTCGTTGGATATTTTAAAAGATTTCCATGCTCTTTTATATGCTAGAAGCCAGCCACGTAGTTCAAGTGAGCATTTCGTGAAATGTTCTCCGACATCCGGTTCACGTCTTCACAACGATCGGCGTTGGATCTCTTTCGTCTGAATGCACAATGGCAATGAAAAGAGGACAGAAATTGGGAATAAGTGATGATTCTGAATATCTTTCAGATGATTCGGATTTCTATGGTGGATTCCTTCAATACCTTACCTTGCTATCATGACACTAACGACCGAGCCAGGTGACGAGACAGTGAAACGAGAGCTTGAGCGTCGAGCAACTAGCTTCAGTCCTGCAGAATGGTGGGGAAGAAAGATACTATCTCCAACGGAGATGGCTAATTTGAGCATCAAATCCGCCAGTTTAAGCCAGACTGCTACACTGTATAATCCTTATGAGGGTCAAAGATGTGGCCGCCAGCTCGGGGAGACTGTGGATGAATTTCTACAAAGACTCCCTCCTTCAACGACTATGAAAGAAACAGCTATTCCTTGGATCTTCATTTCAAATCCATTCCGAAAGGCTCCGAGATCTCAGGTTGAATATAGTCAATATTGGCTTGCTAATGAAGGGCCCCCCGATGAAGAAAGCGACTGGGCCCAATTTGTGAGAGTTGGAGAAAAGCTCTTGGAGGAGTTGACGTCTATCAAACATGCGATTGAGAAGAAGAGAGCCGGCCAATCCAAGGCCACTATAGCCAAGGCGGTTAATGTCGAGAAGGAAGTGATTGTCCAGAAACTCCTTGATAAAGCTGTTGAGTTGCACTGCACTTCCGGCAAGGTAAATTCGACCGTAGTCATCCTCCCGAGTGTCTTAATACTGAGTACGTATGCAGTGGATGATGTTTTATGAATCTTCTGCGGTCGATGCCGTTTGGTCTATCATCGCTCATGCCACAGCTTCTAACGAACTCGGAATTGCCGCCAAGGTTGCCCCTGATGAAGGCGATAGACGCGGACCTCGCCTGATCTGTATATACACCAAAGATTTCACAGATATGGAGGATGTCACGCGGGTTATTAGCAAAATGCGAGACCTCGGACTGATAAACGTGAAAGGGAAACCAATCTACTATAAGTGTGGTAAGTCTGTTGTTGATTGCTGTTTGGATTATACTGACCTTGTCACGTAGATGCATACACCTACCTGAATATCAAATCTGGGAATGAATACAATATCAAAGCATCTCTGTATAATTCTGCAGATGTCCTCAACCCAAAGGATACAGGCTTAAAAAGCCAGAGACTAGATGGATCTTTCTACAAGAGATAAGGTGCAGGAGATGGCGTCCACTAGAGCGGAATAGTTGTTATCTAGATACCCAATCGCTGAGGTTGCTTGCTTTGCTGGTCATACGGGCGCCCTTCTGCTGGTATACCCAGGATATAAGCAATGGCACGTGCAACGCTTTATCCAAGCATCGTCTTCTTCATGTTCTCACTATCCTCCATTACCTCACCCACGATCCTACATCGCCAACCATATCCTGTGTCCTCTTCAAATGTAACACCAGCCTGTATGCCGAGTTTCCATTCAAATAGTACCTATGCAGCTTCTTACTTCTTAAGAAACCCAGTCTCTCGTAAAGTTTCATGGCTGGGATATTTGTCTCCTCGGTCTCCAAAACGACCTCGTCCGCATTCCGTGCAATCATAGCGTCAATAGCCTTCCTGACCAGTGTCGTAGCAATGCCATGATTACGGTGAGTGGAGGAGACAGCTAGCATAGCGATATATCCGCGTAGAGTAGGAGGAGAGTGAGACTGATGGGTTTCGAGCTTGCAGACCACGACGCCAATCATAGTGTTGGTTTTTGGGTCTAGAGCCTAATTGCAGCATCAGATAAAACAGCTCCAATTTGAGTGGTAGGAGGAAACGGGGTCGGGTACCATATAGCACAAGTCGCCCCATTGATACAAGAAATAGCGGTAGACATAGATACTGTAAGGCTCGCTCAGATCCTTCGAGATGAGAGCGCGGATCGAAGGCAGATATTGCTTCTCGAGCGCATGCTCATACTGAATATACCGCAGCTCCGAAGGCAATTCTGTTGATTTTGCTTCTTCTGTCATGGTTCTCGAGGTGTCGTGGATAAGGAGGGGCTTTGCTAAAGCGGGATGAAGCTCTTGACGGACGGACAGTGAGTGTGGCTGGTGAGTGGCTGGTGAGTGTCACATGCCGATGCAAGGCTGACGGGAGTTCCCGCTAGTGCTGTGGCTGGTAAGGTTGGTAGCAAGGCACGTAAACAATTAACTATTGGCACCGTCGTGCAATTCTCCCAGAAAAGTTTATGTTTTCGAATCCTCCTGTTACTTGATCTCTGCTCTGTTGTATATCATAAACCAGGCCATGGCCTCTCTCCGCCACCGCGTGCCTGGCGGTGCCAAACCCACCGACAAGAGAGAAGATAGCCCCGACAAAGCCGAAGTACGCCTGGCTCCCGATACCAAAATAGTAACGACCAAACAACGAGGGAACAAGCGCCGCAATGGATTGATCTTCTTCTTGGGCGGCTTGGTCGGGCTGCTGGCAGCGGGGTTTTTGGCGCAGAGGAATGATTTGCTGGACCTTCCGGAGTTGGGGGATATATCTATGGACAATTTGATCGATGTCTTGCCCGCGGGCTTCGTAAGTGATGCAAGGGATTTGATGGTCCGTACCCTGAACTCTTAAGGGAGCTTGAGAGCTGGGCTAATAGAATGCGATCAGAAAGGGGAGAGAGATGCGGTCAGTTATGATTCGTTCCAGGTGGGGTTGAATCTCTCAGCGCAAGGTATAACTGCGAAACACCCGGTCGTTATGGTTCCGGGAGTCATATCCACAGGTCTGGAATCTTGGGGCACTACGAATAGCTCCCGGCAGTATTTTAGGAAGAGATTATGGGGCTCTTGGAGTATGATGAGGGCGTTGGTGTTAGACCAGGAGGGCTGGAAGAAACACATTATGCTGGATAAATATACCGGGCTTGATCCGCCCGGCATCAAGTTAAGAGCTGCACAGGGCTTTGATGCTGCGGATTTCTTCATAACAGGCTATTGGATATGGTACGACATCTTTTGGCATATTCCAGTTGAACTAGGCTGACAAGAGATTTAGGAACAAGATTTTGGAAAACCTGGCAACAATCGGTTATGACCCTACGAATAGCTTCACAGCTGCTTATGATTGGCGATTGTCGTATGCGAACCTCGAAGTACGGGATCAGTATTTTACTCGTTTGATGTCGTACATTGAGACGGCCTACAAGACATCAAACAAGAAGGCGGTAATTGTTTCACATAGCATGGGCGCCCAAGTCATGTTCTACTTCTTCCACTGGGTTGCAGCTCCCAATGGAGGTGGAGGTGGAGATGATTGGGTGGAGAAATATGTCGATTCCTGGATTAATATCAGTGGCTGCATGCTGGGAGCCGTGAAGGGTCTCCCCGCAGTATTGTCGGGAGAAATGAAGGACACTGCTCAACTGAACGAATTCGCTGTTTATGGGCTTGAGAAATTCCTAAGCCGCGAAGAGCGGGTTGAGATATTCAGAGCCATGCCGGGAATTAGCTCCATGCTTCCAATTGGCGGAGATGCTGTCTGGGGCAACGCAACATGGGCTCCTGATGACTTACCGGGCCAAAAAGTGAGCTACGGACAGCTCTTGAATTTCAAGCACTACAATGGCTCGTCTGAGTATAAGAATCTCACCATGGAAGAAAGTCTTTCTTACCTCTACAATACCTCTGAGCAGTGGTATGTAGATCAACTGAAAGGCAGCTATTCCCACGGCGTAGCACATACGACGGCTGAAGTAGAGGCCAATGAGAAGGATCCAAGGAAATGGATCAATCCCCTTGAGACTCGACTGCCCCTTGCACCTAGCTTGAAGATCTACTGCTTTTACGGTAGGCCTTCCACCCACAACCATAGTTCTCCGTTCAGTAACTGACCAAGACAGGGGTCGGCAAACCCACCGAACGTTCCTATTACTACCACCACCCAGAAAACCCATTTTCATCTTTAAACATCACTATTGACACCGGCCTCACACAAGACAACATCGATCACGGGGTAATCCTGGGCGAGGGCGACGGCACCGTCAACCTGCTATCCGCAGGATATATGTGTAACCGTGGATGGAACATGCACCGGTACAACCCCGCCGGCGTGAAAATCAAGGTCTACGAGATGCCGCACGAGCCGGACCGCTTCAGCCCAAGAGGGGGGCCCAACACGGGTGATCACGTGGATATCCTAGGCCGGTCAAGCCTCAACGACATGATTCTGAGGGTAGCAGCGGGCCACGGCGACGAAATCGAGCACAATGTCGTTAGCAATATTGAGACATATGCGGACCGGGTGAAGATCACGGAGGAGCCGGAATACTTGTAGGGAATCGTTTGTAGGGGAAGGCCCAACTACGGCGTTCGGATTGGGAACTTGGTTATCAATAGACTTGGTTGGGTATATGCCATAGAGGCTGTGTTCGCACGGAGGTTGGTTTCAGGAGGAGGATTGTTCGGCATAGGTAGATGACAGGAGCGCTCACATGTACAGGAATAATGTAAAGGCAATGAGATCTCTTTTATGCCTTTTATACTCCATTTCTACGATCTTGTTGAACGCTGGAACGACTTTTGCTTGATAGATACCCAATCCCGAAGCCCAAAAACCGTGTACGAAATCATACGTAACCCCCCAAATTATTATCCATCCCGGAAGTGCGACAAACGTAACGGGTATCATGCCATCTATTCCATTTCCGCCCTATAAAGAATTCCGAAATAGGGCTGTCCTTCAAGCCGAGTTTCATACCCCAGCTACTTAGGCCGCTCAAAAGCAATCATATCAGCCACGCAAATTCCCAATTGACCAGATTTCGACGCCCAGGATATCGAACTTCTCGCCTTCGTCACTCAGCGGCTCATTCCCAAACGTCGGACACGAACTACTGATGCCCTTCTCAAACGTGTCATCTAGCCATAAGCCATAATGTCCATCCCCGCCCCCTACACTCAGAAACCCCGTCTCGCAAAGTATCATATAGTCATTAACTCCGGAATAGGGAAAGGCTTTGAAGCGGATACGATCTGGGGTCGAAGTGCCTGAGGCAAAGGACGAAGCAGACGATGTGGGGGGTGCGAGGCTGTTGTTTGAAGTGGCGGGTCGCGCAGGAGGAGAGAGGATGCTGGCCCGCCAGAGGAAACATTCCCCCGTCCCGTAGTAATGGGGACTTGGATGCGGTGCCTCTGTTAAATAGGCGCCGAACAGCTACATGATGTCAGCGCCTAGCTTATCCGCAAGGAGGGCAGAATGAGCAAGAGAAGGGAGAAAGGGAGTGGCATACACCTCCATCCCCATCTTTAACAACGAGCACAAATCCATTCCGTAGTCCGCGCAGATCATCGCATTTCTTGTATAGAGTTCCTAAGCTAACACCGTCTTGATCCAAGCTGTAGACGAGATTCCATTCCTCGCATAACTGCAGTCGTGGCGGCACCAGCAGACGAATCTCTTCTGCCAGCGTCCGGCTGAGCAATTGTGCGGAGGATGATGTGCTTGAATGATAGCCCTTCAGGGTGATAGGGTATAAGGGTGGTGGTTGGAAAGGCGAGGCAGTTCGATGGGGCGGCTTGAATACTCCGTTCTTCCCATCATTGTTGCTCGTATTTGCCCCCGCTGGCGTAGATGACTGATTAGAACCATGTGCCTTGTTGCCATGGTGAGGTTCACTGGAGAATCGTCGGAGGAGGTCGGTCATGGCGTGAGAAACAGTGGATGGGAGCGTCCATGAAGAAGACAGCGCGGGGGTCGAGCTGCCCGAAGATGACGTAGGCGTCTGATCGTGCGCGCCCCTTGCTGCCATCTTTGAAGGCTGTCTACATGAAGACGTCGACGAGAGCTGGGAGAGTGTCGAGAAGGGGCATCGAAGGAGTTGAACAGATAAGCAGCTGAAGGGTTTGGAGGTTTGGTGGTTTGGTGGTGCGACAGTGGCCAGCGTCTGGGGCTTGGATGTCTGAATTCCATCGTCGGAAGTGATTGGTTGTGGATAAATAACCCCTGCAAGGCTACAAGGCTACAAGGCTGATCGATGGTGAGGCTGGACTACTAGTCAATAGAGCATTTGCGGCCTCCTTTACAAGGCGGGCGATGAGTATCACTTGTCGAAACCTGTTCTGTGAGTAGGACTAGAGTGTCATATTACAGATAGCAGCAACACAAGGTAGCTACTTGAATTGTCAGTTCCAAGTTCTATGTTCTAGTGTGCTAAATGGCGGGTATACTCGTTTTTAACATGAGAAACATGCCTGCCAATTGCTGAGATATGAATAGCAATTGAGCTTTGCAGTAGTACTGCTTTATAAACTTAGGCAATAGACACCTATTCATATATATCATGTTGTGACATTGTGCAAAGGCCCGTCATTTCTCCTATCTGAAGGCTTCTTTCATGTAAATCCGTTTCTTTTCTCTTTCTTGCTCAATTGGAATGCATGCATGTCACTCTGAAGAATTTCGGCGGCGATCATTAGAGCGATCCTTCAGTTTTCCATATCTCTCCGGATATACGCAAGGTTGAGAAAAATGCCAGTCTGCAATGTCTGTTATCGCATCGTCGTGCTTTGCAGCTGTTCCGATACACCTATCAGATTCCATGCAGTCTCTCTCGTATCGGGGTGTTCTTCACCAAGAGGGTCTTGCCGATAATCATTATCTCCTCTCCCCTCTTTTCATCTCCAGCGCTCTCTCTTTTCCGCTAGGCTAAATCGCAAGGCCTCATAGCCCTTGAGCCATTCTTGTCCTCTTTTTAGGTATTTCGACCGCTCAGAGTCTGCCGCCGGAGACTCTCTACTTCGTCACATTTCTTTTAAACAAGTAGTAGGTCTAGCAACATGTCGTTTACCTAGTACCAGCTTCAATCTATCCCCATAATCCTACGGTAATAGGTTAGATTTCATTGAACTGAAGCATTGCTTGCAAGAAATATAACGGAGGAAAAGAATTGCCATCAACTCAATCCAGCATCTCGAGGACAAGCAGATAAGTCTGCGTCTATATGTATTGTGGATTCCCTGATCGTTGGAACTTGACCTAGTTGGGCTTCTAGGATGGAAGTATGGAAGGACTCTTTGTCGCTGAAAGATGTAGGAGAAATACTCAAAGAAACATTCTTGCAAGCAGATGTGCTGACTTCAGCTTCAATGAACAAAAAAATTGAGTGGAATAAGATTCTTGTGAGTTGAATCAACCGGCCCAACCTCTCTAACGCCGGCCCTAGATGTTCGCAAGGCTATGCAACACATATCCGGCATACACTCGTACAGTATTCATACAGATCATACCCATCTTAACCCGATCCTATCCACACCTACCGTCCTTCCAGCCGGTCCTCCATCTCTCCTCCCACTTCGAACAGTCGAACTCCTTCTTTCCAAGCTTCTTGTTCACCTCATTATGTGCCTCACACATCCACTGTCCAAATTCCTCTCTACTCTCTACCCTAACCTGACTCCTCGTCATGAACTCCTGGAAGTCTTCCGCACAGACCCAACACGGGTATAGTTTCGAAAACAATCCCATGAATTGCCTCGCTTGGTTTTGTTCCGTGGGCGTCGGGGAGACGGGATATGTCGCGGCTATAGAGTGGAGAAGGGTCCAGGAGGACCGTCCCAGCTGCTCGACATCCGGAGGGCAGTCGGATGGCGGCCCTGCGGTGGCGGTCGGGTTGGCAGTGCCGCCTTTTACGGTCTTCTTGGTCTGGGACGCCCAGTCAGCGAAGGAGGTACAGGATCGGCAGCTTCGGGATATGTCAGAGTTATTTTCCAGAGCTTGGGTGGGTAGAGGGGAGCTCACGGTTTCCCATCTTTGCCTAGGACGACGCCTTTTGGGAACTTTTTGGGGGGCGCCGCGGTAGTCTCTGGGCTGGGACCAGCAGTGCTGTTTGTGTCATTTTCTCGAGTATCGTCGGCCATCTTCTCGTGAATTCGTACAATTAGGAGTAATTGACTGTCCACGAAAAAAAAAAGCCGCGAGACTTATGGGTTGAAAGTACAGGAACTCATCCACGCCCAGCTTTGTAATGCGCCGGAACATACCGGCGCATCCCAGTACAATACGCCCAGCCTTGTCATGTCTTGGCTTTCCTCACCAACCCCTCGTTACCCGACATAACATCACGATAATGAGCAACACAGACAGCGGACCGGAAGGGAAAGTCCCAATATTACTATTGAAGACCAAATCAGTCCCCAATGATACTTACGCAGAGCGCTTCTCCACGCTGAAAGATGGAATCCGCTTCGAGCCGAGTTTCATTCCCGTCCTGGAGCACACGCTCCAAGAGAAGGGGTTGAAGGTTATACGGAAGTTGCTACGAGGAGACAAGATTGGAAAACATGAACTCGCAACGCATGGTGGCATGGTTTTCACATCCCAACGATCCGTGGAGGCATTTGCGAAAGTGATGTCCGACATGGCCGAGATTGGAGACGGTACGCAAGATCACATTGACACTTTGAAGGCAGCACTATCTGATAATATCCCTGCAGGTGACGGTACTTGGCCACTTCTAGAAGAAATTCCTATATATGTCGTGGGGCCTGCTACTCTTAACGCTGTACGGTCGATTCCGCAACTGCCATCTCTCCAGGTCTTTGGCGCTGAGACGGGCAATGGGGAAGCATTGGCAGAGTACATCATGGAGCATTATTCGGAGTGGTATGGACACTTAAATGAGAGGCCTCCGTTACTATTCCCAGTTGGCGAGCAGAGGCGTGATACCATCCCCAGGCGTCTGATGGATCCAGGATTACCCTACGGCACACAGATACCGGTTGACGAGGTCGTGGTCTACAAGACCGGAGTTATGAAATCATTCGAGGAAGAATTCAAACTAAAGCTGCAGAAGACCGAGAACAGAACCTCCAGATGGGTCGTCGTGTTCTCGCCGACGGGCTGTGAAGCCATGCTACGTTCGTTGAACATGCTAGACCCAGACACAGGCAAAGCCAAGCCAGCGGACCAACTCAAGGGCGAAAGAAATACGTATATTGCCGCCATTGGACCTACCACCAGGGACCATCTGAGAAAGGACTTTGGCTTTGAGCCAGATGTCTGTGCTGAGAGGCCGAGCCCTGAAGGAGTGGAATCTGCTATTATGAAATATATAAGACAACATCGCTAGGACTGTTCAGCCACTGTTCGGCACGATAAAATGTTTAAGTAGATAATTGATTAGTATATGGAGTCTAGCACCTTGAATACAGATACCATTCGCTGACCAGCCGTCAAATTCCTAAAAAGAAGAAAGTGACTCTCAAAGTGTAGATAGCACCATTGATATACAAAAACCATCCTGATGATAATCAAATAATTCATAGTTGCATAGTGGGCATCTTCCCAAATCCTATCATTAGGTAAGGTAATCGATGATCCGGAGCAGAGCAATCAACAATCTCCATGAGAGGCCCTCAAACATAAGTTCCCACGAGAACACCTTTCTAGTTCTTAAGGGGAAACTCCCCCCTTTTTGTCAGTTAAGACGTAGTTATAAGTCATAGCAAGACATCTTGATGAATAAACACTGAAATGGAAGCCATTCACATTCATTAACTTACAAACTCATGATCTGAAAAGGAGGTCTATTTTCTATTTCCTTATACATATATATACATACCTTGTATATTGCGAGACCCCCCCCCCAACGCAAAGACTTCCCCTTTTTTCTATCAGAATCAAGAACCGCCCGCGTCTCAGTCTACAAAGGTAGTAGTATCTAGGTAGGTAGCTTTATACCTCATTAAATCATGATATTTTACCGTATCGAGGCTATAGAAACAGCACCCAAGCTAAGGTACATATCGCCATCACCTCTCCCAAACACCTCCATGATAAGTAACAGCCCGGTCTTGATACGTCTTCACGTATATAGAAGCTACGATTTTCGGCTTCACTCCTTCTATAGGTAGATACTGGAATTATTGTTGAGGCTTCTCCCGTTCATAGAATGAATGTCGGAATTGAAGACTCGTGATATTGTTGGAACGGCTGAATGAGAATCAGGTCCCGGCGTTCGCAACTAGGTGCCTATACTACCGGGAACCTGAGCTGCTGTAGCAACCTGGTTAAAGGAGCTATCGCCTCGGCAGGGAGATGGATATCATGGTGGTACTGGCACTGGCAGCTAGCCCGACTTTGATAGAACTTTGAATTTGATGTACAGAATCATATCCCTATGGAAAAGGGGTGCCCTAGACGCCTTTTTCTTCGCAAGCAATGCTAACAAGCGACCTGGGATATAAAGATGACACTCCAACACCATTAATGCATAGCAATGTACAGCATGTCCAGATATGTGCAAATACTGAGCAGACACGGCCGTTCATGATACAGAAGTCTCGAGGGCTTAGAAGTAAGGCAACTCTCCGGTTCCACCTCCCTGCTTGCCCCCTCCATTACCATTCTTCCCCTGAAGTTGTTGCTGGTATTGTTGATATTGTTCGAACTGCTGTTGGACCAGTTGTTGAGGTGTCTGATACTGCTTCTGCAATGGCGGGAAATCTTCGTATGCCACGGCAACATTGTAGTTTGGAGGTGCGGAATTGTAGGCAGGTTTCTCACCGACGTCGTCCAGTGATCGGTAGTTAAATCCCCCACCTCGTCCCCTACCCCTACCACCACCTCCATTGCCGCGTCCCCCACGATTCCCACGTTGTGAGCCGCTGCCTCGGTAATTACCCCTCCCGCCCCGCCCACCACCGTAGTTCTGTTGCTGGTTACCACCGCGGCCGCCTTGGCCTTGCCCATAGGCGTGTGAGCCGCTGGATTGCCTATTGTTGGAGCTCTCGTCATCTTGTGCGTGCTTACGCTTGAATGACTTGTTCGGGAAAAGACTTTCATACTCATTCTCTTGGGGATCCTCCTCTTCTATCCGAAGCAGGACTTTCTCGCCAACAGTAGTCTCAAAAACGAATTGCTTCTCTGGTGGGACGGGTTGCCAGTTCTGAATCTTACCTGCATCGATGGGCCGAGCACCTTTGCGAAGGGCGAGCACCACGATGGGAACTGGATTCTCGGTATAGTATTTCTTGGTTTCCGGGACGGGTCGCACCTGGGCAGCCCAGATCTTATTCTCAAAAACTGCCGTGCCCGTAACTTCCCAGGTTGTCTTGCTACCCATTCCACCCACCTTCTCCAAAATGCTATTTGGACAAGGACGGGGGGTGATAAGAACATTGTTGGCAAGAAACTTCATCTCCGTATCCGGCATGTTTGGTGGAAGCTGAGCTAGGGTAAGCAACTTCTGAGTGTCAGTGTTGTTGATTAAATATCCGGTATAGAAAACGGTCTTCTTGATCATTAGGCGTCTTCCGCTTTTGCCCTTGCTGATAGCGGCATTATGATCATTGATGATCCGCTGTACCTCCGCAGTTTCTTGAATAGGATCAAGCATCATCGCTCCGTCAGCCACTTGGATTACCTCAGCGGTGATAGGTCCACGAGTTGGTGTTCCTCCAACGCCATTTTGACGCTTGTTGTAGTCTGTGAAGAAAATTCTGAAATTTTTGACGTGGTTGACCCTGTCTTCATAGACTCGAATTTCCTCCGCCGCTTTGTACGTTTCCATCAAACTTTCTAAAAAGACCTGTTTGAAATTCATGGTACTCGTGAATCGTTGATTGTTCGGGCCTGCTGCCGGCTTCAGGGAAATCATATCAAACTCGAGTCCTTTACTACGGACCATTCTCTTGACCAGGTCCGCAAAGTTAGTTTCCGAACGTCCAGTCAGGAGGACAGTAAGAGCATCTTTTTGCTGCATGCTTAGTTGGATGAGTTCAACGATTCGTTCATTCCACCATCCTTCCCAGCCTCGAGCTTCTTCCTTCTCAATACCCTCTCCTGTCGCTGCAAGTATTCTCGCGTCGTGCCACCATCCGCCCGTTGCAAACGTATCTTGGGTCTGTAGAAAGCCAATCGATGGGCCGTTCCATAGCTTTGGATTGGGCAAGGGACTGTTGAAGACTGCGAGCCAGAGTTAGCAGGCGCAGAAGTCCTCAGTGGCAAGGTTCCTTACGAGTGTTATCGAAATCATAGACATGAAGTGCTTTGATTTTTTCAACGGCTGTATCCCGTCAGTTCATGATATCCAAAGATTATATTAATAGCCTTACGTGGGAGCTGCCTGTTTGCAACAGACCAGCGATTCAGCGCAGTCAATGTGTACTGGGTCGCTGAAGTACCATTCGGAAGGCCATTCTTCGAGTTTGCCATCATGGAACGGTACACAGCGCCCAAGACACCCGCCTTTCTCAATAATGAAGGCACCCTGTTGGAACGAGTGGAATTTTGGATGTTGTTGCGATGTTAGATGTTGTTGATCAGGAATTTATTTCCAGTCCTCCGCGACGAACCATGGCTTGGGAATTTCGCCAGCCTCGAGGTCGCCGCTGCGTCCTCGACAAAACCGCGCTATACCAAGGTGGGACTCTACAGCACAGGGCCGAGGTTCCTACAGACCTCTTTCTAACATCAATGTCTTCACTTCCAGCCATCCGCCTTGTAGCCTCGTCTACCAAGTCTGCTCGGGCACATGTCCATTTACAATGTCACGTCAAGCCAGGCGCGAGCAAGCAGCGCGAAGGAATAACTTCAGTCTCTGATACGGTGATCGAAGTCTGTGTGTCTGCACGAGCCCGTGAGGCAAGTTCACACGATGTGACATAATTCCACGGCTGACATCTTTGCAGGGCGAGGCTAACAAGGCTGTGAGGGAAGTATTCAGCAGTGTAAGGCTCGAGATTTTTCCTATTTGTAGGACCGAGACAAAAACGGTTACTCATACACAGCCCAGGTTCTGAATTGTCCGAAGTCTGATATCGAGGTCATTCGGGGCCTGAAGTCACGAGACAAGACGATAGCTATCTCTGGGATTGATATAAGAGAGGATGAACAAAGCTGCATCTCAAAGATCAGAGCCCAATTACAGACTGCGATTGATTGACAAGAGTGCTTGGATCTAAGATGCCTTAACTGGATGCTAGGTAGCGAGAGGCTTCCACCAAACGTACCATAATTGCTACACCCCTCAGGATTCGAAGGGAGACAGACATATTGGGGTTTATGGAATGGAGTGTTTAGCCATTGGACAACCTACACGATTCAGTTTCTTGCTGATATGATGTAAACGGCTCAGGCGAAGGGGTGTATTCCATTCATTCCGCCATTCATTCCGGTTCTATTTCTGTTACTTATTTCTTTCTCTTAATCGGATTCTGGTCGGTCATTCAATCCGTCTCTGGTCATGTCCGACCCGTTTGCCACCACTACACGAGATTTCGACGACTACTACTGTGTAGTATGTCCCGAGGCGTCTTCTGTATGCAGCAATTGGTGATGGATCGCCTATCAAACAAACTTTCTGCTAGAGGCAGAACGGAAGAACCAATGTGAACAAGGCAAGTAATCGTCCGGATGCCGCCTATGCCATAGGTAGGCTGCTCCGTATATCATTAGGACGTATCCTCAGCCGCCACAGCCCGCTAAGAGGAAAGGGAATGGTGGACTTCTATTTTCTGCTCTCGGTCTAGACCTCTCCCTCTGTGGCATCTAGACTTCTCGATTTCGAGGTACGGGGTAGCAGGGCACGATCTCCAGCCTTGACTTGATTCTTGAAAGAAGAGCGCATCGATCCCGGGCAGGGTCGGACAAGTGTGGGAGGGGGATACCTTGGGGCAAGATATTACACAAGGATATATCTGTAGGCCCCACCCTCGATGCCTTGGAAGTTGAAGCTACGGAGCACAGTTACAGTAGTAGGCTGAGTAGGTCCTCCCCCGTGTGGCGCTGAAAATTCCTAAAAGTCTCTAATAAAGGACTAAAAGCAAGGGCTCCACCGGTCACGATTTGGCTGCGTCATTGCAGGGCCCTTGGTCTCCAGGCTCCTTTGCAATGATTGCATCGACAGGGCACTATGGGCAGCGGGTTGAGCTGTATATATATTTCAGGAGACTCCAAGCGCGTCAATCCTGCCGACTGGAGCAGCGGCGCGGGTGGAGATGCCTTAATATCCTCGAAACAAGTGAAGTCACGGGAAATCGAATAAGCCGGGCGTTTTGGGACACGGCTGATGATTTGATAAACAGGCAGGACGATCCATGCCTGATGCAGGGCGAGTTGCCATACGGGCTGTTCGCTTGGATTACTTCAAACCTCGAAAGTCCAAGTCTCAGAGCGCGCCGGAGGGGTGGGTCTAGGGCCGGATATACGCAGACCCCTGCTGGCTGCGACGGGGCCCTCCCCCCGCGGCTCACCGCCCTCGTCTCCCGTGGCCCGAAACAGGCACGCTCTGCCGTGTGGCTGCCCCCTGCCGGGCCCCCATCCCATTCCCCATTCTGCCATTCTGCCGCGCGCGCTCTCTACGCGCACCCCCGCCGTGGCCGCAACAGCCGCTGCAGTGGCAAAGGCTGCTCGGCTTTCCCCTTCACCAGCGTCTCCTCCATCGTCCCCTGTCTTATTGGCCCACGCCCGGCCTCAACCTCCACATACTCCGTAGTCAAGGCCTGCCTCCCCACGGCTTTGCAATGTCACTCGCTCAGCTCTTCCTTGTCCCAAGCCGTGTGTTTCTTTCTTCCTTCTTGCTTTCCTCGCGCCATGTCTAGGTGCTTGCTCGTCGATGATCTACGTTGTGTTTGATGCCGTCGACGTACGATAGATTCCCTGATAGACGTCCGCACGCGCAGACGGCTGTCCTCCATCGGTTCGTGAGGCCCGCTCGCAAGGCTTGAACATCTCGATCGCGGCCTGACCCTTCACATCGCGAAAGCCCTTTCTCGTCCCTATCGTCCAACACCCCCCCCCCACCCCAGTGTCCTCGACGTGCGCCTTTCCTCGACCACCTCCTCCCGCCAGGCGACCGTTCCAACCCAGGAGGGCAGTAATTGGATATATCCCCGTTGGCTGGCAACTGTCGATAGCACATCATGGACAAAGGCGGGGATGCGGGAGGCCAAGCGGCCAATAATTCCAGCGACTTTGTGAGTTCCCCTCCACGTCGCCGAGACCTCTTGTCCGCATAGCTAACTCGCGCGCAGGTCCGCAAATTATACAAGTGAGCTGAGAACCTTCGAGCGGCAAAGGCGCCTTGATGGCTAACACACCTCGTCTATAGGATGTTGGAAGACCCGTCGTATGAATCCATCGTAAGATGGGGAGAGGGGGGAGAGAGCTTTGTTGTTCTGGAAGTATGCAATAGCCTCAGCACATCCTGCCCGCAATATAGTAACATCAGATGCAGAACGAGAAATTCACCAAGCTGATCCTCCCCAAACACTTCAAGCATAGCAATTTTGCTAGCTTCGTCCGACAGTTGAACAAGTATGACTTCCACAAGGTCAGACAGAACAACGAAGACAATACTCCATCTCCATATGGCCCTAATGTTAGTGCGCATCCGATCGCCATCCAGTGTATCGAGGGCTAACTTGCGATCAGGCATGGGAATTCAAGCATCCAGAGTTCCAGGCAAATAAGAAGGATTCCTTAGATAACATCAGGCGGAAAGCTCCAGCACCACGGAAGTCAGCCCAGAATTCGGAGGACCAATTCCCAGCTCAGCAAATGGACCTCGTCAACAGCCAGTTGATGGCTACACAGCAGCAATTACAACAGCTATCGGAAAGATACCAAGATCTTGCTCAAGGGCACATGGTCTTACTACAGCAGGTTGTTCAATTACAGAAGTTTATCAAGAATCACGATGGGGTCATGCATAGGGTTATCGGTTTCTTACACGGCGTCGACGCCCAGAGACGGAATAATCGAATAAGGGCGCCATTTGCTGCTAACGGGTCTGGGATGGGCGTAGGAGATCCTTTGTCGAATGATCCCGCCGATGACCATCCGGCATCTCCATTGCAGCAAGCATCGGAGCTGCTCGCTGAATTTTCCGCCGAGAGTTTACCAAACAAGGAGCTCGAACAGATGACCCATGACTACCACCTACGCCATGACTATTCGACTCCCCCGAATGATCAATGTGGTCCCACCATAGCATCCCACTCTGAGACGCCCAGCGCTCATATTGGTTATCAGGCTGGGAATGACCTTGATAATATGGTGTACCCCGTGGGGCACACGAATGGTATTGATCCGATCAACAGCGAACATATTCACAACATCCCCTATGCTTTACCTCCGAACGGAATGCTCCAAGTGGAACCTATGCCGGAAATGATCCCTGAGGGGAGTGCTTCGGCCAGCCGAAAGAAGGGCAACATTGATTCGGTGTGGGGAATGACCAAGCCTCGAATATTACTCGTTGAAGATGATAAGGTCTGCGCACGCATAGGATCTAAGTTTCTGCAAGCCTTTGAGTGCGGCGTGGAGACTGCTGTAAGTTCTAATAATTCCTGCTATGAAGATGTTGCTAATGACATGAAGCGTGATGGACTTGAAGCGGTGAACAAGATCAATAATGCTGCCAATCATTTTGATCTTATTCTTATGGATATCATTATGCCTCATCTTGATGGAGTCTCTGCCACCGTCTGTATACGAGAAATCCGGCCAAACATCCCAATTATTGCCATGACTTCCAATATTCGGGCTGATGATATCGACATGTATTTCCGATATGGTAAGGTCAACTTGGGACCTTTTTTCCCGCACGATCTTCTAACGGGTAGCAGGTATGAACGACGTCTTACCGAAACCATTTACCAAGGAGGGCATGTTGCGCTCCCTTGAGAAGCATCTCGCACAATTTAAGAAGACGGCGCAATTCCCAAATCCTGCGCAAATGGCACACCCCAGTGGATTCGTCACGTCGAGTCAATCCCACACCCCATTGGGCTTGAATATGACCCAACTATCCGCAGCCCAATCAATCAAAGATGAGACGTCTCCCGGAAAGTCACCAGCTCCGGCGACGACATGGCAGTCGCCCAACCAGCTACCGGGGCCATCACCCCTTGTCGGGAGCTCCCCGGCAAGTTATATGCAGCAACCTATGAGAGATACCGGTCCGTACGGAATAACGCGCGGCACACATGCTCACCCGCAACCGGTGTTTGCGGGTCAAAACCCGGCAGCTATGGCAGGGCCAAGAGGCCAACCACACCGAAGGCAAATGACCGAAATGGCTGGAACGAGTGGACCAGATGAACATCCGGAGAAACGACAGAGGATGTATCCGCCACCACCACCACCACCACCACCTCAAGGCAACTTCACCCAATGACATGCAAATCCTGAAGTTGTATGCTCCTTATCGACACCATATATGCGTGGGGTCTAGTTTTGTATATATTCTGCATGGCCCGCCATAAAGTCGGCCCCTTTCGGATGATCAATGATCAATGCTTGATGACTGTATTTGGATTTGGATTGGATTTGGATCGGAGATCCATATTGACCCATCGGCGCAGGTGGGCATTCAACTTGAAGTTCCTCGGCGGCGTCTGAGGCAGATGGCTGGGGGGCTACTTTGAGAACCGCGTGATATTGATCTATCGACTCTGGCGGTTCTGGCGCTCTTGGGAATAGAGCTAGCAGTCGAGTGCGTTGTAGATTGATTTAAATACCACATTACGACTTAAATTTCGAGGGGAGAGCAGTCCTCCATGATCCTCCCATGTAGTTCAATGACAGAGATTTGACAATGGCTACGTTCCCCCATAGGACCTTGATAAGCAGCCTTCAAATAGAACACTGGAGATTGAACGGAGCGGCAAGAGTCGAACGACGTTGTGATAAAGTAACGCAGATCTGGCACCCTGGACGTGTGTGCCGAGTTTTTGAAGTCCAGGCTCTCGTAGACCTCAGAACCGCCTGGAGCGGGCTGATATTCAGCCTTGCGCGGGAGCAATCCTAGCTCGTCAAGCCACACCCCGGAAAGAAACTTCATTCGCCCTGAGTCAATCCAACCTCAACGCACCTCCCGTCACCCAAGAAATCCAGACCTGATCCACCCCAAATTCCACGGGCTGGGCAGCGAACGCGCGACTTGAAATTGGCTCTGAAAAGGTGGATTTGAGGATTGAGGAGTGATCATGTCACACGCGCAGAAGTCTTCGAAGGGCGCTGGTGGGGGGAAGGCGGCTGCAAAGGGCAAGAAAGCTGCCGGTGGGGGAAAGAAGGTCGAGGATGAAAGAGAAGAGTCCTTGCAGGCAGTGGTATGATTTCCTAGCACTGCAGAGTTTATACGGCCAAAGCTGGGGAATTACTGACTCCTTGAAGCTGCTCGCGGATTCTTTTGAGACGAGATTCAACCCTTTTACGCTGGAGGCACCGAGAGTAAGTGCGCCGATTTATTACCTGGCATCGGTGGTTGCTGCGAGCTATGAGATTACTGGAGAGATGGTTAAGTAGCCTGGCTGATATGCTCTACAGTGTCTCCTCCCGTTAGCCAACACTCCCCTCATCGAATACACCCTCGAATTCCTCGCCATGTCCGGCGTGGCAGACGTATACATCTACTGTGGAGCGCACACCGCAGAAGTCGAACGCTACATCCAAGCCTCAAAATGGTATCCCCTCACCTCTCCCGCATCGCCTTTCAACAGCCTCGAAATAATCAAGACAACTGCCCGCTCAGTCGGAGATGCGCTACGGGATCTCGATGCCCGCGACCTGATCTCTGGAGACTTCCTTCTTGTTCACGGAGATCTCGTCTCGAACCTTCCTATTGATGCTGCGCTTGCTGCGCACCGAGCGAGGAGAATCGCAGACAAGAATGCTATAATGACTATGATTTTAAGATCTGGAGGGTTGGGTCCACACCGAACGAAATCACAGGGTATCACACCTGTTTTCGTGGTTGACCCCACCAAGAACCGATGTTTGCATTACGAGGAGATGCATCCATTACAGGCGAACAAATACGTCAATATTGACCCAGAGCTGATATCCACACATCCTGAGATGGAAATCCGGACGGACCTGATTGACTGCGGCATTGACATTTGCACTCCTGACGTGCTGGCTTTGTGGGCTGAATCTTTCGATTATGAAGTACCCCGGCGGCATTTCTTGCACGGCGTTCTAAAGGACTACGAGTTAAATGGCAAGACGATCCACACAGAGATTGTGGAAGACCATTATGCGGCTCGCGTTGCTAATCTTCAGTCGTACGAGGCCATCAGTAAAGATGTCCTAGGAAGATGGACGTATCCTCTTGTCCCAGACAGCAACCTCGTCGTCGGTCAAAGCTACAAGTTTGAGAGAGGGGGTCTATTTAAAGAGAATGGCGTGGCATTGGCAAGGACATGCAAGGCAGGAAAGAATACTGTTTTGGGAAAGGATACTAGTATCGGGGATGCTTCCGTGGTAACTAACAGTATCATCGGGAGGAGATGCCAGATCGGGAAGAACGTCACTATCAAGAATGCGTTTATCTGGGACGATGTAGTTGTTGCCGATGGATCAACGGTCGACAGAGCTATCATTGCCAGTGAGGCGGTAGTTGGCAGAAACTGTACGATTCAATCTGGAGCCTTGCTCTCATTTGGTGTGCGAATAGCAGATAATAAGGTGGTCAAGTCTGGTCTCCGAGTCACAAGAGCTAAGAGGAAACCGGAAGGGGCCGAAGGAGAGACCAAGGTAGTTCCCTCACAGACAGAAGTTGTGGGAGAAGGAGGCGAGGGCTACGAATTCCAAGACGATGAAGAATCCGACGACGAAGCCTCTGTTTTCCACACCAACCTCGTCTACTCTACCGCCCATCTCAACATCTCCAGCGAGTCCATCTCCACCTTCTCCTCAGAAATCAGCGCTGCGTCGATTGGAGAGCCCCGATCCCGCACCACCAGCTTCACAGGCTCAATCTCAGAGGACGGCGACCTAGAATCGTCGAACGAAACATTCCACCACGATGCCGTCGCCGGGCTCTACGACGCGCTCAAAGAGGGCGGCGACATCGACGCGGCGAAGCTCGAGTTCATGGGTCTCCGGCTGTCCAACAACGCCTCGGACCACCAGATCCGGCGCGCCATCGCGACCGCCTTCACCAAGCGCATCTCGCAGCTCGTCGAGAGCGAGAAGATGGAGGCGTCGAAAGCCGCCGCCCAAGCGCTCGGCCTCGCGGGCGCGGAGAAGTTCCTGAAAGAAGTGGCCATCGGCACGGATGGGAGCGAGGACGACCAGGTGGATTTCATCATCTGTCTGCAGAAGGATCTCGCGCACCGGGCGAGCGGGGCCGTGATCCTGGCCGCGATGAGCCAGAGACTGTACCAGATGGAGGTCCTGGAAGAAGAGGCGTACCTGAAGTGGTGGCAGGACGCGGAGGCGTTGGGCGAGCAGGAGGATAAGGAGATGAAGCGGGTCAGGGAGAAGACGAAGGTCTTTATTGATTGGCTTGAAGAAGCAGAGGCTGAGAGCAGTAGTGATGAGGATGAGGATAGTGATTAAGTATCTTAAGTATCTTTTTTGTTAATTAGGTACATTTGCCTTGTGCAGAGATATATATCGGCAAAGTGTAAAAGAAAACAAAAGCCTTTCACCGGATTTCAGAATCAAGGTATTAATCATACCGTAGGTACATACAGACGCTCAGAGATGAGTAGATAAGCAATGTAGAAGGTGAATGCCTCTCTGATTTGTATTCTATAACCCAAATCCCCATCATCAAAGGCGGTAGCTGTTGAAGAACACAAACCGCCCCATGCAATATGTTAAATCCATTCCGATGCCTAGGTAGAGTCTAACCTAGCCACTGCTCTCCCATCTCAACCTCTTTTCTTCTGTCTGCTGCATAAAAGCTACACTCACTCACTCCCCATGTTTTCCGACTCCACGCCCCCGCAACACTCTTAACAACGCTGCACTACAAAAACCACGCATTAACAACATCTACTGAGGAGCCGGAACCGGCTTGATCTCGTCCGCAGCAGCTTGGGCATCGACGGCCGCGCCCTCGCCAGCCTTCCCGCCTGCATCGGGAATCGTGCCGGGGTTGGTAGCCGTGTTATCAATGACGTTCTTCTGGTCATCAGCAGGCTCCTGGGCCCATTTTGGAGGTCGGGCCCAGGTAGGATCGGTCCAAGGACCCTCGTCGCTCAGGGCGCAGCCGCCGGGGCATTCGCAGGTGCCGCCGAAGATCTTGGGCAGGTTCTCCGCTGGGACCTGGCTCAGGAGGTCCTTCTGATATCCAGAACCGAGGACGTGGATCTTCTCCACGGTGATGGGGTCCAGCCAGCCCTTGACAACGTTGAACACGGTCGAGAATCCCCAGGGGGCGTTGATCAGGTACAGGCGGCCAAGGCGCTCGGGGTAGTAGTTTTGGGAGATGGCGGACGCTTGCTTGACGTATGAGTAGACGGAGGAGACCTTGCTGAGACCCACGCCCTTCAGGTCCATGATCGTGCAGCAGGTCTCGAGCAACGAGCCGGCCTTTCGTGAGCAGGCTGGGAGTCGGGGATCAGCCAGCTTCTCGTACTCGACAGCCAGGTTTTGCAGCATTCGCTCGGAGGTTGTAATCTTGTACATGGCGGCCAAGTCGATATTGCCCAGCTGCTCAATGTAGACTGGTCGGCCATCCTAATTTCTTATCAGCACTTGGACCCTGGAGCGGTGTGGAGGCATCCGCACTTTGTCTGTCTTGTGGTAGTATTGGGGATAGTATTGGAAGACCTGCTGCTTCTCGGTGTAGTCGAAATGTCGGACGAGATAGTCAAGGTTGAACTCTTTGCGCCACTTCTCGCAGTCCACAAACCTGTCTGTCTCAGCAAGTGCAAAGCTGGGGAGGGGGCGAGCCAACGTACATCTTCTCTGCAGCGGCCACATCGAACTTGCGGGCGCGTAGAAAGCGCAGCTAAAATACTAAGTCAGGCCTCAGACGGCGGAGGACAGGGCGACGCATGCATACCAGTGTCAGAGTATCGAGTCTCTCGGTGTAGCCGGCCTGCTCGAGCTTCGATCGCAACTGGAAAACCTGGGCATCCTGCTCTGGGGTCGTGTGTCCAGGGTGGCCACTTTGATTCCGTGGGGCAGTGGTTGGGAAGTCGTAGTGATCGTACTTGGGATCCAGGGCCATATGGGGGTTTTCTGCAGCCATTGTGAGAGGGAGAGCAGGAGTTGCCTAGGTCTTCGAGGAATTGCAATTCTGGTGTCGAAGGGAGCTCAGGAGGTAAGTAAGAATACGCTCGCTCAACCCCCAGGGCCTCTGAGGGGCAGAATGACGACCTACCTTAGTGTTTCTGGCTGGCAATTTAGCGAGCTCTTATTTCCTAGGGATTTCAGGACGTCAAGCCAGGGGTCCTCGAGAGGTCACTGCCACCGCCTGGAGGATCAGGATTATTCTACACTTGATATTATATATATATAGGTTATAAGACAAAAAGACCGCACAGCCTCTACTCAGTTTCTCACTTCGCACGGCGCATGTTTTTCTGGGTTAGGGTTGCGGTGTTGGTCCGTCTTGCGTAACGGCTTTTTAAGACAATCTTTCTTTTCTTTTATGCATTATGTCGACTCTTAGCCATTAGGGGGTCCATTCTTCCCTTTCTCTTCAAGCGCTTCCTGCTCCTGCTTCTCTTTCCGCTTCATAGTGACATCCCAGTTATACACTCGTGCCGTCGCTACTTCCATAGTCTAATTACTCGTCAGTCGGTCTGCGCTCTGGGTATCCCAGCCATCCTGCCGTTTCTTACCGTAATCTGCTCTCTCAAGAAATCATGATCTTCTTCGCAATTTGCCAAATTTTGTTTTGCTGCCGCTAGCTTCGAGGCAAGGAGCTCTTCGGCCTCATCAATCGGATATGACAACATGACGTTAGCCTGCAATTAACGTCAGCAACCTTTCCCCACCTGGCTTCAGAGCCTCCATATAACATAACATACCCCCAGCCATAGATAGACCTCTTCTGTAGGCGGTATATGTGCCTTGGCATATAATGTGTCGTTGAGCTCAAATGTGGCTTCTATTGGGTCGGAGCCAGGCTGCAGAACACTCGTCAACTGGGAAACCCTTGCGATGTTGGCATCCAACATACTTTTCTTGTCTTCAAGAATTGGACAGTCTCCAGAGTCTTTTGAATATCCGGCATCTTCTCTTTCAGACCTGCTGCCCGCCGTTGCATGTTTGCCTCCATAAACTGATATTTCCTAGCCACCCCATGAGCCCATCTTCATATGATCGAGTGGCAGAAACGTACGATATCATCTCTTGAAAACTCTTCAAAGTCGTCTCAACATCCGCCCGGGAGGAAACATAGTCTTCGACTTTGTCGACGAATGGCGCATATGGGATGCCTCGCGGATTGGTGGGGGCGACATCTTTCCTGTAGCGCTCGTTAGCTCTCCACGAATGATAGAGACTCTATAGAGTCATATGTGCAAAGCATAAGATACTTACTTGGACTCTTTGTCCGCCATGTTGAGTGCGGCAAGAAGCTTCCCCAGACCGTGAAGCAGTCGTGCCACAGTGTGATTAAATGTCAAAAATATCCAGAAACAGAGTTCCCCTATGAAGCGCTAGAGCTCGCTTCTTCCCGCCGCCTTGCCCAATTCTCTCAAGCCTCAAATGCACGGAGGACGACGGCATCCGGCTGGCGCGGCTGCTCAATACCTTCCGGCATTACTTACTGTTACTCTACATACCTATCCATCATCCATCACACAACATCAGGCATCAAAAGTGTGATTTCTTGATCTGCGTTACTGTGCGGCACCGTCGCGGGCGCCGCGGCTATGGAATCTGAATGGCTTCGAGACGGCCTCCGATTCGCACTCGAAGCATCAATATTTACAACCCCGGTCGATGATGGACCTGGTCCGCCACAGCAACGAGATCCTCGATTCCGGAAGTTGGTGGAAGGAGTCTTATATTCTAGACGATTGATCCTGACGTATCATATCGTTATTCTTGGGGTTATAACTATTGTTTCCGCAGTACATTGGACTCGGAAAGCAGCTCAAAGAAGGAGAGCACGAGTCCCGCGGCTACAACCTCTGGATGCCGACGGCGCATACGATGGCGACGCGGCCAAGACAACTTCCCCAAGTGTTACGGCAGTCAATCGGGATATTGAGGAAGCTTCCTCCTCTGGGAGCAGTACACTAGAAGGTGTAATGAGCCCTCAGGTAAAGGATGCGGACGAAGACACTCCTCTTCTACAACATGACACCACACTCCAAACGTCGCATCATCGCAGGTCGATTATTCGATACTTCAAGGCATTCTTGATGTACCAACCGCCACCGATCCCTCTCTTTAACAAGACATTACCGTCCAACGGAACGTCGATTGTCCTCTTGGCTTTCATTGCCCTCAACATATTTTACACTCTTTTCCACCTAAATCTCACGATACCTGAGTTATTCGTATTGGCCGATCGATGCGCTCTCGTCTTTGTGGCCAATCTCCCACTTTTATATATTATAGGTGCAAAAAACCAGCCGCTAAAGTTTTTAACAGGCTACTCCTACGAATTTTTGAACATATTCCACCGTCGGCTGGGCGAACTCCTATTCATGGAAGCTTCTCTTCATGGATTAGGCATGTTCGGTGTCTGGTACACGCTACTTGGCCCTGATGGAATCACAGTGGGAGAATTTCTTACAAATAGAGTTGTAATGCTTGGTCTTACAGCACTCACTGCGTACCAGATATTATACACAACGTCCCTGTCCAGCTTCCGTCAAAAGTGGTACGAGATATTCTTGGGCTTGCATGTAGCTCTACAGGCTGCTGGCTTGACTCTTGTGTTTTTTCACCACCGAGGAAGCAGGGTCTACGTTGGTATTGCTATGGCTATCTTTCTCATCGATCGATTAGTATACCGTATCGGTGTCAAGAGCACCACGGTTGAAGCAGTCGCCAGTGTCATGGAAGATGATGAAACTGTCAAGCTGTCCACTGAGATTCTCAAGTTGCCCAGCAGCAAATTCTCTCAGCTGGTCGGAAGATCCATCAGATATGGTTGGCAGGCCAGTGATCACGTCTTCCTAAGCGTGCCTTCTCTGGCCCGCAAACACATTATCCAAGCTCATCCGTTCACAATTGCCTCAGCTGCACCTACATTATCAACTGACCAAGCACAACTGGACCTCCTCATCAGAGCCCGAGACGGTTTTTCATTGGACCTCATTGAGCAGGCCCGCAACCAGGAGAGGCTCACAGTACGACTCGATGGCCCGTACGGCAGTTCTCACTCACGAACCATGTTGGAAGACTCCGAGCTCGCAATTCTCGTAGCCGGCGGCAGCGGCATTACCGTAGCATGGCCTTTCATACACCATCTCCTAGACATCACCCGGTCCAACGATACGGAAATTGCGCCAATCTCCGCACTACGTAGTCAGAAGATCGTCTTGATTTGGGTAGTCCATAAGAGCTCCCATATTTTATGGGTGGGCCGGGATGCACTGTCAGACGCGGAAAACAACGGCGTAGAGGTTATCACCCCCGAGGCGACGGAGGAGGTCGGACGGCCGGACCTGGATAGTATGATCGATGATTTAGTGAAAGACTACGGAAAAGGAAAGAAGATCGGGGTTGTGGCATGTGGACCAGATAGCATGTCACGCTCCGTCAGGAATGCCTGTTCGAAATTGGTGTGGCGTGGAAGAGATGTCAATGTAGCCATTGAGAAGTTTGGATGGTAGAACTGGGAGATGGGAATATGGTGACATACGGTCGGCGTTTAATATAGAGACTTAAATTGATTAAAATATTGTATTTTTGAGTAGATATAATGGTCATGCGGATCCTTGACCATTTACTTTTGGGGGAAGCGGGCTTCTCTTGGTTCGGTTGAAAGGGGGGGTTAGCGAGACCAAATGCGGAAGACACAAAGTGGTTCGAAGATCGATTGGAATTATTTACATAGTGAGTTCGAACTGTTTCCCACTGTGGATTGATATATATACTGTATTCTTGAGGGTTTGAAGATCCGACTTTATTCTTCACGGCAGCTTCGTGCGGCGTGAGCTCACCAAGCGGCACTGGTAGGAATCTTTAGCTGGTAATGTATTTCCTCCTTTTACTACTATAAAATCACATCTGCGGGGGTCGATAAACCTTTCTTTGGACTCAACTCTCGCATAATCCACTCATAAACAGCGAATTGCGCAGCGTTCACAATGAACGCCCTGACGCTGCAAATGGTCAGCCCTCTGAAGAACACACCCAAGCCTTCCTTCTTATAGGCATTCCTCGCGATCTCTATAGCACCAAGTCTCCTATGCTCCGTCCCATCTACCGAAACGCCCGTCCCAAGTAAAGGAGAACTGCTACCAGGCTGAAGAACCTGCGTCTGGACCCTAGTCTTGATGACATCTAAAGGGAAGACACTAACCCAGGTAGCAATGCCAGCCAAGCCCCCACAAAGCAAAACCTTGGCCGCTTCCTGGCCAGCTGAATCCATGCCCCGATCCTTCATTCTCGAGGCCAGGAAGCGCGAGCTGAGCTCGTAGGACCAGAAATAAAACCCATACCCAATACTATCCCTCAAAGCCGTGACCACGCCTCCAAAATACAAACCCCTGATACCCTCGGTCCGCAAGATCTCTTTCGCAATCGTCCAGCTGTTGGAAGCAGAGGCAGCCGAGGGCGAGACCTGGGTCCGGCATTTAACGATCTCAGTCGGGGTGCTCACGACCCAAGTTGCGAGCCCCCCAACAGCGCCCGCAATCCAGGTGGTCCAAAGACCAGCCTGAGCATCCGCGCCTCCCGTCTTCAGAAAGTCCGTACTGCGGTTATAGCTTACGAAAAGGATAGAGTTGAGAGCGCCAGATGAGAGAATCGGCGCGGCGGTCCCACGGACCAGGGCTCGAGCGCTGGAGAACCGGTAGGTTCCCGGGGCGGGAACACTGGGAGTGGTAGGACTCTTCGATGAGGCTCCGCCGGCTTGGAGACGCACTTTGATCACATCTAGAGGGTTGCCAATGAGCAGCCCGGCTATTCCACTGAAGTAGCCGGCCCAGAAATCGGCAGACATGTTGGAGGGAGCTGCAGTGCGGGCTTATCGCGCGATCATGGTCTTCTGCGCCGCTTCACAAGGCTAATGTCTGTTTTCAGAGCCTGGCAAAAGGTTCAATTGCTGCTTTGGGAATGAATCCGCATCCACGGGAAATGAGGGGGCCAGGATGGTCTCGTCTGATCTTTTGGAACTCGGCGCTCTGGGCTTGGAATCGAATGCAACCGCCCTGGCGAGTGCAGATAAGACGTCTTCTGGGGGAGGGGCGGGGCGGGGCGGGCGCTCGGCTATGGTCAACAGAGCAAATGCATGATCCTAAATGCATCCCTGTAAAGGACATCATCGATTCATCGCCTCGAGGAGCCTTCGCCAACGCCCTTGACCGACATTCACTTGAGTATCGTAGTGTCAACCCGTGACATTAGAATACTCTCACCATTCAGTCGCAGCACTTGAGGCTACGCCGTACGAGATGGACGAACATGGACTTTTCACCACAGTTTAGTGGCTCGTCGGGAAGTCGACAGCTCCAGAGTTCGCAAGTCAGTCCCTCGGGGATTGAATCAAGAGGAGATCCTAGCTAGGATACGAGAGGATGGGCCAGTTAGAAGGGGAACTCAAGGAGATGAGTCTAGAGGGCACGGCGTACTGTATTAATATCGCGGGGATCAGCCAGCCAGTCTGAGGTGGATAACAAGTGAGATATGTATACGGTTCTAGTACGGTTTAGAGGTTTGTTTCTGATCTGTATAGCTAAAATACGGTACGACTACCTAGCTAGAACCACTGTACCATCACGGGCCTTCACTGGTCAAAGGAGACACTCAAGACATCCAAGGATAAGAGAACGGTTGCTCCTCTCCTTATTAGCGTTGCTGGACTGGAGCAGGCGAACCGCCTGGTTGACACCGGGCTGGTCTGGAACTACCAGTTTCTTGACCGGAATCTCGACACCTCCCAACCCTCTGTCCCATGTGACCCCACGCCGCCTTTGCTTATCTACCTTAGGGCTGCTCAGGCCTGGTCAAGTCTGCTCAGGTCTACTCACCTATCTTACCAGAAATCGTCAACTTTTAACGAGGAGCCCGAAAAAGTATTACTATGAGGCACCTGTTGCTGTAAGTAGAGTTAGTCTTCGTCGCCTTTTGGCGTAATCAGCAAGTCTCCTCTAAGGTACAGAGCAAGGTCTTCAAACAGACTGCAGACAAGTATTCTATGGCAGAAATAACAGATCTATCCACCTCTGCAAGTCAACCATCGCTTTAGAGGCGTCGTCGTAGACTCCAGTCCAACAATTGCGTATAACGTCTCCGCCTGGGAGCTTCTCCAGAGGAGGAAAGTCTTGCCTCGCGAATCGTAGCCGAATTTCATCTTCGTCATCTACATCGAGCTCGGGAAAGGGCAGTTCATCGGTCAATATGAAGTAAAGGGCTGTGCCAAATGCGAATAGGTCAGTCTTACGGTCCTGGTAGTTTCGATTTGGACGTGGCATTGAGGACTTGACACTTTCAGCTGCTCCTCCGTCCAGGATGACGTTTCCGCTAGTGTGTAGATATCTGCCCTGGAAATCGCAAAGTTTGATAGATAGATCTGTATCGAGCAGGAGATTGCCGACGCTCACATCGCAATGAAGGATATTCTTTTCGTGAATATAAGCTAGACCCTCTGCAATTTGTTGTCCCCATTTCAACCTCTGAACCACTGTCGTGTAGGGAGCGTTGCTTCGAAGATAGCGCTCGATAGATCCGTTTGGTAGATACTCAAGCAAGAGGCCGTCCTCATGCTTCCCTTTGAGCTGAATTATCCTAGGATGCTTTCCCAATACTCGGAGGATCTGCTTTTCGACTTCTAAGCCTTTCACGGCTGCTGCTCTAACACTACTCCGAAATCTTTGCACTTCAGCCGGGTAATCTGTTCGCTCTTCTCGCGGCGCAACAGGAAACTTAAGGACGGTCGTCTCGTCGAAGGTAGCAACATAGTGATTCGCGCCGGCGGCGATAAAGGAGCGAACTCCCCTTGGGTACCAAGGCTGAAAATCGTAGAGGCTCATCGTTCCGCGCAGAGCACAGAACCGTTTGAAAGGAAAAAAGGGTTTCGTTCCGTGCGCTTCGTGGGAGCCAGGCAGCTAATCGAAGATCAACGGCCGAGGAACCAAGAAAGAAAGAAAGAATTGTCTATAAGACAAGTCCTCAGAGGTGGAGCTTGGCTGCCTATATTGGTCACGTGAGGACGTTCAGGGAAGGCGACGTTCAGTCGCGTCGCGTCCTGGAGTGTTGACATGCATCGCACCCTTCCTCGCGCAACGCCTCAACCATTACACTCGCGGGATTGATCCAAACTGCTCCTGAGCAGCACGGGAACCATGATTTGATACATTCAAGGTTGATCTGCAACCATGATGATTACTCCGCCTGACGAAGCTTCCACGACCACGCCCAACGCCGGAAAGAAGCGGCTTGGGTGTCTTGGAGGCACACCTCAGACGGCCGACCGGCTGAAGAAGCCTTTCAAGATAACTTTGAGCGATGACAAGGAGAACACACCGATACTGAGGACACCCTCTTCACAGCGGCCTCACCCATCGCAACGTCTTTACGGCGGCACACCTCAATCAGTCGATCGACTAGTCAAGCCTTTCAAGTGTCCCGGCTCAGCAACAGTTACTCGAACTTCAGATAAACCTGCTCGAAAGCGGCGGAAGGTTGATTATGGAGGAGCCGATGGGGATAAAGATGATGGAGACAAGCCATGGACGAACGAGGAGCGACTGGCGCTTGCGAACAGAGATGTTAACAAATTCCCTGTTTATCAAGTCAAGGACAAGGAAACCACGTTTCGAAAGCGATTCGCCGTACCGTTGATCAACAAGGATTCCGCATCGTACAACCCAAATCGACCCCCACCAACGTTGGGCTTGAGACAAGGAGCAGTTTTCGTGGCGAAGCCATTACATGATCCCAGTGGAGAGTTTGCGATTGTTCTTTACGATCCTACTGTAGACGAGAAACCGAGGACCATTGAAGAGGCAAGGAAAGATGACGAACCTCCGAAGATTGATGCTCCGCTTGTGCATAAAACTCTAGCGGAAATTCTAGGAATCAAGAAGGTAGTGGAGGGAGAACGACCGAAAGTTCCGGTCGTTATTGATCCTCGACTTGCAAAGGTCCTCAGACCGCATCAGATTGAGGGTGTCAAATTCATGTATAGATGCGTCACTGGAATGATCGAGGAGAAGGCCAATGGCTGTATCATGGCCGACGAGATGGGTCTAGGGAAGACCCTTCAATGCATTACTCTTATGTGGACACTCTTGAAACAATCTCCGGAGGCTGGAAAACCTACAATCCAGAAGGCTATCATTGCCTGCCCTTCCAGTTTGGTCAGGAATTGGGCAAATGAATTGGTGAAATGGCTTGGACCTGATGCTATCCAGCCTTTCGCCATTGATGGCAAGGCTAGTAAGGAAGAACTTACCCAGCAACTCCGTCAATGGGCAATCGCTAGTGGGCGAGCTGTCACGCGACCTGTCATCATTGTCTCCTACGAAACTCTACGGCTGAATGTCGAGGAGCTTAAGAATACCCAAATTGGGCTTATGTTGTGTGATGAAGGTCATCGACTGAAGAACGGTGACAGTCAAACCTTCACTGCACTAAACAGTCTCAACGTCTCGAGGAGAGTAATTCTGTCTGGAACACCAATCCAGAACGATTTATCCGAGTACTTCTCCCTTATAAGCTTTGCCAACCCAGGCCTCCTTGGAACGCGACTGGAATTCCGCAAAAGGTTTGAATTGCCAATTCTGAAGGGTCGAGACGCCGCTGGGAGCGACAAGGATCGGGAGAGAGGAGACCAATGTCTCCAAGAGCTCCTGGAGATTGTCAACAAATTCATCATTAGACGGACCAACGACATTCTGTCTAAGTACTTGCCGGTCAAGTACGAACATGTCGTATTTTGTAATCTCGCTCCCTTTCAGCTCGACCTCTATAACTACTTTATTACTAGTCCTGATATCAAAGCCTTACTACGAGGCAAAGGTAGTCAACCCCTCAAAGCGATTGGCATGCTCAAAAAGCTTTGCAACCATCCAGATTTACTTAATCTTCCTGACGACTTGCCTGGATGTGAGAAACTCTGGCCAGACGACTACGTTCCGAAGGAAGCTCGAGGTAGAGACCGGGATATCAGGCCCTGGTATTCGGGAAAGATGCGAGTTCTTGATAGAATGCTTGCGCGGATCCGTCAAGACACGAATGACAAGATCGTTCTAATCAGCAATTATACCCAGACCCTCGATATGTTCGATAAGCTCTGTCGACACCGGGGCTACGGCTCTCTGCGACTTGACGGCACAATGAACGTCACGAAACGCCAGAAGCTTGTTGACAAGTTCAACGACCCCAATGGCGAAGAGTTCATATTCCTCCTCAGTAGTAAAGCTGGTGGATGTGGTCTGAACCTCATTGGTGCTAATAGATTGGTACTATTTGACCCAGACTGGAACCCCGCAGCAGATCAACAAGCTCTCGCAAGAGTATGGCGAGACGGGCAAAAGAAGGATTGTTTCGTGTACCGCTTTATTGCCACCGGCACCATCGAGGAAAAGATCTTCCAACGACAATCACACAAGCAATCTCTCTCCTCATGCGTGGTGGATTCGGCAGAAGACGTTGAGCGCCATTTTACACTCGATAGTTTACGGGAATTATTTCAGTTCCATGGTAATACGACGAGTGACACGCATGACACTTTCAAGTGTAAGCGCTGCAAACCGGATGGGAAGCAATTTATCAAGGCACCCGCGATGATGTACGGCGATACTAGCACTTGGAATCACTTTGTCAACGAGGGGTTGAAACCCATACAAGACTTGTTGTTGAGACAAGAATGTGGCGAGCAAGAAGTGTCGGCCGTATTCCAGTATATATCTCATTAGGCAAGTCTCGCACTTCTGGATGCACACGAATGGCTGAAGCATATCGTGCTTTAGAGGCAGATTGGCGTCGGAGATGAGGAATATTCTTAAGATGGAAGTGTTGGAAAGAAGAACTTGGTAGTATATACTACGCAATCTTATACCGAGTCAAGTCCATGCTGAGTTTGGAAGAACAACCCACGTGGCTCCCATGATGATGTTCTAGAACTGGCCCAGCCCCTTACACCACTTCCGGAACTTGCATAACAGCAAAGAACCCGGTTCTTATTACTTGATTGCGGGGGTTGGGATAATGGCGTAGATTAGATTTTAAACATCTCTTCCGTTTTGTGTATGTCAGCTATCGAGTAGGTATGATACAGTGCTCAGGGGCTACCTTACATAGTCTTTACGGATCATCCCCGCCTTCTATGCGGTATCACTCTGTGCTAGGGAGACTGAAAGCCATTGAGATTACTAGTCCATGAACGATTAGATAGTTGAATTAGACAAGATCCTCAAATAAAAGCATCGTTATAATCAACGAAACCCCCCTACCAAAGTAGATACGAAAAAAAAGAACATCTGCATTTCTATATTTCACAACCTCTTCTTGGTTCAGCCTCCTTAGCATTAGTTGGTTTCCAACTTTCGTCAGAGGAACTGAACATGAATACATAATGTATAATAGGTGTATTAGAGAGCTAGTTTAATATACAATACTGTAATCCTACATCGAGAGAAGATATCGGTAAGCCAAGGAAAGAAAACGCAGCTTCTAGAGTACAACAACAAGCACGGGGCAAATCCGAGGCTCTCAACTCAACAAAACCACCATCCTCATTGATGCCGCCATTCATCACAGAATACGCACAGAATAGCAGAAACGCGGGTACAGCTGCAGTTCACGCAAATGGCTGCATCGAGGAGATTGATGCTTATTATGGGGAATAACTCGAAAATAGGGGGTTCCGGAACTTCCTCTACCTTGCTGGAGACAGGCGTGGGATTTGCACTTCTTTTTAGGTTGGGGGGTATGGGATTAGAGGGACTGTGCGGTCGAGAAGGAGATTGAGAGGACAGTGAGGGAGAGGAGGGGGGTGAGGGTAGAGGATTTCATGATGAGGGGATGGAATAAGGTATTTGAGGAAATTGGGGCAAAAATAAAAGGGGGGGGGGGGGGGGGGGGGT